GACCTCTTTTCCTCCCTTGACTTTTGCCCCGGAGTCCACGTGTGAATTTGCTTTGGATGAAAACTTTAAAAGTTCTTCCTTTGGCACGTGGTATTTGCCCAGCCACGCAGACTTGATATGAGTGAATCAATATTTGGAAATGGTTTTCTCCCGAATCCGCCATGAGCTCGCCATCAATTGATCAAATATTGCGAGTCTTGAATACGTGTTAAAGGTGAAAAGATGCTATCATTTATTGCCATTTCACCTGAGATTGTGCCATTAGTGAGTGTATCGTGGGTGGTCAATAAAAAACCTTGACCGCGACTTGGCTTTGTGCTCGCCTTGAATGTTTTCCCTCCAGCTGTATAAGGCGATGTTGTATATGTAGAAGCGAGAGCATTAATTTCAGCCATATATCAAAATGGTCTGGGCAATAAATTGCGCTGAAGATTGTGGGTGGTTGGGCTGCGGGAAAGTGCATGGATCAATCACTCTCTGAATTGCATACAGAGCACTTTGCGCAGTCAATGAGGTAATTGTCCTTTAAGAGAGTCGTTGAAGAAAGTAGTGAATTTCCTGTATTGAACGGGACATTGTGGGGTGGAGACGAGAAAAATGCGCACAAATAAAATAAGGGTGTATCATTGTGGACTCGGTTTTGCCTTGACACTCATCTATTCAGAGTTGTGGCACAAATATTATGATGGGGAAAGACAGGCGAAATTTCGGCCGAGGCCCCAGTGAATCCCTTCAGGGTGGGTCGCATAAATTCTTCTCTTCTGTTGTCAAAGGAGTGCTTGCGGTGGGTTGAGTTTGAGCAAGACATACAAGTGCGAGACTTTCAAACTGTCTCCTGTACTATCAATCTACACCACGTGCTGACAATTGTCCCTTCTTTGAAGCATGTTTGCGGAGAGACCGACTTTAAATGCGAATTTGCATATTTCTCCACTTTCAGTCAGTTCCAGTCTGCGGAGCAAAGAGAGGCCTTTGAGTTCAGCGCACGCATGAAAAAACCCCTTCAATGCCACACCAATGAGTTTTGCAACTATTAGTGTGGAAGAAAATCAAAGGGAAACTGCATTTATTTTATCAATCATATCGCTATCTAGTGCAGTGAGGGTGTAATTGACGCACACATTGACTCTGCTCTATGAGTTATGCGGAAAGGTCAGCAAGAAATGAACTCTTCAATCTATCGGGGGTGAAAAAGCTTCCACAATATGGAAATTAGCCCGCTATTTCACCGACAAGTGCTTCCTTTCGGCGAAGCCTCAAGAAAACCTCCGTCAAAAGTGACCCACGCATTTTCACTGAGGGCAGGTGATGAACCCAGTATGAATCCGTCGTGGCGCGGAAATTCTTATGCAAATTTCTTCTCTCACTTTAATTGAAAAACCTCTTGACTTGTGGGGTTTGAATTTCTTATGGAAAAATATGCGTGGAGTGCGAAAAACTTATTTGCCAGACACTTTTCAGGTGTACTTCCCGATTAACTTGGTGGAAATGATTGAAATTCAAAAAGTTTCGTGCTTGATGAAAAATCTTCCATTCGCATTTTCTGAATTACACCAGGCGCCTCCACTTGGACTCTGCTTATTTCACATTGAGTTTAGATATGGAAATTTCTTTAATTTTCTAAACAGAGCTCTATTAAAGAGTCTCAGAGTGTTATAAAGTATCTGCCGATGCTATTTAATTGTGTTTATTTGACTATATAAAATGAGAAATAGTATTTTTAGACGCTTGTTTCATGGATGTTTCACTCATGTTTCTGCCTTTGTCTAGTGGAGACGCCGGGTTGTTAGATAATTCTATGTAGGAAATAAACTTTACCCTCTTCATTTCCGTTCAGGACCAATGAATTTACACTAAAAGTGGTAGGTTAGCATTAAACATGTTTTATGCACCGGAAAACCACTTCTGGCAAATTCCAGTGATAAATATACCGCACATAAAACACATTTATAACTTACTACACTTCAATTCTTGTTTCCAATGCAACCACCCACCTTTGAGTTCCTCCTCGGAGAATTGTTTTTTCTTGGGCTTCTTTCCCGCTTTTGCTTTCGTTGACGGCATCTTCTCCCTCGTCTTCTCCTAAGATGTTGAGACGAGAAAAAGGCGTCTTATTGAGTCTGTTTGATCTTTGTTCTCTCAGCTCTCATTCCGCCAGAGCGTATTTTTAGTTCATTTTGAACATTTATTAAAAAAAAGAGAGTGAGAGAGAAGAAAAAAAGTGCGCGATACTGACCTGATTTGTGACTTTGTTTCCACTCCTTCGACCGATCAAAGCGGATCCCAACATCTGAGTATGGCGAGAGACAAAAGAAAAGAAGCACAATTTTAGAATCCAATTCGAACATCATTACGAGATTATTGGTTATTTAATGGGGAACACATGGGGAACAATTGGGTGCACTTTTCTCGCGCCACGAAAGATCTCGCGAAGCGATGAGCGAGCAATTTTGCTTCTGCGATGATTGACACTCAATTTGTACTATCACACACTGTAATGTTTAGGAGGGAAGAGAACTAATTTTCAGGTCATTCGCACGTCTTTTTCTGCACACTTTTTTCCCACGAAAATCACACAACTTTTTAGAGATTTTGCAGTCATTTTGAGACACTTGGAATGAGAGTCACGAATTTTGGTAAGGAAATTCTGGGTGTTTAAAAGCCAATGGACTACCTTCAAATGAGCTTTGAACCCACTCATGGTGAGAAAATACGAGAAAATCAGAGGAAAAGTGTGATTAGAGGAGTTAAATTAAGTTGTGCGCCTCAATTAATTGAGATTAGTTTTTATTGTTTCACTTGAATGTCTTAAGAATTGAAAGATTTCAAGCAATGTTTGGCCAAAAGTGTAACATTTTAACCATCTCATGTACATAAAGTCTATGTTCGTTATTCAAGTACAGAATAAAAGTACAATGAACTGTGGAAGACGCTAAAATTACCAATGATACCAAAACTTTCGTGAAACATTCAATAGCTCTTGCTCCTAATTCAAAATTAGCAACAGTTCTCTTTTGTTATTCTGCGCATACGGCATATTATTAACCACTTTCTCTTCGCCAATCGGGCACACTGAGCCTGATGAGAGTGTCTTGACGCGTTTTGCGCGTCTCTGTCAACGATGTGTTAAAAACAATAGTGAGAAATTTCGACTCGTGGGCAGTTTATCGATGTCTTTCACGGAAATTTGCCTGAATCAGTAGTCAAAAATTCTACTTGAGGCAAATCTGAGGGGGAAAATTCACGCTAAATGTACTGGACAAGGCGTTATTTATAAATGTGGAATAATTAGAAACACTCGTGTGCTATTTGTATCAATTTCCGCCCGTAATTTGTGTCAATTGCAAGGGTGATCATGTCCCAGCAAGTGTCTGTGCCTGAACTTGTGTATTTTCGTGTGAAATAATTATTATTTTTAGTTACAACTATTTGGCATGAATTTCACAGTTTGGCGAGTTTAGCTCTGAGTGTGGCCGCGTCTCATTTGGGGCTTTGGCGAACATGTGTTTAGAGGCGCGAGTGTATCTCTTCCTTTTGATTTGTAGTCAAAACATTCACGAGAGATCTTTCTCATGTCTTGTGTTTCGTCCAAGTAGAATGAATATCAATCAAGCGGAAAAAAGGCGCTTGTCAGCTCTTCTGAAATGATACAGAGACATTGAGTGAGTGTTTAGCTTTTGTACATCACACTCACAATTTCTCTCCACCTTGCAATTCCGCGCATTTTTTCACATCGAGACTTTGATATAATTTAAATTTTTCACGTTTCACAGCAAAAATATCGCCTGTCTCGCAGTAAATTTGCGAATAGGGGAAAAGAGAGATATATTTTTTTGTCCTAACAAATATTATAACTCATATTTTCCGCATGAATTCACGCATCGCGTCAATAGATTAATTTCCTCTCGAATATTAATTTCCTCAAATCGTGTCACAGAAATAGATCACGCGGCGTTATTTATTGCATTTGGCTTGCCAATCAAGGTAAAACATTTGTTAATTAATGCGCCACAGGGAGCGGGTCACACATTATCACCTCAAAAATAGTATATACTCGCTATTTTCGACCACAAATCACGAGATATTCAATGATCTTGACTTGTATTTATAAAACACAGGGCATTTTGGGTTGAAATTCGTGGGAAAACTCACATCAATTGGCACAGTTGAGTGTTTCAACGAACTTTATGCGCGCAAAGAGCAATGCACCATCGTTAGTTTTAAGGAAGGGAGGAGAGTTATTGGGAGACACACTCGGACAATCCAGGTCCAGAACTCACGGTGTGAACGGCAATGTGGCAGAATCACATCTGAGATCGCCGAGCAAAGAAATTCTCGGGCCGTTTCAGATATTTTCACGCCTGACTCGCGTTCTTCTCCAAATAGCTCCTCGTCTCCGGCTCCGCCGCAGCCTCTCGGGCACTGTATTGGCAGCTCGTTGGAAAAAGAGGCGCCCGCCACCCACCCGAAACCACGACGTGTGGCGTGTGAGATTTTAATTTTGTCGATCGAGGTCTGGGGAGTTGACATTGTGCCTTTGGACATCTATTAAGATATCATCCGAGGATGCCGTCTTTATGGGTTCACGGTTTTATGTCCGCGAAGAAGAGCGGCAGATTAGCCATCACAAATCATCTTCTCCAACATGTTGTGTCTCTTAAATCTCTCATCCCACCGCTCCCCCGACGCCTTCCGGCTGTAAAGGAGAACATGGGAATTTTTATATTTGAAGTTTTGACAGAGAGAAATAATTTTCTGCAGCCACTTTATGGCTGCAAATTATCATACTTGTGGCGTTGTGGGTGTATTTGGAGTGGACAAAAATTCCAGGGGGCTTCCAAAGTCCAGTGATTTTCCCCCACAAACAGTATTTATTGTATTAAATTTGGTCAAGTGCTCAACCCCTTGTCGGGGAATCGTATCATATACTCTGAGTATTCTCACACGGGAAGCAATTGAATAAATGTGGTTTATTTGTAAAATTATTCTCATGTGTGTAAATATTTACATTAAACACGTTTTTAGGCGCATGAGGTGAAATATTTTGCAAATTTGACCATCATTTATTTATAAACAGCAACTCAATCATCTGTGTGTAATTTTTAATCGAAATCTCACGCTCCAACGCGTCCCTCATCAACATGTGTGCTAATGTTTGTCGTCCAGCATATTTTCTAGTGTGTACAAATATATATTTTTTTGCATAAAACTTTAGACAGTAAATTCCTCTGATTGCTGAGCGAGGACGGGAGTTTTGAACTGCGGGCTCCAGGAGATCAGGAGGATCACAATTTGAGGCAGAAGAGCCGTCGTCAGGAGGTAGAGAGTGTAGGGAGTTGGCTGAGTTGAGCCCAAAGGGCAGAACCACAGTCCTCTCCGGATGGAATCTCTGACATGGTGTGAGGCGAAGGCGAGGAAAATAACACAGAGCCACAGACAAGCAGACAGGGACTTGAAGTACCGCGTGGTTATAAGTATGAGAATCAAGATGAGCAGAGGAATTGTTGAGCAGTGCAGGAATGGGCGACTTGGAAGGTTCAACGCGTCCTGAAAGCAGATGATAAGCCTTAACGATTGTGTCTCACGGAAGCCCAGTCTACTTACCACAAGTTTCAACGACTTAGCTTCTAGAAAGTGATCGACATCAATAGCCGAAGCCACTATGTAAGCCACAATAAGCATTCCCGTCCCCTCCCATGGCCCCAAGCGTTCGCGGAAGTGCCCAACAGGCAGAAGAGCACTGAGAAGACCCACAACTCCATGTGTGGTATTGTCCAAGAGAGCCTTTGTCACACTGCCATTTCTAGCGCGATTAGTCAGGAAGTCGCCGAGAATACACACAAAGCAGAGTAGAATGCTTATAAATACTCTAAAATTGTAAATTTTAGCAAACATCTTCTGTTTACATTTTCTATGGGACATTCACAAAAAGTGAGGTTATGGCTCTCTGTTTGTCCCACAATATCAACTGGCTTGCCAGTTGGGAAAAAATATTTTGCTGTCCGCAAGAGGATTACATAAAGGTGCAGAAATTGTGCATTTCCAACGATGTGGTTCGAAATCCTGCCCTCATTTGGCATCATTGTAGTGGCAACTGCCCTCCCAGGCTACGCCCTGTACGGAATACACAAATTGGTGTTCAATAACGTGAGTAGAGGGCAATTATCTGAGAGTGACATAACCTCAGAGGGCAGTTTCTGAGATTTTCTCGGATTTTCATCTTTTCCAGGCTTTCCGCCGCGGAACTAACGAGAGATGGGATCGCATGCTGTACCAGAGGGACATAAGATTGACCAAAAATCCATATCTCGTCAATGTGAGTAAAATTTACCATCTTTTGCCAAGTCTCCTTCCCTGGCTGACTGTCAATTGTTCTCCCCACAAACAGGGCCTGGAGGCGATTCCGGATGAGCCCTAGAAGACGAAATAAGCACCTAGGGAGGATTTTAGATTGAGCTCCAAGTTATGTAAATGTTTAAAAGAGTTTAAAGAGGGATAATAAATCCAGGAAAATCACACATTTGCCATTTCACACCGTTTATTAGTCAACATTGATTATAAACACCAAAATATTTCTCTTTCTTCACTGTCTTCGATCCTAAAATCCTATTTTTCCTTTGAAAATTTTCCTTTACACATCTCTGAAATTCTAGGATAATTCTTCTACAATTTTTTTTGTGTCTTGTTGTGTGATAAAATGGGGAAAAGTGAGCCGGTGAAACCACGCAAAAATCTTTGCTAAGATTTTATGCCATACAAAAATATTTCTTTTTCTCTTGGTTTTCTTGATAATTGGTTTTTTTTGCTAAACAAACAGCCTAAAACTCATTCCTAAAATGTATTTCTGCTTCTTTGAAAATGTCAGGACAATTTTTTTTCTTGGTTTTCTAGTAGCTCTAATAATGTTGTTTTTATTAAACTTTTCTCACACACAATTTCTCATGAGTAAAATCATCTAAAATTTTTCTCAATATCATCTTCTGTAAATTCTCTAGATTTTATGTGTCTTCTTCTCTACCTTTTTATCCATAAGTACTCTTTATTATCAGCTGATTTTTTTTTTTAGATATTCTCTTGTGTGAGTGTGTTTTCTTTTACTCTTGTCAATTTATAGGCTCTCATTAAATTTACTCATACATTTTTATAGATTTTTTTCTTCTGCTTCTTTAATAAACACTAATTCACATGGGATTTCACATAACTCTTCTCTTACACTATTAGTAAATTGATTTCTTTCTACAGTTAGTGAATTGATAGGAGGGGAATATATGTATAATTCATTTTGGTAAAAAATTAGATTAAAATTGAAAAGTGTCTTTAGTAACATTTCTTTTTCAATCAGCATCACATTTACTTTAGTATAGAAGTTTCAAAGGTAAAAATAATTGGGAGTGAGTCTATTAGGCCCTTAATTTCAATAATCCCGCCCTCTAAACACTTTCTCATCTTGCAAACACTAAGGAAACTCTCTCTTTGGCGTTCCATTCAGCTGAATGATCGGCCGATTGACGATGCAAAGTTCCCTTCTATTTAGTTAAATTCGGCCTCTATTCAGTTAAAATTCAGTAAGTGTATATTTAATTGTTTCTAGGATTCCATCTCTCACGAACATCTAATATGTGTATAATAGTTTTACTGTTATTCTATCTCAGAATACATTAAGACTAAAGTAAGGTGTATACTTTGGGAATATTATTAAATATTCTCTCCTGCTCAACTCTCTCTCTCTCGCTAATTTGTATCGTCAAATGTAAAATAATTATCATTTCTCTCTCTGCAATATTTTTTAGAATATTCCTTCTCATGTTCTCAATTAACATTAATGATATTGTCGTAGTTTTTTTCTTCTTCTTTATTTATAGTGTAATGTAATTCTTGTATGGTAAATTTCTCTAAAAGCACATTTGATTTGAAGCATTTTTCTCACTTTCATAAACATTTTCACTGTGACAATTATTCATGTAATCTTTATCTATCAATAGGTTTTTTTCTCTTATCAATTCTGTGCGTAAATTTTAATTTCTCCTCCAATTCATATCCACTAATTCTCACACATCTTTGCGCAATAAATTTGAGGAAATTTCTCTCACTATATTTTCTCATTTTTTTGATTTTCATGTGATAATTTCTTATTTTCCATTATATAAAAAAGCATCTCTATAGAATTTTACCATCTTAAATTGATTCTCATTCATTCCTATAATAATGATAAAAAGGTTTTTCTTCATCAAACACCTAAGGTTTAATGTCTTTAGATCGGCCTAACACTGTGGTTATACGGAATTGTTTTCTCCTTCTTCTCTTCCTTTTATTTATTTTTTTGATGAAGTTTCAGTTTTCCACAAGAACACGCAATAGTTTTATTCCTGCCTCGTGTGAAGTGAGTGCAAAAGTGAAAAGTGTGAAATTCTTGTCTGAGAACTTCATCACAGTAATTTGACTAATTCTTAATTAAAGCTGAGACCCTCGCATATTTTGATGGGAAGATTACTTTACGAATTGTTTTCATTTCTCCTCCTTTTTTTCTTCTTTTAAAATTGATAATATATATATTTTTCTTTCACTTGTTTTCCACTAAAACACCTAAAACAATTTCACCATTCCATTTTATTGTCAATATGTCTTTGTCTACACAAAAGTGTATATTTTGTCTCACAACTCCTTAAAGGATATTTCATTAATTACAAGTTATCTTATCGGATGACTCTCTCGACAAGGGCTAAACGAAGAGTTTATGTTGGATTGACTGAGGCAAAAGGAGGTCCAACATTCCAAAATAGTCAATCATCCTAAAAATACATGATAGCAAGAATATCATTAAATATTTTTATGTGGTTTCTTTCTTTCTTTTTTTTGTTAAATGTCATAAGAAGCAAGTTTTTCTCTCATATCTCTTAATTCTAGTGTCAAACACTTAGTCATTCCCACTGCAGAGAATGAGCATTAGAGGCTTAGGTTTTTCCTTTAAACACTATATATATATATATATATTTATATATTTCTCATTACAACTAGGAAACAGATATTCTCTATGTTTCTTTATATCTGGTAAATACACCTTTTCTCAGCAATATGCATAAGTTTTATATGTATTGTCTGACATCAAGGACACTAAATTATTATCTCAATTTTTCATTCAGGAAATAAAATCAACTCCACATCTTCCATTTTTACCTATTTTAAACACTAAACTTGTCTCTTAAGTGATAATTTTTCTAAGAAAATTCTCATTATTGTCCAAGTTTCTCAATATTCTTTTTCTCTTTTTATATATTATTAAAAAAAATCCTGTCTTGCGTGATATAATTCTTCTCTCTCTCTTCCTCTGCACAAAAATGTATCAATTACCCGAACAAACTTCAAACACGTTTATTCATCTCTCGTCGTGGAATAGAAAAATACGGCTCTTCCATGTCCAATGGAAGATCTTCTTGAGAAAAGATATGTCTTGAAGGTGGAAAGGGTTTCAGGCTTTGATATGAGCGTTGGGGGTGGTCGGCTAGGGTCAGTGAAGTGGGAGGGGTGCGGGAAGTAGATTCTAAGTGAAGTGAGATCCGGAGGAGTACTTGTGAATCTGTTGCATTATCCAGGGAATGTAGCGCGGAACGTTGGCATAGACACCGGGCAGCTTTGGGTGGGCGCACATGATGCCCCAGGACACAATTCCGCCCACGAACCAGCGATCTCTGTCCGTGGTGTCGCGACAGAGGAGAGGACCGCCGCTGTCTCCTGCGGAGGAAAGTCAACTTAGAGACGTGGTATTAGGGAATAACACCGAAGAATTACCCTGGCAAGCGTCCTTTCCGCCCTCCTGGTAGCCAGCACAGATCATCCCCTCGGTGACGTTCAGCATCTCCAGCCACTCGTTGCACAGATCTCGATTGAGCACGGGAACGGACACCTCATTGACGGCCGGCTCGTATGAGGCGGAGAAGGACGACCCGGCGGAGAATTCTTGCGTGTTCTTGTCCTCCTTCTTGCCCCATCCAATCACCGTGCAGTGGGTGCCTGGCTTAATCTCCTTGAGCGGCGGTGGCAGGCAGACGGGCAAGAGATGCTCGTGGAAGGCCACGCGTGTGCTAAGCTGTATTGACGAGGGTGTTGAGGAATTAATTGATGGCATTTGGGGAACAAAGGAAGGCTCTTACCTGAAACAGGGCGATGTCATTGTCATGGGCCACGAAGGAGTTGTAGAGTGGATGAGGAATCACCCTTCGCACTTTCACTTTCTGCCCATAGTAGGTGTGACTGTGGCGACGGGTCATCCCCAGTTGAATGGTCCAGTCGTTTATCTTGCGGTTGGTGATGCTGTCGGAGAAATTGTACATGATTATGTGTTGTGGTTGTGCGATTGATTTGGCTATTAACTCACTTTCCCACACAGTGAGACGCCGTGAGGACCCACTGATCGGAGATGAGAACACCGGCGCAGTAGAAAATCTCCTCAGGACCACCCAGAATGGCGGCCAGGAAGGGCCAATCGCCAGGAGAGCTCTGCGTGCCGCCGACAATGCGTGTCTTGGCGCTCCGGCGCCTTTTGATTTTGCCACACTCAAAGTTGGAGCACGTGAGCTCCACCACCGGATACATTGAGCTGGGACAGTTGGTGAACTCCTTCATGAGGTTCGTCTGGCGCTTCTGGTACATCCGCCACATGGCGGGCGTGTCCTTGGTCGGCGTGACCATGGTGATGTTGGTGCCGATCATCTTCAAGCGACTGGAGTTTACAGAGCTGTAGCCCAGCATTGAGCAGACGGTGGTTGGCGAGGTTGACGGATCCCAGTTGGAGATGCAAGCTGGTGCCCATTTCTTCACATTCGCCCTGTAAACCTCCAGCGTTCCTCGTCCCAGATCTCCATTCCGTTCACTCAAGCGAACTGAAGATGAAGACAATTAAAAGAATTTTTAATTAATGAGTCAATGGAAAGGTTTTCTACAGCGTCTTTTATATATCAATTTAAGTTTATTAAAAATATATATAAACACTGCAAAGAACTCATGGAATTTCGCAATATTTTGAGAAGAATTTCTGTTCATTACCAAGAATCCATAAGAAAATTTGAACTTTGATCTTGACACTTCCCAGAAATTTAATAACCTTTTGAGTACTTTGAATTATTCGGACAATCAACTCACTGCAATTCCTCTCGTCCTGTCCGTACGGACAATCCTGAATCCCATCGCAGACATGCTTCTGGCTCATGCACCTTCTCTCGCCACAATAAATGGATCCTTCCGGGCAGAACGGACAGTCCGACTCATCTGTCTGGTCATTGCAGTCCACGTGTCCGTCGCACTTCCACTCGGCTGGGATACAGCGCTTCTTGTCGCACATGAAGCCCGAGCAGGAGGGATTTTGGGCGCGAATCTTTGCCTCCTGCACCTCGCGAGAGCCCACACACTCATCCGGATTGGAGGATTCGGTGAAGAGGTGGCATTTTATGTACTCCGGCAACTCCAGGCCGAACACTTCGAAGAAGAAGCCACAGCGTCGCATAGTTTCCGTACAGAGACTCCGACAAGGCGGCACAGTGGTGCCCGTGGAGCTGCACTTTGGCACAAAGAGGGAGCACAGGAGCAGGGAGACCAATTCGTAGCATCTAACATCCACCAGAGCATCGTACGCATCCAATTCCTGGTGATTTTTCAGGATTATTATTAAATCACATGTGGTTAATGGGTGAAAAATGGAACTCTCGTTATTTTATTCCATTAAATTTCCCATTTCATTTGTGCAAATATTTGATATTGACTAATGAAGTTCCATTATTCAATTGGAGAAGAAATTGAGTAAATTGTAATGTACACTGTGTCTTGGGAGAAAACCACCCCTTGACAGCAAAAGACAGCATTAATCTTCTTGTCGATTATCGCGCGAGAGCAATCCCTCCCCCTCCCCCTTCCCCCTGCATATCAGATTTATCTGTCGCGTATTTCAACATTGCGATAAGGCGAGAGGAAAATCGATTTGTCTGTATTATATGGTTGGGAAGAGAGAATCAGAGGCGCGCACACAGTGGACGTAATAAAATTCCTGACATTCTCAGGCTGAAGAAATGCCGAGGATTCTCAAATACTCACAACTTGCGCCTCGGGCTGTCCAAAGTGTCCGATGTAATTGGGAAAGACAGTGAAATTGTAGGGGAGTTGGTGGTTCTGGCAGAACTTCACGATGACGGGGAGACACACTCCGGGCGCTGGATTCTTCCCACCCGCCACACTCGTGGACTCCTCAACATCGAACACTGTGTCCACTCTTGTCGGCGTGATGATGGTCTTATTGATGAACTTCACAGTGGGATAGGCGTTGAAGTAGGCCGCCAGGCCGCCAGCAATTGCCAGGAGCGCCACGGCGTTCAGCAGAATCTGGAGCAGGCGAAACCGAAAGGGGCCTCGAAGGTTGTACGGGGCTGAGTTCTTTCTCCTGTTAATAATCTGCAGAGAGACATAGAAGGGGACACACTCAATTTCAGCTCTTTGCCAGAGTTGGTGGAGAATGTCAACAGATTTCGTCCTCCTGAGGATGAAACAAATCTCCTCAAATCTACCATCGCAACTCTGCTTGGATGGCTCTTTAGGAAATTTCACGGGACATTTATGGAGTGGTTGGAATGCGTATTTGTCGAGGGGGTTGTGCTATATAATTACTTTGTGCTGAAGAGACATGTTGGAGCCATTCTGGAAGCGTACAATTGTCTGAAGACTTGCCGGGGTCGACGCACTCTTGGTAATCGGCGAGCTGGGATTGTTATCTGCGCCTTCGTGGAGAATCTCATCAGTGCCTTTGAAATTTTGCTTCACTGCCAAAGGGAAAATTGTGAAATAGTGTCACATTAGAGTCACTCACAGACGCAACTCACATGCATTGATCTTGTGGTTCGTCAGCAAGGGTGTGTCGAGGAGCTTCGAGGAATACCCAGGACTGGAAGTCTGACTAAAGCTGTCACTGGACACATTCGAGTCCTGTCGCACGTTGATGGACTTCTGATTGCGCGTGGTCATGTTGAAGCTGTCCGGACCCGAGTCGCCCTGCGGCATCTTCACCATGCTGGAGCGTCCGATCTTCGCGGTGTGATGCAGAAGTGGCGTCTCCATGCTCTTCACATTGTATCCCGGACTGGAGGTGACGGAAAAGCTGTCGCTACTTATGCTGGAGTCTTGTCGATGGGTGATCTTGGCGAGAGGCGGCGGTTTATTCAGTCCCTTCCTCATGCCCAGCACCTGACTGTTGTGCAGCAGCTTCGCGGAGTCCAGGGAGGCTTGGGAGCGCAAGGGAGGAGCCGGTGGCGTGCCTCGTGTTCGCGTGGCCGCACTCCCTCCGCCACTGGGCGGTGGGAGTTTCGGTGGCACAGCTTGATGCCATCTCTGCGGCACCGCCGGAAGTTGTCTGCGACAGTTCTCCGCATTCTTGGCCGTGTTCTTGTGGTACCTGCCCGTGTCCTTGTCGGCGATGCGATTGAAAATGCGATTGTCAGCTGGCGGTGGTGATGGAAATCCTTCAGAGCGCTGCGCCTCGCCCGACATATAGCTATCGATCGACGATTGAGTGTCCTCCGATGAGAATCGACTCCTGAACGACTGATGAGTGGCCGATGACATGTAGCCAGTGTCAATGGTGGTCTGACTCTTGTTGGAGTCCGACGAGGAGCGATTGGAGTTGTGGAAGAAGGACTTGGCGGCGTCAAAGGTGGCAAATTCAGAAATATTCTCTTCAAAGACCGACGATGAGGAATCAATGCTGAGTCGATCCTCATTGTCCAACACCATTGGAGTGTCTTGATTGGGTTGCATCTTAAAAAAATCCACAGGCGACTTCTCACCAAGTCGCACCTGATTCGTTCCCAATTTCCCCTGAAATGTTCTCTTCGGCACTGGCGGTGGAACAAGAGGCAGAATTTTGGTGTTCACCTGAAATCAAAGCCCCCAAAAATAGCCACTTTAATCAATCTTAAAATCCCCTCATTTCTATTTGATTAGTTTTCAATCATCATGGACAGTGATTAATCGTGCGACATTTGCTAATCTGGACGCTGATGAAAGGCCGAGATTCGGTGGAAAACTCAATCTCCCATCCTTTATAATTAATTTCCACTGCGAAGAGCTGATTTTTTTTTATTGACTGTGACTCTTCAGTGCTGTCGAATTAGTGAGAAAAACCTCAGCGTTTCAGATTACGATGAAACCATGAAAATCCCTTGGCAATTTTATCGTAAATAACACTCTTTCACCAGGAAGCCCTATTCTGGGAAAATATCTAGCAAACAGTTGCAAACTTTTCAAAGATATCACTGAGCATATTCTAAAGGGGAGGGAGAAGAGCGCCGGAAGATTTCCACAATATTCGTGGAAAGATGTATTTTTAATGTCATCGCAATATCAGGGAGAAGTCGCTCATCCGCGCCGTCTTATCGTGCGAATCGCAAATGATGGGGATTTGCACTCACCACAGGACTGACTTCCACGACCGGCTGCTCCACGTTGGGCGGACAGTGGTGCGTGGAGTGGCGGCGAAGGGCGGAAGTGGGTGAGAGATTGACGGGCGAGAGGTAAGCGGGATGCTCCGCGTCCAGGAGATCCAGCAGATTGGAGTTATTGGGCAGAGCTAGGCTGGCGGCTCGTGTGGATCTGCTGCGACTCTTGGCGAAGTCATCAAAAGAGCTGATGGTGGCCTTCTCTATGCCCTCCGGCGATGGTGTGATGAAGTTGCTGGTGTGATTACTCAGCGCTGTGGATGCCATTGAATGTGACAAGAAGTGTTTCCTCTTTGTTCAATATTTCTGCAATTGAGCACAAGAGAACAGAGAAAGAGAGAGAGAGAGTGAGATCAGCAATATGAAAGACACGTCAGACAATTCCACCTTCACAGGCGATGGATTTGACGATGGCACAGCGCGTTTGAGAGCGGATTTTACAATCCAAATATAATTAAACACATGACATCTGCCACTCCATTAATAGGATTAAGCGAGCAAATTCACGATGGAGCTCACCCGAAAACCCCCACTCGTCTCCACTCGAGGAAGTGTGATGGGGAGCGAAAGTGATTTTCCCCGGGGATGAGATTTTCGTGTTAAGAGGACTCCACGATAGGGTTACGAGTCCATCCCAAGGTAAGGATATCGTAGTCAGAAGTGGTGTACAGCTTAGCAGAAATACTTAAGAAGTGGAAGTGGAAAATCTTCAATTTTGAGCTTAAAAGAGAATTGCAACAGTTGAGAATATATAATTTGTATATTTAGCAATGTTTTTTTTCTACAAAGAAAACCTTTTGATGTTTCTGTTTAGGTTACGATCAGAATGATTGCCGGAAAAGTGATTTATAAGCAATTTTGGTATCACAATTTCCTCGTGATTTCTTCTAAAATTCTCATAAATCGATCGAAAATCCGTTTAAAATTTCTAGAAGAGTTCAGGAAGTATTGGAAGTGTCAGAGAGTGGTGTACAGATTCTAGCCATATTATTCCCCCCTTGGTCCGTTCCACAATTAGTGTCTCTCAGTCTCACCCCGGCGGAGTCGTGTAAAATTGTGCTGAAGACTCTCAAGACGCCTTAAATTCACTCGTCTTCGCAGACACAGCACTCGGAAAATCACCCCCACCCCATCCGAACCCTGTCAGCAATTTACTTCTGTCTCCTGCCACCCACTCACTCTCACATTATAATATTAAATGAGACTTTTTTCTTTAACCCATCCCCTCCAGTGAATGCCTTTTCCATTCCCATTTCGATAAATCCCTGAAAATGTTCACATTGCTTTGAATAGAGAAATTTCAGGTGAAATTATCTTTGATTGTATAAAGTTGCCACACTAGAAGCTAATTAATATTCTTGTCGCTTTAAAATACACCTCAAAGACTCTAAATATATATCTTCTCCCATTTTCTCAAACTCTCATTTACAATGAAATACGCTACAAATCAAATTCAAGGCTAATATGTACAATTTACCAGTCCTGAATAAGTTGAACAACAGTGGAGCTTTTCAAATAAAATGTCTATTTGAGAAATTTTCTTACATGTCCTTCTGAGAAGTGGCCATCATTATACATGGTGTCTACAGAATGGGTTAAGCTGGGTCTCAAAGAGCCCCCCAAATTGATGAGGCGAGGGAAATTAAAAGGGTGAAGAAAAATCGCAGTATGAACGAAGTTGTGAATTTGCCTTTCCAAGAACTCCTGGGCTAAAATATCCTTTGGAATATTTTGTATCAATTTAGGTATGCAATTCTGTGAAGTTATTCATTAACCTGGGGTTATATTCATTTTGCAGCTCCATTTTAGGAATTCAGGAGCAAAAGCTTTAGCAAACCCAACACAATTTCATATATACATCAAGGTTTTGTGGTTAATTTAAAGAGGGAGAGACACATTCTGAAGATTGTGACGAGCAAAAAGCCATGGTGAATGCATTAGGAAGATTTTCTGGTACTTTGCACACATTTTATCGATTTCCCACGCTGAGTCGCGAGGGAGGATCCTCAACGCAGCTCCTCTCCTCCTGACGGGGGGTGTACAAATCCGAGAATTCTGTCATGAATGTCTCTCGAGTCGTGCCGCTTGATTTTCAAACGCCCAGGCCAAGGGGATGAGGGAATTTGTATAATGTACATAAGTGGAATTAGTTTCATCCCTTAAAGTTGAAGCTCTCAAGGAGCACGGGGCAGGGTGGGGGGTAAATTAAAAGGCAAGAAACACGATGGAGAAATACAAGTGTCATGTGGTTTTCCTTCCACTCATCACTTTTCTCGAGGGGTAGCACAACATTTCTCTCGTCCTCCCTTGGACGAATACGAGACATGAATATGTAAAATGACTCTTGATTCTCTCCTCAACAATCTCAATACCCAACTGTATGGATATTCCCTATACACTGCCAGCCATGGCTTTATGATCATTATGCGAATTTCCACTACAACCCTCCACACTTCAGCTGATGATCCCACCCACAAAATGGACTCTGTGCAAATTCCGTCTGCGATACTGTCTCAAGTCATTTGCATGGTTGTGTATTTTTTCCACGGAGCGCGAAGGAGGAAAAGCTCCTCTAATTTAATAATCTCACAATTGTGTGAGGAGGAAAAATTGCTAAGACGTGTTTTGCTATTTTTCCACTCCACCCTCTCTTCAAGTCTCCGCTAGAGAAAGAAAAGCATGGATGGCGGAAAAGACCATGTGGAAAATTTTAAATTGAGACGACAGTGAATTAAATAGTGATGGAAGGAATCGATACAAGTTTTATTTTGCCAATGTCGCGTGTTGTTGTGGCAAAGAGGGCGAAAAGAAGTCGCCGTGTGGTGTGAGCGGAAAGGGAGGATGGAGAGCCTATTGAATTGAACTTGCTTGACATGTTAGGAGATGCTTTTCTGTCTCCTCCTGCCCCTCACCCAAAATGATGATAAGAGCGAGAAAGAGAGAAAATCATGGAAGAAACCAAGAGGAAAAATATGCGACCGTGATCACAATGCAATCAAAGGGGCTTTCATACATCTCCTCCACCCGCCGGTGGAAATTCTTGAGGACGTTTTCATTTTTTCTCCCCGTCGCTGCGGCAGTTAGGGAAAGGTGGCCCCGAAATTCGTGTCTGAATAAATTGAATAAATTCATGGGGCGAGGAATATCCTTTTCACCCACACATCCTGTTACATCATCATGTGCGTAATTCATGGACACCATTACACCTGACTTTCTTCGGAATTTAATATTGAGGAGAAATAATAAAAACTTTTAAATCCAAACAGCATCAATTTATCTTTGCTCCCCCACCGCCACATTTTGCCCTTCATGGTGATTTTTCTTGGCGAGGAAAGGCGACAAAAGTGTGCGTGTGTGTGTGAAGAGGGCTGAAAGAACAATTTTCGAGAGTGACATAATTGGGATCAGGGTTTCTCCGTGAAGATTGTCCGACAAATTTGAAAGAAGTCGCAGTGAAGTAATATAATTTTAATTGAACGGCAACACCTACGAAAGTCATAAGCTCTTGATTGCCGTTACGAATATAAAAATGTTACGACTTGAAAAGTCATTAGTATTCGTGTCTTGGCTGAGTTTTTCTATTAAAAATCCGCTTTTCATAAATGGTGCCCCTTAAGGCTGATTTGTGGCGCGAAGACTGGCAATAGTTTATCATCTTTGTCGAGAAGAATTTATTATATTGTAGTCTGGGCTGAAGGCACATCTCTCGCTCTTATTTTCCTCCCTAAAGCAAGAGCATATATAGAAGGGGGAATTGAGGTGGAAGCCTTGGGGTATTGTGCGTGCGGTTGCTGCCCTTCCTCAACTGTTGGCGGCATCAATTTATCTTTGGGATGATGCTGGAGGAATATTTCACAGTTTGATCGATTTTAGGGATTTTACACAAGTCCCCACAATTCTATGGCGCACAAAAGGTGCCATATTTTTCTCGCCCGCATTGGGGATGAGGTGGAAAGAAATTGCCCGGGACGAGGAGACAAAGATTTAATGAAATCAATAATTTTCCCTAAGGCATGTTTTCAATTTGTTATTTTCACTCCACACACTTTCGTTCGCTGGCTGAGAAAGAGATTTGCCAAAGTTTGATTGCCGCAGTCTTTTTAGGACATCTCGAGGTGCTTTTTCTTGGCTGTTGGGATTTCCCCGTCATGCTATTCTCTCTCTCTATCTCTCTCTTCGCCACAGAGCTTTACCAACCCTCGTCCATATGCAGCCTCGAGGGAAATTATTTTACACTCACTCACCATATATAATAAAAGTGTTGCAAAACCACAGGTGCTGAGTATTACATTTTCCCTCATCCCTTCTGGTTCCGTGCCAATTTCTTTCAATTCCACTCCACTCTCAGTCTTCCATCGCACACCCCTTTATCTCAATTTAAATGGAATTTGATAGCTCCGCCATAAAGCCCACAAAAATTCCCTCAAACCAACAGAGAGAGAGCAAAAAAACATTTTTTTCACTCAAGAGCAAACATACTTTTGATTCCAGCGCATTTCGTGAGCCTCTTTTATAGCACGTAAATTGATGTCCCCTCCCCAGGCAGCCGAAAAAAATATTGTATTAATAGGATCTGAAATGGGACTGTTTGAAAAAGTGGAAACTTGTGTAAACATTTACATTGACGCCCCTATTTTCCACTGCGCTCCACGCTGACGAGCTTTCAATAGTTTTTTAAAATGACACAGTGGCAAAAAAAAACACAGTAAAACGCTTTCATCTGAGGGAAAGAGAGTGAGAGAGAGAGAGCTTTTATGATCACCGACGTTCACGATGCGAAAGCACACACAATGTGTTTAGGCGCGAGGGGGGCGGAGAGTTACAAATAAATCAATACTCTACGAAAAACGCGGTACAGCATATGATGACTTAGAAAACGTATAACTTTCTCATGCTACGACTCACCCTCTGAGTGGGTGGGCTTCAAGTTCGAATGTCCCTGCTAGATAATTGTGAAATTGTGTATTGAATTTGAAACAATGAGACCGATTTCCCAGCCACACAAAGTGAAGCCCTTTTGCCCGGGCATGTCCCAAAATGGGGCGCGCATATGGCAAAGGAGACAAGAATCTGTTAAACACAATCCCCCCATTTGAGTCATTACTTTATTTGCTTATAAATCACATAATCAATTCATTGATTTTCCCATCAGAATTCCCGCCAGAGCTCAATGTCGAGATTCTAATTAGATGGTTCGACATTCGGGAACATTGAAAATATCGCTAACTTTCACCCTGTTTTCATGATGACACTGTGAACGGCTTTTCCAGTTTCCTTGACATTATGGCACGAATATTAAATTAATGACGAGGATGCCTTCAGCAGAAATTTGCAACTTTTTCAACCTCATCCTCAACTTCTTCATCCAAAAAAGTTACACATCAGTTTTGACCCTCACTAAAAATTAAATGAATTTAGAGATAGTTTTATCCCCAGACATTCCCACAAGCGCCTCCATGGTGGAAGTTTAATTAAATACTTTTTTTCCCTGTCACATGGAAGGAAAGCGAGGATGAGCGATAAGGTGCGGAAGCTCCAGGGGAATTTCAGGTATAACGCAGAAGTTGGAAACTGCTCTGAAGAGCTTTTTGTGGCGCCCAACTGAGAGCATCAGAGTTGAGGAGGATGTGCAGTAAGATCACGATTTCATTCAACACAAGCGGTTAATGATTTGAAATCTCTGTCTGTGCATTCAACTATGTTCTCAATTCTGTGGTGGGGCAAAAGCTCAAATATACAAGTGTACATTGTATGAAAATGTTCCACAGCTGTTCAATTAAAAGTTTAATAAGCAAAGTGAGAATACACGCAAGCTCCCAATTAGCTCAATTCATCAGTTTTATACAGTTCAAGCCGTTCTGAATTGGCATAAAGCTCTCTCGAAAGTGCAGTGGAAAGTTCAAAAACCACCGTATTGGTTGCCATTAGCAGCTTTATGGATGATTTTTCACAGACTCACATGTGGGGTGAGTTCTCAGCCACCCTTGCGGAATAATTTATGACACAGTACTTTCAAAAGTTCCGACACACTGCAAATGGCAGACAAGTTGGTTAATTATTTTAATTTATGGCCACGCTTTTTTCCCACTAATTAAAAATATATCATTACATTTTCGCACTGCCTTCGCGTTAATGATGATCCACCCATTTTCCCACCTACACTTCTGGTGGCGAAATGGATTCCTTTTTTGTTACTTGAAGCAAATGAGATAGAAAGTCATGATGATGAAAATCAATTGATTTTGGAATTTTCCGTGGTGTTTTTTTTATGTCTATTTGGGCAAATCTGCCAAACCACTCAATTCACTCGCCATTTAATTTTATCGACTGCCGGGCATCGTGAAAAGCCCAAGCAAGAAATGATGTGAATTGTGATGATTTTGTTGCGCAGAATGAAATAATTTAGTTGAAATTTTTCACATTGATACGATGTCATAATTCAAAACGAGTGGAAAATTGAATTCTCCCCGAAGGAGTCGTATATTTTTCATTTCTCATTTCATCGAGAAATCCGATAAAATTCTCTCTAGCCAAAGTGTGTGTGTGTGTGTGAGAGAGAAGGTGGAGAAGATGGACCCCTTTTCGTGTCTTGTCGTACTTGATGCTCAAGATGAACGTGGATTGTACAGTGAATAGAACTGGAAAATGTAGTTTAGGGACGTAAATGTGCAATAAAGAGCAATTTTACAGTAGTGGATAAAATTGTTATTCATCATAAATTCAATTGATAAAGAATTCAATTTGATATTGTCTGTAACTGAGCGTCGCGATAAGTACAAAAGTCTTTGAGAAAAAGGAAGAAATTGCACACTATCTGCCTTGAATGTTCCACTATGAGTTTCGCATGAAGCAGTAATACTTACAGATTAATTGGCGCGTGTTTGAAATAACAAGAAGTAGAGTTTTATTTGAGCACTTCTTTCAGTCACAAATCACTTTTGTCGCCTCAACGACTGAATACCATCTGTACACATAATTTCATATTTTCCTCTGTCGGACTATTGAGAAAAGTAAGTGACACGAGAGTGGGAAAAACGATGCGGGATTTCCAATGAATCACTTAATCAGTGGTCGAGGGAGGAAAAGGTTTATTGAGAGAGCTTGAATGTGGCGAACAGTCACGCAAATTCCAACTCTAATTAAAAACAGAAACAGAAATTTTCCCTCTACGACAGCTTTTCTCGTGTTTTAGAGAATTTGAGTATTTGTGGAAAAAGGATTGCAAAAGACAAATAAATTTCCCTTCATTCCCACACCATTGCTTGAAAAATTATCCCAATTCTCTGGCGACAGACAAAAATATTTGCTCACCGAGAAGAGAGACTTTTGCCTAACTCTCGAGCCTCTGGGAATATTTTTTCTGTTGTTTTGTCGACGAGTGGAAAAGTTGACGAAGCCTGAGTGGGAGTGTACTTTAAATTACGTAATGGTGGATTTTTCGTCGGGAAAGTGAGCAAGCATAAGTGGAAAATCCTTTTCTTTCTCGCCTCGGTGAAAAGCGGAGAAAATACACACTATACATACAATGCATACGACAAAATAAACCGATTTCCCGGACGGTGGAAAAAAAGCCACGGGCATGAGAGTTGAGGGGTGAACAAATAGAGTGGGATGAAGTGGAAAATCTTCTTTTTTTTCTTCGCCAATTCTGGTACACACTTAATGATGATAAAGGAATGTGATTTTGTTGGAATCTTTGGAGAGCTTTAAAACATAGAATTTTCACAATGGATTATAGGAGATTTGCTGAAAAATTCTCAATGTGTCTAAAATCACTTACAAGTAGAACTCACTTTCAGTTATAATCTCTCCTCAAATGAACTTTTCCCTCCTTCCGGCGGCGAAACTCTTTTCCTTTCACTTGACGTTTTAGCTCGCCGCAAAAAGCCCCCCTTCACGGTTACTGTCTCACAAGCTTTCACCAATTTTCCCAAATTCACTTTCTCTCCACTATGAACTTCGCTTTGGCCAGAAGGTGTGCGTGGGAAAAAACTAAAGATAGTTGATGTAATTGTGTGAGCATTTGTGAGCTTTCGCCGCCACTATGTATAATGAAAAAAGTGTTCAGCGTGCGGCAAATTAGTGCATTTTTCACCCCCCTTGACCCTATTATGAGCAGAAATAAAAGGTTGTAGTGTGCTATTTAGCTGTGTGTCTGTAGTGTTGTGTTTTGCAGACGGAGTAGCACGTGGTGGTTACGTCTCTCCGACTACCGCCTACGCACTGTCGAGCTCTCAGTCGTCCTGGAAAACATTGGCCGTCGACCAGGCCGCGAGAGAGAGCATTCACTGCTCCCTCTCTCTCTCTCTCTCTCGGCTGGCAGTCACTCTCCAGGGTGACAAACTGAGCAAAAGTCTTCTACCGAGAAAAGAGCTTTACTTCTCAGAGCCAAAAGATAATCATGAAACGTCTTTCAAGGCACTTTTCCTCACACACAATAAAGTGAGTTACGCTGAAACAGAGCTTTCACCAGGCATCTCCACCGAATAGCTTTTTATATATCATTTCTGCATATATTTTCTGCAAAGCGTGCATAGAATGCAAAGACAAAGTTGTAACATTCCCATTGAAGTGTCGTAAACCAAATCAATCCCCTCAGCTCTGAAATCCTGAATTCAGCTCGAGAAGGAGAGAGAGAGAGAGAGTTTTTCCCAAAGCTGCGGTGCTGGGGAAAAATACACTCAGAGAGCGAGAAAGAGCGTGAAAAGGGGAAATTGCGCGCCAAAATATTACTACAGTTGGTGTGCCTCCAGTCAGCCTGATTTTCCGCCCAGGGCGAGGAAAAGAAACATGGTTCCACATATATCTGTTGCATCATCCTCAAGTTCAACAGCCAGTCTCACCTGGCCCTCAGTCCCTCGCCACTTTTTCCCAGCGCTTTTATGCCACTTTCACCCAAATCAATCTCACTCTCGCCTTGATTCGGGATTCAGTATGACTTTTACGACACAGTGTTGCAAAATAGCAAATTACTCAGCACGCTTTATCTTCGCGTTTTCACCTGCGACAACAATCCATCCATTAATTCCCTGTCAAAATATTTGCCACCGCACACACTTAATTATCCCACATGAGATTCATACTCATCATTGGATTCATTGACCTGTAAATTTTGGCGATAATAAACTTGATTAGCGTGTCGGAATTGCAAAGGTTCCAATACACTCTTTTTCTCATATATAGAGGCATTTTTTGGGGATTTTTTCTTGAATCCTTCATGAAAGAATAATACTCTGGATTTTATGGCATCTTTGGTCCTTTTATGACACACTCTTTATATGAATTTTACTGCACAATCGATTGACATTACATGGTGGCGGAATCTCCAAATTCAAGAGCCCTCCTCGAACTCTATTGCGTCTCATCGTGTTTCTTTTCGCCTTAAGGAACTAATCATAAGACTTCCCTTGAGCATTGACAAGAGTTTATCCATGAAATTAAGCTTTTTTCCACTTATTTCCTCTCTCATACGGGCTGAAGCTCTTTTGCCGATTGTCTCTGAGGGGAAGAATCCCTTACGGGATCCCTTTTTTCTCGCCCAATTGGCGAAAATGTTTCTATTGATCTTTTCCCTGTACTTTTTTTCTCTCCTTCATGCTAAGAATCCGGAACGTCGAAGAGAGAGAAAAGGCAGCAGTCATGGGATCTCCAACACATGTGGAACAATGAGGGATTTCTCAAGCGCGCCCCTCTGAAATTTTCCATTAGAGATATGGAAATATGAAATGGAGAGAATTTCCCATTGTAGCCATCGGATTATCCCATTTTCACCCCCTCTTTTTCCCTTTTGAGCATGCTAATGGGATATTCTCCGCACTCGAACTTTCACCATGATATCCGGCACTGCAAATGATCACAATAACGTTGGGAGAAAAGTTTAGAGAGAGAGGAAGCTTCCCTTTGAATCACATCGCGAGCTTAACCGGAATATTAATTGGAAATTATACTTTGTCGGAGAATTTTTCTCACCAAATTGAATTTTCTCACACAACTCACAAATAAGTTCACCATTGAAATGCTAAATTATTCACTGAGTGAAACTTTTCAGCTGATTTATTGATAATGCCTGGCGATGAGGCTGCATTTGGTTGGACGGTGCGGAATTTTTACGATGGTAGGTAAAATAATTATGAAAACTTCCATAATTTTCCCACGTGAGAAATATATGACCTTTTTCACGTGGTGAGCATACGTGAAAGTTGCGGTAGATGAAAACTTTCCCATTTCATAAGCGGAAATATGTGCGGCTATCAAAGGAGCTTTCTGGGAATTCCGATCGTAATTTTTAAACGGATTTCACCACAAAATTCGTACAAACAGAGAGCGATTCAATTTATATTAATAGATAAATTCCTGAAATAGAAGTCCACAAATGTAAATCATCAAAGGACAGATACTCAGTTCATAATTTTATTGGACTCCCTTTGTTGATGTTCATTCAAACAATATGCACAGAATGAATTGAATGAATCTGTTCAGCGAAGCTCTTCTGTTATGTTGAAAAGCAAGACTATGAAACTTTATACGATAAACCAAAGTGCAAATGAATTTTAGGAAAAATTATTAAACTCCCAGCGGAGCGAAAGAGTTTCAGGGGTCATAAATCACCAGAGGGAGTTATTGTTCATGAAACGAGGAGGGTAGGATATTGCAGTGGGTGGTCCTATGAATTTATGGGCGTTGGGTCTGCAAGGTGGCCAACGAGGTGGGTTGGCAAATGTGGGAGTTTGGGGTGTATTTTTATATGTGTAGTTTGGGCTGTGTGACATTGAATTGAAAATGCAATGCCGAGATTCGGGGAGCTTTTGTGCGAAGGAAAGACAAAGGGAGCTTTTTCCACAATTTGTTTTATACACCCAGCAGTTATGGGTGAAGTGCGACGCTCCTGCCGTTTTTTCCGCATTATTCCTCCTCATATTTCTTCTATTCCGCACCACTCGTGTCGAGTGCTTTTGTTTATTATTCCTCTTTAGCATATTCTTCGGTTTTTCCTGCCACCCCACCTCCACCCCCAACCATCCGCTCGCTAACAACTGGTTCAGACACTCAATGAGTAATAATGTTGTTAAAGCACTTGCTATATCGCGCTCAATTTCTACCCCGCGCAGCTTTTTTCCCCGTTCTCACATTTCTCTTGCCTCATTTTCCCAGCCACATACAATATAAACATACGCGCTGAACACTCCCGAGGAGGAAAAATCCATCCAAGTGGATGATGGAAAAGTTTCCGTGGTGGTAGAAGGAAAAAAATCGACAGAAATGACGAAAGCGTTTGATGATAAAGTCTCAAAGCTTTCAAGGTTGCCTATTTCACGTGATTCGTTGCCATCCGGTAAACATCTTTTCCATTCCATCTTCCATCACAGAGGGTCTGTTGCTGCCTCAAAAATGTGCTCTTCTTACACCTTTTCGTTGTCAAATCAGCGCACTAGCGAATTCTACCCCTGAGAGTCATATTTCTTGTCCCTTTCACCATGATTGTTGTTTCAATGCACCCAAAATCTGACATTGATTCACCCCTCATGAGCCCTCGATCCTGTTGAAGAGTCCACTTCTCATTCTCTAAGCTAAGGTATACATTTCCAACTCCGAAATGTGAGTGGAAATGAGGTGAGTCGCTGAAAGGTTGCGAGAAACACGGAATAGAGAACAAAACATTCAACTGACCATTGTGTTTGGGGGCACATTTATACGTGAGGAATTCCCCAAAAGCTCTTGGGGCGCCTTTTCGTGAGAGGAAAAGTCTTTCTAATAATCCAGCATGTCAATAAAGCGGCCAGTACATTGGGTGATTGAGTGAGTTTAAGACTGTGTGGTTCTTCCACTGCTTTTTCCACCTCGCCAGCCACTGAGAAGACGTCTAAGACGGAAACTACTTGTGTTTATTTTCCCACCCACAACCCCAAACTCATTTATATTCCTCCGTCCACACACATTGGTGCCAATTGCGCATCTCATGGCGAACCTGGGGCATGATTTCATGCCACACAGTGTGCAGAGACAGTGGAGGAACAGAGACAATTTCTCGAGTGTCCTTTTTCCAAAATTTTCCTCATGGAAAAAGGAGAGGACAAAGGCATTTTCGGAATGTTGTAATATCGAAATACTGATGGTGTATTGAATTGGAATTTATAATATTGAAATTATGATTTTCCATCTCGCAAAACGCAGTCAATAAGTATTTTCACCTACTTTGGCATCTTTGGCATTGAAGAGTCCTCAGACTCACATCCTGGTCATTGAGGATGACGCCAAAATGGGGGCTTTTCACTGTTGTCCTTCGCTTGTGAGAACAACTTCACTTTCTCGCCATTCTCTTCTATACTTGTGCATGTCACGAGCAGAGAAGAACCTCATTTGTACACAATTACATTTATTTAGGATTTTTCCACCCACTCTTTTTCCCTCAACCCACTGAGTATATTGTCAAGTCAAACAATTCATCTTTCAGTCAACGATTAATGTTTTCTGTGGCAATTCCTCATTGTACTTTTCCTCTCCAAGCGACAACGGGTCATTTTTGGGGCTTCCATTGGGAAGATTTCACATTAACAATTATGTTTACACTCAGTGGGACAAAACATGGCATTTTCCATCTCCTGAATTTCTGATCTTTCACTTCTAAATGAGTGATTAAATGGAAAGATTGTTGCAAAGCCCTAAAGGTCAGGAAATTGGATTAAAGTTTCCCAACTTTTGACCTATAATTTCCTCTCGTGTGACCCTTTGCAAGAGGGAGAGAAAGAGTGAGGGAGAGAGAGAGAGAGAGAGAGAAGGCCGAATCTGAAAAATGCCAACAGTATAATTGGAGTATAAATAGAATCAGATGTTTCCCATTTTGTTGTGTAAATCCTTGCTGTCTTGTGCACATCCGAAAGACTGCAAAAAGTCAAGCAAAAAGTGATACAAATTTGCATTATATTGATTTCCATAGCTATTTTTAATATTATCCCATCTCAGACAGTCTCTCATCTCGGATCCCAGCAAGATTTGCCAACTAAAGCGTGAGAGAGGGAGAGAAAAATAATATACCAGCATGGGCAAAGTTTTATTGATTTATCCCGACAAACTTAATCCACTGGTAATCGTCCTCTTATCCTATCTGTCTCCTATCTTCGGCACTCCTTTCTCCTTCAGCATGGAACTTTTTAATTGGCACCATGTTCAGGGAAAATCTCTTTCTGCAATTTCAAGCACAATTCTTTTGTTGTCTCTCTCTCTTCTCAGTTCTTAAGCAATATTTGCATAATGAACACGTCAGATTTTTCCACATGAATTGATCATGATGGGAAATCGATTAAAATTGTGTTGGTGGACGCTGAAGAGGAAAATTATTGTGTCTGAGGGTGAAAAAGGTAATTTCAAGTGACACCGCAATTTTCAGAGCCAAAAACCCCCATCCCGAGAGAGAGAAAGAGAGAGTCTTATTAAAATACACTACGGGTCCTCCAGTGGTGTGGGGACAGACAAGGAAAATCCACCTGGAAAGTACCACCTTCGAGCGTCTTCGGCTATGGTACAAAAGAAGAAAAGTTATTTTACCGGAAGAGTGATTTTGATTTATTGCTCTGTTGTCAATTTCCCGCCCTGCACATAATGCTCTCAGTCTATAGACGTCCTCATTGATTTATTTGTCGAGAATCTCCCCCATTCTGCGTCTTCGGTGGGCTTTTGGCCACCCCCACTTCAGCCCACCCAACAGAGCGGTCGTCGGTGGAGGAATTAAAACAGACCTCGTCCCACGAAAACCCCAAAATGGGTGAGATATTTATACACAACTAGATTAAAAAGTTTCTCTCAAGCTTTAAAGAGCTTTCACCCCCCGTTGAAGGGGCAGAAAGTATACCTCAAGGTCATCCAACATGGCAGATTTATTCAGTCGCCAACCTAGTTGCTCAGCTCAAATTACTCGCTTCCCCCCAAAAAATCACTGCAAAATTGCCCAAATGCTCCGGCAAAAGCTCTTCTGAGGGACGACAGAGGGTGAAACAAGGGGGAATATAAATAATTGTGGCCTTCACATTGAATTTCTTGGGATAGAGAACTTGTAAAAGCTCTGAGGCCTCTTGGACGGCTCATTTATCAACGAAATAACGTTCATTTGCTCCGGGATATTGTTCCTTTTGCTCTCCTTGCCAGCTTAATCGTCTCATTACCCAACTCTCCACCCACTGGATGGAATCCCCACGGGAGCTTTTCACATGCTCGGCATCTGAGAAAATTCACTCGCTAGATATCAAAGAAAACTGACACAGTTCTAGGGAATTTCTAGCGTCACCTTTGACCTTATTCTATCTATTTAATTATTTTGACAAATTTGTTGACTTACCATCCTCCCCATGACTTGTGCGCTCGAGGGAGGCAATTTTCCCACGCAAAATTAGTATCAATATTGGGGAATTTGTTGAGGAAGGTGGTTATAAAATGTCTCTCAATGCAAAGCACAGTTAAAATATTGTATGAAAATTGTGCAATTTATCTGATTTTGAGGATAAAGACAAGGCTAGTGGATAAACAGCACGAGATTTAGAGAAAGAACACGTGTAAGAAGCAATTCTGGACAACTGTTGAACTTTCATGAAGGCGCGACTTGAGCTTTTCCGTCAATGCTGCCCACCAGAGGCGCTGCTGCCGCTGCATCGATTTACTCATCGAGTGCCAAGAAATCCATAAGCGGCGGCAGGAAGTTTTCATTGTGTGGCATTTCTGGGCAAAATACCCACCGCTAATCACATCTGGACGACGAGGAGGCACGGCGAGTGACAAATTAAGGGGTCTGTGCAGAGTTTGGCGGTGGAGTGGTGATAGTGGCACGCGAAATCGGGCATTTATTGCGATGGAGGAGATTAAGTCAAACATTGATAAGATTTTTGACCAGCTCCTGGAGACCAATCCCTTTCCCATCCCCAAGAGGTTGAGCTTCGACAGCCTGGGCGATTCTTTAGATGAGAAGCGTGAGTATTGGGCGGATTTTGTGGCAGTTTCTGGTGTGTTTTTGTGGTGGAACTAATGTGAGGTTATGCGTGTTTAGGCCCGTCAAAGAGGAAGATCCCGTCCGGGGACTCAAATTTGGACAAGAGACGGCGCGATGAGTCCCCCAACTCGAGTGTGGGGAGCACCAACAACTCCATTGTGCCACCCATGAGTCCGTGGGAGATGAGACTGATGAAGGCGGATCTCATAACGGCGAATGCAAATGTAATGATGAGCCGGGTGGCTTTCCGGAAGGTGTAACATGACTAAAGTGTGGCTTGTTTTGCAGATAAATCAGCTGCAGAGTGAGTTGGAGCAGCAGCAGCTGCAGAAGAGGAACATGGAGAAGGACTTCGCGTCGAAGATTGACGGGCTGAAAGATCAGGTGGCGTACTTCAAGAACAAATCTCACGAGGTGGAGAAGCACCTTGGCGTGGTGCGTAAGCGTGAGTCGAATGCGAAGCAGGATCTCGTGAGCGCTCGCAATGAGAAGAAGGCCGATCGCTTGCGCTATGAGGAAACCATACATTCCCTCCAGAAGAAGCTCATGAGTGTTGAAGATAACTTCAGGAAAGCCAGCAATGAGTACAACAACGACGTGAGTGATCTCAATCGGCAGCTGTCTGAAGTGATGCACAATCTCACGAGTGTGGAGGAGGAGAATTCGCGACTGTTTGAGCTGAATGAGACGCTCCAGGGAAAGGTGGGCAAGCTGAAGGAATTGGAGGCGGCACTCGAGGAGGAGAAGCAGAAGAATCAGTCGGCCAGCATGAAGATTAAGGAGTTGGAGTATGAGATTTCGGGCTACGGCGAGTGGAAGGAGATGTCGACTTCTTCGCTCGCGCGGTTATCGCAGATGGCGGACTTGGAGAAGGAGGTTGTGCTCCTCAGGACAAAGTCCAAGAATCTTCGCGATGCGATAGGCAACAAACTGTTGCTTGAGGAGCAGGTGAATGACCTCAAAAGTCGCCTCGAGAGGAGCGAACGGAACAATCTCGACGCCATTGCACTGAAAATCCAAGCGGAGGATTTGGAGAAGGAATTGAACACGTGGAAAGCAATTGCCGTGGATCACTGTCCACAGAGCATTCCGGCAACACCACCCAATCTTCGGCGGCGCATTGAGGAAATTCTGCAGAAAGATGTAATACTGGTGAATGAGCGCAACAAGAGTAAAACGGAGAGGAACTCCCTCGAGGCACAGTCACATGAGGTTCGTGGGCAGAATGATGCATTGCTCAAGGCGAATCAGGAGCTCAAGGGCTCTCTGGAAAAGTACCAGAAGAACGTGTTGCGTCTACAGAAGAGAATGCAATTGCTTGTGAAGGAACGCGATTGCTATAAGCAATTGATTGAGAATTATGAGAAGGATTTGACAATATCGGGACCTTCGGGAGCAATGACGGCCACACCGGAGAATCAGCTGCGTCTCCGTGTGGAGATGCTGGAGAAGACGCTGGCGGGTTACAAAGAGATGTGCGCTAATCTAGAGAAAGATCTGCAAACGGCCAGAGCATTTCCGGACGCCAATGTGGGCGTGACGAGCAGTCATGAGCATTTGCGACGGGAGCTGAACGAGGCGCGGATGGAGAATGAGCGCATGAGGCGGCGCCGGGATGAGCTCGAGATGGAGCTGGAGCACAGGAGTCTGAAGGGGGATTTCAATGCGGACAAATACCAAGTGGTGCACATGGAGGGAAATCCCGCTCAGGTGGCTCATGAGAGTCATTTGGAGGAGGTGGAGAAACTGCAGGCGGAGATTGAGCGGCTGAAGCGGAAGATTAGAAAACTGGAGGAAGACCACGAGAACATGACGATGCGACTCAATGAGTCCAACATCACGCTGAACATCAAGGAGATCAATCAGCTGCGCAGCCAAGTGGCCAGTCTGGAGGCGAAGAATCAACACCTGAAGGAGGCGTACAAGGTGGCGAACCAGGAGTTCCGGGAGGTGTGCTACATGCTGTTTGGCTATCGTGTGGATCGCACGGGGAGCACCAATTATCGCATCTCGAGCATGTATGCGGAGAATGAGGATGACTTCCTCAGTTTTCGACTGAAGGAGAGCGGAGCACTGGACATGCTGGAGACGGAGTACTCAATGTCACTCAGGGAGATGATGAGGACTCATTTGGGGACACACAACTCCCTGCCCACATTCCTCAGTGCACTCACAATGGATCTCTTCAATCGCACCACCATTTCCGTCTGAGGCGGACCACCAATTGAACGCGCGCGAGAGTGTGAGACTTGAAGGTAAATTCATCTAAATTGATTCCACACACAAATTGTTTAATTTCATCGCCAGCACTTACCCCATTGTGGCGCACATTTATCCGAAAAAAAAGAAGGCAGGAGAGAGAGAGCTGATGAATTGAATCAATACACTTTGTTTCTTTTTGGGTGGAAGAAAAAGAAAAAAAATCACTCCGTCGGATTTGGTGTGTAGCTCGTGAGGAACTTTCTGCAATTTATCTCGTGGGGATTTCTCAGCTTCCGGAAGGCGCTGTGCTCTTTATCACAAACAACACTGGACTGTGTCAACTACAGAGTGTTCTGATCGTGTCGGGTGATTGTGGTATGTTCAGATGACACTCGCTAGTCAGGATTAGTGATTGGAGGCGCGCACTTTGTCAAGAACTTCGTGTTCCCAAGAGTGAGGGAGAGAGAGAGTCACCTTCCGCAAACATCAAGGGATCGACGAGCGGATTGCGAATTATTTTCCAATTAACGGGGCAAAAAGGAACCGATAAAACTATGAGAGTTGCAGAGATTCTAGATTGGAGATCTTCCAGAAAATATGGTGGACTTTCCGTGCAATCTCCAGCCGAAGTTTATCTAATCTGGACGCATTCCACTCTGCATGTGGACTCAGTGCCGGAGGTGATGATGAAATGTTATAAAAAGTACTGGGCTTTTGTCCACATTGTCAGCAAGACAATCGAAGTCTTGTGGTTTTGGGACTTAACACAGTTAAATTATCGCAAATTCGGGTGCAAATTATCGGCCGGCAGAGAGTGTGATTTGATTGATTTATTTGGGGGGCCTCTTAGTGGGGGGAATATTTATTGGACAGGGGCTTAAGGAATGGAATGCCAGTCACACGCTGACCACAGAGAGAGATATTGACTCCGTCGCAAAAGGCAGTGTCTTTTCACCACACGCACGCCTTTATTGAGAATGGCCGGGAGTGCAAATTGAGACAATTTAGCTGAGAGAGAGAGCGGCTGACCACATCCTCAGCGACACACATTGTTGCGCGTTTGTTTTGGCGGGAAATGAAGCCAGAGTCACGGTGCAGAAAGTCAATACACACACATTTGGGGGGCCACTTGGGGCTCAGAAGCGTGGCTTGAAGGTGCTGGCGGCCGCCAGCTGGTTGCGCGGACGCAGTGCGGCATTGTTGGACGTCTTGCCGTCGAACTTGATGAGGCCACCAATGTCGCCGCCCAGCTTCTCGTGGTGTTTTCCCGCGGCTTGCGTCATGGGCGCCTCGCTCACGTCGATGATCTTGGGGTTCTTGCGGTACTTGTACCACCAGTACTCGAAGATGAGCGTCACGCACGCCATGCCGATGCCCACAAAGATCACGATGAACACACCGCCGATGTTCTGGATGGAAATGCCGTCCGATTGATCCTCGGGCTTCTCACAAGTGCTCTGAACATCGTCATTCTTCCACCACTTCTCCTTCAGTTTCTCCAGCTGGCGCTTGTTGAGCAGCATTAGAATCCTGTCAAGGAGGAGATAAAATCATGTTATCAATAATCCTGCGGTAGTGTAAAAAGCCTCAAACTCACGCATTGTTGAACTGATCCTTGAGCGGAGATCCTTGTTGCACGGCTATGGCGTAGGGCTTGCGAGAAAACTCCTCGCCAACGATCTGCAGATCGCAGTTTGTCAACACGAGATAGCGAATGTCCGTGGCATCTCCCAAGAAGGCGAATCCTGTGGCTGTAGTGGAATTCCTTACTCTGCCCACGGCTTCGTCGAGGCTGTTGGGCAGTCCGGCTTCCTGCATCGCTTGCCACATCTTTGTGTACTTGTCACTCACCGGATAATCCCACACGGCGAGTTTGGATCTCTCCACGGGCGTGAGGGAGTCATTGAGCGACATGTCCTTCCAGATCTCGTAGAAGCGTCCCTCGATGTCCGCCATGCGCTGGAAGTACGTCATGGCAGAGGAGCCGTTGAGAGGTGCGTAGAGGATTTTATACTGCTTCGCCAGATCGTCCAGAGATTCCACGGGAGTGTCCAGACGGGAGACGGTGAGGAAGGCAGCCAGATTGGCGGTGTACGAAGCGATGATGATGAATCCGAAGAGCCACCACGTGGCCGCCACCAAGCGTCCTGAGAGATTCTTCGGTGCTTCTCCGCCTCCTTGAGGCGTGAGAGAAGTCATGCAGAACCAGAGGCACTCCTTGATGTTGAACTCTCGCTTCTCGTCGTCATCCTTGTACTTCTCGCGGTTGTTCTGATAACTGTATGGGCTCCAGCGATCGAAGACCCACATGAGGAAGCTGGTGAAGAAGTAGGCCGCCAGGATGCAGAGCCACACGTTCGTCTCCAGCACGGTGAGGAATTTGAAGAGGGAACTGGGAGTGCTGGGCAGTTGCATCATGATCGTGATGCCCACGAGATCGTAGTAGGGAACGGTGAAGTCGATGACTGTCTCTCGTTCTGCCATCACCGACATTGAGCCCAGACCGATGTCCGCTTGCTTGTCGATCAGCTTCCTCACGATTCCATTCCAATCGCCCTTCTCGTCCATGTTGCCAAACTTACCGTCCTCCACCTCTTGGATCATGTAGTCGAACTTCACGATGTTCGCTATCTCATCTATTAGGTCTATGCAGTAGCCTTTGTAGCCCTTCGGCGCGTCCTTGTCCCGGATGATGAATGGCGGTTGCTAGAAGGATAGAAGAGAGATTTAGTGATCACTGCTGAATAGTTGAATGAGCTTTTCACACTCACAACAACTGTATAAATCCTATAAACCACATCGGCTGTGAGATTTCTCATGTCCTCCTGATTCTTAATCGAAATACTGGCATCCAGACCGGCTGTCCAGTAGCCCAGATTTTTCGTATTGACCGATGCTCCTCCTCTGATGGACACAGCATTGATGTCCATGTCGAACTTCATGAAGCTGTAACCGTTGAAGGGCACCGAAGGTCTCGTGTTGAACTCAAAAGTGCCGTAAGTTGTGGGCTCGGAGACGCCAATGAAGTAGGACTTGAGATCAATTATGTGGTCAGGAGTGTTTGTGCCATCGTAGTTGTCGCAGTTCAAGTACTTGATGTCCATTGGCCAGGCGCCGACTTGGAGCATTTCGCGGACAGCCAAGAAAGTCCTCAGAGCCAAATCAAAGTAGAAAGCTGAGGTGATTTCAGGCTCTTGCTTGAGATTGTATGTCGTCTTCATGACACCCAAGCGATCCTTGGCCTTGCTGTCCGGCACAGGCCGCAAGAACATTATGGTGGCATTGTCCAGATTGGCTGTGAGATCTCCTCTTTGCTGCGTGATGGCGTGCCAGGCGAAGTTCCTCTCGAAGTACTCCTTCTTGGCGGATTCTGAGGAATTTCAATCACAACTTGAAGCAATTGGGCAACAAATTTGATTGGATCACTCACCCAAAACCGCCTTCACGGAGGTCAATCCGCCGAGCACGAAGAAGTTGTTGATGTCGAGATTCCTCAGCTTTTCTATCTGCTCGGCGCGCTGCTCAGTATTGATCGCCGTGATGACATGGCGTGTGGGAATGTTCTGAAGCAGAGCCTTGTACTTGTGATCCATCACTGTCCCAAAAACACCCGAGCGAGCGGCCAAAAATACCACGAACAAGATTTTATTTGGGGCGCAGTGCATATTTCATGAGACCTCCTTTTGCGGGCCCTTTCAAAATAATAAAGAAACACTCACCAAAATACGAGTCGTAGAGAATTGCAGCGCTGGTGATGTTCTGATTGATGATGATGCCACGAATCACTTCGGGGATGAGATCGGCGGGCGGCATGATTTGCAGCAAGTAGTTCTTCTTCTTGTCATTTATCTCGCGCCACTGCCTCAGATCGCCCTCCTGGCCGAAGGAGCCGCTCACGGTGGGAATTCCAAGAGCAGAACTCACGGACTTCACTGTCTCCGATGCCACACCCGTGATTGTGGTGTCCAGGATGACGTGCGGTGGCGAATTCATCACCAGCGCCCGATTGTACGTGGAGCAAAGGGACTCTAGGAGTCCCTTGGAGTCCGAGCGATTCCCCTCAACGGACACCACCTCGACGGACAGGCCGAGATTGGGATTCTTCTTCACATAATTCACAGCCACGTCCACCGCCTTGGCCGCTATGTCGTTCCCCACTTCATTGATATACACTACAAGTTCAAAATCAATGGCCAATTACAGGACATTACATTAGTAAGTTGAAAATCAATATAATCCTGATGAAAATTTAGCTGTTTCGGAAATCAAAGAAACTTACAAACGTTAATATTCTGCGTAGTTTGCAACTCAACTTCGCCCAAAAATCCGAACAAGAAAAGAAAAATCAAACTCTTGCACCGAATTTTCACCTTGGCCACACACATTTTTCACTTCTTCTCACTCAACTTCCGTCCACTGAATGCCATACAAGAGTGCCTGACAAGGAGTGATTGAAGTCCATCAGGAAATAGAGCCACTAAACAAAACTTATGATTATCTGCAGTCAGAGACGAATTCTCACCGGCAAAGTCACGAAATGCCCGCGCTTTGGATGCACTGGCATTTCCTGAATGCTCACCTGGTGGGGAAATGTTTGGTGGCCACTCGTCGTCCTGGCGATGACCAATTGACTGTCGATGCAATATTGAAGGACTGGGAGAAAGCTCAATAAACACAATTATCAATAAACTCCCTTGGACTCGCCTCCAATATTTCACTGCTGTGTTATTCATAGACTTATTGAATTTCCCTTCGTCCTCACGATAAATATGTGCTCAACAGGTCTTTTTTTGTTCACATTTCAGTTATTTCCTCCCTTTTGAAGACTGAAAAATAGGAGATTTCTTTTTTGGGGCATTTCCCTTGAAGGAAGAAAATTCCTTCTCACTTTACCAATCAAAATATATATAGTATGAAATTAAGATTGAACTTTATGTCCCAGCAAATTGAAGTTCATAACTTTGATTGTCTGCAATTGATATGTGTTGTTAAAAAAAACAGTCAATGAAAAATGACCTTGTACTTCTGTGCCCTGTAATTTCCAAATTTCCATAAACATTCATTAAATAGTGAATTTTCAGTGGCAAATTACATCTTTCCATAGAGCACAACAATTGTTAATTGATGTCGTGAAAAGTGCACATCATGATCTGTCGGACCACTTTTCGCCTATAAAAACCTCATCTTTTGGCGGGTGAGCCCAGTTTTTGGCAAACTTTCCACCATGAGGAATTTAATCTACTGCTTTGTGCTTCTGATCGCCGCGAATGCAATCACGGCGAATCCCTGCGCCAAGCCGCCAGAGGTTGATCCTCGCTCCTGTTGCTCCTTTCCCATGCCGCTGCCAGAGGCTCTCGTGGCGGATTGCGTGGGCAAGTTCGGGGAGCAATCCAAAAGAGTGATGCAGTCCATCATGACCGGAGGTCCTCCGCGAGGAGCGGTGAGTTAGGGTGCCCAAGAATCCTAGAAGTTTCTGTATTGATCTCCTTCCGCAGTGTGTGGCCGAGTGCCTGTCCAACACCACCGGCGTGATCAGTGGCGTTGAGGTGAATGTGGAATTGCTGGTGGCCGGATTTAAGATGGCAGCTGACGGAATGCCCGAGTGGGATCCAGTGATTGAAGCTGGAATTCCCGAGTGCGCAGCAATGGTGAAATCACTGGAAGGGGAGTTTGAGAAGGCGGCCAAGCTGCCACCGCTCGATCCTGCCGATCCCATTTGCCACGCTGGGCCAGGATTCATGTTCTTCTGCACGGTGAAGACACTCTTCCAGTCCTGTCCCGCCAAGTACTACAAAGCCTCTCCGCAATGTGATGCACTGAAGAAATACGCTGACACGTGTCCTTTGGGCTTCTAAAGCTTCTGCTCATTAAGTTTTTAAAAGTGTAACGCATGAAATATAGTGGTGAATCATGGGAAACTTGCAGAAAATGGACAGTGATTGACCCCTTGGGCATTTTCTCAGTCAGGACACACAGAGAGTAGTGGAAATTTTACCGATTCTCGTTTGTGTCTCGGTTATCAAAACGCCGACAGTTAAATTAGAATTTGTACACTGGAAAAAATTGCGTACATTTTTTTCACTTCTTATCACGCAAAAACTCCCCAACATCATCATCAATAATCTCTATATGAGGCCATACTTGCTTGATATGATAAGACACCAAATATCTCTCATTCGGAGCTTACGCGGGACAAACAATATCCATTAGTTCGTATCATGAAGTTGTTGAAGAAGGTATGAAGAGTCGAAATTGAGACGAAATATTCTGCTAATTCAAAGTAATATATTTAATTGTAATATCCCTTGTTGAGAGACACTTTGACTACTTCCCACAATTGTTTAATCTGGTTGTTTTTCAATTCGAAACTGAACATGAAATGATCAGCATCTGTGATATTCCGCTTATTGGTGAAAATCTCATCAGCAATGCGAGATCCCATATGGAGGTTTCCAGTCGCGGTAATTCTGGTCTTGATCTTCTCACGCAGAGTTCCCAGAACATAAACATCATCCACCCAAAAGAAGGGTGTGGTTTCTGCCGCCTTGTGGAGCTTCTGAGCCACGTCAGTCGTCAGAAGAACTCCACATCCTGGACAGTAGACAGGATAAGTCGCATTCGGATACTCTTCAGGAGAAACGTACCATTTCGATCTCTCATCCCTGATCACTCCAGGTTTCCAACTGATGACACAGAACATGAAATCTCTTGTATTACTAACCCTGTTTACAAACTTCAGGATAAAAGGAGTGTTGACAAAGATATCGTCGTCTGATTTGAAGATGAATTGAGTTTCTGGGCAGAATTCTGTGGCCCATTTCATTGCCATGATGTGTTTGTAGGAAAGATTTCTGTAAGTGTCCACAAAATTGCCCTGAACAATGTCTTGGAAGAAGTCGCTTTCCGTCTGGATTTCTCTCTGCAAGTCCTGCGATTCGACGGTTCCCAAGAGAAACAGAACGCGATGATCGATTTTCCATCCTCCCCAGGTTTGTCGAATGTTGTCTCTGTTTTCCCGCTTTCGCGGCGCGCTGTGAATCAAGATGATGAACTTTGGCTTAACTCCCAATTGTCTGCACGATTTCTGATTGATGAGGTAATCAAAATCACTGAGATCGATCAGGAAGCGTCGGTCAGGAGCTGGAGGAGGGACATAATCAACCTCCCAAATCTTCTCGACGATATCCTTGGTATAGTTTTGAGATTTTCCTATCTTCCACATCACAATTGTGTACACAATGAGGACTAAACAGAGGAATATCCAACATTTCCGTCGTGATTTCCTGATAAATCTTCACAAATACAGATAAAAAAAAGGCGATCACTGAATGCTCTGCGATATTAAGCTAATTTTGCAACTTACAATTCAGTCATGTTCTCACGAAGCATTTCAACTGTACTTCAAATGAAAGTCTCATTCAATACTAAAATCACCTGTGATGCTCGACGAATATTTCACGTTTGTAAAACTGTTATCAATTGACAGAAATAGGAGTACTATCTAATTGAGAATTCTCGCGATTGTCGGTTATTTAGATGCCAATCTTGCACGAAAGTAATTGACTTTTCAATCGGGTTTCCCGAAAATTCAGATATTCAATTGTTATCTACTTACTGCTCTTCATGCCAATAAACCTTATTCCGAGTGTGGCAATAACTCAGAGCGCGAATGCGAATAAAAAGACAAGAGAAATATTATTATTAATTTATTGGGCGAATCAAATTCGTTGTCTTAACACTATTGACAGCATAGTATCCGTTTTCCTGGTATTTCTTCACAACTTGCCAGAGTTCTTTTATCTGATCGTTCTTCAATTCAAAACTGAACATAGTGTTGAGAGAATCTGTGATGTTTCTTGTTTTATCATAGAATATGTTATCAGTTATCCTAGACTTGAGTAAAAGATTGTTCACTGCTGTTATTTTAACATTGATTTTCTCGCGCAGAATCCCCAACACATAGGCATCATCCACCCAAAAGAAGGGCGTTCTTTCAGCCGCTTTGTGGAGCTTCTGAGCCACGTCGCTTGTTAAGAGAACTCCACATCCTGGACAGTAGACAGGATAAGTCGCATTCGGATATTCTTCAGGAGAAACGTACCATTTACAGTCTTTATCTCGAACGACTTTTGGCTTCCAACTAAGAGCACAAATGATGAAATTATCCAAATGACCAACTCTTTGAATGAACTGAGAAATAAGAGCTGTATTAACAAAAATATCGTCGTCTGATTTGAAGATGAATTTGGTTTCTGGGCAGAATTCTGTGGCCCATTTCATTGCCATGATGTGTTTGTAGGAAAGATTTCTGTAACTGTCCACAAAATTGCCCTGAACAATGTCTTGGAAGAAGTCGCTTTCCGTCTGGATTTCTCTCTGCAAATCCTGCGATTCGACGGTTCCCAAGAGAAACAAGACGCGATGGTCGATTCTCCATCCGCCCCAGCTTTGCCGGATGTTGTCTCTGTTTTCCCGATTTCGTGGCGCGCTGTGAATCAGGACGATAAACTTTGGTTGTGTCCTTAATTGTCTGCAGGACTTTTGGTTATTGACGTAGTCAAAGTCTCTGAGATCGATCAGGAAGCGTCGATCAGGAGCTGCAAATTCACTCTCGGTGATATTCTGGATGATTTGCACGTAATTTTGAGATTTTCCCGCATTCCAGATCACAAATGAATACGCGAAAAACACAAGAAAGAACAATATCCAATATTTGCGTCGGGATTTTCCGTGAAAATTGCGGTATTCAGTCATGGCGCTCAACACAATCCAACTGATATTCTTCAACTGAACTCTTAGCAAAAGAATGTAATTCCTCCGTCCTTATCAATGGTATGTTAAATTTAACTGATTGCTTAAATACTCGATAACGGAATAATTCACGAAATTCATTCATTATTGTTTTCTTCCTCTTTGTCAACGTAAAGCCAGGAATGATTTATTGGTTTGCGGAAATTCATATAGAAATTTCACATTTTGGACGAAAAATTTTATTCAAACATGTTATTTTATGAAACATGCTTATGATTTGATCTTCTAGCTTCGTTTCGTCTTAGTATAAATAGAATATAAATGTTTAAAATGAAAAATTTGTTAATTACACAAAATCGCGAAAGAGAAGAGAGTTTCTTCAGTGAGAAACAAAATGCTAATATGCAATTTTTGATGAATCGACGAAGAATTGATAAAATCTCCATGAGCTTTCAAGTTGACATATGTGCCTAAAAAAAACATACTCTTCTAGTGGCGGCAATTTATTGTTGTATTTTCGTCCAGTAGTTGTGATTAATTTGAAAGACAGAATGACCACTTTTCAATTCAATCTCTTTTATTTCGTACGACGTTTCGGGAGGTATTTTCTCCCTTCTCAATTACAATTTTGGTATTTCTCTTTATCTGCTGTTTGTAAAACTCCTTTTTGCGCTACTATTTATAAATAAGAGTGGAAAATGCGATTATATAAAGAGAAATTAAGGAAATATTATCAATATTTTATTGGCATCATAAGTAATTGTTGTATTAACAGTGTAGTATCCGTTATCCTGGTATTCCTTCACAACATGCCAGACGTCTTTTATATGATCGCTAGACATTTGAACACTAAACATATTTTTGAGGCAATCTGTGGCGTTTCTTGTTTTCTCAACGAAAATTTCTTCAATTGCTTTTGACCTAAGCAAAAGATCATTCACTGCTGTTATTCTCACATTGATTTTCTCGCGCAAAATCCCCAACACATAGGCATCTTCCACCCAAAAGAAGGGCGTGGTTTCTGCCGCCTTGTGGAGTTTCTGAGCCACGTCAGTCGTCAGAAGAAGTGCAAATCCTGGACAGTAGACAGGGTAAGTCGCATTCGGATACTCTTCAGGGGAAATATACCACTTCTCTTTCTCATCCCTCATAACTGGAGGCCCCCTATTCAAAACACAGAAAATGAAATCTCTCGTACTGTTCATATTAGTAAGCCTGTTTACGAAATGCAGGATGAAAGGAGTGTTAACGAAGATATCATCGTCGGATTTGAAGATGAATTGAGTTTCTGGGCAGAATTCTGTGGCCCATTTCATTGCCATGACGTGTTTGTAGGAAAGATTTCTGTAAGTGTCCACGAAATTGCCTTGAACAATGTCTTGAAAGAAGTCGCTTTCCGACTGGATTTTCCTCTGCAAATCCTGCGATTCAACCGTACCTAAGAGAAACAGGACGCGATGGTCAACTTTCCATCCTCCCCAGGTTTGTCGGATGTTGTCTCTGTTTTCCGTATTCATTGGAGCACTCGGGATCAGGGCAATAAACTTTGGATTCACTCCCAATTATCTGCAGGACTTTTGGTTGATGATGTAATCAAAGTCTCTGAGATCAATCAGGAAGCGTCGATCAGGAGCAACAAATTCACTCTCGGTGATATTCTGGATGTTTTGCACATAATTTTGAAGTTTCCTCACATTCCAGATCACAAATGAAGACGAGAGAAACACAAGGAAGAAAAATATAGAATATTTCCATTGTGATTTGAAACAAAAATGCCTTTGAACAATTGAGCTAATGAACATTGCGCCGATCACGATCACACTAAACTATTCTCCACCGGAACTCCCACTTTTTTTTAAGAAGTTAATTCTAATCGGAATTATGCTAAATTTAGCAGTAGATTTCTCTATCACGTTTAATTCATTTCGTGTGCCATTATTAAACTCCACGTGCCAGATAAAGTCCAGAACTGTTTTTTCCTTCAGCAAACACCTGTTCTGCTTTTGCTAAGTCTACAGTGGATCATGCGAAATTGTGAAAGGATGTGAAAAGCAAACGCCAAGATTAAATTATGGATGAACTGAGCGACGACTCGAATTGGGCCAATTTTCACATGAAAACATCAAATCGCCACAACTCGGGTTTAATGGCTTTTATCAAGGGGTTGCTGATATCGGATATGCAGAATATTGTTGTGATGGAAGAACGCCTTGCCATTCGTTTAGTAACACCGCCAGGAAGAGGAGCTCTCCGACTGATTTTCCCAAAGAACACACTTGAGAACAACATCTCTGCACGCTGCCATTGAGTACCAAGGGTCAGTGAGTGTGTGAAGAGTTCTTCTACAATACCGGGGTTTATCAGCGGAGGATTCCCGTGTCGTGGAGGGTTGAATCAGGGCGCTCCCTGCGTCTGAACGTCCGTTGAGGCGTCTCAGCTTTCTCCCCTTCAGGGAGAAGTTGCTATTGCATCCCCTTCAAGGGTGAGAAGATCAGAAAAATAAAGAGAAACCAAGAAAATATTATTAATTTACTTTATTGGCAGAATCAGTTTTGTTGCATTAACAGTATAGTATCCGTTTTCCTGGTATTTCTTCACAACTTGCCAGAGTTCTTTTATCTGATCGTTCTGTAATTCTAAACTGTACATATAATTGAGACAATCTGTGATGTTCCTTGTTTTCTCATAGAATATTTCATCAGTTATTCTAGACTTGAGCAGAAGTTTATCCACTGCTGTTATTCTCGCATTGATCTTCTCTCTAAGTATGCCCAGAACATAAACATCATCCACCCAAAAGAAGGGTGTGGTTTCTGCCGCCTTGTGGAGCTTCTGAGCCACGTCGCTTGTTAAGAGAACTCCACATCCTGGACAGTAGACAGGATAAGTCGCATTCGGATATTCTTCAGGAGAAACGTACCATTTGGATTTCGTTTCTCGTAGGACTTTTTGCGGCCAATAGAGATCACAGGTAATAAAATTACTAGGATTTTTCATTCTTTGAATGTATTGGGAAATAAGAGCTGTATTAACGAAAACATCATCATCTGATTTGAAGATGAATTTGGTTTCAGGGCAGAATTCTGTGGCCCATTTCATTGCCATGACGTGTTTGTAGGAAAGATTTCTGTAAGTGTCCACAAAATTGCCCTGAACAATGTCTTGGAAGAAGTCGCTTTCCGTCTGGATTTCCCTTTGCAAATCCTGCGATTCAACTGTTCCCAAGAGAAACAGGACGCGATGGTCAACTTTCCATCCTCCCCAGCTTTGTCGGATGTTGTCTCTGTTTTCCCGTTTTCGCGGCGCGCTGTGAATCAGGACGATAAACTTTGGTTGTGTCCTTAATTGTCTGCAGGACTTTTGGTTGATGACATAGTCAAAGTCTCTGAGATCGATCAGGAAACGTCGATCAGGAGCAACAAATTCACTCTCGGTGATATTCTGGATGATTTGCACATAATTTTGAGATTTTCCTATCTTCCACATCACAAATGAACACGCGAGAAACACAAGGAAGAAGAATATCCAATATTTCCGCCGGGATTTGGCTTGAAAGGTTCTGTGACCGATCATTCTGCTCAACACGTTTCAACTGAGTTGTTCACCGACAGAATTGTGACTTAAAGAAATTATCAGGAAATTTTATCAGGAGTGATGTTAAATTTAACTGATTGCCTAAATACTTGATTGATAACGAACTGATTCTCAAAATTCACTCATTATTGTTCCCTTCCTCTTTGTCAACGTAAAATTACAAATGATCTATCGGTTCGCGGAATTTTCATATAAAAATCTCACGCAATGCAATCAATTATATTGACTCGAATTATCATGCAATGGGAAGTGGAAAAGGGATTTCCTTTGGAGACATTTGGGAAGTGAAACATCAAGTACGACTGGTAAATTCTTTCAATTTAATGCAATAGTTCTTTTCTCTCATTAAAAATTGTAAATAGTTCTTTAATTCATGATACAACAATTTAAATAATTTCCGCTTTTTCTCCTAATTGGTTCATCCCTCTTAATCTTCTTTAGTCAGTTCTTTATCATATCCTTTAGACTTTTCCACCATTCTTCCATTCTTTTTTTCATCTCGCTTCCAATACCAAAATTGTTGTCAAATTGTCTACCCTAAACATTCTTTGTATTCTTTGACATTTTTCTTCACTTTCAAAATATACAATTCTTCATAATTCAAAACAATTAAATTAATTGTAATAATGACACATTTGCCTATCTCAATGCAATGAAATTAAAATTAGTTGCAAAGTAAGATCACAAAAAGCTAATTTTCAATCGCAATTGCATTTTTCTCATATTTGTCCCTATCTTTGACCATCTTTCGCATCATGTTAACTAAATATAAGATGAACCGCGCCAACTTCACTTGATATATTAGTCGCTAACATTGCCTAACTCAAGATACAATTTGTATTTCTGTACTATATCTGGAAATTTCCTATTTAAATTTAAGTACTAAGATTTTACAGAGTCAGTAAATATAGGTTTTCTATTATTGGTGATTAAATGGACCCTTTTTCCAGGTCAGTATTGTTGTTTTCTTGGTAATATCGTTACATAAAAGAATTATTAGGGTTTTCTTTCTTTCATAAATATTTTTTTGAAGATTAAATGCAAATTATTAAATATTTTCTTCTATAGTTTATATCTTGAACTGATATATATATTCATCTTCCTCAGATACTTTTGCTAATACTCTATTATTTCTCCTCTGCTTTTGGATCATAGATTTATTTACAAATTTGGGTCTAAATGATTTTTCTTCCTCCATTTTGCACTTCTCTTCCTTATTTCTACATCTCTGATAATTCCATTCTCCCTTTTCTTTCTTTTATAGATATCCATCGCCTTCCATTCTGCATCCTCTCAATATTGTTATTATCTATCTTTGATTACATTACTTTGCATCTGTTAGCTATTTAATTCATTAGTATTTGCTTTATCTTCTAAGACATTTACGCAATTTAAGGATACTTTCATTATAACTTTGCTGTTTATTGGAAATCTCACATGAATTTCCCCTTCATCTTAAGAAAGTGTTTATTATATGGCATGAGGACAATGAATTACATTTTACAGAGAGAGAATGAAAAGAACTTTATAGCTGAATTACCCGTTGTGATCTGACTATCAAGAATAAACTAAAACGCTTTGCCATTTCTCTCCCACATTTCCACAGTTCACAAAATTCATCAACACACTACATTTTATTTACAAATTAATTACACTTACTCTTAAGATGATTTCCTATCTTACTTTTGCCCACACCTTCGAATTTTACTTGCAAAATGCATTACCAATTTAAGGGGTTTCATCGCACTTATACACAATTATTATTATTACAATTTTACTCATTCTTTTTTTATCTTTAAAACATCACATCTTGCATTAATGCAGTTCTTTAATTAAACATGTTCTATAGATAAATCTCTCATCATGATATCTGTTTCTTTCTTTCTTTCTCTTTTTGGGCAATACACTTCGTAATGCTTATGTTCACTGTCCATTTATTACTCTTTATGCCTTTGCGTCATTTCACTTAATGGCCTTTTTCCATTGCAAAGTGAACATTTTCTAAGTTAATAAGCGTTTTACAGTTGCTTCATTCGCTCACTTATTTGTGTGCTCTTAGGTTTTCCTCAATAACACGCGCTCGCATAATCATCTCTTCCCTGGTATTGTTTTGTGTGTGATTTGTTACAGTGACTCATGGAACAAGTAAAGCCTCTTATTAATCATTAGGCGTGATTTACACTTGCTCTTCCATCTTAACATTAACTTAGGGTTAATATGGAAAATGAGCTAATAAAATTAAAATGTAATTTAAGGTATATAGTTGATATAAATTACAGATACACAGAATTGCTGATGAACACTTGACTATAAATTACTCATCACTCTACCGTTCTTCGAAGTAAACAACAAAAATAAACTTAGTGTGCATTATTCAATAAATTTGCCGAATCTCAATGGATTTTTTTCTTCTCCCCCCTCAAAAATACTCCCCCAGGAAATTTCTTTTTGCAGAGCACATCGAATTAAACATTGGCACAATTCTCCTGGAACAGTATTCTTGACATACGAGATTCTCATACAAGTTTTCAAACATAATATTGCATTGTCTCATTACAAAATAGATGAGTTTGTGCTACAATGTGTCTCACAGGACATTAAAATAAGGATCCTGCAGCTTCAGTGTGCAATTGTTTGTCGAATGGAGGTATATTTCTGCCTTCTAATGTCTCTAATAGTGACTGTTTCTCTCTCTCTTTCTTCGCATTCAGCACATTTGAAACTCCCTCAACAGGTAATGTGTTGTGGCTGAGTTTTGCCAGTAAGTTTTGCCTCCTTGATATGTCAAGATGTTTGAGTCTCTCTCACACGCTTCCACAATCCAATTATAATAACCTCTACGTGGATGTAACAATTTTCCACAGCGTGACAATTTCACGCTCCTTGAGATCGGGAATTGTGAAAAAGAACAGGGAACTTGTGGCATTCAGTCTTCCATTGACAATACTGTTCATTTGTCCACGCGTGAGGAACAACGGATTGAGGGGTGTAATTGTCATATTTGTCCTCTGCACCAGCGTTCCCGTCACGTGAACATCATCAATCCAGAAGTACGGACTCCGCTGCGCCTCTCTGTACAGCATCACCACGGCATCTGGCGAATAGATGATGCTGAAGCCCGGACAGTAGGCAGGATAGTACTTGCCCGGATATTCTTTCGTGCTCACGCGCCATTTCGACCTGAAGCTGCGTTTTACGCGCGCCCCAGACACTTCATAGCACGCCACAAGTCGCCTCCTGTCCACGCCATTCTCCAGAAAATCAAACATCGTGGGTGAATTCACGAACACATCATCGTCCGTCTTGAGCAGAAAGTGCGCCTCGGGACAGGAGTAGGTGAACCATTTGAGCGCCATCGCGTGCTTGTACGTCATGTTCCGATAGGCATCGATAAAGTTGCCCTGAATCAGGTCCCCATACTCCTGATTCTCCTCCACCAAATCCAGCTGATCGTCCGCCGAGGCAACAGTGCCCAGAAGGAACAGGAGACGCGCCCGCGCATCATCCCGTCCCCACGTTCGCCTGATCAGATTCCTCTTTCGCCAATTGCCCGGCGCACTGTGCACGAGGATCAGCACCAGTGGCTGCAGATGCAGCTCACTGCAGCTCTTCTGTCCAATCACATACTCAAAGTCCACCAAGTCAATCAATTTGCTCCTGTCCTCCGGCGATAGGTGCTCCAGCGTGGCCTGTGGACCGCCCGGCCAGCCGCTGGAGTTGGACGCGTGCTGCAGAGGAAGGCCATAGCGATAGGTGAGTTCAGTCGTTGGCACCAATTGAGGCTGTGACGCTCGCCAGATGGTTATGCACAGGAGCAGCCCGATGAAGAGCACCAGAATTGAACGACGCTCGTAGAAAACCATCAGTCAGCTAAGTTTCTCCACTTTCCATTCTGCAAATTCAAGAAAGACAAGCCAGATTAGGACGTTATGTCGACAATTTTTCTACGCCAGCAAGGTTATTTGCACACACGTGCGTAGAAAAAAGCCTTTTTCCCTCTTATCAATTTTGCTATGGACTAATTGAAGCAAATTAACTACAAAACACCAAATGAGCAAAGCATATCGCTCATATTATAATAATTAATTTGACGCTGATAAAAATGGTGTCAATTTGGCGTCACGTTATACATTGATAAGCACTGAGTAATGCCAAAGATCAATACGTAATCCATTTAATATTACAATCTCGTTAAAGTCATGACATTTTAATATCAATCAAAAATTTCTCCTCACAATTTTCAAACACACATTTCAAGTGGATATTCAAAATACGTGTAATAAAATATTAACGAGTTCACCTTGATTACAAAAAAAGAGTTTAGCCTCAATATTGGATGACCATAAGAAGATTTAGAGGAGAGCGGGGCACAGTATTAGTTTTTCCTTCAAATAGAGCTTCAATTCCCAATGCAATTAAATCTTCTTCAGAGTTGAAATGAATCAAAGTACGGAAAAGTTGAGGAAGAAAGCTGTTTGAGTGCGATAATTCTCTTCATCTCTATTATTGACAAGAGACACACATATAACATCCGCCCTTATATTTTTCTACAGTCAATATTACACATAGACTTTCTCATGAAGGCCAGTGTAATTCTGTGAAATAGCGTTCGGTCACACCCAATTGGATTGTGCAATTGATATGAAATGAAGTTGATATTCTTATCTCCAGTGCGTCACACAAAGCGAACTCATTTATTGCACTTATCAAGCAATCAGACAATGTCGCACAATACTTGTAACACCCTTTGTACACACCGAAAATGAAGGAAAAGACATGTTGTACGACACTCTTTAATCCACCAGCAAAAATTTAAATAGTTGGACAATTTTAACGATACGTGACGATATTACAATATTTTTTTGGCATGATTTGACCTCAGAGATAGTCATATTGCCCATGTTTTTCCTCCCATGTTAAATATTTTATCCAACAACTCTGTGATTATGTCGAGCAAGAGTGAAGGAGAGAAAAACTCAAAGAGAATTCATTTATTGGCACACAATTCTCGGGGAAAATATCACGATTTACACTCTTCTCTCTTCCATGAATTTTTCACAACATTGCAAATTGACATGATTATTATGAAGAGAACTTTTTCTAATATTTATAATCCTGTCTAATGGAATAGCCTTAAGATTCCTGAACACTTATTTATACCGAGAGACAGAATAGATTATTATAACACTTCTCACCAGTCTTCACACATTGTCGGTCACAGTCCGAATGATTGGCTCTTTCTTCGGGATTGTAGAGTCAAATATGTCAATATGGTGATCACTTTATCTAATCTTTTTCGGGCATTTGTGCTCATGGTGTCTACAGAGGCCAATTGAAAACCATACGGGACTGATAAGCTCCGATCAATAAGTTAATATTTGTATTTTAAAATTAATCTTATCCCAGAAATCTACAGCTAATAAATTTATATTTTACAGACACTCTAAAGTGGATTTTAATTCTTGGAACTGTGTGAATGACGTCTTTTTAATGAGAGTTCCTCAAAGATATGACTTTATCAACACCATACAACTCACAATGATAAGCTTTCTCCGTGTCTAAGCTTCACAGCAGACCTCAAAACACAGACAATTTTCAATCTAATCTCAGAAACATTGAATTTCTCTGCAATATGAAATGCCAGAAGGGAATAAATTTACTGAGAACTATGATAAAGCAACATTATATTGCTCTTTTGTACGAATAAAACTCATCTCATGTTCAATATCAACACATAAAGTATTTACAGTGCGAAATAGACACGAAATCACCTTCAAACGCACGCTTGCATTCATTTATTTGGGATTACCATGCTGAAATAGTATGTTTGCACATGAGGAAATGTGAATAGAATAAGGTTACAAGCAAATAAACCACCACTTCTGATTGATTTACTTTATATATTTTATAGTCTTTTAGCTCCTAATCATTGGGGAAATTCAACAAATAATCGTGTGCTAATAAACATTAACATCTATTTAAATTACACTCAACAAGTAACTTATCTGCAAAATCTAATATTTATTGGGGCTTTCAAATGTGCTTTCATAAAATATGCACGAACTTTGAGCGTGATAAACTTCAATGATATTGAGCTAATTGGGAAAACACAAGAGGATTATAAACAAATCAATCACATGTAAGTAATTTCAAGTCAAGGACAATTGTACTTTCAATCTCATCTGAATAGTGATAAAAATAAGTAGAGCAGCAATATCACTTTTGCATCCTCTCTTTGCCTTACCATGAAGGATTTTATGTTGGCAGAGGAAAGTTGTGTCTCTCTCTCGAGAGAAGGAGATTTAATGAGCAGTTCCATACGATAGAGTTAATGGACAAAGACAGTAAAGAAGTGGTGAAAAGTGATATTTCTCATTACCGAAATAATTATTCCTAAATTTATCACATAAATTGCCAAAGAAGTGTACCATTTTTTGGCTATTTCGTTATGAATTCTGGGCATAAATCCAGTAATATTTGACATATGTAAATATTCATAGTGGCGATTTTAACACATTCATCGTCATATGACTTAAATCAGCTCCCGAAAGCGTATTTTATATTTACATAAAAAGTTACTTTTGCACATATTTGTGGAAAAGAAAGTAATTGAATGGAAAACATGTGAACAGAGTCGATTTTATTTTCATAAATAATTCCATATATTTTATATGTGAGAATTTATGAGAAAGTATTTCCAGTCAAAATACATACAATTCCATGTCAACAATGCAATCATTGCAAATTCACCCTCTTTTTTCTCCAGAAGACATCTTCAGATCTAAATTTTATCGTTTCTTACATAAAAAAAATCAATACAATTACAAGAAAATGCTTTCAAAATATAGAATTGACTGTGGAAAATTCGAAAATCCATAAAATTTACAGAATAACATGCTTTTTGAGACATTAATTCTTCTAGATTTAAATAAGAAATAAAAGTTTTCAGTGTTCTTGGAGAGTCTCATGAACATAAAATACGAAAATATCCCATTTTCAGTGGCATTTCTTAGCCCAGAGAAAGAAATCTCAATGTTGAACATTTATGTTGCCTGACAAAAATAAAATATAATGGAGAAAATATTGCACTGAGAGACTTTGCTTTGAATGTGACACCGACAAGTCTACAATTTGACTAACCGTGACATGTTTTCGTCTGTCCTTTTGTTGTTTTCCTTCGCATCAGCATTTTTCTTTTCTCAACACCGGGAGAGAATTGTTATATTTGGATTGGAAAAATTCCGCATTCATCTCGTGATCGCCCAGATTTCTCGTCAACATCAATCAAAGGCGAACTGGCGAGCACACTTCATTCGTCACATTGCAATCACGAGACTCTCTTCGCACACATTTTGCCATAAGACACACAAACTATAATTAAGTAGGAGGAAAAGTTTTAATTGATAGAGAAAATAACACGGCGTGTATTTGTGCACACGGAAAGTAGATCACAAAATGTCTTGTGACTTGCTGGCAAAAATTTTATGACACTTTCAAGCATCATCACCTGTTTTTTCCCATCAATTACTTCAGACTCAATTCGCTGAATTGAACCCAATTTCACTAATTCGTAAACATACAATTATTATTTCATGTTCTTGCCTGGCAAAAGTATTAAGCATGAAAGGAGTTTTTCTCTCTCTCTCTCTCTCTAAATTTTATGGATTTACCCCGTGGAAAAGTGGTGCAAAGTGAGGTATTTTAAAAATAATATTGATACAAAGAATTCCACCCACATCAATTCACACCATCTGAAATCTACGCAAAACGCACACAAATTGCCTTTTTCTCAAAATAAATATAAACATTTCAAGTTGGAATTGTTTAGTCGGAAAAGCCGTAGATGAGGCAAATGATCTTGAGAAACCTACAAAAGTCGACTTCTCGCGCCGCCTTTCAATGAAGCAAGGTGAAACACGTGGAAATTGAATTCGTCGCCTTTTGATATACACTGTCGTCGACTATTTATATCACACACACGGAAAAAAACACTTTCAACAACTCACTTTGGCTTCTCAATTCAACACTTTTGTGCACAGAGAGCAGTTTTATTTAAAGTGAAATGCTTCGCCAGACAGCAACTCGAGGAGAATAATTAGCAGAACTCACAGGAGTTGAAAGGGAACTTTGAGTTGATGAAAGAAAACATAATTAATCTAATTGTTGAAAATGATTACGCAGAGAGACAAACAAACAATTTATCGAAGTGCCCTTATTAAGTGCAACCTTTTCTACTCCAATTAATCAGGAACATTATCACCATAAATGTATCATCAATTTACATAATGTTGATGATGTTTAGATACTTAATTTAAATTTTAGTGAATAAACAGCCTTTTCACCTTATTTCCCCCCAAAAAAAAGGAAGAAAACCATAGATTTGCATGGAATTTCAATTAAAATTTGTTATTGAATATCCGCTTCGCCACTCTTCCAACACACGTTATAGTGGGAAAATTCTAAATTTAATACCTCGCATGAGTGTTTTTCATTAGTAAACATTTATTGTACATGATCATTTCGTTCAATACACACCAATATACACCATACAAACCATATTTAGTCCAAACAGAGCGTGTGAAGACAATTTGTAAAACTTTATTATTACATATATATGAATTTTCCCAAACATCAATGCATTGGTCTGTGGAATTTTCTCTGAAAAACTCCCCCAAAAGCATCGCGACCACAAAACTCCATAAGAATCTCATGAAAAATTCATTTTTTATCAGTAAAATATTCACGTATGATTTTTCCCATGATGTGTGTGAGGCCTTTTCGGGTGAATGAGGAAAAGAAGAAAAAGAAGAGGAGAATTTGTGTGAATCAACCACTATTTGGATTGGATAAAAATATCATAATAAGTAGAGACAGAATTTTTTCCGTGGTAAGAAAATAGATAAGGAGTGAAAATATCAATTGACCTTCCAAACACTGAATAACTTCAATAAATGATGGGGGCGCCTCTCGTCATCTCCTCACGCCCAATCGATTCCATCGTCGATCATTGGCACGCATTGCGCGAGGGTGGAAAGGAAAAGGGCTCAAGTGTGTTTAATTCATGAATGAATCATGTGTACGATAGTGAAGAGGCGCAGAGCATTTATTGTCCAAGGTTGTGATGATGTTGGTCTCCTCCGTATTATTATTGATTTTCCTCCACTGATGGTCAATAGACGTTGAATAATGAAGTGTTGCAGGTAATGAATGTGAGAAGAATCAATAGGCAGCCACACTCTTGCAGCTATATAATTTACTTCTGGGTGGGAAGTGGGACTAAAAAGAGGTGGTAAGACTCATCCAATAACCAATTCACAATGCCGATCAAATTGTTTGCTCTCCATCAACAACGCCGCGCAACTAACAGCCTCCATAATGGCAGGGCAATAGGGTTTAGTAGTAATATAAAGGCATAATTACGTGAAATCAATTATCTTATGAAGGGATATGTCATTACATACGACTCTGCCCAATATCCATCATTCATTTAGAGCCTAATGGGCCAAGGTTGAGCAAACCCAAAGAAGTACAATAACAAAAAATTAACTATCCTACGTCGTAATGGTGAAAACACAGCATTTGTAATTTGTAATTTGTCCGCGATCATCTCTTTCTTCCCCTCGCGTTTCGTGTATGTTCTTTCCTACTCTGTCAGCGTCCGACTCTGACATGTCGAGACAGCCACTGTGCGAGTAGGAAGGAAAATACACGAAACGCGTGGGGAAGAAAGAGATGATCGTGGACAAATTACAAATTACAAATGCTGTGTTTTCACCATAAGCAACAAAAAGTAACGTTTTGTCACTGAGTTTGTGGAACATAAAATTCCCCAAAATTGCTTTCCCCATAATTATCAGCATTAAGGTACGGAAATGAAGTGTATTAATCGAAAAGGATATTTTGGTCATTGTTGCAAATATGTAACCAGAAATTCTTAACACATTCGCACACTGAAGAAGCAACACCATAAAATCACTAATGTGATTTATAATTGGGTTTCTCCCAAGCAACAATAATAAATAATAACATATAACTAATATGATTCTGTTGGAATGTACTTTGCTCAACACACGCGCGTCCGGAAAATTTCACTAAAAATACGTGACATGGTCATGAAATACAAAGCTTATGTAGTGCTGTAAACAAATTTGGATAGTTAATCTAGCACAAATACAATTATCACACAATTTGAAACGGTTTGAGTGGCTAATAAAAGACTTTTAGTGGTCAATACGTGTTATTGCATTCGTTGTGAAACTTCACCACTAGAAAAAAAAACACAGTCAGACAATTAATTCGCGCAAGCTGCGTGCAGATGAAAGTGATGATCTTGCACAATTTTCTCAAGGGAAAAGTGGTAAAAAAAATCGGCTCTAAAATGCCAATTGAACAGACGGAAATCCACCCGCAGCAACAGAATTGCCATCCAACCCACACCTTTGCAGCACACGCAACAATTAAGCTGCCGGCGAATCGAGGGAATTATAGGGCGATAAGAGCTTCTCGATGACGACCACGCAAGACGGTCATCGCGTTGCCTGAGAACCCCCAACAACAAGAGGGTGGAAAAGAGTCATGTGGCGTGTGCTGAATTTAAGGAGCACGATATGTGGAAAGTTCCACCTTCCGGGAGAAGGGTGGAAAGTAATAATAAAAAAAGAAGAGAACTTTCCACCACACAACATGTGAATTTTTGATGGACGCAACAGTAAAAGTAGCAAATAAGCTCTCTCTCTCTCTCGCTCTTGTACTACAGTTGGAGCCCCGCAAGGTATAAAATGCATCCCTTCATTTCCTACATATTACAGACTCTCTCAAACATACGATAGCACGTGAATATGGAAACAGGTGTTGAACAGAGTTACTGCAGAAATTGATAAAAGATTGTATTTTTTCCGTATGTGTCACGCATGTTCGATTTGTTCCATGAAATATCAAGAGGTTAAGATTAGCTAATTTACCAAAAGTTTATGTGATAGATAAGCAATCATGTTCTTCTATCAATCCAGTTGAGCTTCTTTATCATCACAACAGAAACACCTAAGTATTAAACACAACTAGAACTCATTATTCACCAGGGAAAACATCTGTTTTATGCATTAAATAAACAAGGCAAGAACAGTGTTTTGTGCAAGAAATGGCTGAGATTCAGGACATGATTTCACGACAGGACAAAGAGAGGTTAATACGCCTTAATGAACCGAGACAGAGTCAAATCGTAAGATGAGCAAAAGGATTTTATATCATTTTTTTTAAGGGAACAAAGCGTTGACCTCTGTTTTATTATGACAAGCTGTGCGTGCTTTATCACAAGACAACTCTGCAATTTCTTATTCACTTATCTGGAACTTCCTTCCGCTTTTAATGTGTCAGATAAAAAGAATGCATTGATAAAGATTGCATTCATTATAATATGAAATTTGACGCTAAATTGAGACCTTATTTCTTAAATGAAATAATTGTCATACCAAGAATTGTTCTCAGACAGAGACTTAATAACTTAAACACTCACTCTGTCGACAACCAAGATAACGTTCTCCGCATTGTCAAGTTGTTATCAATTTATCACAATTTCTATGTCCTCATTCCATACTTTTTTTCTCATTTTCACCCATTTAAGCTGCTTTCTTTAAAAAAGAAAAAAAAACCTTTCCGTCTTATCTAGACTAGATTTCCCCACTCTGACTCTAATCCCACATTTTCCCAGAAAATTCTATATTGTATGGCGAATGCGGGGGAAATAATAAATTCATGATCCATCGCCTTAACTATCTGTTGCAAGTGGGGTCGGTTAAGCGACTGGGTGAGACTCTAGAACTCGAGGAGGTTCACGGAGAGGAAATGACTAGAAAACATATCGATTGAAAATTTTATTCAACTATTTTTCCACACCTTCAATGCCTCACAAATAAACACTTGAGAGAAAATTTACATGTTATGCCATAAGAGATAAGAAATTTGACCTTTTTCTCTCCACTGGACGATTGTATCACTTAAATCTCCCACTTTCGCCCACTCTCGTGTCTGCTCATTTCCTCTGGTCAGACACTCATGCCAAAAGCTCTGTGCAGGGGGCCAACTTGGCACAGTTGGAGCGCCAAGGATATGGAGGCCCTTCAAGCAGGGCAGGATAAGGGGATATGTGTAAATTTTATGGCACCAGAAAATTTCCATTTTTGGCCTTCGAGCGCAAAGAAAAGCGGGAAATGAAAGCCAGGAAAAGAAACACTTTCATGTGGGGGAGGAAAAAGGTGACTGAACACGCAAATCAGGACAATCATCCAGGAATCTCTCACCAACTCTCTCTCTCTCTCTTTTAGCGCTCCTCATGTGGGATATATTGGGGAGCATGTTGAAAAAGGGAGAAAAATTACACGCCAGAGATTCTCTCCTTCACGTGGAACACACGGAAGCATCCGAAAGACCGCCAAGGGGAAACCAAATCGATGTATAGACTGGGAAGTTGCATGTTCCAATGCAAATTGCCTACAAGTCTATATAGAAAATTGGTTTCTATAAATAATTGTTTGTCTCCTGGTTAAATTTGGCGAGTAAAACAAGGTTTGTTGTGTCTGCACATGAAGGGGGGCAAAAAAGAGAGAAAATTCTGTCTTCCCTTCTAACTGGTGTGTTAGAGAGAAAGGCAAGAAAAAGAAAAGAACAATAGAGGAAGTAAGAGAGTTAACTTCCTTAGAAATGGATATTTTATTGATTTTTTCAGATGAAAGAAAGACATTAAACACACCTTCATTAACCTTTAGCGGTATGATTATGTCAAAACTCATACATTCATTTTTTATTAATCAATTTATTTGGAAAACTTTATGTGATTATGAGTGTCTTAAGTAGCGTAAGAGATCTTCTTTCCAATGAAAAACGACATGTGTGACCGAGATATTGATTTTTAGACCAAAAAGACGTCCAACTATTAAGTTCCCCGAGACTTCAGGCCGAGAAATGGTGCCAAAAACCGGAGAAATGCTGCATCACTGTTTGGGAATTAATACTTTTGGTCAATGACCGAATTTAGATGGGTTAAACCAGTTTTTCTGTCTGTTTTATCATAAATGTTAATATTCTCGTAACCGCAAACGTGCGTCAATGTCTGGGATTTAATCGCGAATTAACACAACAATTAGGTTAAACTATAGATAAGTTATCAGTTGCTCGTCTGAAGCGTGTGACTAATAATCAGGGGGTGTCATTAAACCCTTAGTGAATAACAAAACAGACGTTAGATAAATCCATATTTTCGAAATAATGCCTCCAGATATTCGAGATAAAATTTCACCCAATAAATTTCTGCAATTTCGGCATTCGTTGCGAGGCCTGCGAAGGGTTAAGTGTTGAGAAATGGCACATTTCTTACCTCAGCTATTAGTAGGAGTCGCAATGAATTCCAACACCTCTTGGCAGTGAATCATAGAGTTGCTCATCGACCTGATGTCGCTCTATTGGGTTTTTCTGGCCGAAAATCCACAACATCCCTCACGAGGCAGAGTCATCTCGCGTGCGAAGAGCCTGTGGAGCAGTCCGCGTGCTCCGCTCATTGAGGTACCGCTGGGAAATTTCCACAGTGGCACATGCCTCCACCTCACACCCCACGGGGGCGCGCTCACCTTCCCCGAAATCTGCACACCCTTCGCAGTGTCACGCCTAAACAAACTTGAGTTGCGTGGAAGGATGCTGGAGGGATGAATCTGTCGCCGGATCGCACACGCACGGATTTTTCACCAGCACCACACCACCTGGCCACTCTCTTGCTGCGGCTCCACCGCTGGAGCCTCCGGTTGACTCTCTGGTAGTACTTTTCGCCACACCAAGTGCCACAACTTGCCTCTGCCGCACGGATAAAAAAACTAAAACTGCATGAAGAGAAACATACGCCAGTATAATAGTCAGTTGCCAACTGTGCTACGCCGATGTGACTCCGACAGGGGAATTCGGGTGAATTTTCAATCTTCGCGCCGGCGAGAGAAATTTTCATATGCCAACGACCGTTTGCATTCTTGCCGCGACCAGCGCCTCTGCAGGCGACCTTTGGGAAAGATGTTCGAAAGAGGGGAAATTCTGGATAACTTCGCGACTGTCAACTTTGTTTTTAATTTGTCTCGTGTGAAAATAATTGAATAAAGCAATGGAAATTGAAAATACCAATCCAAATGTCTACCAAAAGGCTGGAGAACGAGAGTGGCAATCCACAGATGAGGATGACAATGTTGCTGATCCCTTCGACACCCGGGAAATCTTTGGTGAGTTTATGCTTTCTCTCCACTCTGAATCCTCCATTGATCTTCTCTTCCTGCGTCAGATTTGGTCCGAGTGATCAATGATCCTGAACACCCACTCACACTGGAAGAGCTTCACGTGGTGCAGGAAGATCTCATTGCCGTGGACAATGAGAAGAATGAGATTAAAGTGAACTTCACCCCGACAATTCCGCACTGCAGCATGGCCACGCTGATTGGGCTGTCCATCCGGGTGAAGCTGCTGAGGGCTCTGCCGCCTCGCTTCAAGGTCACCGTGGAGATCACCCCCGGAACCCACTCGTCGGAGCACGCGGTGAACAAACAGCTGGCGGACAAGGAGAGAGTCGCCGCGGCACTCGAGAACACCCACTTGATAGAGGTCATCAATCAGTGCATCGCCGTGTGAGAGGGAAAATCTTGTGATATGCCTGGGCTTAGACTACAACTAAATTTATTGGTGAAACAGCCGACTATCGCTTCTTGGCCGCCACTGCATTCTGTGGCCGGGGTTTCGTGGGGTCGTATTTGTAGGTCTTGATGACGGGCCCCTGGCCAGCCCGATGGAAGCTGATCTCATCCACTCTCCGGCGATCTTCCAGCTCCTTCGTGATCTTCATGTTGGTCCAGGCTGAAAGGAGGAGAGATTGTCATTAAACACACATCATCAAGAGCAGTTAAGGAGTGCCTTACATTCTCTGATGCCCTCAGTGAAGCCCTTCTTCTTCATGGGCAAGGCGTCCGGCTGATGTGTGACCAGCGGATCGATGTTGAAGTACTTCCGCACTTTGGGAATCTTCAGGACTCCCACCTGCACCAGTGATATGAAGTTGGAGCAGCACCAGTAAGTCAGGATGGCGGCTGGGAACTTGAGTGTGAAGGGAATTATGATCAGCGGCAGAGCTCTCAAGACATATCGCATTGTCTGCATGTTCTGCGAGCTCATCCTCGCACTGTCAGTGCCCAGTTCAATGGTCAGAGCCATCGTGGCGCTGGTGATGATGGGCATTATGTAGTATGGGTCACAAACTGTGAGATCTGTGAACCAGAAGATGCCGCCCTCCTTCATGGACTCCACTGGTGTGTTCGCCATGGCGCGGAGGCCCATGAAGAAGGAGATGAAGAGCGGCGCCTGAGCCAGCGGCACCACCATATTCTTGATGGGATTCATCTGCTTCTCCTTCATGAACATCATCAATTCCTGCCCGTAGCGAGCGGAGTCCATCTGATTTCCACTCTGGCGCGCTTCGGTCATCTTCATCTGCAGCACCTGCATCTGTGGCATGTGGTTGTTCATCTTCGCGGCATTGCGCTGTGCCACGAGCACCAGTGGGAAGAGCAGAGTTCGCACGGTCACCGTGCCAATGGCTATCACTCCCCACCAGGGAAGATCCAAACCGATGTGCAGATACTCCATGCACTGCTGCAGTATTCCCACGGGACTCCAGCCGCCCAGACCGAGTGTGGAGAAAGCCGGCTCGGCGCCCTGTACCAGTGTCTCCACGGTAGTCGGAGCAGCAGCCTCCGGAATCGCCGGCGGTTCAGGAATAGCTGCTATTGTTGGGATGTCCGGCATTACATCAGCGACTGTTGTTACTTTTCCAGTACTCGCGTGCCGGATGAAACTCAGTCCGACGACAGGGAGAGTTGTCTCACATCCTAGAGGGTCTCTCCTTTGCTTCTGAGGCGACAGGATGTGGTAATTCCTCGCTGAAAGGACTCTTGCGTTGAGCTGGAAGGAGAAGTTAGGTTATCTCTGTGAATTCATGAGTTTTTGGCAAATATTTCGCATTTAAAGTGTCTTACGTCTCGGAATACACGAGAGTAGAGCACAGAAGAGTTTCTGGCGTGAATGTGGCACCGCGACAGCATTTTCTTATGGACTTTTAGCACGATCAATCTGCTAAAACGATAATATTGAGGCACAGAACAACAGAAGAAAGAAAACTCACCACTTTAGGGCAAACAAACTGAAAATTTCAAACAACAATTTCAATGAATTTCAAGAGAATTCGAAGAATATATATTTATTTAATATTCTTGGATGAATTTCTTGTGCATTTCATTGGAAGGAGAGAAGAAATTCCAGTTGAAATTCCGCGAATATGAAAATTTCTTTGTGGTTGAAAATTTCAAGTCGTTTACTTTTCCGACTTTTCCTCTTTTCGCTGCAACTGAAGGCATGATTCTCACCACAGAGACCAGCTGAGAAGGTGGTGAGAATCCATTGGCAATAACTGTCAAAATATTTGTGGATTTATAGAAAATTCTCTGAAATTTTGCATCATTTTTCCCACTTTCCCAGGACACGGCGTGTCCAATTGTGTGTGAAAATCGTGCAGTGTGGAGTGTTGAAGCTGATTGACTTGGATTTGGGTGGAGATTCCGCGTGATAGGCGTCATATGGACTATTAATAGATTTGCACTTGAAATCCTTATTCTGCTGACTGTGCCCTTCTTTCTCTCCTCTTATCAACCTCTTTGGCACATAGCGCAGCATTGACGCGGGGAGGAGGTTTTCTGGCCGACACGGGGGGCGCGCTCAGCTGGCCAAGTGAAGCTATGGGGCGATTTGGCAGTGGGTTCATGTGATTGACAAGAAAAAAGTGGGATCTCTTCTGAATTTCGCGAGGCACTTTCTCATCTCCATCTCGGCCTCTTGCTTTTTTGCGTGACGAAAAAATGAGCGGACGTGTTCGCCTCAAAGAGAACAACATCTTGGACGAGGACTTGCCCTCACTCCTTGAGATTGTCTTCAAGTTCCTCTCCGAGAATCTGTCTGTGGTGTGCGACGAGAACAAGTTTGATCACAACTTGGAGCTCAACGAGGGGGTTTACATACCAAATGAAATTTGTGATAGGTAGAAAAGAGAGAAAACACATCACAAACAATGGACACTCACTGTGGATTTCCCTTTGCAGACTACTAAAGTACTACCAAGACTGGAACCAGGACATCAACAACCACTTCATCTACATTTTCCGGGACACCACGAGAACACCCCTCAAGTATGTGTCCCTCCGCAACTCCACCATCACCGACGAGGGCATGGAGATCCTGCTGCGCCACAATCTCATCTCCCTCTCCATGTGGTACTGCGACAGCGTCACCACAAAGTCCTGGCAGACGCTCGTGGAGCACAGCTCGCAGCTGAAGTCGCTGGAGCTGGGCAAATATGTGGACATGCTGAAGTTTAGCGAACCAAATGAGAAGACACCAATAGATTTTCAACTCAACCTGCCACATCTCCGTCGACTCACACTCAATGCTGTCGTTCTACAGCCGTCACTGCAATTCAGGTACCTATATTTCACCTAAAAGAGCTAACAGGAGATCTCAGAAGCTCAACACTTTGACAGTCGCTAAAAGCTCTCAGAATGCAAAAAAAAGTCGCATTCACGTCATCAAGACATCCATTGAAATGAGACTTGTGACCTCTGACTTCTGCCGCTTCTTCACGCTATTCGTTTTTCTCGCAGAAATTCTAAATATCACTCATTTCTGCCCTCTCTCTTTCAGCCACCTAAAGGAGCTTTCGTATTTAGATCTGACATCGTGTATTTTTGCCGAATTTAGCTTAGAGGCCCTAGTTAGTCTTCCCAACTTATCTACTCTCATACTGTTCAATGTGTGGCCACTGGAGAAGGAGTTCAAGACACTGTGCAAGCTCAAGAAGCTCCACATACTCGACATTTCTGTGACCAATCCCACAGGTTTTGGCATCTACAAAGATCCAAACGTCGTGAGTATTAACGGAAGAGTCTTGCAAGTATCTTTTATCTCACTATTCCTCCATTCTTTGCAGCTGTTGGCGAATCTGGTGGAGAATTTGCCTCTGTTGACCCACCTGGACATATCCGGGACGAATCTGGCGGGAACTGGGGTGGCGCAATTCGAGGCGAAAGAGAAGGTCAAGAGTTCGGATATTCCGGGACTCGTGAGTCGAGCAAATCGTCCTCTGCAATTCCTCGGACTCTACAACACGGCCCATTCGGCTTGTCGTCGACACGATATCCCAGCCCTAAGTGTAAGTATATAATTCCATTGGATTTGTGGAATTCGGGGAATTTGCCATTTTTTTTTCATTTGCGAAAAAAAGGCTGATAAGAGTGAGGAAAAGAACGTGTCACGAGCAATTTATGGGCTTCTATATGGCAAATGTTTTATCAATATGCTCAAAGTCTGGCTGATTTATTCCATCCGGAATCCTGATGTTTTGATGAAAAATTCCTCCCTCGCAGACTTTTCGTGGTGCGCGTATTGATTTAATCATTGCGAGGGAGGATTTTTTCTCTCTCTTATTCTGTCTACTCTCCGACCTCAATTGTATATTGAAACATGGAATAATTTATGCATTGTGATTTGTTTTATTATTATTAACTTAGATATCTGGAGAGGCGAATGAGGAGCAGATTCTCACGTCTGCCGTCGTGTATCAGGATCGTCCGAATTTACTCACCAAAGTACTCAATGACTTGTACCATTTGCTTCGCTTTGAGACCTGCAGATCCATTCACCGAGCCTTGGATGTCGTCCTCAATGCCATGGACCGGCATTTGCGCGTGAAACACATGCAGATATCTGGAAGGTTGGTTCGAAAGCATGCAGAGATAATATTCGGTGATGTTCACAACTATTGTCTTTGCAGTGCAACGCTGTTTTACATTGTTAAGGGACGCGATAAGAGCAAATTCGGGACTCCACTGAAGAATCACATCATCAGGACACTCCTCAATGGGATGTCCACGCATCTGTCTGACGATACAATGATGAGGAATGGATGTCTAACACTCTGTCAATTCACAATCCCCAACGATGTGGTAAGTTTAATCATGCGTAAATGTTTTCTCCCTTTTATCGACTTTATCCGTGCTTTTTGCCAAAATGTCTGCAGCTCTTTGAGTACGAACGCCTCGTGAAGATTCTGTTGCACGGTGTCTCTGATACGGAACAGGAGGGATTTGTTCAGAGGATAGCGATTTACCTCCTGAATTCGCTGGCATGTCAAGTCGATGGACGACAGAAGCTCTTTCTGGGCGATTTGGGAGCAATTTCGGTAATGATAGATCATTCAGCAATAACGATTAGCTCCTATGAATATTACTAAATATTTTGCAGACAATGTTGAGCTTGATAAATGATAGACTCACGCGGAATGTGTTTGATGACGTAATGGAAGTGGCGTGGTCCACAATGTGGAATGTCACGGACGAGACAGCAATAAATTGCAAGAGATTTCTGGATGGAAATGGCATGGAGTACTTTTTAGGGTGTCTCAGAGTGAGTTTGAGTGCCGTGAAATCTTCGCAGTTATTGACTCTTATTCTCTCCCACTTTTGCAGTGCTTCCCGGAGAAGGATGAGCTGCTGAGGAACATGATGGGTCTGCTGGGGAATGTGGCGGAAGTGAATGTGCTTCGGCATCGTCTCATGACCACGGAATTCATCACGGTGTTTGCGAATCTGCTGGAATCGAGCAGCGATGGCATCGAGGTGAGCTACAATGCGGCTGGCGTGTTGGCGCACATTGCCTCCGATGGCGCTGAGTCGTGGACGATCGAGAAGCCGTCGCGGCGACAGGTGCTGAGCATGATGGTGAATGCCATTGAGAGGTGGGACTTGCACACGGAAAGAAATATCAACTATCGCAGCTTCGAGCCCATTTTCGGCCTTGTGCGCTGCTATGATATTCCGGAGTGTCAACACTGGGCGATCTGGGCGCTCGCCAACTTGACAAAGGTTGGGAACAGACAGATGCGGAGCTGAGGAATGTGTGCGATTGTGTCTAATCGTGTGACATGTTGTTGTTTGCAGGTTTATCCGGCCAAGTACTGTCGTCTCGTGGAGGCTGAGCACGGCATTGAGTTGCTGTACGAACTGATGATGCACAAGAGTCCGTACCGGAGGATAAAGGAGTTGGCTCGCATGGTGCTGGATCATTGCGCCCAGAATAAACAAATCACCCTCGATGGATGAAACGGAATCATCTGGGCCATGAGTGACACTCAGACGGTTTAGTTGAGCCTCAATATTTGCGAGGCTCATTCTCTTGTACATAAAAAACCAGGATGGGGATGAAACCAAATGGAGAAAACCCCTTTTCTTGGATAATAATGTTAAATACCACTGTGAAAGATGTTATGTAAGTATCTTTTCATTTACTCCTACACCCAAAATTCGCCCGCTAAATTAGAAAGTTTAACTACTCTATCAAAAAAAAGAGAATTGTGACGACGCTGAGCTTTCTCGCTCCAAAATCGATTTGAAGTGGCATAAAAGCAGAAACTTTAACGTATTTGAAAGGAAAAAAAGACAGAGAAAACATTGTTGGCAGCTTTTTGAACATTGAGATTATATATTGGAATTTTTAACATTTTTCCTCCCTCCAATGTTAACTTCTTATAACCCAATTGTTCCCACTTTGCGTGTTGAAGTTTTTTCCCCTCAATTATATTTGAAAAAAAAAATTACTTTTCCTTGGAAAAGAAAGTAAAACTAAAGCGCTACAAATGAGAAAATATTCATGCTGCTGCTGATGACCCGTTCTTTATGCCCTTTATGACCTCTTTTTGGTTTTTATATTTGTAAATAGGTACTTTGTAAGGTACTATGTTAGAGTTTATCACATATAGAAGTTAGAGTTTTTTGAAACTTTATGATAAAAGTGACTATTATTAAATGAGAAGAAGAATAAAAATCGTAATTAACTCTCGCTGTGGTAATTATTTTCTTTCGTTTCAAGAGGCAAATGAGTTTTAGAACTTTTGCTTTCTGTAATTTACCGTGTTAATTGAACAAATTATACTAAAACAAAGAAGGATAAAAATTTTGCAATGGGTATTTAAGCTATGAAAAGAAAAATTGAATAATGTATGAGATTGATATAAAAAATTATAAAAAGATTTTATTGGGACAAAAAAACACATGGAAATGAGAGAAATTTAAGGTTGAAATAAAGAACAAAAATTGGCTTTCTGTTGTTCAGGAATGAGTGAAAAAAAACGAGGAAAAAAAACATTTCAAGTCTAAATACAGCATCTCTTAAGTTGTGTCTAAAATATCTTTTATTTTATGCACTTTTTTTTTGTTTAAATACTCTTATTGACAATTTCTACGGGTTTCTTTTGCTTTTTAAGGTCCATCTCAGAGATGATTTCTCATCTGCTTGTTTTGTCTCACTTTTTGTTCTATAACACACAAAAAATATTTAACTTGCTTCACAAATAATATCTCATCGTTTCTCTAGCAATTATTATTCCTTAATCAGTAGAAAAATCTTCCCACGTTATGAAGTATAAAAAAAGAGAAAGAAAAAGCATGATTCAAATACTAAAAAAAATGACAAAGAAAGGACTTTGAAAGAAAAATGTGGGAATATTTTTTTCTCACCTCCTCTAACTCTTGTACTATACAATTAACAAATATTTCCATCCAAATTTTCTCCATTATATAGGATTAAACTCGACAAAAAAGGCTTATAAAAAATGAAACTGAATTTCTAGGAGTTCTAAGAATTCTAAATGGAGTAAAAGAAGGAAAAAAAACATTTACAGAGTTATGACAAATACAAGAAAAAGGATACAAATTAAGAATTTAAATTTCTTTCTGTTTTACGTGATGAAATTTTTTTTAGAGCATGTGAAAAAGGGAGTATTGCAGCTAAAATAAGATTAAAAGATTTTAACACATTTAAATAATAGACTCTCTTAATTTTTCCCTATCAAATCTTCACTCCTTCATTCACACTCAGAGCCTCTCTTCTCTGCTCTCCAATGGTATTCTCCAGACCGCGGGTGTTAATGTGTTTTTAACACTCTTTAGTTCGTCGTTAGGCAGAATTCTGCAAGTCTTTATGCAAAATTTCTCAGAATTCAAGATGAGAAGATGAAAGTGCTGATGAAGATGAAGAAAGACAATGTGATGCAGCGGCTTTCGTGCTTGAGAGTGCGAGAGTGTGAATAGAGGAGTGACGCGATATTCTCTAATCTCTATCCATGTCATCTCATCTCCTTCTATCTCTCTAATCACCTCTACTGTCCTACAGAAAAGACATTTTTTGTATTACGTAAAATTCCTAAGAGAGTGTTAGTTGGTTGTCGTTCGAAGTCAGTGTGCGTCCCTCCTCAATCGCTGGGTAACCTCTCGGGTGGCGCCCCCTCGTCCTGTAGCGTTTCGGGGGGCTCCTCCGGCTCCGGCGCCACTTGGTGTGTCATCTCGTGCAGCCCCTGCACGATTACCTGCGGCGCTGGCGTGGAGGACGCCTCTGCTGTCACTGGCGGACTCCTTTCTGTCGTCGTGGGCGATTCCTCTGTGATCCTCACCACTTCCGCGGCAACCTCGGACGCCGTGCTGAGCAACTGCTGCGCCTCAGTGGTCGTGTCCTCCTGCGGCCGAGGCGTGGTCGTGGCCGCCGCGGTTGTCGTGGGCGCCAGTGTTGTGGTGCCGCTGATGAGAGGCTGCGCCACTGGGATGACCACCGGACTGGGCACGATCACCTGCACAATGGATGGCGGCGATTGCATGATGGAGTTCGGCACAATCGACACGGGCTTCTGCACGATCTTGGGCAGAAGTGGCAAAGGCGGCAACATGATTGGATTGTCCAGAGCGATCTCTTGGGGCACAATGCAGTGCGCCACTCCGAGAATCCTTGCGTGTTGCTCCTCCATGGCAGTCACCAGATCCGTGAGAGATTCATTACATAACACTGGATTCTCTGCAAAAATATCAGGAATTTTAAGTCAAATCTCTTCAGTTAACTTGGCATAAAAGACTTAAAAGCGAAAAATGATTTCAGTTCAGGAAATTGAAGAAAGCTCAACTTTAGCCTGCGAGGTCAACGTATTTTGGCAACATTAAGTCTGATTTTGGTCAGTAGCCGATCAATCTTGCTGTAATTTATTAAATTTTTCGATTGTCAATATTGAAGCAATTGCGATGATTGCGTGTGTTAAGTTGCACGAGTTGCTCGCAACTTCTCCACTGAATATTGTCGCAAATCACACACGACATTCTCACAAATTAGGCTCCAAATTATTGTCAAATATATAATCCTTGCGGGAAAATTGGCAGCGCAAACTCACCTTGAAGCAAGATCTCGAGCTTATTCGGCACTCCGTGGTTGCTGCAGCGTGTGTTGGCGACGAGGTCCTTGGAAATGATGCTGATGTTGTTGTTGGAAAGATCGGCCATACAGAGAATTGGCAATCCGTGAAAATCATTCTTCATCTCCGTGAGCAAATTGAACGAGGCATTCAAGAATTGAAGCGATGGCAAATAGGTCTACACAAAAGACAGGCAATGAGTACCAATTGATGGGATGTTTTGTGGTAAATTTCCTGGCCACACTTATTCAAGCCACTCACCTTGGATGTCTCTTCGAGTGTCTTGAGCCGATTGAAGGACACATCCAGGTGCTCCAGCTCCTCCAGGCCAATTAGATCATCCGGCGAGATGCTCTGGAGGCGATTGTTGGACAAATTGAGTATCCGGAGTCGATTCAGACCCATCAAATTGCCATCCAATGACCTCAGTAAATTGTACTCGAGGTGCAGCTCAACAATCAACGAATCCGGCTCCACGAGATTGTCCATGCGCCCGGCCAGCTTCTCGATCTTGTTGAAAGACAGATCGAGGATGCGCAGATCGTCCAGACCACGGATCTCCTTCAGGGAGAACTCCGTGAGGTAATTCACGGTGAAGTTCGCCGACCGGAGCTTCCTGATGGGCAACAAGGAGCCGTTAATTGCGCGGATGTGATTGCAACTCAGCTGAAGATCCTCCAGACTCTCGGCCTCCTGAAACTCATCCTCGGCGAGGTACTCGATGTAGTTGTTGTGCGCAATGAACTTCTGCAGATTCTTGGCCGTCTTCAGGATGCCATCAAACGAGCTCAGCTCGTTGTCGTGCATGTAGAGTGCGTCCAGCGGGAGGTTCCTGAAACTCTGCGGGAGAGCGCGAATGCGATTGAATTGGGCGAGAATGAGACTGGGAGACGTTGGCGGCAGCTCGTCCTCCAGTGTGGTCAAATTGTTTGAATTGATGAACAATAACTTCAATTCATTCAAGTGACGCAGCGTCCCATTGAGCGTGGCCAGATTATTCCTGCCGATGTGCAGAGTCACGATGTTGGGCGGAAAGGCGCCCGTGTCGATGCGCTTGATCTGATTCGACGCCAGCACCAAGTGGCGGAGCTTCTTCAGCGACCGGAAGTCCTCGCTCCTGATGTGCTGCAGTCGACATCGCGCAATGTCCAGTGTCCCCAATGTCGGCATGTGCTTGAAAATGTGCGCCGGAACGACCTCCAGATTGTTGTCCGAGATGCTGAGGAACTCCGTTCGCGACATGTTGTAGAACATGGACTCCGGAAGGTGCCTGTGGAGTGTGGAATAAGAGGAGACACAAGAGAGAGAGATTGTTAGTGGGAATCATGGAAAGTTTCCTCAAGCGATCGGGTAAGAAAGAGAGCAACTAGAAGAAAATATTGATCGTTTTCCCATTTCTCTATTTAATTGACTGAAAAGCGTTTGCTTTTCGTGTTTTTCAATGGGTATCACATGAACTCCAGTGTTTTCATTCTTAATCTCAGTGTTCCATTCATCGCCCTTTCAATTCCTCTTAACAATTCTGCACAACTTCTACCCCTCTGGGTTTAAGAATGAAGGCAAATACAGGAATTAATTAGAAAAGGAAAATTGTCGCACAATCGAATGAACTTGATCGACTCAATTAATTGTCTCACGACCCTCCGTGTTGACCTTTGTCATCGTAGTTGGGATGTGAGACGCCTTCCAAGATTATTGGACAATAATTGATCTCTATTGAGTTATTGACGCGTACCATCGTTTGCATTTGAAACACGCGTTCGCATGTCATTTCTCTTCCTCCTCTTTGCTGATCTTTTTCCACCCATTTCTTCGTCACTTTTCGCGCGATCTGCTGAATCAATTCACTCCTCTTCTCCCAATGCAAGTTCAAGGGACTTTTTCCCCGCAGTGAAATTATGGCACAGTTCCGCACACAAAATAAACTTCCTCAACATATAAAACATGCTATCAAACAGCGATTTTTCCGTAATGCAGTTTATATGGAATTATATGCATAAAGAGTGAGTCTAGAGCGCGAGAGATTCGTGATAAGAAAAGATCACTGAGAGTGATAGAGTGACGTGAATTCTGTCTCACTTTCCCAGAAATCCCGATAGAACTGGACATTGAATTCAACAATGTGATGCGAAATCAAAATTGCAACTTTTCACGCATGGAATTTGGGAGATTTTTCCAGCAATATCTAGAACATGACGCCCAAAATATCCCCCCGAAAATTCCTCACGCGCAGCATCTCTCCGTAAACACCAAAAATGGAACCCCAACAAGATTAGGACCTCAAAATATTGTCGGGCACAGATAAGATGTTAGGAGAGTCACACTCTTTTGCCTCCCTATCTCGCCCGAGAGTGATGGTATTTGTCTTAGTTTCCATGACAAAAAATGTACATCGCGTGGAAAAAAAATACTAAAATATTTCACTGGAACGCCACAAACACTGAGATAATTGAATTGAATAGATTTGGAGTGTGAAAAAAGCGCGATATCGGGGCTGTTTTTGTGCAGTGTCAGACTTTGAAAAGTGTTTCTATAGTATAATTGAATATAAAATCGCGAGATTTCACTGACAGTATTTGTAAATAAATTGCCAAGATGAATTAATTACTTAATTTTTCAACCTCCGAATGATAGTCTCATCGTCATTTTTTCCCGACCATTTCTTTCGACAGTTCACGATTGTGGTGGAAAATTACATTTCACAAAGTTCAAGTTCTTTATGAGAAGCTTTTCTTTTCTTTTCTTTTCCTCTCTAGGTTTTTGGCACTTTTCTCAACCCTTTCTATTGACTTTTATTTGATTTATTAACTCTTCTGCCACTTATCTCGAAAGAATGAAGATGAAAACCTCCGAAAATCCACTAAAATCCCTGCTGAAATCATTAATCTCATCTTACGCCACTGAGAAAACAATTTTTTCCCTTTCTGACCCTGGCAAAAAGACCCCAAAAAATGATTTTCAGCAGCACAAAATCTTTCCTCACACGCAGAGACACAACTTGGAATATTTTAGTGAATCAAAACTGGGGTGTAAATAATAACATAGCAATAGAGATGATGTGGATTTATCAGTGAATAACCAAGTGAGATCATGTGGAACTATCAGAGGCGTTAAGAAATTTTGGCGCCATTTCTCTCATCATTTTCTCTCTCATCAACGGAGAGAGAAGATCATGCAAGATCACGAAACACAGAGTGTCTTGTGTTGATTTCGAGCTCGAAAGAAGAAAAAAAAAGATGTAACCAACACACATCTTGAACTCCGTCTCTTCGTCTCGCTTATCCTGCTGTGGATTCACATGAAATTGTCATTCATGCAACTCTCGAGAATGAGATTAGGAGAGAAACACTGGCGAGTGCATCATCTTCATTCAATTCACTATCAGACGCAATACTGACTTCTCCAGCTCAACAGCGGCAAGATTGGGAAAATGGGGATCAGCGAAAATATGTTTTGGAAAGAAATGGAGTCTGTGCCAATGGCTCCTCTTTATGCAAATGCGAGCATATGTGCAACAGTGTATTGATTTCGCATGGATCTCTCTTTTTATCAGCTAATTGGCCAACATTCGCGAATCACACTTGGCAAACAATTCAATTAATCTGTGGAACGCTTGACGCAATGTTTCACGCAGAAAATCACGCACTATCGCAGAAAATAATTAGGCTTCTGCACTACAAAATTGTGGCGTAAACAAACTTATTTATTTTTATTTCCTACGCTCCTTTTTCGCCTTCTCTCTCTCTCTCTCGCCACATCGCGCCATTGGCGTGTCGCGCCGTTGAATTGGAAAAACTAATAATATTGTGTGTGCGCGACTGTAATTTGCCCATTGGCAATGGTTATGGAATATCTTATCAATCACTAGATGGTTTGGGCTCTTGTGTGTACTTTCGATAGGAGACAAATTGACCAACAAGCATGGCAAATACATTTTCATTCAGCAGTTCTTCTTCAATTGACTGAAAGAACACACTCTCTCCTGAGCAATTGACACAATTACTCATCCCCAACATTCTGTGGAAAATCCTCTTTCAAGGATAATTCCGCCATCGTCTAATTGCCGCACAATTCTCAAGAAGTAATATCCACTCCACAGACAACGACGACCAAGAGTGTAAAAAGGCACGTAAAAGACGTGTTAAATCATCCGGAAGCATCAATTTTTGTACCACATTCACCACCCACACTCTCCATTGTGTCTCACAGTGTCTTCTTCTCAAGTGTTTTGGAGACATCACGAAATGAGAAGAATCAGAGACTTTTATTGTTGATCCTCTTCGCATTCGCCACCGCGCAAACGTACGAAAAATTCTAACAAATTAACATATTAACTACGTGTTACTCATTTGAATCTCATTCTTCGTCACAATTATTCAACTGCGGCCTAATGCGAATTATATTTGCTAACAACCGACAGAGAGAAAGAGCGAGAGAGAGAGAGTGAATTTCAGCCACGTGGATTCGCTGTTTCTTGCCTACAGCAATTATTAATCAATAAATGTAGGTACAAGAAATGTGAGAAATGTTGAAAGTGCAGAAATTATAGTGAGAATCATTCTTCACAGTATTAGTTCTATTTTCACCACGTCTTTTGCATGTCTCAATTGATTGCCAGGATTCATCCATATCAATAAATTTGTTTACACCACAAGAAAAACTGGTGAATTCTATCATTTCACATTAATTGTCCAGCTATTGTGCACTGTGGAAAACTTCCAATTTGACCACTTAACGCGAACAGTACAAGAATTCCATTGGGCGAAGAAGAAATTGGACTTTTGCACTTACGTGAGATTATCAAAGTTGAGTCGTAGATTTTTCACATTCATATTCATCTCCCAAAACGCCCGCGCCTCCAAGTCCTGCCAAAGGGTGGTTGGAGAAGATTAATGAGGGTTGGGGGTGGATCTTGTGCCAGTAACTCACCTCAAGTTGCGAGTGAGTGATTGTCAGCGAAATGACGGCGTCCATCTGAAAGCGATCCTGGAGAGCGTCCACGACCTGACTGAATGTCTCCATCCGTTCGCAGGTCACCACAATGCTATTGGGAAATGTCTCATGGGGTGCACACGTGCACGGCGATATTTCCCGCCTCACGGCGCAATGCAGCGAGGCTCCGGCCGTAATGCCGAAGATGGTGTACAACAGCGTGGCCATTGTGCCTTCGCGAGGATCCTTTCTCTCGCTTGTCTTACTGGCAAATCCTCACACACTTCACTATTCTTCGCACTGATTGCAAAATCACAACACACAATTCCAGGACACACAAAGTCTCGGGGATCAAAATCACCACTGGCACACGTCTCCACGGGGCCCAAGAGACTCCACAGAGCCCCACTGAGATAATCTTCCTTGAAATTCCACCAAGTAAACCCAGAGAGATGTGCTGATTTAGCGTCCACAGCGCCTCATGTCCACGAGCTAACTGAGAAGTCATGCGATATTCAAATCCCATTGGACTCTTCCCATCGCACATTCCCGCCCGAAGCACTCGAGCAAGGCAGTCGTCATCTCTCCCGCTCCAGTCTCCCATTATCAAGACTTCTCTGGCCGCGAGAGCGAGTCTCTGTTTTACGCAACGACCAGCTCAGCATCAACTCTCGAGAGTCCGGAATTCTTCGCATTTTCGCATCCTCGCGCGCGCGAAGCCCATCCTGAAAATGGTAATGATTTACACGCTCTCCACACTCTCTCTGGCCTATGAGGCGTTTTATTAATAAATATGGTTTAATCAGTGACTCATGCGTTTTTTCTGCTAGCACACCACCTCCTGTGTGGGACACTGAGCATTGAACACACGAGCCAGGTGACTGTCACCCACAAATTCCCCGTCCAATTGATCTGTCAGCAAAAGAAAGTCCCCAGAAAAACACCCATTTCATTGAATTTCACCTCAAAGTGCCCGCGCACGCCAAGTAGGATTGAAGCTCAGAGACTCTGTGGAGCACACGAATGGTCACACTGAATTTTAAAATCTTCCTTATAAGCGACAGATGGATTAGGTGAGCGTAAAATTGTAAAATCTCTATACAACACTTCTCGACACTTCCACGATTTGTATGTGAAATTCCTCAACACTTCCCAGAACTTCAGACTTCATGGATTCTTTATAACGAGACGAAAACCAACAAATAAATGAAATATAACTGACAATCTTAAAATTCACGTTTTCATACAATATTTTATGATTTTCAGTGTTAAATCAGTCACAAAACCTAGAAATATATGACAAAATTAGGATTTCGATTAAAAATTAATTTCTCATAGTAAAATAATCAACAAAATATCAAAGATGTGAGTCAAATATTGCAACACATCCTTAAAACTTCTACAGATCTGTGCACCACTTCTGACCATATTATCTCTCTCTTAGTAGGTAATATAGTTTCGAATTTCCTATTTGATCAAATATATTCCATAAAGTCCGATATTGAAAGAATGCATAAATATTAAGAGATGAATTCTGCATCGATTGCTTACATTACTATAATTTTCATTATGTGTTTTATGTATTCAATATCATATCTTCAGTGTACGTTTTATTTACGCGAATTGCTGGCAAAACGCATTGGGTGAGAGAGTAAAGAAAACATGAGATGCAGTTTGAGTGAAAAAGATGACAATTTCTGAATGATAGGCACATGAACTTGTGGAGTGTCTGATAATGGAGACACACACAGATTTTCTCACTCCTCCTCCCAATCTCATTCTTCCCTTCACACATCGCTTGTTGTCTCATGTCATGAAAATCCGTTCCGATAGAATCAGAAAAGGAATGCCTCGGATGAGTTGAAAATTGCTGAAATGCTTTCATAATACACATTCATATTTTTAAACCACACAAACCCAACAATAAATTATCCATGAAATTCCCACACGTTTTTCTCCTTTTTTTCTGCCATGTCATTTTGCATTAAACTCGCATCGCACAATTCTAAAAATATATATGTATTTTACACCCAAAAAGAAAAAAAAAATCCCCGATAAGGTTGACAAATCAGGGAGATTCGCATTCTGCATGGAGAGTTCAAGAGCAACCCTTTTCTCTGCCAATCTGTGGCCTCAGCAGCAATTCCATGGGTGTTTAGTATCACTCCCGGTCACCTTATCATTCTTCCGTCACCACACTTCGACCTTTGCCGCCTTGTAAGCTCAACATGCCTCACACCAGCGACAGATGACGATACCAAAATTGAATTTTGTGTGCTATTGAGTCAGTTTATTCAAGCCTAAAGTGGTTTTGTATTGTCACACTGGGAAGATTATCAATTAATATGTATTAAAATACCCTCTTTTCATACACCATTATTCTCCCTCCCTCTCACTCTCTCTCTCTCTCCGTCTATAGATATGAATTGAGGCACTAAATTCTCATTTCCAATATTGACGTGGTTGATTTGATATGTTTTGTGCGCAAAAATATAAACTTGACCCTTTCGTGCCCTGAAAAAATTCAGATTACACTCAGATTATCAGATGGTGAGAAATAAAGCTAAATATTACAATTCAAATACAATTATTTTGATTTTCCTAGATTGATTTACCAAATAAATACCATAAAGCATATGCACGATACTGTTTGTTTCAGCCCTGGATTGGCTGAAAAGCATCAAAATTTCTCCACAAACACCTTCCGGATCTCTTTAATAAGCATTCCATGGTTTTTTGGGGGCATTAGAATTGCCAATTCATTTACATTTTTGTACTTTTCTGAACCCGGACACATTGAGTTTTTACATCCGTGTTTTACTTCTTCAGGGAATTCCCAATTGTTGTCGCTTTTCGAGCTCTTTTCACCCTTCATCAACAGCACAACAGATTAGTTTTTCAAGTCCAGATCGCAACATTATTGATCTCTCTAAACGGATGTTAAAGTGTGGTTTTTACTGTCCGACAGAAGAAAATGTGAAACACTGTAAAATCAGAAATTGACTATTCATTGCATAACATAAATGGAAGTCAAGATGGAAATATTATTGTAAAAGGATAAAAGAAAAATTGTGAAAATGTAAACATTCATCATAATCAGTTGAACAATATTTATAGCCGATACTAATACGAACTCCTGGATTTCCCTGCATTTTTGCATATCTTATCTTGTGGATTTTCCTAATCATTTGTAGCGCAATTATGACATATTATGGAATTGAAGATGCATTTTCTTATGGCGTCAGCATTCCTTCCAACTGGCGCTACATGATGAGTGTTGTCTGATTTCCATTCCTATTGCAGGAGAGTGAATTACCTTCGCCAATTCGGCAGCACATAAATCAATAATAAAATGCCCCACGAGAGCATCGCAGTGTCATTCTCTGTTTTCTCCAATTTGGCATGCCTTTTTCCCCACACATTGATTTGTGACCACAAAATCTCTTTTTTTCTCTCGCTGTGTTTTCGTACAGGCGCCAGGAGATGATGATTTTTATTCTCGATGCGCGTTCATAAATTCTTCGCCCTCGTGTGTGAGTGATGTGCGTGCGCGCGGAGCAAAAGGAAAGGCGCATTCTTTGCATTGCACAAAATTTTCACTCATAAATATATGTTAAAATGCCTCCACCATGGCGTCATCGCGAGCGCGCCAAAAAGTGTGTGTCCTCTGGCGCTGGGCTGGGAAAGAGCAGCAGCAGCAGAGAGACATGGGAAAAAGGGGCACGAGTGAGAGATTTATTGGTGATTCACGCAGCGAGATTGTCCCGTGACTTGGCGTGACACTGGCATTCCGCATCTGAGAGGCGCCAGGCGTTTATGCTTTTTTTCTCTGCCTCCGCTCCTCCTCCGCCTCCTCCTCACGAGCGAGAGAAACTCCTCGCGTGTCATCATTCACCAAAAAGTGCATCCCTGACAGTGTTTTGCACGCAATATTTCACTTCGGCATGATTTATTGGGCTCCCAATCTCAACAAGGATGCTTTATGACTTTGTGATTTATATGGAAATTCTCACCAGTGGCTCTTCTTCTGCTGCTGCTCAGGTTCTTTGTGGCGAATGAAGTCACTCTCTATTCAGTGCACATGATTTGTCACCATAATCAAGGAAGAGATAATATGCCCTAAACTTGTACACCACTTCTGCAGAATCTTCAACACTTCAGACACTTCTGAACGCCTTTGAAGAAATTTGCTTAGCTTTTTAAACTCCTTCAGAGAAATCGCGGAAATAAGTAAGCAAAGAGACATTTTTTAGAGTGTAATCATATTTTTTGAGGTTCTGATTGATTTAAAAGCATTTTCTCGATCAATATGAAGATTTTTCTATTTAAAATGCTCAAATGTGTTGAGAAAAAGAGAAATATTCTGAGCTAAAAGACAAATTTGATGATTTTGAGGGTTATTTAAACGCCAGAATCGGTTTTAAATCAATCACATAACCTAGAAAAGCAATGAAATTCAGTTTTTTTTAGGCAAAATAGTTTTAAAAATGCCTCAATTTGTTGAAATTGTAGCTTTTGCAATGCATATACTCTAAATATTTTACCACTTCCAATCTCGATCACTTCTTCTAAAGCTGTACACCACTTCCGCCCACAATATCCGCCCCTTGACTATGGTTAAACTTCGTCATGTCCTTCCTGACCCGGAATAAACATATATAATAAATGCGAGAAAGGCATGAGCTTCCATAGCAAAATCACTTAACATTTCACATTAAAATTTCTCTCTCTGACATCGAAGGAATGCGATTGATAGTGGATTGGATTCGATTGAAGATACTCTGTGAAGTGGTTAATTTGGGCTCTTGTGGAGACGTCAATCGACAAGAAAGATCATCTCGGCGGACAAACAAAATAATCCAATCGAATCACATGCTTTGGGATCCACATTGCCGCGATCCATTGAAAAAAATAAAAGAAATGCGCGTTGGAAAGGTCCTTCAATCGCCCAAGTTCAATCTGAATGAAAATTTTTCGCCTCTCGAAGAAATGTCTCAAGAGTCTCTACTTTCCCATTCATACACTTTACATTTTTGTGAATGAATGAATGAGAATTCTCTCTTTTTTTTCGAACCCCCAAAAAACGCGCGCTTACGTCATTCGCCATTGGCTATTTCTTCCACCAAAGAAGCCAGCGAGTCTAATCGAAAAACTGAAGATTCCTCAAGTGATCCGAAGAGCAGTGGCGGAAAATTACCTTCAACTTTCAAGCTATGGGAAAAACCACTCGAAATTCCTCACATTCCGACATCTTCTTCTGCATCTGGTGAAAATTCTCTTTTGCGAAAATAGCCAAAGTTCATCTGCACTCTGGCATCGGATTTTCCCGCAAGTCATTCCCATTCATGCGGATCAATTCCTCAGCCCAGAAAGCGCATTGAAAAATCACGGTTTTTTTTTTGATTATTGGATTATATTTAAAATTTTTATCCATCTTCTCGCCCTCAATTACATAATTTTGCTGTTTCCCTCTAGAAACTTTTACTTTTCTTGTCACATAAAATATTCTTTCATTATTATTATTTTACTTTTCCTACTCATTTTTCTTCACGTCCTCCTTATAAATTTATCGCACTCTTTTTTCTTCTCTCGTGACCCATTCACCTGAAATCCACTCATAATAATGCCAAAAAGAGAAAAAACAATGTAATATCAATTGAGAAGCACTTGGTCAGTAAGGATTTAATGGAAAGACCCACGGAAATGACCAGAAAACGCACTGAAATCTAACCATAATACAAATACATAAGTCATGATATAGTAATGAAGTGAAAGCTTTTCAAATAAACAAACTTGTATTAACTGCTGATTAATGTGGGTCATTCGCCATTTCGCACTCGCTCAACCACCCTCAAACACACACACACCCTCAATCAAGCACTCATTCAGCAATTCGTGTCATTTGTCCCTTTTCTTCACCTCAAGTGGACTTCTTGAAATATTTCGCAATGTTCGGATAGCGATCTGCCTTGTTGTCCGGATGTTCCATGATCATTTGTGGCAATCTTGTCTTCATCTCATCCTGATAAGACGATTGGACATTTGGATCTGTGGCAATGGCCATTGCAACAGCTTCAGCAGGTGTTTGACTGGCCATTCCAAGTCCTGTGCTCTTGATTGCCTGCCTCACACCCTCACTGACAACATCCTGCACATCCGTTGTTGGCTTCGAGCAGGAAATCATCTTGCGCCTCTTCGATGACATTCCCGCCAAATAGGCATCAGAGAAGGGAAGCTGAGCACCCTGAAAAGAAATCCAAATCATAATATATTTGCAATTTCTGTGAGTTTCTTGCATTATTTCCACAAACTCACCTGTCGCCTCTGACTCTGCACATCACGCGTGATGATGGAAATCCAATCTCTGGGCAAATGTCTGTGCCATGGTTGAGACTCAATTTGCTCCACCGGCGTCAATTCCTCCTCATCATCACCCATCATCGTCATCTGTCGTCCCTGATTCGCCTCCACCGCCACAATCTCATCCGTCTCCATGGGCTCCTCTTGTGGCGGCGGCACTTCAACAGGCAACATCACGGGAATCTCCACAGTTGGCGGCGGCGGCGGTGGCGGAGCACGAGCTCTTATTACTAGGAAAGTCTGAATTTCCTCCTGACTCACATTTCTCACACTATCGAGAATCCTCTCAATTTCATCCATTAATTGCCGATGGAAGAGTCGCATTGTCGTCTCACCGATATCTGCAAAAAATCACGCAAATATAAATCATTACAAGTCTGACAGACAGAAGATTAACGTGGAGAAACTTACTATTTGTTGGCTCCTGATTGTCCAGAGACATCCTAGTAATTTGACTCAAATATCGTCCAGCATTCTCCCGCCCAAGACACAGCAGAAGAATTCTGCACAGACGCTGACTGAAGTTGTGGAACATGCTCAAGAGTCGCCTGCCAAAATCTGAGGGATTCTCCGACATGATCACATCAAATGCCCGTGGAATTGTGGCACGCAACAGATTCTCCACAGAAGCTCTGGCATCGTAATCTGAATCCTCAACTCGTGGCAATACAGCCAATAGTTGATCCATGTGACCCATGAAGATATCCACAGCCTAAAATGCGAGCATAAAAAGGAATCCAATGCTGTCAATGCTGCATGATTTTTAATGAATGAATTTACCTGAGCTGTGTTCTCTTCAGTCGCCGCGCCGCCACTGAAGAACTGATCCCTGACGAAGCTCTGGAGATGAGAACGAATCTCATTGATCAACTGCGGACCCACTTGGAGTACTTGAAAGACATCAAAGGGATTCCCAAACAGCGGAACTGTCGGTGGCGCTTGCGGAGGATTAGCATTGGCCGGATCTTCTCCACCAGCTGCTGGCGGTCTGCCTTGATTCGCAGCGCCCTGCTGTGCTGTCGCACGGGCTCTCTGCTGCTCCCCAATCGGCTGACCCGTGTTGGAGTCCCGAATGTGATGACTGTTGCATGGCAAGAAGCGATCAAATGCTGAGAAAATGCTTGGCAACCGGAAATTTCGCATCTGTGCCGCCGGCAAATTTGCCGTGTGCATCTGCTGACGAGCCGTGGAACGAGTCTGTGTAGATGTTGTGGGCAGAGTGACTGTCGTGACACGTGGCGCTTGATTCTGTCTGTTATTCAGCACATGTTGCAATCCAATATCACCCAAATGCACATTGATGGTCAATTCTGCAAGAAGATGGGGAAAAATAAAACACTTCGCGGTCAGCAGATAAAAGTCAAAAATAACATCACAATTTTGGTGCTATCTCACTCCCAAAAATAGCATTCATCACTTCTTCCTTCCATTCAACTTCGACATTGCACAGGGTCGCTCATAGAATTGGATTCCAGTGGACTCAACTCACCATTTGGCGCTACGGTTGCAGTTGAAGTGGTGGAAGTCGTTGTCGCTGGGCTGTGTTGACCGCTGGACGATGCATTCTGTGGCGGATTGATCTCAACTTGCACTTCAGCATCCATCGGCGCCGTGTTGACGACAGCCTGGATGATCCTAGCAATTTGCAATTCCTGATTCATTGCTGCAAGCATCAAAGAAACAACACGCATTAGAATCAACCTGAATTAACAAATTAATCTAACTCAAGCGACTGCTTATTTTGCCAGGTTTTCAAAAGTGCCATGAAGAATGCAATTAACAGAAAACTGTAGAACATCAAAGTAAGCTTCTCGATGTAACAATGAAAACTCCTTCAATTCTATTATGATGAGGTATGATTAAAGCCAGTAGTTGCAATTTTCCATAAAGAAAAAACATCCTCTTTTCGCTAGTCAACTGTTAGTAAAACAGAGAAAGAGAGAAAAAAGGAACGAAACATAGGAGATTTAAGTCTAACCTGGCACACCATTATCGGTACGAATTGCCACTCGATTGGGCATTGGTAAGAATAAAGAGAATATGTTGCGGGGAATACCTCTGGGTACGCGATTCTCATCTGATTGCTCAGGCGAAATGCCCTGACGCGCAGTCGAATCACTACTTGCTTGCTGCTGAGTCGCTTCTGAACCCGATTGCTGCTGATTGGCGTTGTTGTTGTCACCATGCGGAACACCGTCGGCTGGAACAGAAGCTGCAGCTGCATTAGCTCCAGCAGCAGTCTCATTGTTATTACCATTCGGTCGTGTTACATTGCCCAGATTTGTCTGCAAAACAGTGGGAAATCAATTAAACTTGATCGTGAAAAGACAGTGAATCTTTCACAACTCACCGGAACAGTGAATCCTGAGCTCACGAAAGCACTCTGCTCCACCAAGATGGGTCTACAGCATAGATGCCGCGGCGTATTTGACGAGAGGCACAGCATCAAGTCGCTAATTGCGTGCTGAGCATGTGAAATGTAGTGAAATGCCTCAGAGACGTGATCAAACACTCTTTGTGCGTTATTTCTCTCCTCCTCCGTCTCATAAGTCGGATCGTGCTCGAGGATGTCATGGTATTGCTGCACAAAAGGCTCCAGACGCACCTGAACCTCCCTCATCTGCTGCACCACCGCCGCCAGGGTTTGTGTGCGCGTCGTCTGTTGCCTCGAGCGCGATCCCTGAGCACTTCCACCCGCCTCAGGACTGGCATCACTATTATTGCTCTGCGACGTGGAATTCGTGGCATTGCTGGCCGACGGCATTGGCATCGGCACCGGCACCATTCGCACCGATGCCACATCCTCAACTGGTATTCCCTCCACAATCTGCACGGACGGCATCCCTTCGACTCCCTCAGCCTGCTCTGCCTGGGCCATTTGCTGCTGCAGCACACGAATATTCGGCACACCATTCTGCCTCAGGGCAGCCGAAACTGCACCCTGAAACGCCTGCATCAGATTCTGCATCTGCACCTGAGGAATATCCGTCTCGCCAACAGCCGAAATTCCCACTTCGAACACCGTCGACTCGAGCGTTTGCTGTGCCAAATCCTCCATTGCGGCATTGTTGAGTCCCTGCGGGAAAGACGGATGCTTTTCTTACCATATAAATTCCTCTCACACAATTGCAATTATTCGCAAGAAACTCACCCTTTCAGGATTCTCAAGGAAACGCGCAATGTTATTCGCACACTCAAGCATATGTCGAGCCACTGTGATCCTGTTCATGCACAGCGTTGACGACGGATTCAAGGAAGGCGCAGCCGCCTGTGGAGTCTGCAAAGGGACAATCAGTACCGCGTGGAAAGCGTCGCTTCGAGGGAAACTCACCCCATTGTTGGTATTCATGGGAATTGCCATCGCGCCTAGCACCATTCCATCGATGGCCCGTATCAAAGGACTCCGCGGATTTAGGTTCCTCACCCGCCATCGATTCTGTGGAGTCGTCTCAGTGGTGCTAGTTGCTGGACGTGAACTGGGCGGAGCCCTCTGGACAAGATGCACCACCTTTCCATTGACATCTTCAGAGATAAAACAACACAATTTCAGTAAGCAGAATTGCTCTTCACCATCATTAAACTCACCGTATTCCTTCAAGAGCTTCTCATCCTTTAGCAAACGCCCACAATAGATGATTCTCTGTAAGTCCGCCTCAACGCTGACCTTTTCGGCAATGTGTTCCTTGAACTGACGCACTGTGATCTGAAAATTCCATCGATTTCAGCGTCCGGAAGTGCATTTAATATGCATTTTACACCATTCTATCAATCACTCACCTCATCATCCACCGAAAACTGATGATTCTGGGAATCCAAAGTCTTTACTGTTACATTAATCATCCCGCAATCTGGCAGCTAATCCACAAAATCCTGCAAAATCCAATTGAGAACATCAACATAACCTCACATATCATCCGGACAGCGAATTTTCTAGAACACCACACAATTTGTCTGATTTAAAGTCCTAAACATGCAACTATGTGTCGTCATATTGCAAAACAACCGACAAATTGTTAAGAGAAAGCGATAAAAGCTGCTTATTGGATTTTTCCCATGATTTATGGCGTCGAGGAAGTGGGTGAAATTTTTCAGCATTTTATCGCGTCATCCCATGAAAAATACCCATTGTTTCACGTGTTAAAACCTTCTGTAATCTACTTACTATACACTTCTGCTAATACAAGATGCGTTTTCAAGCAAATTCACAAATTTTAAGCCCTATTTATGAGATTTCTTCGGATGCAAAAAGGCCACGGTACAGAAGAAATTAGCGATGTGAGCCGACGTGTTTTCAGCGGCCACACATTTGTCATCACAGAACGCTGTTTGCGCCACACTGTCGGCAGATGTCGCGTGTTTTCATCGCACAATTGATGGGTTTTCAATGCGGAGTTGGAATGTTTAGTGTTTGTTTATGTCCAGGTTGTCACGAAGATGAGCCAAGTTTGTCGCTTTTGTGGCTCTTCTGACCAGATTACAGTGAATTTACTGGAGAATCCCATTGTAATGACTAACGTGGAGGTGTGTCTGGCCAGGAAGGTGAGTTTAAACACTGTGAAAGAGAGCCGAAGAGTGTAAAATGCACTGTTTTTGCTTTGAAGGTATCGCCGGAGGACTGTTTGCCAACAACATGCTGCAGTTCGTGCCGCGAAACACTCGAGGAGTTTGCCAATTTTGTAGCAATGGCCAATGAGACTGAGAAGAAACTTCGGGAGCTGGAGAAGAAGACTCAGACTGAGATTTCTCCCAGCAAAACTACACGTGTTACTAATCGCAAGCGCGGAAAGAGTGGCGCTGAGAGTGAAGGAGGTCCTCCGAAGCGGGATGTCACCACCATCGTGAAGAGACTGTCGGGACGCGCTGACTTGACTGTGAAGATTGGCAGTGGCAGTGGCGCGGCGGAGAAGACTCCTCAGCCGGTGACCATCACGGGTGTTCCGTCGTACTTCCTCTGCATGAACTGCCGCGAGAGATTCGACTCCTTCGAGGCCCTGTCGCGACACATGAAGACACCCGGACAGTGCCAGAAGAAGGAGTACAAGTGCGGCACCTGCTCCCGCACCTTCGACACGCGCAAGAAGTTCTACCAGCACAGCATGAGCCATCGCGAGCGCAGCTCTCTGATCTGCGACCAGTGCGGCAAGACGTACAGCAACCGCTTCAATCTCGAGAACCACAAGTCCTCCGTCCACGGAGACGCCGTGGAGGAGAGCGACAGTGCTATCTACAGGTGTCGCTTGTGCTCTCAGCAGTTCAACACCCGCGTGGCGCTCTTCAGTCACATCGAAGCGCACGACAAGCCGTCTCGCCAGGCTCACCTGTGCGATCGCTGCGGCAAGTGCTTCGTCACCCAAGAGACTCTCAAGTCGCACAGTCGCACACACGCGAGCACGTACAAGTGCCAACGATGCGGCGAAGAGTTCCCCAAGAAGATGACTCTGGTGCTCCACGAATGCCCCAGAATGCCACCCAAACGCTCCGCCAACTGAAATCAGAGATGTTCATCGCATAGCCGAATTGCTGCAAAATTACCTAGTCAAAAAGCAGAGGAGTGCGAAAAGAAGGGCGTCTGCTGTGTAAATAAAAGGCTTGAAATTTTATCCTCAATGTTTTTAATAACTCAATTATAAGATAAATTAGGGAGAATTGGAGAACAAACTTTTCTCCGAGTGTAAAGCGCGCGATGTTCTAAATATTCTTTGGCGCTGCGGTCGCTCAGCCTGTGGCGCCAATAGTGGCAGTCTGCCGAAGCAATTGCCAGACTCGCGGTCGCGAGAAATCCGCAGTCTCGCGAAAAAGTGAAAGAATCATTGCTGAAGTGAGTTCCTGGTGGCAGGAAGTGATACGAGAGTAGTGTAGAAGTGAGTGCCGCGTGTGCATGAGGTGGTGAGAATGAGTTACAATATAAGCTGGATATTTCCACGACTGAGGAAGCCGTCGACGTTCTGGCATCTGGCCAGCACAGTCACAATCGCGGCTGTGGGGCTCTTTAGCAAGATAATTATGGGTAAATTGCCTGGTGGAGCCAACTCCAGTCACATGAGTCCTGCGGACGTCTCTCTGGCGCGGCGCCCTGTGCGAATTCCCGGAATCCCTGGCGGAAGAAGTGGGTCAAGTGGGGCGCGGTGAGTGTGTGAGGCGCTCCTCTGGCCAGGAGAGGCGCCTGAGAGTGGCCTCCGGCGTGCTGGAGACACCCTAATTGGATTTCAGGGGTGGGAGATTGGGTGGAATCGATTTTTCGGGCTCACGCCACATGCCCAGTGTGCGGTTGCACTGCACACAACATCCGTGGCGCGCACGCTGGATTAGCACACGTCCAATTACATAATTGCGTGGCATTTTGCAGCCGAAGAGAGATTCATTGAGAAATTGCCATCTTACGACATTGACCACTATTAGATTCACTTTGACCCACTTTTCCCCGTCCCAGGAATTTTCACATGACGCGCACACGACATCACCTGAGGTGCGCGCACACGACCGAGGGAAAAGCCCTTAAAGAGAAAAGAAAAGAAGGGAATTTGCAGCGCCAGAGGCGACAATGGAAGCAGGAAGTTGGCGAATTTGCACTCTCATCACTGTTTTTCTTGTTCTTCTTTTGCAGTGTGGCTCAACAAGACTCGCGTGCACAATCGGCAAATCTTGTCTGACGCACTGAGGAATCGTCCACACGGAGTCCCACTCATTGTAAGAGCAGCTCTTTGTTTACCTTGGGTCGCGCGCAGGAGAGACGCGGGCGGTTGAAGAGTCGCTTGATTGAGTCATTGACTTGGCGAAAAACACAATGACTGGCCGAACGCATTGATAAGTTCGGGGGTAATTGAGACAATGGTCAATTGAATGTGATTGAAACTTGCTTCTGGCTCTGCTGAAGAATCTGGAACGAGTCCAGGATCTCTCTTCTGCCCTGGAAAGCCTTCCAGATCTTCTTTCAGTCTAGACCAGACGATCTAGACACTTTTAGCAGTGATAATTGCGCCTCAATCAATCGCACAATCTCAATTCTCACCGTTTTTCAATGCACAATTGAACACATTCGTGTCTTACACGGCTTCGATTACTTGTGATTTCTGTAAACGTCGCTCTTCTGTTCACGCGATTCACACTCGAGACGGTTTCCATGAGAAATTTTTGTGAGCTCAATATTGCAATTCAAAGATTTTACTATTTAGACTAACTCTCTTTATTTTTATGCATTTTTTTTTTTAGCTTTTTTACATTATTTACTTGATTTGATTAGAGAAAATTGTGCTTATCACATGTTCTCTCCTTGGACACATTAAGAAATAATCAATTTGACTAAGCTCAATGTGAAATAATGGTGAGATTTTGGTTCTGAAGACATTGAAAAAGGGTTAAAAATTAAATTGCAGTGATTGAAGCCCTTTCAAAGTGATTTCTGCTGGATTTTCTGCTGCACAGTGAAGGAAATTGAGAGAAAAGAATCTAGCCTTGCAAATCGCGTGTGAGTGCATTTGAGAGTTTAGAGTAAGAATTTGAGCGAAAATTCACACGCCACTGCCGAAAAAGACAGATTTTGGGAATTCATGTACTGAGTAAATAAGCGAGCAATCTAAAGGTCAACTGATGGGACTGATAGCGAGGCTAGGAGAGAATACTGAGGCATCTTAAGCCCTCCAATTTCATGATATCTGTGCTAAATCTTGGCCAAATCATCGCGAACAAACGCGTGCAAAGTTAAACTGCGAAGAAGAAATAATAATAGTGTCAATTTTGCGCTATAATTTATGAGTTAAAGTTTCATGGTCGCGCATGAAGGTTTTCCTCTTATTTCCGACACTAAAGCGCTTAATGACGCTGCTGTTGTCGCGCGCGACGAAAAGGTGATCATTGTAAAAAGTATAAAAAAAAGCGGAATAGCCAAGAAAGCCAACAACTGTGCATATTGCAGTTGGAAAATTGATATGCAATGAAATTGAAATATTCGTGGGAAAATTTATCACATTTCCCAGTGTTTGCTAATGAATTTTTTCTCACAATCTCTTCCTCAGACGTGCTCTAATCACGAGTCATGCTTCGATGACCCAGGATTATGGGGTAAGATGATGAATGATTGAAGAAAGATTTGCGCATGATTCTGAACGTGTGTCCCTGTTCTGTATTTTTCATTATTATTTCTCAATGTGTGCGTGTGTGTGTGAGTTTCTATCGTGAAATCTCTTTCTGTTTTTGTCCTTTCTTTGACCAATTAATTCAAATGAAAAATCTTCGTAGAGATTGAAGAAAATATTTCTTCTTTTCTTTCAATTCTGTTTATTTTTTACGTCTCCTGTGAACAGGACATTTTTGATTAAACTGTACATTTTTTCTTTCTTTCCTTTTCATACTGAATTGCAAAATGGTCTCACAGCAACGGGCAAGTTTTCGCAAATAGATTAAAGCAAGCAAGAATGAAAAATAAAAAAACCACAAAGAGGAAGAGAGAAAGTTCTTTTCCATTTTCTTCTCACATTTAACCGTTTCTTTAATGGCAGAATTTCAAAATTTCTTTCTCTCTAATTTTCTCGTCTTTTGCAGCACATTGTAATTTACTTTACTTGTTTATCATGGTTTTTCTTTTCTTTAATACTTTTCCTCTTTAATGCTGATAGTGGAGGAAAATATAGTGATTTAACTTCTTTCTTGCCATCTTGGGAGAAGTCAGTAGAAATAATTTTGTCCTTTTTCTCTCACTACACGAGGGACAATTGCAGGATAATTGCGGTGTTTTAGTGTTCTTTTGCACGTTCAACACATCGACGGGTGAATGGAAAACTGTGAAAGGTCAAAATCGTCCTTTTTCAGGAGAGCAAATTGAAAATTTTGAATTAATATTGCTGCGAAATTTACCTTAAAATACTTAATTGTTCATTAAAGCGTTAATATTGCTCTATAATAATTATTTTGCGAATATTTAAATTGATTTTATTAATATTTATTGTAATATTTAACTAAAATATGGCAAAAATTAAGAGAAAAACTGAATAAATTATTTTTCAGTCGGTTTTTTCATAGTGTTCGAGTACATGTTATTAGAATAATAAGTTTTAAAAAATCAATTTCATATTTTACATGAACTTTTCTTAGTTTTCAATTGAAAAATAATCTAAAATGTGATAAATAATCTATTAATTCAAATTCTAAGAATATTTAACACAATTTTTTTTAGTACTAAAACGGATTAAGAGTTTTCCAAAAATACACAAGACATCAAGTATGAAAAATCGACTTTTCTTAGTTTCCAATTCACCTGTCGATAATTAATCTTTCCTTAAACAAATCCGTTAACTCTGTTGGAAATTACTGTCTTTCTCGCTCTCTGTCTAAATCTAAGATTTGCTGGTGTCTTTGCTCTCTTATTGGCTCTTAGACAGTATTTTCTAACAGATTTGTCACTCAATTTTGGCCCATTTTTGGATTGGAAATTAACCACTTGTTGCGCTGGATTGTCTTGCAGGTGTTCTTCCGCTGAATCAAGTGTGCAACCACAACGTGATCAGATGGTCGCTGGCGGCGCACGATATCTGCTTCACCAACAAGTATCATTCCCTCTTCTTCATGTTCGGCAAGTGCGTGCCGTGCGTGCGCGGCGCCGGCGTCTACCAGCCGGCCATGGATGTGTGCATAGAGAAGCTGGCGCTGGGCGAGTGGGTGCACGTCTTTCCCGAAGGGAAGGTGAACATGGCTCAAGAGTACATTCGGTGAGGATGAAAAGCTGCATTGCTGGAGAAGAGAATCTCTGCAATTCTTGCCATCATTTTGCAGGTTGAAGTGGGGCATCGGTCGCCTGATCTACGAGAGTCCTGTTCTTCCAATAATCATTCCCATCTGGCATAAGGGAATGGAGACTGTTCTTCCGAATGAACCACCTTACATTCTGCGCGTGGGCAAGAAAGTTACCATCAACTTCGGAGAGCCCATTGACTTGAATGAACTGGTGAAGTCTCTCAAAGAGCGCAATGTTCCCGAGCCAGAGGCTAGAAAAGTCATCACAGATCGCATTGAGGAGGAATTAGATGTGAGTATTTGGTGGAATTATTAGAGTCTTAATCACAAGAGAAACTCACCATAATATTGTGTCTTTTCTTTGGCAGAATTTAAGGATAAAGACGGAACAGCTACACAATAAGTGCTGACGAGTGTCACGAGGCTGAATAAGTAGATTAATTGACAACGTAGAGAGAGAGAGAGAGTTGTGTATCGTGAGAGGATATCTTGCGCGCGCGGTGCCATGTGAAATATCCAGTCTCCAAGTCCATAATTACATATTAAGAAGAACAGTGTCCACATAATTCTTGCCCCATATTTCCCCTGAGACATTATTAAAGGTCGCAAATTTAAAAGAGTTGATGTTAATCTGTATAATCGGAATGCTGGACGGAAGGCAAATTCCCCAAAATGTAGATAAGCTGTGAACTATTTAGCCATTCATTGCGATTTTATTCATCACCTTGTTTTGTGATACGATTCAAATGCCAATTGATTAGTCCTTTTTGTACCTACGCATGTGTGCATAGTTAGATCAGCAATATATATATATATATATATATATATCAAATTTCTGGATTGGGATTTGATGGTGGAATGATTGCCTTTGTTTTTATTTATATAAAACAGAAAAGAAAAAGATCCGTTTTATTTTTTTTTGCTCCAAAAATGTTTACACACGCAGTGCTTTTATCTTAAGATTATTGTTATGGTCAAACAATCCCCACACAGATTTTGTCCTGAGATGTTGTTTTTTCTGCATTTCTCTCCACCGATCGAGTCAGAGCTGTATTCTTGAAAATATACACATTACAAGATATACCAAAATGATAGTGTTTAAAAGACAGATAATAATAATAATGTAAATAAAAAATTTGAGCTGTATCGAGACACTTTTTTCTATCTTCTTTTATTGTGACGATCAACAGCAGAATCTTTCTTCCAACAATCGATGGCTGAAGGAAGAGTGTGGATAATTGGTCGAACGAGCTCAATTCCTCACGAGAACGATATGGAGTGTGATGTACAAACCTGAGATTATGGAAAACACTCTTGGCAAACTCTCCAGTGATTCCACTGGTGGAAATGTCCGCAAAAGGTCTCGTCTTTTCTGCATTCTGGCAGAAAATGAAGGCTAGAATGGTGGATTGTTGGAGTGTGATAAGCGGATCCTAACGACCAAACTCACCCATAATTTTCTCTATCCCTGAAGAAGGAGGAAAATCACCTCTCATATCTTTAAATCTAATACCCGGCTGATAAACATAATAATAGACTGATTTATTTTCTGAAATTGACCGACTTTAAATAAACTTTCGGCTGACAATAGTATTTTCTATGCATCTTCAAGAATTGTGCTGAATTGAGACATTGTAAATTTGATGATGTTTGGGGTGGATTTTTGCCATTGAAATTAGATTCGAATGAAGCGTTGACGATTCGTTCTTTCAGCAGAAATTACTCCAGAAGACGACGAAGCAACTGAATACAGCGGAAATAAAACTGATAACGACTGAAGAGATTGTTTAGCTTAAGGTGTTTATTTTGTTATAGTAGTAGGTATTTGAAGTTTTTATATATATAAATTACATATCAGATATTGACACCGGTGTATTTTATAAAATATTTATCAGTTTCGTAAGATCTTGATGTTAATCTTTGTGGTTGTTTTTTTTTGTCAAAGAATCTTTCGCTCTTTTCACTTCATCATCATCATCATCAAAATGGAATTTAAGCCACACTCAATTTATTTTTTTTTAATTTTTCGACAAATTACACTTTTCCGATCTTTTGCTACTTTAGCTTCTTCCTCATAAAATATCTCTTTCTCTCTCTCATCTTCGATTTCTCCCAAATGATTGTACAAAAAAGGATTGATGTAAAAAAATTGAAAAAGGTTTTTTTGTCTCTCTTGCACTTTTACTCGCAGAGTTTTAGCTCAATACTTTAAATCACACTCTCTCTTTCTCTCTCTCTCTCATATTCTCCAGGATACTACACATTGTTTTCTTCATTTACTTCTTCACTTCTTACTTGTTTTGTTTGTATCACGATGCATTTTAGCTAGTAAATTGTTGTGTGTTTTGTTGTTGTTATTTCTTCTTTAGAGATGTTCGTACTTCACAATATCACAGCTTTGTAGTAATTATTTGTTGTTTTTACGCACGCTCTCTTCATTACTAAATCTTCTCAACGCAATCTTCTTGCTGAAAAAGGTTTTTTTTTTCATCTTCTTATATATGGTGAATTCTATATTTGGATCTTTCCTAACACAGGCTTGTTTCTTGTTGTTACAAATAGACGCACTTTCAGTGCCATCATAGAATGTTTCTTGTTTTAATTCATCAGTGCATTTTTTTTCTCCTTTAATTGATATTAGCGATCTTACTTTGTCTTGTCATACTTTTTATTTGCATTCCATGCCAAGGCGTATTTTTTTCGTAGGATATTAAGTTTTCTTAAGGTATATTTTACTTTATTTCTCTCTCTCTTTCTCTCTTTGCTGAAAGGATTTCTGGCATTCCTTCGCTTTTTTTTTCTTCACTTCAACCCTTAAAGATAAATCTCTTCCTATTTACGATAAATGTTTCTTATGTAAAACTTACAAATTGTGATTGATTGGAAAACGACCGCAAAGTTTTCTTATATTGTTATAATTTTCAAAGTAAAATGCAAAACAAATAAATCATCTTTTATGTTAAACATGTTTTTGGCTGTTGAAAACGGAAAAATTTGCCTTTTTTCCATTTTGTGCTCTTCATTTGAAATGGAATTTTGGTCGTTTGAATCTTGGTCTTTTTGTAAGATTTTACACATATTTTTTTTTCTCTATTTTTAAATGTTTCTAATTGTCTTGATGTTATTAAACTTGCTCTTAACTTTGTCTATTCACTTTTCGTTATAAATATATAGTTTATTCTTCTAGTTGTTACTTCATCGCAAATTCATTTTTTGTTACTTGCTATCACATCAGGCTTTTAGTTTCTTGTTTTTCATATAATTTGCTTTTTCCCTCTAAGTTGTTGTTTAATATTCTTCTTCCTCTTCACAGTATTTTTTTTTTCTTAGTAAAACACACCTCGCATTTTCACATTCATAAAAACATTTGTGTTGTTGTGTTCTTTCTTCTTCTTCACTTGCAGAATTCACTCTTGTTATGTTTTCTTGTATTTTTTTTGGCACTTGATATCATTATACAATTCCCTTCATTGTTTCCTTATTCTACGTCTTCTTTCACCTTGCATTTCACACAATTCTTCTTATTAATGACTCGATGGAAAACCTGGAAGTGGTGGTGACTAGAGAGTTGTTTAGACGACCCTTAACAGCTCTTCACGCAACTGTTTTTTTCTACTCCTTCTTATTCAAATACACCTTTCTTCGTTCGCATCTAAAGATTCTTCATTTTTTGTTGTTGTTATTAAACTTCAAAGTATTTCTCCCATTTTCACATTAAACCATTTTTTTATCATTTGAGTTTTTGAGTTGTTTTCTTTCTCTCTCTTTTTCTCTTTTTGGAAAAACGGCAATTTCACTATTAAATTCCTAATAAGTTGCATGACAAAAATTATGGTGCTATATTTTTTTCTTTCTTTTTAATGAATATAATATAATCATTTGTAAATGATTCATATTAAATACAAAATATTATCACACGTTTTCCTCTTTTGCAATATCTTATTTTCTGATTTTTTTTCTAACCTCTTGCTTTTTTCTTTCTCTTCTCCTCATACAAATAGTTTAAGATAAAATGGAATTACTAAATTAGATCAAATCTTCTCTCTAAAAAGTTTTTAAATTGCGTCTTTTTTTTGGAGACATTTTCTTTCGACCTTTTTTGTTTTCTTTTGATTTCAAATCAATTTTTCTCATCATTTCTTCCTGATGTTCTTGCGATTTAGCTAAGTTTTTCCTCCTTTTCTTCTTTTTTAATGTCATCATATCAATAATATATTATGTGTTTTTTTACGATTATACATTACAATACTCTTGTTAAATTTATTTATTATATTAAATATATATGTATTTTTATAGTTTTTTTCCTGCACATGCAATCTATTTATTTTTTCCCCCAAATTAAATCAATAATATGTATATTTTTTCCAAAAAAAATTATCATTTCAATATCGAAATTTTCACGTCTGTTGCGCGTCTGTAAAAAAACAATATTAAGCAATGGCAAGGGTGTTAATCTACATCGAAAAAAAACAATTCATATTGCATTAGAATGAAACAGATTATTGAGACTAAAATTCAAGTTCTCATCACAAATAGAAATTTCCAAAAAGAACAATAAAACACCAAAAATAATCCTTCAGCATAATTCTGGCATTGAAAGAACGTTCCTCAATTGGTGTTAAGGACACACAATCACTATTATTTTAAATATGTGTAGATAATAAATTGTCTTTGCCTACAAGTATTTCAAAAAGTACTACTTAAGGAGTCCAGAGACGCTGATTTATCAGAACAATTTGATTTATATATTACTTAAAAATTTTTCAAAGATTAAACTTGTCGACTTTTCATCATTTGGATGTTTAGGCAAAACTCCTCTTCTGCTTCCCTTCTTCTTTTCTCTCTCTCTCTTTTTCTCAAAGATATAATATTTGTACGTTGATTTTAAACACGTAATTCATCAGCTGTGATTTCGCACTTCTTTTCACTAGTAAATATTCGTTCATGGTAGGTTTTTTTCTCTTCTCCTTCATCTTCGTTAATTCCTATTAAGATTCCCAATACAACTTTTCTTCATCAATAATAAAATTCTCTCTCTTTCTCTTCATCTGATCAGCAGTTTGTTTTGCTCCTTTTTGCATCTCTCTCACATCTTAATCATGTTTTTTTTCTATAGAGATTGTATCACATTGTTTCATAAAGATCTTTCGCTCTTCTGTTTTTAAAAATCTTTGTCCTTAAGCGCTGACAAAAAGCACAATCACTCTTCGTTCTCAATAGAGATACACAAAATATAATAATTCATGATAAAACAATATATAAATCTGACAGGAATTCTCTACACAAATTAATTACCTCACTGCACAGCTGTTGTCATCTTTGAGTTGAATGGTTTTCTTTTTTTCTTTGCAATTGCAGTAACTCTTCTTCTACGCACTGTCCACTGATTGGTGATCTAAAATACAAATTAAGTGGCAGCAAGTCGACTTAGTTCTGTTTGCAGAGTGTGCTTGATTGAGTGTGTGTTCAGTTGAAGTCCGCAATGTCCTTCTGAGTCAACTCCATTATGTACTTGTCACGTGCACACTCGCTCGGGTAACTACAGCTTGAGAGAGCCGCTGGCAGCTCCTTGTCCTTCTTCGGATGCCACTCACCGACCATCAGACGATTGATCTCCTGCCAAGGAAACCCACACATTAAACACTCTTCAAACACACCAAAAAAACCACTTCCTTACATTGAGAAATGACACTAGGAGAGGATTGGGCAGCAGATCGAACTTGGCCACTTCGAATCTCTTCAAATCCTTACCCCTCAATCTCGCAATTCCCACCAGATTGTGCACATCCAGCAGATATCCGTGCACCACAATCTCCTCCAGCTTCCGGCAACGCCACGCCATCATCACAAGTGGATCCTGATCAGTCCTGAAATAGAATTCCGCCTCCTGAATATCATACGACGAGTCAATCCACGTGAGACTCTTGAAGCTGCCATTGTAGTTTTGCGATATGAAATCCACCGCCTGTGGATTCATGTGCTTGCAGAACAACACCTTCATGTGCGACAGTGGCATGCTCTCGTGCAGAATGTGGCTGTGGAGGTATTTTACTGCCTCAGAAGCTTTTATCTGTAAGAAAGTAATAAATAAATTGAGGAATTTACACAATTCACGTTGTCAAGTGTGTTCAGTTTGATAATATTGACTGAAAATACTGGTAAAGAGTTAACTCCACCCATTGCTTAGCCACGCCCCTCGCATATACTTTCGACATTTTGTATTTTTCCACCTTCTCTCTTCCCTCTTACTTCAGTTGGGAGGTCAAATTTAACCCAGAAAACGTGGGAGTTGTGATGTGTTATTGAAACTGTATTTTTTTCTCTCTTTCGGCATGATTCAATGTTTGCATGAGACAACAAGCGCCGCGATATGTGAGGCAAAAGAAGTTTACTCAAGTGAAAAAACCATCCAAAATATGGAATTCAATTAAAACAATAAGAGCGCGAGAGAGGTCAAAATCCACTTTTTATGCTGCTTCATCAAAGATTAATGGAATATTTTACTGAATGAGCAAAAAAGTGAAAGGTTTTAAGTGCTTATGTAAGTTTAACATCTCAACTAATTTCCCTGATTTTTTCGTTGTTGAAGAAGAAGCACAACAATTAGTATTTTTGTGCCAAGGCGATTATTGAGTACTCACGAGATTGATTCGCAGCTCAGTCTGTGGACTGTGATCCTGGAAGCTGCGCCAAGCGTCATCGGATGAGCCACTCTGGGTCTTGTCGAATGCATGAATGTGGAGCACGATGCGCTCGAGGTGAAGCAGCTGAAGCACGCGCAGGAGTTCATCGCTGAGGAAATCGTAGTCGATGGAGAGGAGGCGCAGATTGGAGCACTTGTCGAACAGACTGGCCTCCAGATTGCCCACGTAGTAGAAGCTGGGGTTCTCCTTCACGGACGCCATGGCGAGGAGGCGCAGCTCCTGGGGGCACGCCAGGGCGCGCAGGAACTCGGGGCAGTACATGCTGAGGCGCTCGCACGAGCCGAGATTGAGGTGGCGAATGGCGGGACTGCGTCTGCCCAGGAGGCTCTTGATCGGCTCAATCAAGCCACTGTGCAGGAAGTTCTCCGTGGTGAACTGCCTGGGCAGTGCGAATTGGCTCTGCGTGGGCCTGAGGGAGAGCGAGACGAGGCGCTCGTTCACTGAGCAGATGGCCAGGAGGATCTCAGCGGCGCGCTGCACAGCGTGCGCGCTGCTGGAGTCGAAGATGATGGACGTGGCGCTGATGAAGTGGGCCAGATTCTGCAGGTAGAACGCATTGCGAGCCTCATTCCTGCGATTCACCACGAAGGTGGCTCTGTCGAAGAACCTGTCAGGCGACAACGCAAGGGCTGTTAGACTGTCTGGGGCGCCTGCGGAGGGACTCACCTTGGATGGAAGAGTGTCTGGCGCCAGTGCTTGCAGGTGGCAGACGCCTGGAGGCGATCCGGGGGCTCAAGGTAGCGATAAACTTCCACGAGAGCAAGGGCAGGTATTTTGCCCCATCCCATAGCGCTATTCTCAGCAGTCAATTAACAATCTGTGGATTCTGCTCCTCAGGTTTCTTCCACTGACGAGGTGAAAATTCACAAAGGTGACCAGAAAAATTGCGACACAACTTTCACTCCAACTTACCTGGCATCTCCCACGCTAAATCACACTTGCACTCTCCTTCCTGTTCTTCCACGAGCTTTTCTGTTACTAATTCAGTGCGTGCAGTTGGTGTGTAATGAGTGAATTTTATGGAAAGTTTTAGAAGAAAAATTTTTTCGCCACTTCGTCTGAATTTTCGTGACGTCTAAGCCAAAATCTCACTCGATTTCTCCCAGTCGACAGCAGCGCTCACAGTGTCCATTGGCAGAATCACTCGGAGAACACTCAGACAAAAATTCGCTCGCGCGCGGCAAATGAAACATGAAACGCGTGTTTCAATCAAACACCTGCAATTTTACTGTCATTTTTAATTCCTTTTATTCTGTGTTTACTTCAGTATTATAAATAAAACATAACGTTATGAAACTAACAAAAAAAACCCAAAATTATAATTTTCTCATCTTTCTATCATTATAAAAATACAATTTCTGTGTATTCTCTAAACAACTAAAATTAAATTTCAATTCCATTTATAGGTAAAAATCAATTGGAGCAATAAATTTGCTGAACAACAGTTTAGTTTTTCCGCCGTAACTTTTTACTCAAAGTGAGAGCGACATTTTAATCTCCCATTTAAGGTAAAAGTTAAGCACGTTTTTATCTTCACATTTGCATCTTTGTAGGTAAAATTGCGCTATTACAAGGAATCTCCGGATTATTTTATTTATTTACTTCGTGTGTTGTGTGAAAATTAGAAAAGAAACATGTTTTCTGGGCTATATATTCTACCCGCTGTTCATCAATCAAGTCGCATTTGGTCCATATATATTATTTTCATAATAATCTGTTAACAACAGTTGCCTTATCATTTCAAGTATAAGGCAAAACCCTTCGCGTAAGCTAACAAGCAAAAATCTCTCTTATTTCCCCCCCAAAATCGCAAAATTATTGCATTTTCCTTTTTTTGAAAGACATTTGAAAAATAAAGAAACGAATGGCCGTAATTGATGTTGGAAACAAATAAAACGCTATAAGATTAATTTAGTAAATGTGTAACGAAAAAATCATGATTTCGTTTGATTTTCTCTCAGTATTTTCGCGATAAATTGTGAAATTATTATAAAATTTGATTAAATATTTAAAAGTATCCTTTTTTTCTATATACTTGAGATTTTCTTTCACTTCTTTTTCATTAAATTTTTTTCACCTAATATGTTACTTCTTTTGGTAGAACTCTCATTTCTTTTTTTTCTTATTTTGTTTTAAGTGCACTTCAGTGTTAGAGCAAAAATTCCATAATTTTTTTCTTTCCACCACATTTTCCTTTTTTTCATTTACAAGTAATTGTGGCCTTAACTAAATAATATATCCATGCTTAATACATTTAAACCCTAAAACTCTGTCTCTCTCTCAAAGTTTAATTACTAATAATTGAATATATCTCTTCAATAACTCTGGCTGCTCATATGTACATAAATATTGGATTTGGGGACACTCTTTGGGCCCTCCTTTTGTCGTACAGTTGCCTCCCATTCGTTCCTCTTTCTCTCTCTCTTTCTCTACTCAAAAATCCATCTTTACAAAAAAAAACAACTATTTAACTACTCTACTAACTTCCATTATTTCAAATTATAGGTGTTAATTATTCAGGAAAAAAGAACAATATTTAGAAAAAATAGGTTTTGTTTTATACTTCCGTACTCTCATTTGGCGTACGGATTCTCTGCAAAATCCAGCTCAAGATGTCACTTATTCTCACAGCAGTTGAATGTAGTAGAAGGTTTCGTGGTCCTTGAACAGATCCTCCCGTCCGCAGATCTCCTCGCGCCGCATGCGCCTCGTTATCCTCTGGCACACCTTCACAGGACTCGGCGGCGCCTTCGGCTTGTGCTCGATCTTCGGCACCTTCGCCGCCTTCGCATTGTTGGTCTGCCTCTGCTTCTTCCTCTTCTGCCCCACCGCAGATCGCCTCTGACTGCTGTAGATGGTCATACAGACCTCCTGATACTTCAGCGACATCCTGTAGCCATCCCGAATGTCCTCCTCACTGAAACCATTATCACGCTCCACTGGCACACTGATCGTTGTCTCACCAGCGCCACTATCGCGAAATCCATCCAGCATGTTTGGCATCTGATGCACCAAAATCCTCTTCGACGCCACCGAAATGCCCTCGAGTGGCGGCAATTCACGCTGTGGCAACTGCTTCACACCCAAGTCTATTGTACTATGTCTCTCCACGTCAATATCTTCAGTCTGTTGCGAGGATTCATTCACATGGCTCTCCTCCTCTTCCTCTTCCTCTTCCTCCTCCTCCTCCTCATCGTCATTCTCCAGCGGCAGGATTGCCTCCTTTGTAGCCTCATCATTGTTATTCAACGTCACCATGTCCGCTGGATAGTCCTCAACTGTGAACTCCGCCACAATCTCAATGTCCGAACTCGTGTCGACACTCAGAGAACGATTATTGAGATCAGACGTGACAACACCGCTGGAACTCTTGCTCCTGCCCAAATCACTCTCACTACTGTGACTGGCCATTGAGTTGCCCGACATGTGATTCTTATGCCGGCGTCGCTGCGACAACTTCGCATTCTCCACCTCAAACATGGAAAAGCCCTTCGACTGGGCATGCTTATAAGCGTCAAAGATGTGCTTCACACTCATGTCCAACGCCGCCAAATCCTGTGCCAATGTGAGATGCGTGAGCTGTGACTTACGCAGCGTTGTGCCCTGAAGCCACGTGTGATTCACCAATTCACTCATCTCCATTCGCGTATCCGCATCAACTGTCAGCAACCGTGTGACCAAATCCCTCGCGGCTGAACTCACAATTCTCCACGCGGGCGTCTTCGTGTCAAACTCCCCACGCCTGATCTTCTCCACCAGCCCTGAGATGCTCTCCTCCGAGCCCGTGGGCGGCCTGAAGGGACTCTGTCCGCACAGCATTGTGTACAGTATGACACCGAGTGACCAGAGATCACACGCCTCCATGTGCACCTTATCGCCTATGGCTGTCTTACTCAGCACCTCCGGAGCCGCATACTCCAGCGTGAATGCAGACGAAGGCACACTCACGTGTGACGGATCTTGCCTCACGGCAAATCCAAAGTCCACCACTTTCACCAAATTGGACTTCTTACTGGCGAAAATCACATTTTCCGGCTTCAAGTCTCTGTGAGCGATATTCTTTGAGTGCATAAATTGCACTGCCTTCACAATTTGCGTAAAAATTCCCGATGCCTCAATTTCCGTGAATCGCCTCGATTGCTGAATGCGCTTAAACAACTCACCGCCATCGAGATGCTCTAGCACAATATACGTGAACGCCTGATCGCGTATCACCTCAACAAAGCGGACAATTTGCGGATGTCCCTGGCATGCAATTAGATTATCTATCTCACTCTGGGCATCGTGTGACGCCCTGAGTATTTTCACAGCAAACACCTCTCGTGTCGTGCGCTTGATGCACTTCAGGCAAATGGAGAAGGAGCCATCGCCGATGCACTCACGAAAGTCAATTTCATACTTCTGGAAGAAAGGCAACTCACTCGTCTGCATCGTCTTCAGGTCACTCAGCTTCGGCTTTATCCCCGTCGGACTGTGCAACATGTGACCATTGAACACAGCCTTGAGGCGCAGCAGGTGTGGCGACACGAACGAATACCCACGGAAGAGTCTCTCGTGATTCGGTGGCACTGGACACGGTGACTCTGCGATGGGCAGTCGCGTGAACTCCTCACTGAAGTTACTCGTGTCCGTCTCGTAGTCCTTGGGCGGCCTGAATGGCGCCGGAATCTCCTTGCGCACCAACTTCTCCCAGTCAATGCGCCTGAAGAATGGATGCGACTTGATGTCCGTCGCCTCCACTTTGCTGCCACCTAGGCGCTTCTTTGGATCCTTTATCAGGAGCTTCGAGATGAAATCCCTCACCTCAGCACTCAGTCTGTCCGGCAACGGCGGTGGTCCCTTCTGTATACGCAGCGATATGTCGTGCTGAGTGTTCTTCTCGCCCTCGTGCGTGAATGGCGACGAGCCAGTGAGCAACTCGTACGCCAACACGCCCACTGACCACCAATCGGCGGCGAAATCGTGGCCCATGTTGCCCTGCTGCTTCACCACTTCCGGCGCCATGTACTCAATCGTGCCGCAAAAGCTGTAAGCGCGCCCATTCTTGTCCGTCGTCAATTCCTTCGACAGCCCGAAATCCGTAATAACAATGTGACCATCAGCGTCCAGAAGGATGTTCTCCAGCTTTATGTCACGATAAATTATTCCCAACTGCAAAACGAGGAAGAATATTAACACTTTGTGTAAGAAAAACAACAGTACAAATGGTGAAACAATAACTACATTTGCAAACAAACAACTCTTGGATTTCCTCAAATTGAAAACTAATGCTTTTGCTTATATGCTTAAGAATTGAGGTGAAGTTTTCTTGCAGCGCCCAAATGATAAAAATGCATTTCAAAAACAACAGTAAAGTAGCAAAAATTGCTAACATCAACAAAATACCAAAATCTTATTTATTCAAGAAACACAAATGGAAAAAAGTTTATATTTTGCGACGAAAGCTATGAAAAGTCGACTATTTGTCGTTTATGACGTACATTTTTTCTAAGAAAATTGTCTCCATTTGTAGTTAAACGCATAAAACGCCTATTGATGAATTTTTCATATCTTTTAACTTTTTCACTTGAAGATTTTGAAGAAAAGTTGATTTTTTAGATCTTTTTTGGGATGAAATGTACTCGAAGAGCATTAAAAATTGTCTTAGGAAATAAATATTTTCATTTTTTTCCATTGATTTTCAATATTTCAGTTAATGATTTCAAAAAATACTAATAAAATCAACTGAAATATTCACAAAATAATTATTACAGAGCAATTGGAAAATGTTTTGACGGTTTAAAAGTCAATTTGGCAAATTTCTCAGCGATATTAAAGCAAAATTTTCAATTTTCTCTCCTAAAAAATTACTATTTTGACTTTTCATCATTTTCCATTCATCATTCGACACAGAGATCGACAAGTTTTGCATGATTGTCGAATTGAAAATATCCCCAATATTATTATTACCTTGTGTAGTTGTTCCAGAGCAACTACAATTTCTGCTATGTAGATCCTAACTTCGTTTTCCGTGAAGTTTTCCCGTGTGTACAAATGAGTGAAAAGCTCACCTCCGCTCACATAATCTATAAAACAATGAGATTGATTAAATATTTCCGTCATCAACGCAGTTTTTTTTCATAATCAATTTCAATTCTTCCAGTTTTCCTGGGAAAAACAACACTCTCCTCAGTAAATACTCGAATTTCTTCATTCCACGCACTTGCTATTGTGCCTTAAATCTGAATTGTTGGCAAAACAGCACTGCAAAACGAGTAAACATATTTTCATGTGTGTGCAAAAAGAGATTCAACATCAAAACTACACTCGTCAGCATATTTTTCCATCATACTTTGCACAAATTAATATCCGAATGAGTTGAGAATTATTATAAACAGACAAAAAGAATCTCACCTATGATTAAATAAAGTCGTGATTCCGTCTGAAAAGCATAGTGGAAGTCAATCAGGAACGGGCTGTCCTTTATAGCTTCAAGGACCTGGAAAAAAAGTGTGACATTGAATTGATTTTAGCAATTCAGCGAAAATTGAACAGTTTCACAACGCAAAAAAAAATTCCTCACTTGTCTCTCTGTTCTCGTGTGTTCTGCTGTCTTTTTCTTCTGTATGAGATTTGATTTTTTCAGCACTTTCATCGCATACAGCTTATTGTGATCAACTCCGCCGCTCTTTCTCACCAAATACACCTTACCGTAAGCTATAATGACGAGAGCGAAGGAAAGAGAAAGAGAGAGAAATAAGCAAATCACTGCAGATTCACGTGTCAATTGATGAAAAATACTCACCGCCTGTGCCCAACACTTTCAAAATATCAAAGTGAGAAATGTCCACCTTATCTTCTGGCCGCAGCACCACTGAAAGGCGCAAGAAGAAAAAAAAACAAACATGAGAGTGAGATAATTGCATTGATATGTCTCGGGCAAAATTGCAAAATGCATTCTCAGTTGTACACATATTATCGACTTCCTCAAAATCATCATCTCTCTTGTGTGCAACAACACCACCTCAGTTCTCTCTCTCTCTCTCTCTCTCTTTTCATAATACATCAATCATGTAATCATGTTGCCTTCCACCAACACTACAAAACAGCTTACACTTTTTATAGCCGAAAAGTGGGTTACCAGTCCACGAAGAAAATCATCGCTTAAACTCCTCTCTTCTTGTATATTATGTCTTTTTTTCGCGTATTCTCTTCTGGCTTACATACTTTCTCAAAAAAGCGAAAAAAGACAGTAAGAATTTGGTAAACGGTGAACATTTCTGTATATTTTCCCTCCTGTTAAACTCTTGTCAACGGAATAGAGACGAAATATCTGAGATTTCTCGCGACTGAGAATTGGTGTCATATTCTTTAACACACGCTTCCTCAAATTGAAAAGAAACACACACACATCAATATAAATTCACCTCCTTCGTCATATTTCAACATTCTAATCAGGACACAGAATATATATATTAGAAATCATCTCAAGTCGCCCAAAACTTCTAAAACAAACAGCGTGAATGAAAAAAAGTCAACAAACATATTGAACAAGACCTCAAAAATTAATATAGTCACGCTGTCCTTCAGAGCTTTATCACCTTTTATAAGAACAGAAGTGTCTGGAATAAATATTACGCGCGACACTCTCTGTCCCCGAATATTGCACGTTTGTCTACACAATCTTGGCTAACGGTAACATTTAATTTGACTTCTCTGAGTTACATATAAGCCCGAAATTCACTCCCAAGATCTCTGACCACTAATCCTCATCGCGTGTTCACAGCTATTGTAAACAATTCACATGCTTTAACATTATGTAACGTTCGAGCCTGTCTTTTATTTCTGTTAAACACCAAAAACTAGAACATTGCTTTCCACTTCATTATACTGGCAAATATATTACTACATTCCGTGGCAAATCCTCTGATAAGGAACAAGATCCTTGCTTATCTGTAGAATACTTAAGAAAAGTTCTGAGGATTTTTATAGCTTAGAAAAGTTTCTAGATGAAATTTTGGTTGTAATTACAATTTCACGATCTTCAAGGCGTTTTCTGTCCAGTTTTGGATCGTTGCAACATTACAGATTTCATCAGAAAGGATCGAATAATGTCCGGAAACACATAACCTCAATTTAGAGTACTGAAATGTGCACAAATGGCAAGACAATCAAGTAAACATGTGTTTATCTACACATAAAAACATCATTTTTGTCTATTTTCTTGGTTTTCACGTGAATTTTCCGGATTTTTGTAAATAATATGAATCGTAATCTTGCAACAAATTAATATTTTTGACAGCTTATTTAAAATGTTATGAAAGTAAAGTTGCAACGACGCCTTTGTTGGGACTTTCCCAAAAGAATATTTAAAACAGACCTGAAATTTTGTTTTCACTTTCCTTCCCAGGAAAAGAGTTAATAGTTCTGAGTTTGCACATTAAGAATCTCAACCATCATGAGCCAATGCTGACTTATGGGCGACATTGAACACATTGAAAGAGTAAAAAAGTGCGTGTAAAATGCCAAAATACATAATCGCAACTTGAATTCTTCACTGAAGCCGAAGAGGGTAGAAATTCTAAACCTTCTGTGAGAGAGAGTGAGCTTCTCGCCACCTTGTCTCTCTTTGCGACTGTAATTTAAGCGCGTGCAGACATTGAAAATCACTTTAACCTCGTCAGCTCAAAGATTAATACAAAAATTTCACCATATCTCATGAGTCACCGAAGGCCTCTCGACAACTCTGTATGGCAAAACTGCAGGACTTTGTGGTCAGCGCGAGGGTAATTTTGTGAAGAGTGAGAAAAAATTCTTGACAGCGCAGCATTATTATCACTTCCGAATGTTATTGACCACAGAGTGTGCAGAGATAAGGATTACTTTGGGCCAATGTGTGGCTCTTATTTGTGCCCTATCGAGCCCCATTCTCAGCATCTCTCAATCAATTAGCAATTGCGGATGTTTTCAGAGATGCTCTGCAGCGTGTTGTGCACATAAAAATGAGAGAAGAAGCGTATAATAGGGACGGAAAGTGTGTCAACCAACCATTGTTCCTGATTCTCGACGTCTGTTCCAGGTCAAAGTCACTCTTGCTGTAGGTGCCAACGCAGACCACGGAGTCGCTCCGCTGCTCCGCTGGGGGCACTTTGGTTCTCCTGGCGTCGGCGTCCGCGCTGGCGGGGACACTCTGGAGGCCCTGCTCGGCCTCCTCCTCGTCGTCCGTGTCGATGACGATGTGGTACTCGCCGTCGACGCCGTTCTCGCTGTTGCCCGACTTCCGGGGCTCCCGGTAGGCATGGCGGGACGTCGAGGAGACACCCAGATCGGCCTCCTGGCCGCTCCGCGCGAACATGTTCGTGCGGGGCGTCTGCGGGCCCTTCTTCAGTATCCCCGCGGCGGGCGCGTGCGGGGCCGCCTTCTTGCCACGCCGCCCCTTGCCCTCCTGGTGGTGCTTCGGCTGCTGGTGAGCTGGCGGCGACTGACTGCCCTGACTCCGTTGCATCTCCTTCGCATCACTGTACTTGGACGCGACAGCGTGTGCAGTCTTTGGCCTCATAGCTACTGATCCCGCCTTGATGTACTCCACAAAGTTGTTTTCTTCAAAAAATCCACTCTCGTGATATTTGTTCTTGGACATGTCGCCCTTCTTGCTCCTTTTCATTATTGCGAAAGTTTTTCCCACAAATCCACTGACATTGAATGTCAATCAACCTCCTTTGGCCTTTACAACCAGCAAATTTATCATTCTGCACACCCTTTTCCGCAACTTTTCACACCATGTCCACGCCAGAGATCACCCACCACGTGTCACGGCACTCGCTAAAGCACTCCAAAGTCACTGAAAAACTCTTTTTTAAGGAAAATCAAGGGACACTCATTAAAAATTTCCACAAATGGCAGCCATTTTGAAGACAATTAGAAAGCGAGTCTCGCCAAACTTCGCCGTGCGTTGTCAGACGCCTCGGCTGCGTCTATTCCACAGAGACCCCTTTGAAAATACCCGCCGTTTTGCCACTTTCCCACGCCAATATACGCAGCCGCAATCACTTCTCAAACTCCGCAAAACGCCAATATTTGCATTGAAAACGAAATTAATTTATTTCAAAATATTTACAGAGACATTAAATTAAAATATTGTAACATGATTTTTCTTCTTTTTCTATCACTGTACTTTTTGGGATTAAATATTTGTCAAAGTAAAAAATTACACAATTTTTTTAAGCTTTTTTTCTCTCTCTCGCTCACACTAATTTGTCGTCAATTTGGAACATAAATGTTTTGCTTATTGCATGATTTCATTAATAAATAAATTATAGATCTTAGAAAGAAGAAAGAGACATTCTCGCGAGAAGAATATTTCCCAATATATCTCGTTTTGCTTTTTATAAGAATGAATAAATGAGAAGAGTTCAGATTTTCTTGGTTGTTAATTCGAACAAAAATATTTACATACGAAAATTATCACAGGTTTTATAATAATGGGAATAGTTTACAAGAAAGACTCAAAAAAAACCTCAAACGTTTTGTCTTTTCACAAAGAAAATATTCCTGCAAGAATGCTCAGAAACGCAATGTTAAACTTTCACTAAAACATATTGTGCCTCTCTTCCTTCCTAAGTTTTGTCTTTGCAAATTAAATCAAAAGAGATACAAGAGCCATTTAGCTATACAATTTTCCTCAGAAATATACAAACACAATTATCTTTATATCAGTTTTAGCATGCAATGAGCAAAAAAGTAGTGTCTATTCATATTTGTATGTTTATATGCTATGGTATCATATTCCAAATTATGCTCCTCTTATTGCCTATTAATCGAAAAAGAGCCCAACGTCACTATGCACTCTTCTCTCAATCTATTCCGGTAAAGCTTTGCTTGAACACTTTACAAATAGTCGAATTATGTTGCTCTTCTATGCTTAAATGTGTTTTTTAGGTTTCCTTTTATGGGGGGGGGGGATTTTTACAACATCTCAGTTTTTCACTTTAACGCCACAAAGGCTAATATTTCAACTAAAAAAAACTCCTATTAAATCGCTAAAAATCTTAGTTTTGCGTAACGTGCCACACAATTAGGTAACTCTTGTCACCGCGATTCTCAATGGTTTGGTTCGGCTCCAATATTATGCTGTTCTCCATGTCGCCATCGCCTGAAAGAAGGAACCAGAGAAGGATTTCATGAGGCGCAAATGATGAATTCAGGAGGACAAATGTGTGCAGATTCGATAGTATTTGTGGTATTTACAGCATCTTAAGTTAATGAATAAGATATATAAAATTTATAAACATTTTCGATACTTCCATCAAGCTTAGCGATCTAAAAGTCGACGAGTGAAGCGAAAACTATGAAAAGTCGATTTTTTCATAGTTTACTTTTCAAAAATACATAAAAATGTATTTTTAAAAAGCTTCTGATCTGTTATAATACTGAAAAAATTAGGTAAGAAATTTTATTGATTCAAAAATTAAATCAAATAATTAAATTTAATTTTTTCCCTTTGAAATCTTTGTAGAAAAGTTGATTATTTAGAAGTTGTTTGGATAAAGTGTACTCAAAAACTATAAAAAACCGAAAAATGCTAAAAAATTGCAATAAAATCAACTGTAAAATTCAGAAAACAATTATTAGAGAGCAATATTCGGTAAGTTTCTATTACGATTTTGACTTTCCAACAGTTTTCGGTTAAACCCGTCGAAGTGCAAACATGAGTTAAATTCAATTATTACATTATTTACACATAAATCTCCAAAGATTACTCTAGAGAATTTAAAAAATGTTGAATAAATACCACAAATGCAAAGAAATTCAATTACAACAAGACATCACTTTTAATGGACTTTCAGCTTTAACAACATAAATAAATACATAAAATTATTTTACAAATTGAAAACTTTCAAAGCACAGAAGACAAATGCAGATAATCCCATTGAATGTATTTGTTTTGGTGCAAGTTTGAATAATTTTTAATAGGTTTTCAGTAATAATTCAAGCCTAACTGTGCCAAAAATTTGTGTTTATATGTGAATAAAGAATGCTTGGGATTCCCGAAATCCAATCTATTTGTAACTTTTGTGAGCTCTTCTCAACATATTCTCTCTCTATACATTTATTTAAAAGGTAGTTTGGGTTTTTTAATATGTTAAGTGTACATTTGCAAAGTAGCAGTAGATAAATTGATAACAATCAAACACAAGAAGAGCACACAAAAAACAACTACTTCAGCAAGGATAATAACATAGTTAACCATTAAAGCATGCAATATAGCTGGATATAATCAGTTTTTTTTATCTCTTCATTCCATTAATAAACAACTCAATATATATATTGAGAAAGTAATGTAAAAAAAGGGTGTGTCCAAATCCAATACAGAAAACAAAAAGTAATAAAAATATTATTACCTATCTCATTACTGTTTCTTTTTTGTCTTTTGCTCAAAAACCGCAAAAACATGTTTTTTTTTCTTAAAGAGGGCGTGTGTGACTGTGTCTTTTCTTTTTGTTTGTCTCTATTGATGCCAAAAAAACACGAGAGAATCGCAAAATATTACGTAGGTGTGAATTTCACTTTCCAAACGAACAAATGTGCAGCTATGTCGCACGCATCATCTGCATGCTCTTCTGTACCACAAAAATACAATATGAAGAAAAAAAAAATAAAATTAATAACTAAAAGAAGATGCAAGAGGAATTAAGAAAAAAGTGGGATTCAATTGGATGTCCAAGATTAATTGGGGGGTCAAAAGCAAATTCTAGGCGTTTTAGAAATATCTCAAGAGTCTTTAAATACTAAAAAAAAACAACAGAAAATGCCACAGAAAATTGTGCTGAGGAAGAAGTTTCAATCATCTCACAACTTCTTCCACATCACAACTTTTTCTGATCGGTTATCATTTTACTGGAAAACTAAAAAAGAAGGAAAAGTAACATCAACATTATGGTGAAAAAAGAATAAATAGAAATTCAAACAGCGGCAAGTCAAGGAGTTCCACAAGGAGACAAAGAGGCAACTTACCCAAGCGAAAGTCAATGTATCCCTCACCGCCAGACAGGACCAGCATATCTGGTGATTTATCGAAGTGAACGGGATTCTCAGCCGGCGTCGGCATTGGCACTGATACGAAAAATTTCACCGAATCCCGATGTCCGTGGAAGGACAGCTGAGCATTCGCCATGAAACATCGTGGAATGAAATTCGTTTTGCTCAGTGAACTCGCACTGCTCCCCGCGCTGCTACTTATCGACGATCCCGCTGTGCTCGAGTTCACCTTTTGTGCTCCAACAGAACCATTCGTTTCTGTCAATGGCACAGATATGATCACTCCATTTCCAGTTCCTGCAAAACCACCGAAACAAAGTCGATTAGACACTGATTGATATCCTATTGAATCCAATCGAAAGTCTATCTAAACTAATGCGTCGTTGCAACTTTACGTTCAAAACATTTGAAATAAACTGTCAAAATTCATATTATTTATTAATTAGGGAAATTTATCATCAAGATTTATCCCTGTTAAATTCATTCCTCGCATTGAAAACATCCCTCGGTAATCGCCGAAAACACCTGGAAGTTCCTACCAGATTGGTAGCTTTTACAAACTGAAATACGAAATCCGTAATGTTGCAACGACTCATAAAACTCATCAGAATTAAAATATTCATCTGACTTGTAGCGAGTTAATTAAAGAGTTGAAAAGTGAATTATACATATTTGTTCTCTACCATAACGAGCCAAGAAACCCTAATTTGATGTTATTCTAGGGCCCAATATAGAAGAACGCATGGAGATTAACTCACCAATCCACAGTCTGTTGCAAGATACATGAAGTGCTGTGATGCGAACGAAGGAGAAGCCCAGCTTTCCAGTTCCGAGCATCTTCGAGACGTAAGGCTCAATGTCCACATCATCGAGATGCTCGTACGTGTGAGCGTGGTATAATCTCAGCGTTGAGTCCAACCGAATTGACACCCAGACGCCCAAACCAGTCGCTGCCATCTGCCTCACCTGGCTCTCCTTTCGCGGATGAGCCTCCAGGATGTGCACGATGTTCAGTGTGATGGGATCGACGATGTAGATCTTATTCCGATGAGCCGCCCAAATCTTATCTCCAATCACGGCCAAGCATCGCACGGACTGCTTCGGACAGCCCAGCGTCACGAGATGGTAACTCTTGAGATCCCACTGTCCGTCCAGGGCACGCCTGAAGACGGCAATCTTCCCATTGGCCAGCGCCGCCACCACTCGACACTCCACATGTACAATGGCCAGCACGGCGTCTGGCAAGCAGATCTGGTGCAGACAATCTCGCCACCTCGCCACCGAACTGTGCACGTAGAGCATTCCATTTTGGGCCCCGAGCCACATTGTGGGCCCCACGGAGGACATTGGAGGCTCCTCGAGTGGATTGGGCGAGCCCAGGATGGGATTCACAGGCTTGGGGAAGGTGAGGTCATCGAGATTATTGTTGGCAGCGGTGACTTTGTAAGCACCAAAGTGAATTGGTGAAATTGGCGGAGCGTCAATCTTCTCCACGACAGCGTTACAACCGCCCAGATTGGGCGCTGTTTCGCCCTCAACCTCCACTTCCTGGGCCACTTCAGTGGCATTGTTGTTCTCACTGGAAGTCTCCTTCCTTGTACTCTCCTCCGGCACGCGGACAAACTCCACGCGACCCAGATCGTCCGGACCCTCGCCCGGCTTCTCCAGTGTCTCACCAGCCTTAGTCACTTCGCTGTTCTCCAGCATGGCGTAGTCCTTCTCCAGCGCACCCATCACTGTGCAGATGCACAGCAGATGCGTCTGGCACACCGGGAAAGAGTCCAGAACAACACTGGCGTCATTTGCATCAATCACCGTCACCGTGCTGGCCGTGTGAGTGCTCGTGCAGATCCAAACGTACGAACTGAGCGCCAAATTGGGGTCACTCGTCTCCATTGCCAGTGTTATTTGCTTGTCCAGTGAATCTAAGTCACTGCCAACATTGCTGCCATTTCCACTAATCTTGTCTGTGATCTCCGTGATTTTCGCCATGCTTTTCTGCGCATAGAAGATGCTGGCACCAATAAGACATCCCCCATCACGATTGAAGCCACCTTGGAGATTCACACCGCTCGCACAGAACACCTTCATGTGAGGATTCGCCTCGGCAATGGGCTGGCAATAGATGGGCACCTGTTTTTTTGGAGGAATCACAAGGAAAAACAATTATTTTCAGCACACAGAATGAAAAGATTTGTCGATTTATTACCGGTACTTTGAAATTGCTGTTGGCACCCGAGCTGGCAATGGCTGGCTGCTTGATGGACTTCCCAGGACTGGCCTTGGAGCCTGGCAAGCTCCAGCCATAGGCATGCAATCGGCCATCCTCCTTCTGGACGTGCGCTCGCACTTGTCTGTACTGCTCATTCTTCCTCAGCTGCGCCCTCTCGTTCGTCGACACGTCTGTGGTGAATGTCAGGGCACGCGCGTGGCCAGGACCACTGGAGGGCAGCGCCAAGCGTCCCTCATTGCTCATCGCCGGCGCCACATGGTGATCTGCTGCGTTGTATCGCAGATGCAAGTCCGGCTGCTCTTGCTGGCTGTCCGACGTCCGGAAGAGGTTACTAAAAAATTTCCAAAATTTGTGTTTCGACTTCTTATCCAGCGACTCCACCGTGCGACTCGCCCGAATCATCTCCGTCCAGCGCACGGCCTCTTGCAACTCCATGAAGCGCTCCTTGTACTGATTCCTCTCCATCAACACACGCGCCATCTCCACACGCGTGAAGCGCTTCCGCTGAGCCATACTGATCTCACCCTCGTCCTCTTGCTCAGACGAACTCTGCGCCTTCAGCTGCTCTTTGGTCTTCTTCAACTCCTCCTCCAGATCCCCAATACGCGTGCTCAACTTCTGTCGCATGATGAATGCCGATCGCAGATCTTCGCGCAGAATCTCATTCTCACCAGTCAACTCATCCACCTTCACAATCAGATCATCCTTCACAATGTTCAGCGCATTCTTTGTCGCGAGGAGCTCATTGTTCTCCAAGATGAGGTTCTCCACTTCTTTTCCCATGCCTGGAGTTAATGAGGAGAGCAGAAGAAAAACATAATGCTTTAATATACATTTCACATTATTAATTAAAAACATGTTTCTTCTCCTTTCATTTGCCAACTAACTAATGGATGATGAATTAATTTAGAGAGAATATACTCACCGAAAAAGTTATCATTAACTGTGTCGTTAGTTTCAGCAGCATGCCAAAGAATATTGATGCAAAATACAGCAAAAGAGAAAAAGAATTTTTTGTCAAAACACTTTTGTTAGTTGATAAAATGTAATGCAAACATTCATATTAATTAATATGGTTTTGGAATTTAGACAGTTAAGAGAATACAGACAGGCTACAAAGTAGCTCATCTCTTCCCTAAAAAGTTATTGACCATTTATGAAAATCAATCATTTTTATGCCATTTTTAGTCATGATAAAATGAAGCTGCTAACAAAGAAAAGCGCCAAATACTCAATTTCTTCCGATGGAATTCTAGCAAAATCAATATCGAGCGCCATGGCATGGTCGTGAGAATATATAATAAAATGCGTATTGTGGTGAAATTGGAATGCACTCACCCGAGGACGCATAGTCGCCAGGATGAACCCAACTTCCTGCATTGTTTAATTGAGCGAATTTGGTTAGAGAGGGAGAAGAGAGAGAAAAAAACGCACATAAAATACATAATCGTTCACATGATTATGATAAATGATTGCGAACTTGAGCAATCTCGTCAATCAAAGTAAAGAAAAAAAAACATTGAAGAGAGCAAATTTGTATGCGTGAATGAAAAACACACAATTTCGCAACAACTCCAAAGCAAATCTCACCTGTGACTTCGTTCTCCTCACTCTCCTCGTTGTCTTGGAACGACAGCTCTTGGTAGAGCGTGTTGCCGGATCGTTGTTCCTTCTTCGTCATCGAGCGGCCCATCGATGAGGAAGGCGCCGGATGCACAGGACTCGGTTCACTCTGTGGCGATGTCGCTTGGTTCATTTGTTGCAGCGAATCCGTCTCGGCCGCCTTTTCCAGCGTCTGAATATTGTCCAGCTCATTCTGGAAGGACAACGGACCGGATTCTGAGCCTGAACTGCCATTCGGACTGCAAATCGTCTCAGTGTCCAGCATCGTGGAGTTCTCCAGTGACGCAAAACCGTACGAAACGGGCCCAGAAGATCTGCGAAATGCATAGAAAACAAGTCAACAATCATTATCAAAAATTTCCTACAGCTAATTAAAAGTTCATTATCGCCAGCAATGCGCGCCGGAATGAGATGACAGACACGCTGTCTCACATGATATGGACAGAGCAAGGTTGTTTTGCTCTCTACACATGCAACAACTAAACTAGATTTCTCAACATGTTTAAATAATTATGTTGTGGCGATTTGTAAATTTGTGTCGCTAACAAATCTCTGACTATTTGAAGCACAAATACTCACCGATTCATGGGATGCAATCTCGCTCTGTTCACGTCCAATCTGTCCGACGTTGAGCTCATTTGCGAGTGCGTGGACCCCATGAGGAGCTTCGTGCGCTCCATGTAGTCCACGTGAGTCTTAAACAGTTCTGTATAGCGCTCGTGGAGTTTGCTGTACTCTCGTTTCAGCTCAGACTCGCGCTCCTCCAGTCGCGACGCGTGCTCCAGGCTGTTCTTGTGCTTCAACTCCAGCATCCTCACGATGCTCTCCAGCGATTCCAGTCGCGATGCGAGCTCCTTATTCTCCGCCTCGGCCAGATCTTCAGTCTCCAGCAATTTCTGCTCCGCCTGCTTGCGGGCGCTCTTCTCGCGCTCATACTGCGTCACGAGCTGCTCATTGTCCTCACGCAGGAGCTCCAGCTCAACATCCTGCTCCTGATTCGACTGGTAGGCCGCATCGAGGCACTCGAGCACGTTCACCAGGAGCGGCATTAGAGTCTTCACCACATCCTCGTCGTAGCGCTGAATCATGCGCTCGAACTCCTGGTAAATGCTCCCGGCCAGAGATTGCACCTGAAACAAGAGTGGGACTTTAGATTTCTCCGTTTTCTTGCTGACGTTGACTCATTTTTTTCTTATCTGTCATGCTAGCGTGTTCGTTATCAAGATAAGACGGTGTTTACCTTGCGGAAGTGAAAATTACCTCAGAGCTATTCGAGGCATTTGACTAAAGACGTTTCTTTTGAACTTATCATAACATGTTTTGATTGAGACGATTGAAACAAAGCTCCGCCCACTCAAATGCCACGCCTACATGAAGCCCCCAAAACCCATAAATGTCTTGCATTTGCTCTGGCTAAAAGTCTGTTCAAATCGCAGCAACTTGCAATTTTTATTGAACGCTTTTTCTGCTCCGTCTGACTGACGCTTAACGCTACAATTTGAATACAGAAACTTTACAAGTTGTATCGCGAGGTGTAGAGTCTGCTTGAGCGTGACGGATGAAAAGTGAAACGAACAAGAGGAAGCAAGTCCCCAATTTCCAGCGCCCGGGAAGCGCCCCAGAGAAGCAGGTGGCCATGGGAATTCTCACCTTTTCCGACATCACCATCGTGTTGTCTTCGTGGGTTCCGTACACAGTTTCAGCTCCTGTCTGGTTCAGGCTACTCTGTGGCCTCTCATGATCCATGTCTCGTCCCACTGCGCTTGCTGTCGCCCACAGTCACAAGAGAGAGAGAGAGAGAGAGAGAGAAAGCACAATAGAGAGTGCCAGAAGGATAAGAAACGGACAGGAAAGGCGTGGGATTCCCTCACAGCAGGGCTTCTTTGTACAAATAAAGATAGGCAGCACAACGTGAAATCACTAAAGTTAGCGCTTTACGCACATCCTGACCACGGATTTCTTGCACTTGAGCTGTAAAATCGATGCCCGGAGGACTAGAATGGGTTTACAAAGGGATTTGCACACAATTTTCACAACACTTTCCACTTATATATGTATATACGTATATATATGGTGCACAGCAGAAATGTCAGACAGATTTCAGCACAAATGGTCGCGCACCGTTGAGGAAGTCGCACAAAATATTCATCCTTCGCAAAGAGAATCAGCAGGGCGAATGGTGTCACATATCACACGCCTCAATTGACCCAGGAAAAGGGGTTGATGGATAAACTAATCCAATAAAGAGTCGCAGATGGAATTCGCACTTCCAGAAGATATCCTGCGATTTCATTTGCACTTTTTCCCCGTGCGACACCTCGGCAAACGCCTTCCAACACAGCGTCGCGACGATCTACCCGGATCAGTCTCACTTTCTACACGGAAACCATCCACTTTTTGCCTCGCGTTGAGGTGGTTTTTCGCAAATAAATACGCAGACTTTTCCACTTGATTCTTTTTTTCACGGGATGACACAGAAATATATCGCCACCCGAGGTACAGCACAGCAGAGCGCGAGAGACGACGAAAATTTCTTCGTTGAGTTGCGTATATTCCGCCCAAAACAAGGGTTTTTTTTTCCTTAGCGAAATGGGAGGAAAAACCAATGCAATTTCAAGCAATTATTATAATATTTCAGAACATCATTTATTCATATTAACCATTAGATCACCATCGGGAGAATGCAGTTCTTCAAACAAGTGGAAATTGTACAAGCGTTTCGTTTTCTTATTCGTTCGATGCCATGTGGCCCATAATGTTCCCCGTGAATTTCTCTATTTTCCGCAAATCTGGCATCACCTCCGTCTTGTACTGAACACACTGCAAGGACACAAGAGAGAATGTGGTATAAAAACACTGCTGCTTGAGGAAATACTGCTGGAAAACTCACCTTATTGTTGTCGGTCAATTTCAGGAGAAGTTGTCCCTTGTGATGGATGTATTTCATGGAAAATCGACTCCTCAGTGGATTCCTCATGTACATATTTTCCGCTGCAATCTCGAAATCGTCCCAATTTTTCACATAAACCATTTTTAAAGAAAATTAGAAAATATACGTGGATAAATTCGTGGAGAAAACACTGCGTATATATTGACAACTGGATTGAACGAAAATTACACCGTCAGAAAAAAGACGAAGAAAAACGGCGAAACTGCGGCGAATGATGATTTTTAAATTAAGAAGCTGTTTAGCGATGAAATATCATCAATATTGTGGTAAAATTTGGTAAACGGAATGAATAGTTTTGCAATTTTAGTTGAAATAGTTTAACATGCTGTTCTTATGAAAGTAGAATGAGTGCAAAATGTATTTCGATTCTATTCAGTAGTCACAGTGAATATAATAATGGATTGTTTTAGATTTAGTGTTTTTCCGGTAATCATAAAATTGATATGCCGATAAACTCTCGAAATGGACCACTCGAAACCGTGCCCAGCATCCAATTCGCAAGGGTGCTGTGAGTGGGAATCATGGAGAATAAAATGGTCTATTTATTTTGATATGCTTTCGTGAGGGAAAATAAAACAAGTACTTTGCGGTACATTTTGCTCAGTTTTTTTTTCATGTAGGTAGAGAAAAATAAAACAACAAATCAGATATTAAACAAATATTTTGGTCCAAAATATGTCTTTTGGACTTGGGGAAAAGCTGACGAAACGGGAGTACTTTTATAGCCAATTTGTGTTTGGAATTAGTAAAATTTTCCAGAACAATGAAAAAATGTGAAATTCTCGTTAGAGAATTTAACAAATTACACAATGAAAAACGAAAAGAACAGCCCTAAAAATTGGCTTTAAGGTCAAAAATCGTCAATTACGAAAACTCTGAAAACATATTAATTTTTACTTAATTTCCAAATGAACAATTATTGAATTTTAAGTATAAAATATAATAGATGAACAAAGAAATTCACAGAGTCTGGATATTTCAATGTTCTTTGTAATGCAAGTAAAGAAAGAAGTAAATTAATTTTTCACTTTCACTTTCTGACCAAAAAACAGCCAATTAATACAAGTTAAGGCATATTTGCTGGAAAAATTAAGGAATGACTATGAAAGACATCGTGTTTTTACAACAAAATCGACGTTTCGACTTTGGAATGTAATTTAGCGAGTTTATTTACATGATATACATTACAAGGGTGAAGAGGAGCCCGGGAAGGGGAATGTTAGGGTGTAAGTGATGTAGAGGGAAATAAATCTGAAAAGCGAAGGGAAAGAAATTCAATGTAATATATAGCAGGTTGTGTGTAAATCAAGACAATTCTTCAGTTTCTGCTTTCTCTTACTTACATTTGCGCCGTGGCGCACAGATTCGTTCCTCATAAAATCTTCCGTCTCCGCACCATCATGCATTTATTCATGATTTACCAACTGTTTTGTAAATGGCGTCGGAAGAGTGGCAGGCATGGCGAGAGTCAGTGGAAAATGGCAGAAATTTGCACTCCATCACAAGTTGTTCCGGGATCGGGCGAAATTAATTCAAATGACGCGAAATGAGAGAATTAAATGATACTTGAGCGACGAGTCATTAGCATATTTGGATTTTGTGATTCTGGGAATGTGGCCAAAAATATGTGCGTGTGTGTGTTTTTTTTTTAGGAACATGATACTCATTTTATTTCACTTTTGTTCACTTTGAAACGAAATTTTTCATCTAATACTTGTTTTGAATTTGCAATAATTTAATTGAATTTCACACATTTCTTTTAAATCATGTATATATACAATCGTTTTTAAATAAATACAGTTACTTGGCTTTTGCTTCAATTTTCATTCACTTTGCATTTTGGGGATAGACTTTATTAGGTAATTAGTCACTATTTACACTTACTTGTATATGTAATAATTAGAGGACACAATAAGAAAAGCCCTTCCACACGATGAAAATATGTCATTTTAAATAAAATATAACACTGTGCTTAAGTTTTTACCTCTCGATATCTTTGGTTCACAAAAGTCTACGGTTGAACGTGTAAATTAGATCGATTTTGCGAAGTTTCCCTGCTGCAATCTGAGCAAGGACGAGGCGTGGAAGGGCGTCTAGTGAGCGCCAGGATCTACACAACGTAGGGTCTGAACATGTCCCCATTGGAGATGACGCCGTCGGTGAAGACGACGCCTCTTCGGTTCAGTATTGCACTTGCGGGAACACTTTCCTCCACCAAATTACTGAAGTTGTTCATATTGGACGCCATCAGATTGTTCACCATTCGATGTTGATCACTGCTGCCGTTGCTCGAGCTATTCACTATGTGGCCCGACTTCATCACGGCGAAGTTCCTGTTTATGGGATTCTCCGGCAGGCTCGCGAGCGACTTGTCGGCATTGAGCTTCTCTCCTCCCTGGACAATTGATGGCGCGGACGATGCCTTGCCGGACGAGGATGGCGACTTCTCACTGTCTGACGCACTCGATCCCGAGTTGCTGGAGTGCATGGAGTGATCCTTTGACTTGGCCTCCTGTTGAGCCTTCTTTGAGCGCTTCCATTTCATTCGTCTGTTCTGGAACCATATTTTAACCTGCATTTAACGAGACAGAAAAGAGGGGATCAAGTGAGAAAAATATATAAATTTAAGCTCTCTGGATGACATTTCTCCCAAGGAGATAAATCACATTTCCAACCACAGAATTCACACACACCAGAAGCCAAAGTCATGACGTGGATGTGCAGAATGGGGAAAAAGTTTCCCACAAAAGACGTGAAAGTCATTTGTTTGGATTTAAAAGAACAAATAATTTCTTATGCTTCATACGCCTTAATGCAAAAGAGAAAATACATGTATTTATCTACGAATGAATTAGAGGTGTTTTGTAAGTTGTATTGGCGCTTATTCACTCTCCTGTTTAAGGCCGACTTTTAGCGTTAAAGTTCTACTTAAAAATCATCAAAAATTGCTATAGAAAAATGCATTGATTAAGTTATTTATATTTATTCTGCGAATCTATAAATTATTAATGGATTTTAGGGCAAAAAACACTAGAGTTTATCTCTATACAATGTGAGTTGGATAATTTTTCTACATGCTTCTTCACACTTTACTCGCCTGTGTCTCCGACAGAAGTAAACTGCTCGCCACCTCAAATCTCTTCGGTCTGGACAGATATTTACTCTGCTTGAACTGCTTCTCCAATTCAAGGAGCTGCTGCGACGTGAAGGCTGTCCGGGGTCTTCGGGTTTTTCCCAAAATTGTCTGTGCCGAGCAGCCTAGAGAAGAATAGTGGGAGAAGAGAGAAAAAAAGAACATAATACAATAAGAAAAGCACCCCCAGTGATCAAAAGTGTCTTGAGTTTCCGGCAAAATTAAGATATGGGGTGAGCATGTTTTCCACAGCCAATATTTGCACAAAATATCATCCGGCTAATGTTGATTGCCACATGTGGGGCGGGAGTCGCAAAAATGGACCACCCCCAACCCCCATCGTGAGGGTCTGACTGTAGAATTGGCCTCATTGGCCTCGTTTTAATTGTCATTGGGAGTCTTTTCGCAGTGGTGCAGAATCTATTGAAGAACAGGCGCTCGCATTGTAATGGAAATGCGCTGCCGAGGGGGAGGAAAAGAGGGATCTAAATGGAATTAGAAGGATGGTTTGTCAAGGATCAACACACTCCGACACTCAGTTGGTGTCCTTAGTCGAGTATTAGCTGTGCCGAGGCACGAGGGTGAGCGATTCAGTGCTTAAATGGTCAATTGTGAAAATTACTTATGGTGAATTATTGCGTGTTGACACATATGTTGCAAAATATACGCTGAAAAATGCTGTCACCCCTAAAATTACCCTGCAATTCGTACTATTTTGATTGAAATTCCACACACACAGAGATTCGTCAGGTCTGCCAAATTTGGCACTAATTCATTTATGCGCGGAAATCGCACATGAAGTGAATGTTAGAAAATGTTTTACAGTTGGAATTAAATTTGGTCTTAAGCGCGCGCACTCCATTGAGTCTGACCCTCGCTGGCAACAAAGGTTTGTGTACTCTTCCTCCGTGGGAGCAACTCAGATGAAATGGAGAAAGAATGTTTTCCAAGTGTATTAGAGGTATTTCAATTCTGCGTGATCAAGTGTATTTTTCTATACCTCATCTGCCGATACAGTGAGCAAACTGAGGCTCTTCAGTGGTATTTGCTCAAGAAGTGAGCTGAAAACTGAAGTGGTTTAGAAACTAATTATGCATTAAGAGTGACTAATGATTTCGTTATAAGGTTCCGTTGACCCTATGATGGATTCTTCACTAAAATTTTCATTGAAAAGACGTCTTAATAACCTCATCATATTCAAATTGTCCTCTTTTCCACCCAGAACGCGTCAAATCCCATTTGTACGTCACAATATTTCTCACGTAATTTATATAGATTTCTTTTGTATTTAATTCCATCCAAACGCTCTCAATGACTTAATCCTCAGCCAATTATACAAAGTCACGTTTGAAATATTTGTTCATCGTTTGTAAACTAATACAATTTAGAGACGATTTTTCGCCCTTTCAGGGTCCATTATCGTCTTGACTCTCTTTATTGTTAAGTTTAAGAGAAGACCAGCAAAATCCTTATGAATGGATTTAGCAAATTACCAGATTGTCCGCCCAATAAATTAGCGTTCGTCTGCCAAAATTTTGGAAAAAAACAACAAACCGAAGGCATCGAAATGGACAGATGGTGATGTTTATGCGGCGACATTCATCATAAACACCCAGAAAAATCTCCCCTTGATATGCACATGTATTATTTGTATTCTCTAAATCCATTTAGCTTAAGCGAGAGGCAGTGAAAAAGAAGGGTGTTGATGCTTTATCGCCAATTAGCGTGAAATTTTCACTTGCAATGATGAAATGAATTGAAGACTTTGAGGGTAAACAGAATTTTCAGGAGGTTAGGAGGAAATTCGGTTTACCGGCACTGAGTCCATTGATGCGTAATGCAAGGGGCAGATATTACGGTTGGAAGTGGTGTACAGCTTTTAAAGAAAGTGTTTCGAATTGAAAGTAGCGAAATATATAGAATGTTTGTAATTGCAAATGTTTCTGTTTCAACAAATTGAGGCACTTTCTGAATTATTTCGCTTAGAAAAATCGATTTTGTAGCTTTTCTAGGTTATGTTATTAATTTAAAACAGATTCTGGTGATAAAATAACCCTCAAAATCATCTAGTTTCTATTGAGGCTGGGATTTTTTCTCTTTTCTTTACAGAATTGAGCATTTGCGTTCGAAAAATCTCCAGATTAGTCAGGAAACTGGTTAAAAAGCAACAATAACCTCAATAATGTCTAAGAGAATTCTTTTGCTGGAGAATGGAAAATGCCTTTTGAGGCATTCAGAGGTGTCTAAAGTGCTAAAGATTCTGCACACAATCTGAGGAAGTGTCAAGATGTGATGTACAAATTCAAGGCATATTATCTCGCCCTCGGCGTAATGTATGATGATCAGGACATCAGATCCAGGGATGAAAGCCAAACACCAGGGGTTGGCCATCTCCCATTGAATTATGACAAGTGTGAAATTTTTTGTGGTTCGTCCTCCGCCTCTCGCTGTGCCCGAGTTTTCGCGCTAATTCAAATAGAAATAATAAATTTATGTCCCTCGGCATAGTGCAGAGACAGCAAACTGCTCGGCGTTTGAAAAAGAAATAAAATAAAAGTGATGAGGATGGGAGATTATTTGTCAGGGTGTTTGGGAGATATTTATATAACAAATTACAATCAATTTATTCATTAGGCCTTAATAAAACGACCCCTTTTGTATTGTCCTCCCTTAACTTGCCATTGTCATTTTCCTCTGTTTGATTTGAATTTAGCAGGTTTTACCATTTCCCTCTGGTTTGTGGGTGTATTTCAGAAGGGGAAGAGTGATTTTTCCCAAATGACAAAATTTTTTCTTTCTCCTTCTGGCCAATTTTATATTATTATTAGCTGTAATAGGAAAATTGGCCAAATTGATTCTCAATGAATTGCAATGCATTTTTTCCAATTAACCTCATCATATCTTCTGTCTTTGCGCAATTTTTCAAGCAACGACCAAAAGAACAATTCTAGTCATTTGTTGGTTTTCTTCTCATGCTCGTGTTTCACTTTTTGGGGGGTTTTCTATATGTAGGGGATGACGATTGCACAAGAAGGGACGATAGTTGATAGTTAGTGAGAGACTAATTTAATCAACGGGAAGCAAGCAACCCCTAATTCACTCAATTAGCACCACTTAGAAAGGTCTTTCGTTCCATCTCCCATCATTCCTTCGTGCTCCCTTCATTTAGGGATTATCTGTGCGTTTAGAAATGGAGAATTTTCACCCCACATGCACACAATATCTGAGAAAGAGACAGAGAAGTTGATCTCACCGCATCAAATCCCCAATGGATGGAATTGTATGGGCGTTTCCAAACTTAAATCAAGATTACTTTCATACTCCGACAGCAGACATTCGCGGAGAAAAGCTCTCCATTCTCGAGTGAAAAAGAAGAAGAGAAGTTCCATTAAAAAACAGCGAAATTAGTGAAACAGCATTAGTGGTGGGCAAAAAAGTGAACAAATTATCCTGTGTAAAAGGATTGGCTCTGCGTGTGGATGTCGAGAACAGAGAGGGTGGATTGGAAAATATCTCGAAGCAAACCACTAAATTTATATGCTTTTTGGCACACATTATAAGTGAGTGGAAAAGTTCCTCCGTAATCTGTAATAGGGGCAATTTGTAAGCATTTGCTAAACCATTGTAGAGCATAAATCACATTGGGTAACACAGCCCCACACAAGAGTGAATATGGCAAGATGCTGGGTCGGATGAGGGTTCTGGATTACGTATCTGAAGCGCTCGGGGGAAAAAGTCAACCATTTTGGGGAGGCGATACTCGGTGGAAAACGAGAACATTGCCTCAATTTGATTACTTTTTACGGGGCATCAATCTGACACACCCTTAAAATATTTAATTTAGACAAAATCACAAAAATCAAACCTAATGGATTCTAACCTTTTTTTCTCTCCCAAAAGTGGTGGGAATTTGTTCATATGAATGCGAATAGTTCAATTTGAATATATTTTTTGTATATCATAGTTCTGATAAGGCTCGCATGTGCGTAATAATTGATAAGTAGTCATTTATTTCATCTATTGTAGGTCTTGTGAAGAGTGTGTAATTGATTATCTGCATTGGGTGTGAAGTTATCTATCGGAGAGTGTAAACCATGAGCGTAGGAAAAACTTGAGCAACGAATAAAATAGGAAAGAAGGTGATTTGTTAGGGGATTCCCAGTCACACATATTCCAAAAACAGCTCTTGCTATTCTCGCTAAAACAGTGTTAAAGAGTTTTAAGTTATTACACAAGAGAAGAAAAAATAGCGAAGATTTCCAAAATTATTAAAATACAAGTAAATAATTAGTAAATCCGCGATAAAAAGAATTTACTGCAAATATCTTTCATGCTCATGACTGATATTTAGAGCCAAATTACAGATTTATTAATTTTTGCAAGTTATTCTACAGCTTCTGATCTGTCATTCTGGCTTTTGATACATTCTTTAAAAATAATCTCAATAATATATTTTTAATATTCCCTGTCTGACTGGGAATAATTTTTCTCCTGAGGAGAGCATTTTATATTTATTGTGTAATTGAAGGAAAATGCCTGTATGCTTCGCTACGCCCATGAACTACACACTGATGAGTAAAGCCTATTTAGTAGATTTATCTCCTTAAATGACTGCCATATGTCAAATTGACTGTATAATGAAATTATATTATTTTCTGTATTGAGTGATAATCGTGATAAATGGAATTAAGTCATGTTCTCGTGTGGAGGAGTGACGAGTGAGAAATATGAGTATTTAATTAATTTGGAGTTATCAGCGATGATCAACTAAATTAGCAAATACGTGCACATCTAATAACTCAGCAAACATCAAAAGTGGCTCTATTTGGTAATTAGAATAAATGAGTGGGCGGCCTTTTGACGGGGGGAGTGGTGACGGGCCGTGATGAGACGATTGGATGGTGGAGATTGTTTGTGAATAGCCGAGGCGACAGGTGGAATTGGACGCGCGATAATTAGTGAATAAATGAAAGGTAGTCTCTGTCCGGCACGATAAAATGTCCCGTGGCATCATTAGGCAATCATCAATAGTAAATTTAGTGATGCATTTCACCCTCAAACAGAGCGCGACACGCTCCAATACCTTACCAGGACTCCACATTCACGTGTTACTCTGTGCAAATTTAATCAGCAAACATATTAATCAGACGATATAAAAATTTCCCCTTCGTTTAACCAATTGCAATAGTGCGCCAACTCGGAGGATTGATGGAGTCTGGGAGTGTTTGTGTGTTAAAACGGGGATTAAAGCGCGCTTTGCTACATATGTATGTACAGTGAATTTAAAGGCTGTGCAGAGTTGCCCGCGGGCATTTCGACGATGTCGTGTGTGGGAGTCAAACGTGGTATACAAATTATGGGTGGATAAATTTATTCAAATGGATGGCGAGTGGAGAATAAGAAAAATATGGGCAATACTTCCTCGGGAGACATCGGAATCATTCCTGTGACTCCTCTCGGCAACTTATACTCCGCAGCAACATATATTGTATAATGTCTGGGTAGTGTATCCTCTGGGAATGGCAATTAGCTAATTCCATTAGGAAGCTCGTCACCCAGTGAATTGTGTTGCGAAGGTGGAGAAAGGAAACGCAATAGACCAGCGTGCAATAAAATTCTATATGGCACCAAATCTCAAGACAAGGAGCCAAATTGTGACTTGTGTGTATATATGAAAGTATAAATGATAAAAATTGTTTTTGATGAGTATTGCGAAAGCGGGAAAATATCTCCGAGGGATGATGGAAAAGTTCATCAGTTAATGGTGCGTTTAGACGCCATTTGTGTGGGCGGAGAGAGGAGGCGTCCCATTTCGGGTGGGGAGGAAGAAAAAAAATAGATTTTCCCGGGCGAGAAAGAGAGCATCTCACGTGATGATCTGGGATGGAAGAATTACAGAATGGGGTGCGGACGCAATCAATGTAAACATAAAGCATGTCGTTTGATCATCATTTTCCTACATTGTTTTCAGAAGTCTCGTTAACTTTTTCGAGGCCCAGAATTCTCCATTTACCACCGTCATAATAATATTACTGGACATTTTGTGGGCTGTTATGAGGGATGGTCCTTAAATTTTATTTGCGGACAATTATTGAATTTACTGCGAGAACTTGCAAATTATTCCACACCCTTCAATTTTGCCTACAGTTCACAAAGAAACTTTTGATGGTGTAACTTTCCATTCAGCAAAATACTTTTATTATTGAATTGTTAATCAACATTTTTGCCTCCCCGAACTCCTCTATTTGCCCCACAAACAGTGATTTTTTTGACGGTGGTTTTTTTCTGCCACAATACATGTTCGGAAAACAGTTCAACGATATGATTGAAAGATACACTGATAGACTGACAATTTTACTAAAGTTTACACATGACGAATGCCTCCGGAATTTTAAATGAGCTCCTGAAAAGCCTTACTAGTGCGGAAAAATGCCATTTTTCCGCACATCCAAAGTTTGAAGGGCTCTTCAGTAAGGAAAAATAAAACCTTATCAATAGAAACTGATAGGAAATTATGTTCGGAATTATAAATAAACAGAAATCGGTCTTAGAGAAGTTCATATCAATAGTGAGTTGTCCGTCGGAAAACCTTCCAATTGACTATTATCGCAAGACAGCGAGCAACCGACGGAAGATGTTTTAAATCGAATAAAATTATCCGGATTACAAAAAAGACTTCGCGATCTATATAAATGTCTCTCTTCCTCAATTGATTGCGCCCTGATGATTTAATCTACGCTGATTGCCGTCATCACATAATCGTCATTCTGTCATAGCATGAAAATTTGATTTCATTCTTGATGAATATTTATATGGATCTAGAACAAATTTATCCCCAGAAATTGGAGCCCTGTTTGTTTTTGTATCATGAACGTACATTTGCGAACGCCGCTTTCAATTGATTATTATGCAAATTCTCAAACAATCCAATGACTTTCCGATTTTGACGAGGGGCGAGTGATTCTGGAGGAAATGAAATTATGCGGGAAAACGAAGACATTTCGATTTTGTACATAAGCAAAAATCAATGTGATTATTGCGATTTTGCATACAAGTTTTTGAAATTTCTCAGCAAAATCATGAGTGTAAAAGTTTGTGAAAGACTGGAAAAAATATACATAAACTGAGGACAATTTTAGAAGCAAATAGAGAATAAAGTTTGAAAACTTCCTCTTTGCTTTCAACATTAAAAGCCGGGTCAATTGTTTGTAAATAGCCAAAATAGTTGTGTTTTAAAGTTTGTAATTCAATTATGCCAAGAAAATAACTGAATTTACAGTTAAAAGTTGTATTAAAAAAAAGTAGGCATAGAAACGCGAAAACTATTGAAATATATATTTTAGAGTGAAAATATTGAATTTCAAATTACTGCAATAAATGGCATAAATTCTTCATTGAAGGGACATTTTATGATTTGTTTATTTTGCAAATATGTCATGTTCAATAGGATTTGATTTATTTTAGAGTCTGCATACAATTGTTCTGCAAATGATCAAATCACTTATCAGAGAAATCTATTTTTTTATATAAAGCTAAACCTGAAGATCACTCATTTATTTACTCGTTTCGGAACGAAATTTCGCTAGTGTTTTCACGCGTAAATTCAAAGTTTCTTATTGGCTAGAATTTAGGATCAATCATCTTAATTGTATTTTGAATCTATGTGATAAAAGTGTAGAAATCTTACCTGTTAGATCTGGAAATCGCGGGTGAAGCATTCCAGCTCTGGCCAAATATTCAATAGGTATGTGTTGTGTCATAAATGCGTGATTTCCCATTGGCATCTGTTTGTAGCGAAGAATAAGAAGAGATCCTTGATCAAATGGGAGACTTTGCAAAGGCATATTTGGCAGACTTACGGGAAGCGGTTTCATTTCCACTGGTCGCTGGAAGGCTGATCCGCCGGGAATGAGATGGTAGGGATAGTTGTTGTAGAGCGGCGAGAAGTCCTGTGGACGCAATTGCGGTGGCATGGGCTTCTTGAAGGGATCGTGCAGGTGCATCTGATGCATCTGGAGCGCCTGCTCCTCACAACCCGGACTGATGGATGGACTAGATCGCTGGGATGACGGTGATTCAGATCTGCGAGGACGAAACAAAAATTGTTGGCTTCAAGTCCTTCGCGGACTGCTTGAGGAGGATTGGCATACCGTGGGTATTTCTCCTCGGGGCTCGGAGTGAATTCGCGACGATCTTCATTGAAGACATCATCAGCGGGACATCGGCCTCCGGAGTCCGGCGAGTCGTCGGGTGTGTGTCCCTTGGCGAGGAGGGCGTCAATGTTGAAGGACTTGCGAATTGGCACGCTGGTCTTCGTGAACTGATTTGTCGTGGCGTGAATGAAGTTCGCCTGGTAGCTTCCGTTTAGATGATATCCATTTCCGGCGGGCGGTGGCGAAAGACTGTTGTCCGCCGGCGGCAGTGAATTGGGTGAGGACTTCCCATCGGCACAAATGCCATCCGGGGAATCGGGAGGCGTTGCTGAGTGGTTGTTCATGTCATTGAGCGAAAATTGTCCTAATTTGTGGGGATGCGACACTGCTAAATCCATAAGAGAGAAGGAAAACCCACAAGAAAATTGCCTAAATCACTCGTCAAGTCCACTGTGGCTAATCCTAAAACAATACACAAGGTTTTTCGCACGAGAAAAAGAGAGTTCTCTGGGCAGGAAGCGCGCGCTCTCGAGCGCGATGACCCGACGTTCACGGTAACCCAATCGTTACTACGCTCCTCCACAATCGCGTGTCGGTGAGACGGCTTCGATACGGCTGGCGGGCATCGCGGAGTACATAGAGACTGAGCTGGGTAATCTATGTGCGTCCGAAGGGAATCCGGTGGTGGTTGGAAAGAGACAAATGGCGTGAACATGTTGCTTCTGTGCAGTGAATTGCGGCCCAATAGCGAGGAGTGGCTTGAAATTGAAAAGTTTCCCATTTATATGGAGGAGGCGGAGTCACTCAAATCTGTCCTTCTTATCATCCTTTTGCACCCATTTGAGCAATTTTCTCCTACATAGCGCGCTCGCCATAGAGAAAGGAGCTACTGTGCGATGTTGGGAATATGAAGGATAATTGTCTCTTGCTGTAGCAACACAACAGTACCTCAGTGAGTGAATGTGTTAAGCGGATGTTGATTTGATCAATTTGTATCTCTAATAATTTTATGATTCATTTGAGAGAGAGAAGAACAAGAGAGGGAGCAAAACTTATTATTCTCACTACAGTGAACACCATATAGCGAATAACCCAACTCAGGGGTCGGCATAATTAATGCCTCTGCTTTGCCAGGCAGCGGAAGGACACGGCATAGGCGGAAAAGCTCATTACAGATATCACTGTCCCTTTAAAAATTGCCATCTCTAAAATGTGTATTGCGCTTGTGCCATAAGTAAACACGTAACAGGGCTTTAATATAATCAGAGTGAATATAATTTGTTTGGAACCACTCCCATATTTTCGCTGTAGACAAACACTAGTGATTAAAATGAGGCAAATTCGGTGCGAAATTTGTGAATGAGCGGATATTGAGAGACACAGTTTGCCAAACAATTAAAACATCCTTATTGGAGTGAATTTTATTATCATTTTCGCCATTGGATTTCAGCTTAATATGTATTGATTTCGAGAAAAAGGCAACAAGTACTCAATGCACAAATTCAAAGGCACTTTTCCTGCGGAAGGGCACGTGAAAAACACCAATAATGTATGTGATTGCAGTAATACTTCTCAGCGACAAGGATTTGATTGATTGATTTCCGAGTGATTGTCGTCTGGAGGAGTACACAATATATTTTGAAAATTCACTCCAATCAAGGTGAAAAAGTTGAGCCAATATCAATTAATAGATAAATAAATTTCGTAACTAATCAATAATTACACTTTAGTTTTCCATTAAAGAAGTCAAGTAATGGCAAACACAAGATGTTTGTGAAATGAAATATTATTTCCTCTGAAATAAAAAAAAAATTGATTTTTCACTCTTAATCCACTATCTTGAGCACTTTTCAATTATTAAATTGTGAAAAGTCAATAGAGCGCAACATTTAATATTTGTCATAGAAATATTTGTGCAATATATTAGTTAATATGTGATCAATTAAAGAGGGATTAATATGATGGAAAAAAGATGAAGTAGCGATAGTGTTAAGTTGAAAGTTGTGTCTCTTCTGCACTGCTAATTGAATTTCCGTCTCGATTTGCCAATAAGCAATATTGGAGTGCTGATCAGTTCTTTTTCTGGCCTTTTTCGCACAATCCATGAACGAAAAGTCCATCAATTGGGCAGTTTTAATTGAATATTTGACTTGATTATTGTATAATTGAGCTCTATTTGCAGTGACTGGCGTGGAAAACTTCCAGCTGACAGTGGAGGTGAGATATTTGTGGTCGATAGAGACTGGAAATTTCGGAGACAGAGCGAAAAACACTCCGATAAGGAAAAGTGTAACACGACGAATTCCAGCAATCAATTCCTCAATCTCACGAGTAATATTAACAACAAGTAGCGTTATTAGCTACTGATTAGAAAGAAATTAAATTATACCGTCAAATGTCAACGCGCGAAGGCACTTGAAGACACCGTATTGCTATCGTTGGGCTTATCAGTCATATCTCTTCTCTCTCTCTCTCTCACTCTTTCAACCATTTTTCCTTCGAGCCTCTCTTTGCTTGATTGAAGGTGTTTTGGGTCTTTTTGTGGATCACTTGTCCGTGATTAATTGGTAATTTTTTCTGATGGGTCACAGGGTAATTCTCCTCAAGAGAAACCTTTTATCGACAATATTGTCAATCCAATTGAGCTCTTGATACCTCGATAACTGCAGATACAATTTATTAAAGGGGCCACAAAAGGAGGCGAAAAAAACTCTCTCTAAACTCAATCAATTTTGGCATATTGCACGGAGGGCTTAATTGTGTAATTAATAGGAAAAGGAGGACTGTGGCCGTAAATGCTACACTCGTGACTCGGGCGATGTAGACACACTGATACAGTCAATCACACAGTATGATGAATTAAAATTGATTGTTTATGACCAATCAAATGTCAATTACAAAATTCTAATTGATATCTCTAGCAATATGTGTTTCTGCTACCTAAATATGCGCTCCGCACATTATTTTCTTTGATTGCTCACACCAAGGAGGTTTACTTGAAGCGCGCGATGCACTCTCGTGAGGCTTGTTTTCCCACCTCCTCAGCTGTTTGTGCCAACACACAAGTGATAAGAGAGATTTGTGGCAGATTTTTGCACAAAACAATTTGATAAGGCAAATTGTGCGATATTTTCCCGCTATGTGAATTTCATTCATTTGCCAGCAAAACACTGGATTTATTCAGTTGAATGGCTTGAATGTAAACTAGCAAATACTGTGCAAATCGTAACACTAAAATCACACAAAAGCGTTGATTATTTTAGTCTTTTAAATGCTCTTGACATTCCCAACTGGTGGGATTCCTTAAAAAGAAATAAGCTTATTAATTTACAGACCCGAATAAACACTTTTCAACTCCTTATTTTTCTCCCTCTCACAGTCGGGCATAATTGAGAATGTTTTTCACATTTCTCGGGACTCAGAAGATGCAGAAAATGGCAAAAGACAGTGTGTAGAAACGAGTCAAATCTACAACTATGTGCGTAAAACGTGTACATAAAATTTCACTTAATGTCAATTATTGAATAGTAAATACTCCAGAATTGGCTATTAACCAAATTAAACAACAATCATGGCTTTATGTCAAAGAAGCGCCGCCAGTTAATTTGTTTAAAGAGTTGAAAAAGGAAACCGCGAAACGTCAGCATTAATTCCCATCAGAGAGTTTATATTTCTCAAAAACTTCCACATCTTTATCATCTTCTCTCTCGCGCGGTTGTGCTCGAGGAGAGTGGCTGAAAATGAAGAAGTTTATACCACAAATGTAATTATTGATACTTACCGAAAAATTTTTCCGTTCCTTTTCGTTAATTTCAACAAATATTGACTGAAATATGACAAAGAGAAAATAAAAGGAATGGACTTTTATGAATGACGGTCGCGTAAAGTAGGTTTTTAGTAGCACTGTTGGCAGCTTGTGAATTATAGTTTTCGCTACTTAAAGGCAAACATCAGCGCGGCATCGGAGAAATTACTATGTCACACTGTGAGTCATTCTTTAGCCCCATGAATGAATTGCAGAGTGGCGGAAATGGCTTTAGAATGCTGCAAAAGCTTTTCTTATAGGCCAACTTTTTCGGTCCACTTCACAATAATCGCAATATAAAAATGATTAATTACTAATCTCATCATCGACCGTCTTTTTTGCTTCATGTTGTAGATTTATTAAACCTCAATGACTTTAACAGTCCACATTGATAAAGAACATTCATTACACTTGAGTGATATTGATCGTGCAATTATGTCGTCATGTTGAGCCGTTATTGACTTTCTCATTGGAAAATTTCATGTTTGTAAAGGTGTTTAATAAATAGAGAGAGACGCGATGAAGAAAAACGCCAGATTATATGCTTGACATACCATATTGAAATCAAATTGATTTTTAAAGCGAACGAAATGACTGATATTTAAATGTTTGCTCTCGAAAATCGCTTGGAGAACTCGCGCGTTGTTTATGATGTTCTTTCTGGGTAAATATTGTAAACCATTTCCTTGCCTTCTTTTCACACACCATCAAGGCGAAATCGAGCAAAACAGTGAATGTCATTTTTCTCAAAAAAGAGAAAAAAAAAACCCCATAGCTATATGTATAATCTCCAGTTGCTGTACTTTTTCCCTTTGCTCGCCAAACATTACGTATAAATATATATAAATTAAACGGTAGAATTGTGAGTGATGGAAGGTAGAAGAAAGGTACACATTTAGTTTACATTTCAAGATTTTTCTGTGTACACTGAACACAATTTAGGGTGACTTATCAATGCGTTTATTTCATTTTATTTGGGTAAGTGTTACTGATTACGCCGCGTGGAAGAGTATATATATGAAGCCTATATAATGATGGCTCGAACTTCTGCTTGATGTCTTTTGAAGAGACAGAGAGAGAGAAAGAGAATTTTCAAGTGCTCATTGTGATTTGTCTCTTGATTGGATTCATCGCGGAAAACCGTCTACAACACTGGGCGAAAACTATGGATTGATGTGGAGTGATAAAGCCTTGACTGTCAGCAGAATTGAAGAAGTTCATGATAGGGCTTTAGTGTATTAGGCCTACATGGCTTTTCTCACTCCTTCACTATTGAATAATTGTTATCTGACATTTATTATGACAAATTGGCGCGCCCCTCACCGTTTTGTGTGGGGTAAGCAAGGCGTCTTGTAATGAATAGGTCATAGCGTTATCACTCAGCGAGTGTGATTGTTGTTTAACGCACGTGAACTGTATTTTTTTTCCCCTCACCTGAGACGTTGTATTTCTTCTCGAAGCCAATATGAGGCAGGAGTGATTAATTTTATATCTCAACAATTCGTCAATAATGCGCAATAATATCACTAATTTGGGAACATGATTGATGTGACAAATATAGAACACCTTTTCAACCCGCTCCATGATATGTTCTCGTAATGAGATACTAGAAATTTATGAATGATAAAATTGTCACTGAAATTATTTAGCATCACAAGAACTGGCAGCTTTTGTTGCCACTGAAAACTACCACAAAAGACATTGGGGAAGAGGAAAATTAATAATAATGAAATGTGTCGCAGCTCATCTTGGAAACATTCATTTCATTTTCTCAAGATGTGTCAATGCACGAGTGGGTGGAAAAGTCACGAAGAGGGGATGAAAATTGTTGATAGTCTCAGGAGAGAGAGAGCGAGAGAGACAGAGAGAGAGAGAGAGAGAGTAAAATTAGGAACATGTTTTGAAGGTAAATGCCCAAGGGTTCAATTATCACCATTTTCCACAGCATGGTGTTAATTAAAAGAACCCAAAATGGTGCAGAAATACAGCTAAATGAGACATAAAATCCTTCTGTGAGTGTGTGTGTGATTTAGGATTTAAATTTAATTTTTGCAAATGAAATAGATTTAAAAACATGATTTCCGCGAGAGTGAGTAAAAGTTAAATACCACCCGCGCTATGTAATGCGCTACATAGCTGACATTCTGTGGATGTTCTTTTTGTGTGTGAGAAAAGTTTGAAGGAAAAGCGAAGAGGAGCGGAGGAAATTGTGAAATGCCAGTGAAGAGGAGACAAAGAAAATACACATTTTCAACTCCTCAGGGAGACATTATGCGGATGGAGTTTAATCCAAACTAATTACATTCACGACAGAGTGGGATTTCTCCACCAACAGTCACGGGCTGTCTCTTTGCTGGGGTGAAAAGGAAGGGAGAATATGCGACGCATGTAATTCAGAACAAGTAACGCATAATTATTTCACTTCAATGGTTTCTGTGTGTCAATTAAAACTTTCGTCATTTCCCTCCTAGTTCGTGCCTGTGACATGTCACCATTCAGCAAATGGCCAATGAGTCAGTTTTAATCCCGAGCTAATTTAGTCATTTTCATTTTACGACCTCCCATTAACACCCTCAACTTCTTCCAAGGAAACAACTCCAGAAGCTCAACAGAAATGTAAATAAACAGAAGCACTCGTTCGCGCTGGAAATGTCCAAATCTCAAACATATTTCCTGATCAATATACTAACTAGATATGTAGTTAGGCTTTTGGGTGCAGAAAAACGTGGTTTGTGGCAGAGAATTTGCATAAAAATACATGGGAAAGAGTAGTTTGAAATGTTAACAAAAATTGTACATCATTTGCATAAAACAATTGCAGTTGTTGTTCATGTTGAACCAAATGTTTGGTAGATTTCACCGCTGATAAGATTCCCATGTTTAGCTTCAACATCCTAATTTGGTGTTTCCTAAGGGTTTATCCCTCAAGTGTTCAAAAATTTGCTATTGTCCTTCCCTGAGTCCTTCTTTTGATGACAAATTTTCCTAATTCTTTGGATTGCCTTCTATTTTCACACAGAATCGATCATAAAAATCTTTTTCTAGGTTATGTAACAAATCACAGATGGATTTAGTGAAAAATTCGCATTCTTGCACATCAATTCTTATGCTCAAGTCGACAAGATTTCTAGTTATTGGCAGAAATAAGCATTCACTTGCGGTAAACATCTTTATTCTGATCCTTGAATGTCAAGAAACACTTTAAATTGAATTGAAATTGAACATAACCTCGAAATAAGTCATATGGACCTGGAAAATGTTCACTTAGAAAACATTCTGCTCTATTTTAACGGTGAATCGGCAATTTTGAGTTCATTTGCGAATCATAAGAGATGATTTTGTTACCTGGAAACCTTCCAAATGGAGTTTTTGAAGATTCTTTAGTTATATTTTAAGATTATGGTCTGAAAAATGTTCAAAACAGCTTTTTAAGTCAATTCTTGCAGATATATTGATTGGAAACTTAAGAAATTTCAAGTGCTGGAAATGGTGTACAAATTCCCGGCATATTATCTCTCCCTTGGAATTTTATTGTAAAAAAAATTAACAGATTATTACAAATAAATTTCAATGCAAATCATTCGGAAAAGGGGTTCAATTCAATTCGCTAATGGGCAACAATATGAATAGTAATTTCGCTACAATGCAAAGAAGAGGGAAAAAGTGTGAACTTTCACTGCATGCAAATACAGCGTATCAACAGCACCAGAACTGTATTGAGAGGGATTTTAGTGCCCTCAATAAATCATGCGTTAATTGATATTATAAAAGCTATTGCACTCGCTGTAATTCGGAAAATATTCAACCTAATTGAAATCAAATATTTCGCTTCATGTCGCCATATGGCTCCATAATTTTTATGACTCTTTTTTCATCCACTCAACTCTGTAGACATCCACAAGCTCAATCCTTTCGGCTGTACCTTTCTTTGTTCATTCATAAAATGGGCAAATGGCTGTGACCATTATTGAATTGCAATTTAGCTAATTGGCACTGCTAAATTGTATTGAATCTGAGATGGTTAAACAAATACTTTACAAATGAGCAAACGGTTGAGCTAAATAGTCAGAGATATTGATTTGTGGGCTTTAAATGCTTCCCGAAATGTTGACACAAATAATTGAACGCACAGCTTCACTTCCTCAAAATCATCACCTGGACTGAGACAGAGAAAGAGGGTGACAGAGAGAGAGACAGAGATCGCCTGTAACAGGTAGAGTTGTGCGAAAATCAATGGCATATTCCTTAATGAGGACATTTTCGTGATGTTTTCACAAGCGTTTCATATCGCTCGGATTGTGAGCTAAAATCAATTTTCACTGAAACGATGGTGATGTGTGACAATTATCTGAATAACAATTCTGTTTATTTAACAATTTTCGACAGATGTTCACATTATCGGCGTGCAATAATGTTTGCAGTCTGAATTGCTGCTCGGGCGATTAGTGTCAATCACGATGTCGTATAAATTTCGCAGTACATTTTATGCACTTGTAACAAAACTGCAGAATTGTCGGGAGAGAAAGAAAACCAGTTAGACATTAAAGATTTTTTAATTGTTATTCTGCACCAATTTACAAGTATGAAAAGGTAAATATATTATAATGTATCTCTATCTATGTTCAATATAGGAATTGCAAAAGGTTCGTAAAGGATTTTAAATCAAACAATTCTCCGCATTCCATCATTACCGCCGAGACCCTTTCATTTGGTTCTTGGGATCATTTATCTACAGCACAAAAAGGATCAACTCTCTTCTTACATCTGCTGAGTCGAATTGCCATTCCACGTGTTGTTCTCATCGTCAGAATCCTTCTTGTCGTGCAGCCGATGGATGTTTGAGCTTCCCAATCTCCTGTACGCAGCCTCAGCGGACTTTGACGTCGACGGCTGTTGACCGTCCCTCGAATCCCCGGGAAACTCCAGATTTCTCCTCTTGGCCCTGCTAAAAAGGATCTTTGTCAGTGGATTTTTCATTCAAACTCAACACTTTTCTTACGCGTCATGATCTGAGATTTGATCCTCGGCGGCGCGCTTCTGTTGGCCCTGATCCTGTCGCGGGAAAACCCAGTTTCTCATGTAAGATAGCACAGACATCACCGGTGTGAAGAAGCTCCAGAACAGGGATGTGAAGAAGTGAATGGCCGTTCTACCGGCCGACGTCGTGGCCACTTGAGTGGATCCCACGCCGCCACCGGACACGCCGCGCCCCCGCGGCAAAATCAGGAGTACAGCTGTGGGCGTCAGACGGAGCTCAGACAGCGTCTGCGAGTAGTGCTCCTGGCTGAACTCCTTGCGAGGGAATGTCGTGGCCAGAGCGAAGTCCGTGATGCCCGATCCAGAGAGCAACTCCGTCTGGACGAAGCTGTGAACTGTGGCGAACTGATCGGTGCTGGCGAACACGTGTATCTCAGTTCCTCCGGACGGTGTCTTGAACTGAATGCGCGATGTGTCACTGTTGTCCGCCGCCGCGTAGTTGTGCTCCTCCATGGGCGCCAAAGGAGGACTCTTGGGCACCACTGGGGCGAAGCGCTGAGCCCTCTCCAGCTTGTCCTGCTCAATCTGCTCGAGTATCTTCTTCCTCGCCTCGGCAGCCTCTTTCTTCTCCTTCATGCGATCCTCCCGCAGTTGCTTGATCTCCTGCTCCTCCTGCCACTTCTTCAGCGACGCCACATCCTGACCCTGACGACGTCGCTGGATCTCCTTCTCTCGCTCTGCTCGCGCCTCCTCGGCTTCCTTCTCTTTGCGCTTCTTCTCGAGCATCTCCTTCGCCCGATTGAGCTTCTCTTCGGCACTCATCTCAGGCCTCGCCTCAGGCTTGGGCGGATTCTCAGTCTCCACACGACGACAAACTCCTCCGGCACACTCCTCAGTGACTTTCTCCTCCTTCACCGCAGTCTTCTCAGCGGCTCCACTCGAAGAGGCCCCTTGAGAGACAGGCACAGGTTTGTCTTCCTTAACGGCAGGTTTGACTTCTTCACCTGCCGATGAGGACGGAGTGGACAGCGAAAGACGACTAAGAACACCAAGAATCTTCTGTTCCAGATCTTCAACAGTTGTCGTGAGACTTGTGACAATATCCACGGGAGTTCCATTCTGCCCGATGAAGAAAACCGACGGCAGGGGAACCAATTGATCTATATAGAAAGGAGGAAATCATGAGCAAACAGGAGTCAGTCTCAGAAGCCAGGATTTTCTTACAGATCTGAGCAAATTGCATGTAAGCTTCGGATCCGCTGTCAATGCGAATTGCCACGAATTTCTCACTCTCCAAGTGCTTCCGGATGAGATCACTGTCAATCAGACGCCCCAAATTAGTCGACGACTCATCAGTTCCTGGAAAGAGTCACCCGAAAGGGAATCAATCAATAGAATTTTATCAATTACGTGGTGTTTTTCAGAAAATCTCACCTGCAACGAAGACCACGAAAACCGCATTCTTTCTCTTCGACAGCGTCACTGCTTCGGCGATACTTCCTTGGAACCAGTTCATTGTGCAGTGGAATTTCACGTGTGTTCACCAAAAGGAGGATATCTTATCCAGGGAATGCACAAATTCTGCCTGAAGATGATGAAAATGCACAAAATTGTCGGAAAAGTTATGTCAAAGTGAAAGTCAGGAGCGGAGTGGGAGTCGCAATGGCCAGTGGCGGAGAATTATAGCATGTTCACATGCATGTCTGTAAATTACCTTTTATTTTAGGTTTTTTCATGCTCCCATTCAATAAATCTGCATACTTGGCATCAATAAATTGTTGTGATTAATTTTGTGGGACGAATTTCATGCAAATGCAGCAGAAATGAGGACAAATCAAATGGTAAACAAAGCGAACTCATCAGCTGGGTTGCTATAAAACTCATGTGTTTGGTTCAAGGTGAAAAAAGTGCAGGTAAATGATGACTTTTCGTGCAGAACTCTTATCAAATACGCATATTTAGCGAAGAATTCAGTCGTGAAATGCTTAATATTTCTTATAATCGTGATAAACTACATGATAAACATTAAGGGCTTCAAAGAATAAGTGAAAATGAGTGTTCAATTGAGGAAAACCGCCAAGGATGATGAAGATGAGGTTAGAACGCATGAAGATTTCTAGATTTTTGCATATTTCAACGTGTTTCGGGGGTTGTTTTCAGACTTACGATGGCGAGGTGAAGTCCCAGGCTGTCGTGAAGTACTCCAACGTCCAGGCGCCGGCAAACTTCTCGCAGCTGCAGTGCAACACCGATCTGAACATGCCGCCGTCCAACTGGCTGCGGAACTCCATTAACTTCTATGGAATGCAGCAAGCGGCCATCCATCGATCTGGCTTCTCCAGCTTCCGGATGGCGCACAGATTCCCGGATTGCGTGGGCGGCGTGGATGTGGTGTGCGACGCGGAGATCATCAAGCGACTGCTGATGCTGCCGTACGCGCGGAACACGTCCATCAGCATGATGGTGCACAGGATTGGAAACACCCTGCTGATAGATGAGTTCGACATCTACAAGCACCTGCTGCAGCAATCCCCGGTGCAGTGGGACTGGCTGAAGCGCTTCATCTACGATAAGATCATCAATGGCCTCACGGATGAGGAGAGGATGTTCCTCGTGGCCAACAGGAGCCGGAATGTGCTGCAGGAGAGGCGACTCATCAGCAAGTTCCTCTACCACAGCCTCCCGCGAGAGCCCCAGGAGAGTGTCCAGCCGAAGGAGAAGCCCTCACTGCAGATGCTGCCCGGGCCGAGACTGCCTGAGCCAGAAGTGGAGCACAGCGTTCCCGATCCCAGCTTCTCGCACACCTTCAATCGCAGCATTGTGTGGACTTTCGAGGACATCCGGATGCTCATCGGCACGGACATGCCAATCTTCGGTGGTGGCACGAGGCCCTGCATTAGCTTGAGGCTCAGGGACATGAGCAAGCCCATCAATGTCCTCACGGGAATCGACTATTGGCTGGACAATCTCATGTGCAACGTGCCTGAGGTGGTTATGTGTTATCATCTCGATGGGATTGTGCAGAAGTATGAGCTCGTGAAGACGGAGGACTTGCCTTTCCTCGAGAATTCGCAGTTCTCGCCGAAAATCATCAGGAATGTGGCGCAGAATATCTTGGCCTTCCTCAAGGCGAACGCCACAAAGGCCGGTCACACTTATTGGCTCTTCAAGAGACCCAAAGACGACGTGGTGAAGCTGTACGACTTGACCACACTCTGCACGGAGGGTGAGTGCGAGGCGAAGCCGGAGAAGAGTGACGCGGAGAGGAGTGCAAAGGACGAGAACATTGGCACTGGAGTGTCCAATCCGTTCACCATCCCTGTGGCGATGTTGCTGTACAGCGTGGCGCGAAACATGAAGAGTTCCGTTGAGAAAATGACCAACAAACAAGCGGGCGCCATCAAGATGCTCCTGGACAACTGCATAAAGCTCCTGCCCAAGGAGAAGTATCCACAGATCGTTGTGTCATCGCATTATATGCTGTCCGACCTGAATGTGCCTTCGGGAGCTGAGCCGAGCAGTGTCTCCTTCCCAAATGGCTCAGATGACAGTGAATTTGACGATGAATCACTCTTCGACGAGGATGAATCTGATGGTGAGGACTTCTTGAGTCAGCGGAGTGATTTGGTGGATCAGGGAGAGAGCATTGCTGTGAAGAACATCCAGGAAACAATGGCGGCGCATGATTTCAAGAAGAAGAACTGGAAGAACAACTCCCGACCGCCAGCTTTGAGTGCTGATGTGGAGAAGAGATGCCTTGAGGCCTTGGAGAATATCGTGGCGGGTCTGAAGTGCTTGAAGTATTTCAACGATGAGGCGGCGAAGACGAGCGAGGAGCAGAAGAAGCAGAAAATTCGCAAGGAGGCTGAGAATCTCAACATGGCCAAGCCATATCAACCAATTCCCTTGCCTTATGAGACTCTCACGCCTCAGCCTAAGTTCGTGAATCCCGACGATGTGATCCCGCTGGGATGGAAGGCGCTGGACAGTAGGGAAATCATGTCTCAGCCTGCGAGCAGGAAGAAGGCGGGGAAGAAACTATCCGTGAAGGCTCAGGAGGAACTGTTGGTGGCGGAGAAAGCGAAGGATGTGAAGTGCTGGAGTCTTCATCTGCGACTTCTGCTGCTGGAGAAAGCCTGTCTCACATATTCCATTCTGGGCGAGCACGCCTTCGCAGCTGGTGACTTTTCCAGCGCCTTTCGCTTCACTAATCTCGCCTTCCGCTGTCAGAATTCAGTGTCTCAACACTGGCCGAGTGTCAGCAGAAGCTTGAATGTCCTTCTGGCTCGTGCCGGTGATTGTTATCTGCAGTTTGTGAAGAGATTCTCAGACTTGGAGGTTTTTGTCAAGGGCATTGTGAACACTTCTGGCAGTGACAAAATCATTCTGGAGTTCATCGAGAGTGAGGAAGAGGAGGAGAGCAGAATTGAATTGCCAATTCCGACAGGAAGTGTGGAGAATTTAATGATGTTTAGCCTGTTGTCATATGAAAAGGCACTTAAGGCTGATTTGGGGAATCTGAAGCATCATCTCACGCGTCGCATTGGCAATGTAGTCAATGAATTGGGATCTTTCTACATGCAAGAAGCGTTGAGTAAGTAGATTTTGTGGGGTGAATTTGGGAGTGGAAAGATTGCTAATTTGTCTCTATTTTGCAGTGATTTTCAACGGAATGAAGCAAGGAGTGCTGAAGAATGAAGAAACTCCGGATGATTGTCAGCAATCTTATTTGCAACTGATGGCAAAGGCGCACACTTACTTGACCAAGAGTGTGTCAAAGTTCGAGGAGGTTGACGATCATGTTAATCTCGCTTTGATCCACTGCAACATGGGTCGATACAATCGTCAAATGGCAGACATGCTCAGTCTTCCGCTGCAGAGTGAAGCGAAGAAGTGCGAAGCGATTTATCAGATGTACTACAGCGAAGCCTTCGCGAGTTACAATCGTGCTCTGGGAATGCTGGAGGTGCGCAAGAATAGTCCTCAGATTTGGGACATTCTTTTCTGGGAATTGTCCACGTCGACATTCATCCTGGCGCAGAAGATGCAAGACTTGTGGGATGTGAAGTGTGCGCGATATCAGGAGATTATGGAACTTCTGCAGCGTTCGCTGAAGCTGTGTCAGACTCACAGTGATCCTGAGCGCTCAGACAGCTATCTCTATCGCACTGGACAGATCAACACACGCCTCGGGATGGTGTGTGGCAATGTGGTGAGATATCAAAGCGCTGAGTTGGATGATAAGAAACGGAAGAATATGCTGCAATTGTGTCGCTTCTACTATGACAAGGCAGTGACTATTTTCCGCGATAGTTCGCACTTGAGTGAGGCTGTTGAGGTGCTGACGGACCTTCTGGAGTTCACAAATAGCCAGATAGACTATCCGGGTAGAGTGAAAGCACTGCAGCACGCGATGAATGTGATGAAGAATGCCAGAGAAATCCTTCGTGCGTATGAAGGTCCAGAGGAAATTGTCAGAGCTCTGGAGAGTCAGTATCAGAGTGTGTTTAAGAATCTCGTCAGGGTCACCGTGACTGCTCCCAGTCGTGGTGGAAAGGAGAAAGAAGCCAATGCTGAGTTCCTGAATGCCATGAAGAAGATGTACAGCGTGTCTTTGGGAAGAGGAAAAGTTCTAGACAATATTTCAGCACTTTTTGATATTTATTCCACGTTAAATTTGTCGAGTAAAAACAGTTAGTGGCAAAAGGACTAAGGAGGGATTGGCTTATGGGTTCCGGATGATGAGAGATCGTCTAAATAACACCGTATGGATAGCCATAGTATCCTGAAAAGAGGATAAAAATGTCAATAGAGCTGCTGTTTCACACTGAATTTTAATTTATTTTACTTCTAACATTTGCTAGAATGTTCAAATTTGCTAAAGACACATGAAAAGTGCTGTGATTTGCTAAAGATATGTAAAGGCAGGAGTTGGAATTAAATGGCTTGAGAGAAATCCTTACCATAGCCAGGATATGCGTATCTGTAGGGAGTGTAGTATCTGGGATAGACGTAAGGGGATGCATAGGTCGTGTAGCCAGCGTACGTTACGGGTCCTGCAATGGCGTATTGAGGAGCAGGAGCTGCCCACAAACAGCCCACGAAGAGTCCAAGGATCACCAGAAGAATCTTCAGAAGAAACTTGAATGATTTCTACCACGAAAATCGCTATTCTTCAGGACACTCACAGTTACTTTCTGCATTGTGGTTTTAGATGCTTTACTAATTCCAGCCACGATCCTCAATGAAGCGCTCAATGTCACAGACTGAAGCCTCCTCGCGAGCCACAAGTACGTTTTTATATGCGCGTGGAAGAAATTGATGGTTTTCAATATAGGATTGGGTTTATTAATAATGGCAAACGTGATCATTTTATTCATAGGTGGCGAAGAGGAAATATTTTAATTATGTCTCTCACTGTTGATTTACAATTTTACAATCATATTCACCTTGACCTGCAATACAATAAAAGGAAATTGTGATGTTAGAATGCGGAGCACGATTTGCGCTCATATAAAATACTTTGCGAAAAGTCTGAGAGAATGTCTAATGACGTCGCTTTTCTTGTCAGGCGCGCGCAGATTTTCTCATGGCTTGCTTGAAAGTAAAAGGGAAAATGAATCACAACACATCAAAGATTCGCTGTTAGCTTTGACGGAAGTCTGAAGACTTGTTGATGAATTGCAAATTTAATTAACTGCATGGAATTTGACATAAAATCGCTCTCGCGAGATCCGTCAATAAATTTATGGGCAGCAAAAGAGGTTCGCCAACGGCACGCGGTGTTCCCAGGCGGTCCCCCATCCCAGTACTAGTCGCGCCCGATGCTGGTTGACTTCGGTGATCGGACGAGAACCGGTGCTTTCAGCATGGTGTGGCCGTTGGCGAGGGTAGTCTTTTGATTTTGCGAATTAAAGTCACCCACGATCAGAATTATCTCATTCGCCGTTTCGCTGTTCAGAGCAAAGTTTCCATTAGAAGACACCATGACCTATGACTCATTCATTAAATGCATGACTAGCGAAAATGTTTGAATTTCGCGATGTGAAGTAAGTTTTGATTCATACCCTATGGAGAACGGATTCCACGATCCGAAATCGTCCATGGAATATCTTCCACTTTTCTTCCTATAATAGGAATAAAATCCTCGGAATTCCAAGCTATCCTCCATGGATAAATTCCACTTTATTCCAAGCAAGATACCATGGAATAATTCCATATATATTCCTTTTGGCCATCCATGGATATTAGAATGGAATATTTTCCATGGTGATAAATCCGCGGAATATCCATGGGTTTTCCACGGAATAATTCGCTCTTTGCGCGTCCCCACGCGATTACGTCAGTCTTGTGAAATTCTTCTCATAGGAAAGAACGCGTAAGTATTTTTCTGTACTTTTCAGTACTAAAACGTTAAGTTTTAATGGTAAACACTCTAAGTTTGGTGATATTTTCAGGAAAAGTGCTGAATGTATGCGATGGAGACGGCACAGGGACCCCACAGTCAGAGAAGACTCGAGGTTTCCGGACAACGTCAAAGTAGGAGAAACAATCAATGTAAGTATGGAATTACCGAAACATAAGAGATATATCCTGTTTTCTATACTGAACATGTCTTTTTTACAGGAAAATAGGATGCGGAAAAGCGGTTACCGGAGGATCTACTTATCCGACAGAGTGTGACTCATGACAAGGTAAAAAATGTTCTTCATGTTCTCGAATTCTTATGGCGAAAATCCATGGAACATCCTATAAATAACCATGGAAGATTTCCATGCTGGAATTTCATCCATGGTGAATCCCTCGGAACTCCGTGGATCAGCAAGGAAAACCCTTGGAATTCAGCATGGAAGATTCCATGCTGAATTCCATAGGAATTTAGCAAGGATGATTTTCCATGGATTATTTCCCACATTGCTTCCAAATTTTCCATGGTGACTTTTCCCATATATGGAAGATTTCCATTGCAATTCCATTGGCCAATCCAAGGACGATTACAAGGAATACCATGGAGGGAATACCATGCAAATATACGATCAGTAATTAGTGTATTTTATTTTCCAGCTTTTTTCAAACATATCCGGACCGGTGCGAGAAGACATCAAAGAGCATCTCGACTTCCGGCGACCGCGGTAGCAGTCGTCTAGAAAAGTAGCAGTCCCTGGGAAGCGGCATAGCAGCCACCAAGGCAACGCGTAATCACAATCAGAATCACATTTGTAAGATTGATTGGTTATATTTAATAAATACAAATCCAAATATAAATGAGTCTTTTTTTGGATATTTTGGGGCGGAGCGCCGGGAATTTCTGGGAGAAATTTCACACATTGGAATTTCCTCCATGGTATTCCTTGTAATCGTCCTTGGATTGGTCAATGGAATCGCAATGGAAATCTTCCATATATGGGAAAAGTCACCATGGAAAATTTGGAAGCAATGTGGGAAATAATCCATGGAAAATCATCCTTGCTAAATTCCTATGGAATTCAGCATGGAATCTTCCATGCTGAATTCCAAGGATTTTCCTTGTTGATCCACGGAGTTCCGAGGAATTTTCCATGGATGCTGTTACGCGGATAGCATGGAAATCGTCCATGGTTATCCATTGGATATTCCACGGATTTTCGCCATAGGGTATTATCATGATTAAGAAACACGATTGCAAATCTAGAAAATTTGTCCGTCATTCCACCGAATAGAGTACGACAAGTCCAATGATCTGAGCAATTTCAGGTGAACGCGTGTACAATAATCGGACAAGTCGTATGTTTGTCGGAGGATGAATGCGACAAATCAAAGAATTTTCTATGGGGCAGAAGAACAGATTATCCAAGTTATCACGATGGAAGCGTGACTTCGGGGAAGTCCCCAAAGCTGGTTGTTTTTAGAGGTGTGCGAGATAAGAAAAAGTCCCAGTATTTAGCATACAATCTTATCACTGTGTGTACTTTCATGATAAAGCACCATGGCCAAAGCTCGGGGACTCACGACGAGCGTCTTGTCAGCTCCCAAGTCTTGCCCAATGGTGTATGGCGATCTGTTCTCCGCGGTGTTCAAGATTCCCCACGAGAGCGTGAAAACGCGTGTTTTGCACGCCGTCGTGGCCGCTCTCAATGGGGATTCCCCTCTGAGGTCATGTCGCTGTTCGGCACAAGTCGAGACGACGGACCGCAGTTCACAGACGACCTTCGACGAGACAGCGTCAGCTGAAGTAGCGGCAGAGACGCAAGTGGATACGCAAAAGCCCCAAATTATCTCGGTCGGTGGTGTGGTGAAGTTGGGCAAGAAGCGGCGGAATCTCACGCCTCAGGCGAGCACTGGGCAGGATCTGGGCGTGAGATTTTCCGGGCGCCAGAAGACGACCAGCACCGCTCGGACGAAAGTGTGGCCGAAGGTGTCCAGCGTGTCCACGAAGGACTATCTGGAGGAGGCGATTGCGGCGGCTATTGACGATTGCGGGAACATCGACAAGATGATTGAAGATCTGGGGCAGAACAAGGCAATCGACATGGACAAGACGGTGAAGGACATGATGCTGAAGGACTGGCTGGAGTGTGACAAGCTGAAGAATGGATTCTTGTGAGTATTCCTCATGCAGTTTCCCTCGCCAACGGCCACACCATGCTGAAAGCACCGGTTCTCGTCCGATCACCGAAGTCAACCAGCATCGGGCGCGACTAGTACTGGGATGGGGGACCGCCTGGGAACACCGCGTGCCGTTGGCGAACCTCTTTTTGCTGCTCGTGACATCATGACGTGCTTTTTTATTAATGAAATCAACCTCTTTCAGACCCATTCATTCTGCTGTTCTCGACGGCGATGAGATCTACTTGAAGCGACAGTGCTTGACGCTTGACTTCCGTGGCTTTGGAGTGGATCTCAAGACCTCAGATGGCTTCACAGCGCTCCACATGGCGCTAAAGTGCCAAGCAGAGATGCCAATTGTCCAGTTACTCCTGAATTACAACGCCAGCGTGTCCACACTGGATGCATCGGGGAATAACAGTGTCCTCCTGGCGGGGAAACACTGCAAGGACTTGCAAATATTCACCATAATCCTCCGCAAGACGCCTTTCAGTGAATTGCAGCGAGAGAACTTTCAAAGTCATGGAATTTTCCGTGTTGTTGTGGACTCTGAACGCGTGGATTTCCTCCACGAATTATTATATTACGTGGATGAGTGTTTAGGACTGCAGTCGATATTTCCGAAGAACTTCGACGAGAAGAAAATCTCCATGGAGAAATACTATGTGGAGAAGCTGCAAGAGTTTACAAGATTGAGTGCAGACGAAGACTTGAGGATAAGTGAAAGGAAAGCGAGATTATTGAATCAGCGAGACAAAACCGCTGGGAAAACTCCCCTTTTCTGTGCAGTGGAGAAGCAAAAAGGTGATATTTTTATCTGTTTTTCCTGCGAAATTCTCATATTTCAAAGTATTAACCGGAAATTGCACTGTTGTAAAATCACTTTATCAACATTAACTATGTTTTCACTCAGTTTCTTAGTAATTAGTGACACATTTTACATTCCATTCGTGCCATTCTACACTAAAGGAAGTTGATTCAGTGCCAGAATCTTGTGATTTCTTGCTTTATTTGACCAAAAATCGTTTGCAATCGTATATAGAAAATATGATTTATTGATATGAACGTAATCATTTGGCAATTTGATAAGAATTTCACAACTTGCCGTGATGTTTGGGCGCCAAATAGTCTACTATATTAAATTGAGTCTTTTTACATTAGAACACAGGCATGTTTTTGAGAGTAAAAACATATCTTTGTTATAATTATTTCTTTGCAGAAATCATTGTTCTCGTCCTTTTGGCGAATTTTGCTGATCCTCGGATAAAGACACACGCCAGCATCGAGGCTCACATGCTGGCCAATGAGATCCTGAAGCACAAGAAGATATCAGCGCATCTTATCAATGCAGTGAATGCATTTGACAATTTCGATGGTGTGCAAAGCCTTGACGAAGTGTTAACTAAAAAACCCGTGAAAACAACAGTGAGAAAGATTTTACGAGATGATCAAGATGGGATTAGGAAGAAAAGAATGAAGATTCACTAGGAAAATATTGGAAAGTAAAATTGTATAAATATATATGGTTCTTGGGCTTACCTAACTGATGGGTAGTTTTCACTTTCGCCAAGGCTTTCACAGTCTTCAGGCTTTTCCGGCAGAAGTTTGGGATCAATTGGCTGGAGTGACGGAGGCAATTCGAGACCTTCGACCATGTCATAAGGATAAGACCAGAAGGGCTTCACTGAGCATTTATCCCATAGAATCTTCTCCGAGGCTTTCTTCAGGATCTTACTGATGGCTTCAGGATTGAATTCATTCGTCCTGTTTTCAGCGGCTTCCGTCTCAGCAATTTGGCGCCTCATTTGGTCAAGTTGTTCTGCTGTGAAGTGACTAAATCTGCATTGGCTGCCAAAATTACAAGGCTGTCCTTCAAAGATGCGCTTGCAAGTCTTCTTCCTGGACTCTTCCTTGTAAATCTCCTTAACAGCTGAAAACAGGGAGATTTACAGGACTGTGAACCTTATTTGTAACATTTCAACTTACTTTTGTACTTGGCATAGTGCTCGCTTTTGGCTCTCTGATGCTGCAAACCCTTGAGATGGTTTTTCCTCATGGCCAGGATGTCTTTGAATGACTTGCTGCAGTAGTCACAGTAGTAATTTTTCCCCATTTCCAATAATAAACACTGACGAACAAAACAAACTGCAAAATGTCAAAACAACTTGGATAAATGTAATTTCAGTGCAAAATGATAGGTGGCGTTTCGCATTTTTGATTCTTCAACGAAATTATTGAGTTTCATAAACAGAATTTTCAACATTTTTGCTTAATTTTCACACTGGAATCAAATTTCTAAATCAATGATAACACTCTCTATATTTTGCTAAGTTTCTTTATTTCAGGATTATATTGCTAATAGAAAATAATGTCATTTAAAATAACATTTAAAACATGCATTTATAATTAATTGTATTAAGAATAAACTAGAATGAGAAATTAGAGAAATAAATTACCCCAATTAATACACAAACTGCTGAATTATGAAACAATAATGCTTGGCTTAAATGTGCAAATCACAGTCAGTGTTTGAAGAATGTATTCTGATAAGAATTGGTATTAGAGATAGGTGGTGAATTTGAATTAGGATCGCATTATCTCTTTGTCCTCTAGAACTCTGGGTTATTGTTAGTTTTGATGCGGGTAAAACACCTATAAAAATATAACACATTTCTCTCTATCTAAGGTTTCATCATTTTGGGGATTTTGGGGCGAAGTACGACGGGATTACACGATTTGCTATAGCGCCCCATTTACAGGGTAGTGGAGTTCACGGCGTGAATGCCGTGCACGAGAATCGTGGGCGGCAGATCGGCCGTGAGTTCGGTCAGGAGGTCGAGATAGGCCAGAGATTTGGCACTGCCATGCTGCGCCGAGACGCTGGGCGGCGCCGCCAGATAGATGAACGCCACGGCCGTCTGGTCAGATCGCTCGCGGATCAGCTGATTCACCTTCTGCATGTACATGCGCGAGCGATTGAGCAGCTCCTCTGAGATTCCTTCCTCCGCCTCGGCGTCACTCCTGGTGAAGTGCTTCAGCACGGCGCTGTGACGCGTGAAGTCATCATTGCGCGACCACTCGGGAATCTGATGAATCGTCGCGTCGATGCGGAAGAGCTTCAGCTGCTGACTGAGACGGAATTCAGCCGGTTGATCCTGCGTCACTGGCGGCGTCATTGTGAAGTTGCCCGTGTTGTTCGTCGGCTGAGTCTCACAGAGAAACACTCGCACGTGCATTCGCTTCCACACGGGCAACATGTTGAGGATGCAGGACAATTGCAGCATAAACTGCGACACGACATCGAAGGGATCCTCATTCGTGGGATCAAACACATTCACCGTCCACACATCGATGTACTTGATGTGATTCGTCCTGGCGATGAGGTTCTTGTCCAGCCGATGGAAGTGGCGACAGAGACAGATGTTCTTCCTCATGCGCAGCACATCGTCCACCAGAGCCACATATTCCTTCGGCGACAGCTTCTTGGGCGCTCCCGCGTGGCGCACGGGGAAGATCGAAGCCTCCTCCTCAGTCGTGGGATCATTGCGGAATGTCTGGGTGTGATAGGGTGAATTTTCCGACTCGAAGAAGTCATACAGATTCTCCTCATCGTAGAAACCCATGACAATTGTGTTGGGCTTCATGGCTCCCATGCCCGAGATTCGTATGAGATGATGCACGCCCTCGCGGATGGTCTTGGCCAGGGTGACCTCAGCGAAGGCCTTCACCTTGAGATGATCAATCAGCGAGAGCCAGTACTTGTACTCGTCGATCGTGGGATCGTCATTGTCCTCGTAGTTGCCCAACTTCACGTGACCCAAGACATAAAGTCCGCCCTTCTTCAGGTCATTGACGAACTCAATGAGTGGACAACAGGATCTGGGACTCGAGACGAGCAGCAGCATCTGTGGACGCCAGAACTTCACGTGATCCTTCCGCGAATCGAGCATCAGCAGGTATTTTCGCACTTGATGGAACATGAGAGCCTGCGAAATGGAGCCCCACTGAGCCCCCTGGGATGCTGGGCTGAACAGATGCAGGCCGATGACGAGGACGAGACAGAGAATGATGCTGGAGGATGAGTAGATGGGATTGATGACGAACATCATGATGAGTGTGCCCAGGAGGCCGAAGAAGCACGTGTGCCAGGAGTAATACTTGAAGGACGGCCTGAAGTTCGGGGCGCCCGTGAGTTCAATGCCCAGACAGGCTAAATTCGTGGCGAGATAGGAGAGCATGAAGAGCACCGAATTGATCTGGGCGATCGTGTTGAGGGAGCCAATCAGCAGGATCACCTGCACAAGTATCCAACTGGTGAAGACAGCCACAACGGGATTTCCCTTCCACGTGCCGCGAATGACAAAGTTGAGGGCGCTGCCGTACACTTGATCCTTGGCCAGCGCCTCCAGGACTCTGCTCGAGCCGATCATGTTGCTGAGGGCGGCCGAGAAGGTGGCCGTGGTGATGCCGATGGCGATGAAGGGCTTCCACAGGTTGATCGGCATGAGGAAGAGGAAGTTGTTCTGCAGCAGGAAGCGTGAGCATGTGGCAGACATGAGGATGGCCAGGAGGATGTAGCAGACGAAGGTGAAGGTGACGGCGGACAGTGTGCCTCTGGGGATGCTCTGGGAGGGATTCTTCAGCTCACCCGACATATTGGCACCCGCCATGATGCCCGTGACGCCGGAAAACAGCACGCCGAACACGATGGCGAAGTTCACTTGACTCCCACCGGATGTGTAGTCCTTGCTGTAGTTGCTGTACAGATTGTCATGGAAGGTGAGACTAGAGAGACCTGTGTAGAGGCCGAAGGCGGGATTGGTGTCATTCTGCACCAGCTGATTCTCCTGCGGAATCGACACCTGCATCGGGCCCTGCGCCAGGAAGCTGATGTACGTGGACACGAGACACACGGACACAATGCCCAATATCATCACGGACGTCTTGGCGAACATTGTGGCGCCGATCAGGCACACGATCAGCATCACGGCGTTGATCATGGAGCAGTAGAAGAAGCGCCACCATCGGCTGTCCGGCAGCGTGAAGCTGCCCTCCTCCACCAGATAGCCAGATGGTCCGAAGTTCTCAATCAGACCCTCGGCACAGCCCGTGACGCAGAGAGCACATCCCACGATGTTGGCCAGGAAGAAGAGCGTTCCAATCGAGCCGCCAAAGTCCGCGCCCAGCGTGCGACTTATCATAAAGTAAACGCCTCCGCCGTCAACAGCACCATTCGTTGAGATTGCACACACAGAAGACACGGTGAAGAGGAGGATGGTGTAGGCGATGACGAACTGAAGGAGGGTGACGAAGAGACCTGCATTTCCCACGATGAATCCTACAGGAAAGGATCGAATCAGAAGGAATTCTCACTCCGCCACTGAGTCACACTCACCGACTCGAATGAAGATGAGCGCACTGAACATTGACAGTGCCACGGGACTGAAGACACCAGCGAAAGTGCCCAATGTACGTCCATGAGACCGCTCGGGATCCGTGATACCGAACTCCACGTATCCATCGGCGTCCGCTTCGCTCCCATCGGCACTTCTTGCCGAAAAGATGCCCCCGAAGTTGCGCCACAGCCGCCGATTGCCAGCAATTGGCACGGTCTCCGTGTCCGCGGGATCGGCGTTTGTGCTCATATTGTTGATATTCGGTGACAACATTACCTGTTTGCAGAAGCAGCGATGAATAAGCTGTGAAAATAGGAGGAAATTGCTCAACTCAGTTTCCACCCACAAGCGCGCAATGACGCATCTGCAAAACACCAGCCAAACACCACAATAAAAAGCAAATCGTCAGCAATTTACCCTGATTTTGGTGCAAAATCCCAAAGCAAATAACACTTTTTCTAAACTGAGAACCTGCTTTTTGGACTTATGCGGTGGAAATGATACTATTTGAGTCGGAAAATGAACATTTTCCAAGGGAAATGAGGAAAAATTCCTGCACACAAAAGAAGCGATACAACTCGACTCGAATCAGCTGATTTTTATCCAGGAAATGTCATCGCGCGGAGGGGAAATTATCCAGGGTGGTTCGGCATCAAAACAAACAGCTCAAGTCCGGTTTTTCCCTGATTTTTCCACATAATTCAGTGCTCACGCCAGATATTTACACAAAGTTCAATTCCTCGAGGAGTGTAAAGTGTGAATTGATAGGAAAAGAAGCTGGAAAATCAACAATTTATTGAACACAAAGTAAGACAAGAGAAGATAACCTAAAACTGTAAACGTTTAGTGATTTTTACACCTTTTTCCTCTTTGGAAAATCTAGAAAGATGGTCAGCGACAAGAAGAGGAGATCCCGATCTAGGGAGAGAGGCGATCTGAAGGACAAGGATCGTGAGAGAATGCGCGAACGTGAGAGACGTCGCTCGCGCTCCAGGGAGAGAGAACGCGTCCGTTCCAGGTCCAGGGAAAGAGAACGTCTTCGTTCCCGGTCCAGGGAGAGAGATCGCGCAAAGACAGACGTCAAGGGTGATCGGAAGGATCGTGAGAAGTCCCCAAAAGATCGCCTCAGAGACACAAAGCCGTCAACCAGCAAGGGAGATGTGAAGGCCGAAGTGAAGGCGGAGGAAGTGAAAGAAGAGACGGTTGAGGAAGGGGCACAGAAGAAGGTGGAACCGCTGTCGCTTGAAGAGTTGCTGGAGAAGAAGAAGGCCGAGGAGGCGGCACGGAGTCGGCCAGTGTTCATCTCGAAGGAGCAACGCGCTGCTGAGGCGCTGAAGCGTCGCCAAGAGCAAGTGGCTGCGCAGAGGGCGGCTTTGGCGAGTGTGCCGCGCTTCGGGGATGTTCCTGTGTCCACCTTGCTGGCCAAGGAGCGTCCGCAGCAGAGCGAGAGAGATCTTGACAAGCGTCCGGAGCGGAATGAGAGGGGCGAATTCTCTAGAAACGACAGAAACGACAGAAATGAGAGGAACGATAGAAACGAGAGGATGGACAGGAATGAGAGGATGATGGATAGGAATGAGAGAATGGACAGGAATGAGAGGATGGACAGGGGCGAGAGGATGGACAGGAACGACAGGAATGACAGAGGAGATCGCAATGATAGAAATGATCGTCGTGGCGACCGTGGAGAGAAGGCATCTGACCGCGATCGCGATGGGGATCGCAAGAAAGCCACCTCAAACGAGGACATGGCGCCGAAGGACAAGGAGAAGGAGCTGGAAGCCATTCGGGAGAGATATCTGGGCATTATTAAGAAGAAGCGTCGCGTTCGTCGACTCAATGACAGGAAGTTCGTGTTCGATTGGGACGCTTCTGAGGACACTTCAGTGGATTACAATGCGCTATACAAGGAGAGGCATCATGTGCAGTTCTTCGGACGAGGGAATATTGCTGGGATTGACATTAAGGAGCAGAAGCGCAAGCAGAGCAAGTTCTATGGCGATTTGCTGGAGAAGCGTCGCACAGAAGCGGAGAAGGAACAGGAGAAGGTGCGCTTGAAGAAGGTGAAGCGCAAGGAGGACAAGCAAAAATGGGACGATCGACACTGGTCGGAGAAGGAGCAGGATGAGATGACGGAGAGAGATTGGCGAATCTTCCGCGAGGACTACAACATCACCATCAAGGGTGGGAAGATTCCGAATCCGTTCAGGAGCTGGAAGGAGAGTGGCTTCCCGAAGGAAGTGCTGGAGATTGTGGACAAAGTGGGCTACAAGGAGCCGACGCCCATTCAGCGACAAGCCATCCCAATTGGGCTACAGAATAGGGACATTATTGGCGTGGCGGAGACAGGATCTGGCAAAACGCTGGCCTTCCTCATCCCCTTGTTGGCGTGGATTCAGAGTCTGCCGAAGATTGACCGCCTTGAGGACGCAGATCAGGGACCGTATGCCATCATCTTGGCGCCCACGCGTGAGTTGGCGCAGCAGATTGAGGAGGAGACCGTGAAATTCGGCACTCCGCTGGGCATTCGCACGGTAGTGGTGGTGGGCGGTCTGTCCAGGGAGGAGCAAGGCTTCCGCCTTCGTCTGGGCTGTGAGATTGTCATAGCCACTCCTGGCCGATTGATCGACGTGCTGGAGAATCGCTATCTTGTGCTCAATCAGTGCACTTACATCGTCCTGGACGAGGCAGATCGCATGATTGACATGGGCTTCGAGCCTGACGTGCAGAAGATCCTGGAGTTCATGCCGGTGTCGAATCTCAAGCCGGACACGGAGGATGCGGAAGATGCGCAGAAACTGATGGCGAACTTCTACTCGAAGAAGAAATATCGCCAGACAGTGATGTTCACGGCCACAATGCCGCCGGCTGTGGAGCGACTCGCGCGCTCGTATCTCAGGCGTCCGGCGACAGTGTACATCGGCTCTATTGGCAAGCCCACGGAGAGAACGGAGCAGATTGTGTACATGATGGGTGAGAATGACAAGCGCAAGAAGCTGATGGAGATCCTGTCGCGTGGCATCGAGCCGCCGGTGATCATCTTCGTGAACCAGAAGAAGGGCGCCGATGTGCTGGCGAAGGGCCTGGAGAAGTTGGGCTACAACACGTGCACGCTGCACGGCGGAAAGGGTCAGGAGCAGCGAGAGTACGCTCTGGCGTCCCTCAAGAACGGCAGCAAGGACATCCTGGTGGCCACGGATGTGGCTGGGCGTGGTATTGACATCAAGGACGTGTCGCTGGTCATCAATTACGACATGGCCAAGTCCATTGAGGACTACACACATCGTATCGGACGAACTGGGCGTGCCGGAAAGAACGGCGTGGCCATCAGCTTCCTCACCAAGGACGACAGCTCGCTGTTCTACGACCTGAAGCAGTGCATCATGTCCAGTCCGGTGTCGGCGTGTCCGCCAGAGCTGATGAATCATCCCGAGGCGCAACACAAGCCGGGCACAGTTGTGACCAAGAAGCGACGCGAGGAGAAGATCTTCGCCTGAGTTCAGAGCATCAGTGTCTGATATCTCAATAGAATATCTCTGTATCTCCCATTGAGCGGCGAAAGAATGGCTTTGTTTTGCTCGTCACACTTTAACGGAGCGTGTAAAAATCAATCGTGGCCCGAGGATCAATTGTTGACTGATAATTTCAGGGAACCCCACGAGTGTCTCCTGAGGTGGTCGCTCAAGTGGAGAGAATGCCGTCAATGGTCTCCCGTCTTCATCACTTTATTCTCTCTGTTGTTCACAAAATATCTTCATTTAATGCTAATTTGATTTTCATTATTGCCGTATTCACTACGGCCTATCATAGCCGCTCTTCTTGCCTCGTTCTTTAGAGGTGGTGAAGAAAATTGGAAGTGAATCAAGTTTGGTAAAATATTTGATGATACTGAAAGTGATCTTTGTTTGCTGTTTTCTTAGAGTTTTTCCTCAATAAATTGCTTAAAGGCTTAAAACAATAGTGAATCTTAATAATCCCAGGAATCCTTAGAGAAAAATTGTAGAGCATTATAAAACTCCAAACTCATGTTTAATGCATAGTTTTCGGCATCTCTGAAGGAACAATCGGAATCCTTGCTGGGAGGAGTTGCTAAAATGCCGTTCAAACTCTATAATTTCGCTAAATGTTTCTCACCTTTTTCGGGGCGATAGTTAAGTATCATTTAATCCTGTTTTTTTTGCATCGGAGTGTGTGAGAAAATTGCTATGATAACGAGAAATCTGCTTGTCTTGTAATTTCAAATCAGATACGCACGATGGTCATTTTGGGAGAAATGGGAAAAACTCTTCATCACAACGAGCCCTTGTCAGGATGCCGAGTTGATTGATTGCAATGCATTGATTTGGCTAAAGACAAAGAACAGCAACAGTGCAATCCCGATTATTTCGCCATCACTCACTCCGTGCGGCTCCCGTGCCTCCTGGCGTGTGTGTGTTTGAGTGCGAAGGACGTTCGCACGAGGGATGAGGATCTGCGAAGTTTGATCGCTATCGCGTGATCGATGCTTCGTCGCTGAGACGGCAATTGACTCACATCTTCGCTCCGCCGGTGTGAAGAGGGAGAGATTGAGTGAAATATGAGCGGTAGCAGGTATATCACTATCACAAGATGTTCTGCGATCGCATGAGGCGCCCCAGGGGCTTCAGAGAGCATTGGTTGGTGCGAAAGGTGGAACTGGAGGAGAAGACTTTCATCTCTTTCTGCCGCACGATCGCCGCAGAATCGCACAGTGGATGGTGGAATCTTCTTTAAACATCAGTCGAAGATCAGCCTTCTTCACGGTTCGACGCGTTTTCTCTCTCTCCTCTGGTGAATCGGCACGTGTGTCAGTGTCCAATCGGGAGGATCTTTTATCGCCACTCAGAAGCTGCCAGTGATCCAGGAATGGCTTATTTGGCCTATCATCAGAAGGAGCAATTTCCGCGAATTGACGATATGTCGCCCTTCGTCAACGACATGGACTTCAGCGATCCTTTCGGATACTGCAATCAGTACATTGCCAGCGACTCCTCGTCCGCGTCCTCTCACAGTCCCAGCGCGAGTCTCATTGATGGTCTGCAGAGGAACTTCAGCGACATGGCAATGGCGTACTCGAGTCAGCGTCAGGACATCTTCCCGAGAAGCGACAGCGACTGCAAGGCGGCGCGCGAGGCGATCTACAGTCGTCCTGGCGGCAGCGGAGGCGTGGATGTGTTCAAGAGGAGGCGTCTGGCCGCCAATGCTCGCGAAAGACGCCGCATGAACAATCTGAACGATGCCTTTGATCGTCTTCGCGAGGTGATTCCCTCCCTGGGCAGCGACAGGAAGCTCTCCAAGTTCGAGACTCTTCAGCTCGCGCAAGCCTACATTTCCGTCCTCGTGGAGCTCCTGAGCAGAGACTAATGTAAATCCATCGATAAACTGACTAGATAAGTGTGTAAATGTTACTGATTTTCGTGCAATCTTAATGTTAGAGCGTGTGCTTTATTGTTTTATTGAAATAAGAATTGAACAATAAATGGAATTTGAGTAGTTTTGTCTGTTTTGAATGATCACAAAAAATCCACACGAGTGCGTATTTTGTGAAGTGAATGCCTTTTGTGCGTTCTTCTGAGAAGTTTGGCTTCCGTTAGAAGATTTCGGTACATTATTCACGAATAATTATGAAGGAGAGTAATTGTTAAATTTGATTACCAATAAATCATTTCTTCTTCTCCGTACTTTACCGTGCAATTGAGAATTTATTGCGGCATATTTTTGGCTCTTCTCTCTTCTTCTCACTCTCTGCCAATAACTTGTGCCCTTTGTAACTTCAATTAGTTCAATTATGAATTGCGTCGATTAAAGAAGGATAATTATTGCACGTCTCTTGATTTGTTCTTTCGCCACTTATCTCAGCATTTTTTCAGCTTGTGCGACATCTTGTCGGAACGATTGACAGTGGATTTAGAACATGGGTTCAATATATAATTTCAGAAGAATGATTCTCGCGGCTGATCGACTCACACAAATATTCAATTCTCGCCACTAATTTTGTCCACAACTCGATCGCGCGCGAAGATGGAAAAAGAGGTGCAAGTGACTGTGGATGATGGAGGAAAAAACTAGTGCAGCATCAATTGCGCGGCGCTGTTGTTGATAAGAAACATCAAGAATCCATCATAAGATCGATTCGAGCGGTGCTTTTGTTCTCAAATTCCTCAAATAATCGCGTCTCTTTTTCCCTCTCACCGAATAAGATGTAATTTCTCTCTGGGTTGGATTTTTACGATATTTTCACGCAGAGAGTATCCTTAAGACTTCCCATAGCTGAAAGCTTCTTAAGCGTGATAAGCCAATCGGCAGGAATGCAGGGAATTAAGCAGGTCATTAACCGTCTGTGTATTCCCGTCAAATGCGAAAGAAATTATGCCTCGAGTCGAAGAAGATTATCTATTGGATGCTTCACTATTTTTTTGCCACCACCCATGCCACGAGCTATGCTCAATATGCAAAATATTCGATGAGGAATGCAAATTATGAGATCGCGCGCAAAATTTGATGCACACAACAAGTCACGGGATTTCACGAGAAATCCCGTGTGGCGAGAGGAACAAAGGGAATTTTCCTTGTTTATAGTGCGCAAAAAAAAAAAAATTTCTTATAAAGTCCCGCTCTGTGGTGATAAAGAAGCGGAAGAGACGAAGAGGTGAGTTTTGCCATGAATGAGAGGCCCTCAAAATTGATTCATACAAATTCAGACAATTGAAGTGATTGGCGGTGGTGTTTCTCGAAGATGATGGGAAAAACACGTCCGCATGTGAAAGAAATCGATGGATAAAGAGAAGTACCGCAAGACAGGTAGCTACAATATCGCCTGGGATGTGAAACTGATCCATTTCATCGTCCTTTGTTGCATTTAGGGATTGCATCATTTTGATTATCTCAAGTGAGGATGGTTATTGTTCGATCGATTCTGCGGGTGTTCAAAAGCTATTTTCTGTACATTGTTGACTGAAGAATCTCAAGCCACTTTGAGGCAGTTTCGAATTCAGACATTCCACTGAATGCCTCAATTTAAATGGCTTTCTATTTCCTGGAGGCTCAAAACTGAGTGTAATTGCGGGTTGTACGTTAATTTTCACTCTTTCATTTCAAAATGTAGAGCTTTAAGAGCGTTAATTGAGATAGTTCTAATTCGTGGTTGAGATTTATTTGGGTATATTCATTTTGACAAATATTATTTGCCTCCAGTTGAGCGCATTTACTTTGATTTTGCCTGAGTAATGGACGGTTTTCTACGTGTTTCACTCAAGAACGTATTATTTGAACTAACATGAAGATGATAAATTACGAATTAATTGGTTGATTTGAGAGTTTTTCAAGCACACTTTGTGATCATTTGACTACAAGAAGACGCGCTTCAAGAATTGGTTGAGAACGAGGGAGGAGAGAAATAGAAAATAATGAATTAACTGTTAAAGACATTCTTATATTCACTAAATTCTATTAAGAAGACTTCTTGTGGAATTCACCTTTTGCAGAAGGTCACAATAATGACACAATAATTTTGCTCACTTGTATATTATTATGAGCATTCATTTACTTCCCATCTTTCCTCCAGAAAACTCATTTGGAGCATTTTTTCGCGTGAAATATTAAGTTTGAGCTGTAAAATATTATAAAAAGAGAAACACTCAAATTGATTCACGCAACTCTGGTGGGAAACACAGCACATTGAAAGGAATTCTTCTTGTGAATAAAGAAGTAGCAAAAAAAAAGAGGAAGAACAGGTAGAAAAGTTTCCTTCGATGCTCCTTTTGAGTCAGTGTTATTATTGATTTGTCTTTTTCTTCGTGATTCTTTTGCTATCTCATTGATGAAGTCACATTTTTTTGCCAAATTAAGGAAAATTTCCCTTTGTGCTTCACAAATTTCAGTTTATAATGCATTTTCGCGTGACTCTTTGGGATCAAATTTTAATCAACTCAAGCAGGAATGAAGAACTCAATCAAGGAGCTGTTCAAAATGCATTGTCACAAAGAAGTTGAGTGTTGAGGGAAAGAGTCAGAAAATTGGCCTGTAAAATGCAAATTTTGCGCAACAAGGATTTGTATCAGAAAACTGTGGAAATGGTGAATAATATGGGTTCTTTTGCCGGAATTGATTTCCTATGTCGAATCGTAACGAAGCCAATAACATTTCCCGGATACTTGCTGATAGCTGCAATAAATTTCAGCAGCGTGTGCACTGTTTATTCCACTTACTTCTTCAGGGACAATTTCACTGATTTGGCATATTGTTTAACAACTTTGGGCATCATAATAATGGTACTGATGAAGGTGATAAGCATTTTTACAACGCACAATTACGCACACGATATAATTAAGGAAGTGAACGCAATAATCGACAGACTTGAGGGTGATCATGAGAAATCTTCTAAGATTCAAAAGGGACTTCAAGCTTTTCAATTGACCTTCAATATGGTTAAAGTGTCATACTTTGCAGCCGGTTTGGGAATGATCCTTTTCGCTTTAATGAATTTCGCTTTCAAGAAGGAGAGAGTTTTAATCACAGGATTTATCGTACCGTTTTTGAGTCACGAAGAAACTCCAGGATATCAAATTAATTTACTCTTGCAAGCAGTGGAGGATATGATAGCCGTGATTTTTCTGATAACGTACGACTCCTTCTATATTGGCCACATGTTCATAGCGTGCACGCATAAATTGACCATGACACACTTCTGCAAGGATTTTGACAAGTTATTAAATGAAAACGATGAGCTTGTGAACGCCGAAGATGCGGTGAAATGCCTTAAAGCCTTGCTTCTTGAGCATCAAAGCCATTTGAGGTTGATGAGGAATATATCAGACATGGTCAATACTTCAAATGTGGTGCACTTCCTTTCGAACATGTGCGTCGTCATTTTGTCGATCGTTGTCCTCGTGAAAATCCTCTGGATTCCCGGAGTGGCTCTCCTTGGCGTTACCGTTGGGAATTTGTTCCTGTATTCGGCGATTGGCACTCTTTATTCCGTCTGCGCTGAAATTTTCCAGGCGGAGGTTTACAATTGCAAGTGGTACGTGTTTCCGCCGAAGATCCAGAAGGCCCTGGGCTTTGTCCTTGCCATGAGTCAGCGTCCTGTTCAGCCTTCAGTTGGAGGATACGCTCCTTTGGATCTGCGCACTTTCTTGAAGGTGAGACACTGAAAGAGCGTATTTTACCTCATTTCATCGGTTTGGCTCTCTTCCAGTGCTTGAAGACCATCTATACCATCACGATGATGCTTCTCAATGCTGAATAAACTCTCAAAAAGGGAGAAATGTGCAATTTATAGTTTACACACTTTAAATTCTAAACTTGATGCTGATAAATGGAAATTATATCAAGAACACTCTTCTTAAGATCTTGCACAGCTTACAGACGTTTTTAGTCCAAATCTCATTATTGAGCCAACAATTTGAACACAATAACATATAAAACACGAGGATATTAATAAAGAAATAGATATTCTGCAAGTTGTTTCTTAGTCAATTTTGTATCTTTGAATTGTTGTGAAAATTTAGTTTATCCTTTCTTTTCCACAAAGTGAATGTTCATACGGCATATTCTTATAGCGCCTCGTACAAAATTATTACATTTAATCAATAAATAGAGACATTTAAATAAATTAGGCAAATTACTTACGCATAAGTTTGATAATATTTCTTCACTGGTGCGCTCATAAAACCGGTCGATAAAACCATTCTGCAAAGAGTGGCAATTTGTTGACGTTGATCAGAAGCGCGCCTGTTCGGAAGAAAAGCAGCAAGACTTGGAGAAAGAGCGAGAGAGATGTGATAAATTTAATTCGTAGTTAAAGCATCTTTTCACAGTGGATAAATGACTTCAATAATCACCTTCGGTGCAGTGGCAATGCATTTCCAAAATACTCCACCGAAGATGCTGCGCATAGATGAAGAATATTACCATTTGCCGCATTTCAATGTGATTTAGGATGCCACTTTGTTACTTTGTGCGCTCAATCGCGGGGTGGAAATGCGCAAGAAGCGCGCGAAAGCGGCCGGCAAAGTGAGGTGAATTAATAACAATAGGGGTAATCTTACCAGAGCACATCTTTAATAGTTGTGACCTTCAGGAATCATTGCTGGCGAAGCTGTAATTCTCCATGATTTTCTATTGGGAATTTCTTCTTTCCACTCTCCTCATTATGATTTCATCGATCATAATCACGTCACACGTATTAAATCTCATTTTATTTACAAATTCATCCCGATATTAAATGAGTGTGAAGAATGTGGCTTTTGCCTGATACGCATTCTTAATATCTCACGCAATAAATTCGAGCACGGATCTTATATGAATCATATGATGGTCAAATTCAGTAATTAATAAGACTTGAAGACAAATTTTTCCCTGGATTTTTGGGAAGGAAAACAGGAAAGACACTGGGAGAATCAAGAGGAATTCCAGCAACTTTCACGGGGAAAGATTTGTACGATGAATAGGAATGATTAAGATGTAAGATTGATAAGTGAAACAATTACCGCATTCGATGCTCTCTGTGTGAAGAGATTTTAATAGTTTCTGATTCTTCAACACACACGCAGAGGCCGGACAAAAGCACCTGCAAAGATATCTGTACTTTGCTGAATCACCAATAATTACCAATTCATGCATGAAATATCGGATTGGTGGGAATATGAATAAAAGCCCTGCGATAGTCGCTGTCTGGGTTGTTTTTGTCTCGGGATATACCAAGAAAAGAGAAACTTTCACGATGTGAATCCTCTTCCTTGAAGGCGGACGACAAAAAAAAATCTCTTTCATCATATTTGCCGTGAATCTCTTTTGGCACTTCCTTTCACACAGAAGAGCACAAAAAAGACATTTTTTCACCATCAGTGGAAAAAATGCTTTACAGCTACAGGCATTTAATTTAATTTTATAGCATCCTGAGTGTTATTAAATATCCATTTTGTCTGTTTTCTATCAACAGGATCTGCGCAGCATTTGTAAGTGAAAAGGTAAAAGGCTGAGGAGGAAATTGCCAAGTTGTGTTGTTTTTTTCTGCGTGTTAAATTATAATCATTATGTACGAAAGATTACATGCAATTGATGTCATTTTGGCATTGACATGACTTTTTTCACCAAACAATAAGAATTTGATCGTTATTATTCATGCTCATGAAGAGAAGAATAATGAAAAGGGAAATTTCCTCTCAATATTTCCTTCCCCTTAATTGTTGAGAAACACGTGCTGCTCCATTTTTTGCACCGAAAACTGGCTATTAAAGAAATGAGAGTGAAAAATAAACATTGGAATGAATGACTGCGGTGAGGTGAAACATTAAGAAAGATTTTGAGATGATTTCTTTTCGTAAATTGATACAATTGAGACTGGAAATTGCCAATAATGGAAATTACAAGTCGTTTTTTTTTTCTTTGGCTCGAGGGAAGAAAAATACATGGAAACTAGATTCCATTTGAGATTCTCTTATTTGATTAATATTTTTTTTCTTCCTGAACGATTTTGTATTTTGTATAATTGACTTGAGAAATGTTGCATTTATAAAAATTATAAATCGTCTTACATTCCATATAGTCTCATTTTTGTCGTTGCTCGTCGCATTAGTGCTGAAAATATGAAATTTATTCAGAATTGTGTTATTAATTATCGATTCTGTTTGATGATTGAGAGTGGCTGCATTCCATCTTCCTCATTCGCCTCTCACTTGTAATTCCTCCTCGGGCTCTGCTGTCCCGTGATGTCTTTAAACGGCTTTGAGAAGGCATCTTAGGCGGGTTTGGGGATGAGACAAATATGTAATTATAAATTCATTTTTAATAAATATTTCTCTTGAAAATTCACTGCAATTTTTTTGCCCAATTCCTATGCAGAAATGCGAATTATTTTGCCAAATTCAGGCGCCAAGTTTTTGAGTCTCTTCACTCTTTCAGTGGTAGATTTATTGACTTCATATTTTGGCATTGACTCTTGAAAAATTCTTCAGTGAATATTTCTAGTAATAAATCATTCATTTACTCGTCTCTGAGGTGGAGGAGTTTTCTGATTAAACCCCCAATAATACCTTCCGAGAAGCGAGGAGATAAAGAAGTGATTTAGGCTATGATTTCCCTAATTTCACCCCAAAATGTTCTAAGGATAATAACTCCCAATGATGCCCATTGAGATCACTTTGGCTGAGAGACAATTGGGTAATTTGGTGAGATGCCACAGAAAAAGCTGAAGGGCAGCGAATGGTCATTAAGATAGCCATCGGAGAGGACTCTTGAGGATTCTCTTTTGACCTTGTTTTCGCTCCTGTGAAAAGACGTGTGGACATAAATATTTATTGATGTCATAAATTAGTGATTTTATGCTTGTTGTCTCGAGATCTTTTCACTTTTCTCGGCACCTCATCACTGGCGTTTTGCCACGTGTCATCCGAGATCAATTAAAAGCAACACTTTGTGTGATAAAAAGCCAATAATCTATCGTCGAGTGAAGCAGTCTCTTCTTCTTCATCCTTCACGGTTCACAGATAAAGGACGAGCCATCGTAATTAGATAATGATCGTGTTTTTTTGTGTTAGTTCTACTGCTAAAAAATGATATAAATTGCGAAGGGTCGTCATTGTAGCGTGAATGACGCGTGCTTCGAATGCTTCACTTACTCCCTCGCATTTTTTACCCCATCATGATCAACTACCCTTCGCAGTTGTCATGATCCCTCATGATTTTTTTCCTCCTCGCAATCCCATAAGGATCAGTTCTGGTGGCACGAAAATAAACATAAATACCAAATGTGCATACAATACAGGTAATAAAAGACATAAGAAGAGGGTAAATTTTGCGACATTTGGTGCTTCACTTTTGGGTCATTTTCATTTTTCAACGGGTTCTTCCGTATTCTGAATTTCGATACTCAAGCGAGGGTGTTGTTTCCCTAAAAAAGTTTTGGATGAATTAAACTTTGGCTTTAGAATTGTTTCTCTTCAACAATCTGCTTATTACAATTCCACTGCGTACTTAAGATTTATAATCAATCTTACAGATCGATACACAATGATAACGGGTGAATCGAAAACTATGAATAGATGATTTTTTTAGTAGTAGTTTAGTGGCTTAAAGTATGAAAAGTTGACTATTTATCGTCTACGTCGTGCATTTTTTCTAAGAAAATTATCTCAACCCGCAGAAAAACGCATAAAACGCCTTTTTGATTAATTCTAGATTTTCGGGTTTTTTGTCAAATATTCTTAGACTTTAAAATAACATTATTTGTCATATATTTAAATTTTTTCACTTGAAACTCTTAAATAAAAGTTCATGTATGAAAAGTTGATTTTTCAAAATGTTTACGTGTAAAATGTACTCAGAAACTATTAAAAATTGACTTTGGAATGTAATATTTCAGTTTTTCTATTAATTTTGCCATATTTCAGTCAAAATTTCTCAAAAATTCCAATAAAATCAACGGGAATATTCACAAAATATTTATTACAGAGCAATATTAGCACTTTAACAAAAGATTAGAATGTGTTTTGAGGTAAATTCAACCACTATATATCCGTCGATATACAATATTTAAAGTAAAATATGCATAAGAATTAATTGTGCTTGAATTTCCCTGGGCTTCAGAATGTTGAAGAAGAGCAAATAACGGTTTGAGAAGTCGAGGAAGATAAAAATTCGCGGAATGATTCAATCCTTGATTGCTTGAGCCACAAAGACGTATAAAAATGTATTTAATGTTGAATCTCCATCGCGATGAAATGAATGAACGCGGTATCATGAATAAAAGAAAAGGGAGATTCATTTCAGAGAGAAATGGCTATATTTCGCTATGCGTACGTTATGCAATTATTCAATTCTCATTGGAGTGCCGTTGGGGCGACTCATCCCTGTGTTGTCCATTGAAAAAGTATGATATCTCTATTAAAAGTCTCGTCAGATATGGCCAAAATGAGAGAGAGAGAAGAGCGAATTAAAATGCGTTGTGAGAGATTCTTCTGCAATCGATAGAGTCGGAGCCTGAGGAATGTCGCTGGATGATTTGAGGAATATAGAATTTTGGGGCCAAGAGAAACGTGTCAAAATTTCAAGACGTCGCGTTTCACTTAATGTCTGCTGACCGAACTTGAGGCTCTCATGCGTTCTCTATATAAATGCATAACTCTGCAATGTAAATTATGCCATCGCGAGGAGCGCAGAGGGAATTTAGGGAAATTGGCAGTCTGGCAAGAACTGGGAAGTGAACTCAATTCCTTCCCTGGCTGAGCCACTTTATCACCCACAATCTAATCGCGGCCGCCACATTAATATTATGTATGCACGGGACTGACGAAGGGAGCAACCATTGACACGAGTTTCAAGGGAAGAAGACTCTTCCCTCCGCATTTAATTGGAGTTAATTATCATGAGAGTCTCTAGAGTGGCGCAAGTAAAAATGTACGTTGACTGACGTGCAAAGTAAAGGGTCCGGCACGTGCCCGAAACAGTGGCGTCAGAAGAAACAGCACACAATATACTCATGCCTTCCTTTATCATTGTCAGCATCAGCCGGAATGCACAGAATGGCATTGTTTGTGTTGAAAAATTAAGATCAATTTCTCCAGAAGAATGTGATTGTCTTCTTAAATGCGAGAAAAAACGAAAGGAAAAATCAAGGAAAACTGCGGATTATCGATACATGAGACATTGGCAATGGATTTTAACCAAATTTTAACACATTTTTAGGGAAAAAACAACTGAAAAAGACAATCTAAAGACTAATTAGTCATATTTTTCCTCTAAAATTGTGTTTTAATAAAGGAAATTGCACGATATTCGTATCGATAACATCAGAGCAATGAGAACCAAATGTGATAACGCACTAAGAGTGTCTTTATAAATGGCAGTTGAGTGGACTTATTATTCGTGAAACCACTTTAACAAGCGACCTGCAATTAATTACAAGAATTATGCATCACTTTCTCTTGAGTAAATACTGCGTCTATATTTGAGTATCTTCTTCTGGGCAATTTGAGTGCTGGTCTTTGGGTTTGGACTAGTTCTGTTGGCGGGACTTCAGCTGGTGGGTCTCAGGAGACTGTATGTGGCCTCATCGACGCCCCTCTCGAGCAGATCCCGCAGCGCCGCGATGTACGTCTGGGCCATCTGCAGCGTCTCGTACTTGGACAGGCGATGCTCAGCATCCAGCGACGGGACGACTTCGCGCAGTCTGTCGAAGGCCTCGTTCAGTCCATTCATGCGCCGTCGCTCGCGGGCATTCGCCGCCAGGCGCCTCTTCCGCATCACCGAGGGACTCAGTGGGGTCATCTTGCCGGATCTGGGGCAGTTCCTCTGGCGATATGAGTCACCATCGCGGCGTCTCCTCTTGGCGCGTGGCGCGGGATTGATTTGCGTGTGATTTTGCAGATCGGCAGCCATGCAGAAGTCCACCATCAGGGATGGCTGGTGCTCCAGGGCGAGGCAGAGGTTGTCTGAGCACGAGGATGTTGGCCAGGATGTGGTGTAGAAGGAGAGTGACTCGTCGCCCGAGTACGTGTCCGACACGGAGGCATTGGTTGGGTAGTGAAAGAGCTGCGAAACCTCCATTGGCACTCGGAATTCCTCTACAATTTCCTGCACACGCGTTTTGGCGCCATGCGGCTGTTCCACCAGCGCTCGCCAAACTGACTGTCGGACTGTGGAAGAGTCACCTGAAGAGGCGCACCCCTAATGATCGTGATCGTGAAACTGAAAGTCAGGAGGGAGAGACACACACTGTCCTTTTCTCCCCTCTTTCACGTGAACCAGCGACACTTTGTATTTTAATTCGCACTCGATTCTCCTTAATTAATTCCACTGAGCCGATGAGACCCTCGCCCTTGTTTAGACTCGTCCCCAAAGTCGCACTGCGCTTCATTCATACTTCAGGGGTTCATCTGCTGCTCTCCAGGAAGACACCTTCTGAGTGGGAACGAGAGTGAAACAGAGTTTTAGTAGGAAAATTGTCTCTTTTCTTCATTGTTATTGTTTACTATTACATTAAGCATTCACAGGTTTCCTTAAAAGTTTTAATCTTTATAGAGAGTTTTCTCATTCAAACTGCAACGGAATAACTATGTTTATTCACATGTTTTTTTTTTCTACAAATTCTTATCTACAATTTCTACTCTGTCTCTAGTTGATATTAAAAATATATAAAAGTTAAATTACAATTTTGTACTCTTTATCAAAATACCACTTAAAGAAAAAACCCCCTCATTTTGACTAGAAAAATCTTGAGCGTGAGCGGATTTATAATTCAACCCACGTGAATAAAGGGAAGATTTGTTAAAACAGCAACAGAAAAAAGTCTCTGATTGTACAATATTTGAGGTGTGAATTTCTTTAATCAGGACAATTTTGGCATCTTGTAGAGAAAGATGACGTTGAGGATTATATTTTACTGAGATTTCTTTTCTCTTTTTAGAGCCCAATAAGAAAGAGCCAATTTTAGGCACAACAACTTTTGGGATGAGTAATTTAATTAACGCTGTTTTCAACAATTTATTTTTCACCACTCTGCAAATTACAACAAAATCTTCAAGGATTCATAAGGAAAAACGTGTCTCTCGTGTGTTTGTGTGTTGAAGACACAATCATTAAGCGATTAATAGAAATTTAAGCGGGAAAAAACTGTACTTTTATTTCATTTAAATGATGGATTCAGTGAAACTCTGGAAACTCTTCTGTTTCTCTCATTATTTTTGCGTGTGTTTTTCTGCACACCGTGTTCGTTTATAATGCACACAGTGAGAATATTTATGCTGCAAATCCTTAACTACATCCTCTTCTCTCCTCTTTCGGCCTCTACAGTTTTTAATGCCAAAGTCATCTTAGTGAAAGAAACTGACACATATTCTTAGTGTTCTCCTCCTGACCAATTCACCAATTCCCACTTCGAGCCCCACGATTTCCTCCGCCGCCGCCGCGGAACATTGGATTCCCGCGGAAGGGATGCGGTCGTCCTCTGGGCGCCCTCACGCCACCCCTCATGTTCATCCCTGGCCGGAAGTTGAACAGAGGCTGCATGCCGAAGGGAGGACGCATCCTGTCGCCGCCAAAGAATCCGCCACGCATGAAATTCCCTCCAGGTCCACTCGGAGGTCCGTTCCAGCTGCCATTCCCGCCGCCGCCGCCGTGCATCGGACCGCCGGGAGGCGTTGGCAGAAGTGGCGGAGGACCCTTGTAGGGTGAGAAATTCATTCCTGGCGGCTGCATGAAGCCCATCTGTATTCCTCGTGCTCTCATATCGTTGTCCATCTCCTCTCCCTCACCATCAGCCATCTGATCTCCGCCCAGATCATTGCCATCCTCTTCTTGTCCTGAGAAAATACAGAAAAAAACCAACAACTTTAGCACTTCAGCTAATTTGAGAGGCAAACAACACTTGACTTACCTAGACGAAATCCTAAGCGAGAGAGAGAGAGCATACAAAAAGACAAAAATTGTGTGTGATTAAAGAGTTAAATCGACTTTAGTATGCTCACTCTCAGAGGAAAACTTGCAATTGCACAAATACTCACTGTGATACTCTTCGATATCATCATCGGACATCTCCATGTCGACACTCTCAACATTGTCCGGGCCATTTTGCACGTTCTTCGCGTTCGGCGACTTCATGATCTTCTTCCCCATCGCATTGTTGAGTGGCGGCACGGACGGCACCACGAAACCCGGCGGGGGTTTTTGGAAATTTGGTAGCAGTGACGAGTTTGCCTGAAATCCCACAAAAACCGTCAAGAGATCAAGACATTCAATCCACACAAATTGCTTTCAACTCACATTCATGGACTCCTTCATGAAGGCATCAAAGCCAGGCGGAGGATCAACTGGAATCAGTGTGGGAGGAAGTGGTGGAGGCACAACTGGCTCTTCCGCCTCGCCCGCCTTCGGCGGACTCACTCTCTCAGCATTGCCCGGCGTCAGAGAGCTCTGCCTCCTCATGTCAACATCCTGACCAGATGACGGTGGCCAGAGAAGCGGAGGAGCCACTGGTGGCGGTGGGATTTCCTTCTCACTGTTCGCCTTGCTCCTCGGCGATCCGGTCAGGGAAATCAAATTGCGATGATCAACATCGACGGCACGATTTTTCACTGCAAACACATTTTGCTCTTAGTTCAATCAAAGATTTGTGCTAAATTGATTTGATTGTTGATTTTACCTTTGGAAGGCGTTGACAGAATCTCTGACGGAAGATTCAACTGTCTGTGATCCACATCAGTCGCTCCAGAGTTCTCGGAATTCTCAATATACTCAATCATTCCTGTGTCATTCGTGGGCTTGCGATCAAAGTGTGGCGGCGACGATGGAGTCTCCGTTGTCTGGTCATAGCCTGTCGAATTGTTCCCCAGCCACTCCAAGCCACTGTTTCCCCAGTTGCCACCGTAGTTGTTCATTGAGTTCTGCCGAATGGGCGGCGGCACTGGTGGCGGAACAATGGAGGGCGTGTAGCTCTGACCAGTCTCATCGCCATACCGTCGCCCATAGTCCTCCTCAGTCGTGAACTCGTCCAGACTCATGCCCGGATTGTACGGCACCTGATCCGGCGCACGCACGCCCAGGTATGATGGCAAGGAGTTCGGCGCCACGGGCGGTACGGGCTGGGGTGTCTGCAGCGACGGGATGTACTTGCTGGGCGGCGTGTCATTGATGATGTTCTTGAAGATGTTGTTCACACTGAAGTCCGCCGCCTCGCTCTGGCTGGAGCCTCGTGAGTCAATCACTTGGATCTGCTGCCCCGACGCCCGGTGATCCGATCGCATCTGGCTGCTGTGGCTATCACGATGAAAGTCATTGATATCGAATGGCAACGCGCCACCGTCCATGTAACTCATGAATCCATTCGAGTAATTCGCCCCACTTCCGGGGAACTCAAACTCCACGTCCGGCTCCGGCGACGGGGCATTGATGTCCGGTGATGGGATTGGACTGGGCAGCGACGGTGTCAATTCTTCCAGCTTCTTCTTCATCGCCTTCACGCGATTCCCAAAGTTCCGATAGGCCTGAAAGTGACAGAGATTTTGATGTTGGGAAGAACACTAGAGAGAGAGAGATTCCTTTTGAGCACTCACAATTGCCACTGTCTTGACATCGCCTCGCTGATTGTGGTAGAACTCATCCGCCTGCACGAGAGCCGTGATGAGGATTCCTCTCGCTTTGATCTCCGCCTTCAGGGTATTCATATAGCTTTCCAGATTTGTCAGGCACTCTTCCAACTCCTTCTCCACGTCCTCCACGTGGCTGCGATCTGGAGAACACAAAACGTAATCAGTGGGAATTCAGGAGGACGCAAGTGTTGATCTCCTTACCCTTGAGATTTTGCTTTATATTGTCCACGTCACACTGTGGCATCTTCGAGAGGTTCTTGAAGCTCTTGTCCGTGCGTTCTTGCAGCTTCACGCAGTCCCGCACGTTGGCGATCAGGGCTGTCGTCTCGTCGGCCACCTCGGGCTCCTTGGACTCCTGGTTCTTCTTCGCCGGCGGCGGCATATTGAGCAACCCCACGAGATCCGCCAGGAAGTCCTCATTGTAGACGCCGCGCTGCTCCCAGATCTTGAAGATGCGCAGGATCTTGCTCTTCACCTTCTCGTCGCGCACCATCGTCGTGGCGCGCTGCAGAGTCGTGCCCCAGCTCTCCACGAACTCATAGTTGTTCCTCTTGCTGTACTGAATCACATCGTTGGCCAGGTGGAAGAGTGTCAGGCGATGCTCCACTTTGACTGAAAGAGAGAGAAGGACGTTCAGCGGACGGCCCGGAGGACATACTCACGAGGATACCTTGCTTGAGGACAGTGAGCCAGCTGGAGACGATCTTCTTGTGATGTGATCGCCACTGAAGACACCAAGTTGACATGGAGCTGATGCTGTCCTGTGTGTCTTTCAGGCCGCTGAGATTCTTCTCAAACACCACCGTGTCAAATTCTTCCGGTGCCACACTCATTTTGGCATCAAATCTTCACATAGGTCCTCAAGAGATTGTGTGATTTGGTTCAGGAAATCCGGACGAATCCCTCAATAAACTAACCACACATTTTGTATTGCTTCACAAACAGTCAATTTACACCACTTTTGGGCACCTCCGCCAGCAAAATTTCCCTCCACTTCTCTCAACAGTCTACAGGAGTAACTATTGACACCAACAGTAGCCCAGTATCCAGGCTGTTGGCAGGGAAAAATGAGATTTTCCAGATCGACGCGGTAAATCGCGGGAGTTGTGTCACTCAATTTACCCTCAATTTTCTCACAATCACAATAATTTTTCAGTCCACTGAGGCCACCAATTCACACTGCAATAGCTATTTCAGCAAACAACACTACGTTTGGGGAGCTGTGTGTGAGATTTTCAGGGGAAAATGCCTCTGAAAAACAACAACTCGAGTAAATGTCTTAAGAAAACTCGACGCCATTACAGTCTCTCGAGTTTTCTTCCTCTTCACCATTATTCAGGCAGATGGCGCGCGAGAGGGAATTCGCCGCTTTTTCGCCGTGAAGCTGTCAAATTTGTCCGGGAAGTTCCGCACGTGCGTTGTTTACATTCTTGAGGGATGGATTTCAGGGAGAAAAGCCTCCAAGGCGTGCTCCAGAAGAACGCTGATGAATTGGCCAGGTGGTCCGCCTTCAGAGATGAGCAGATGCAAGCGATTGAGAATCTGTACAACTTCCAGAAGCAACTGGAAGTGGAGATAATGGTGCCAATTGGGAACAAGGCTCTGCTGCCGGGATTCCTCTATCACACTAATGAAGTGATGGTGACGCACTATAATGGACTCTTCAGCAAATGTACAGTGCAGAAGGCACACGAGATCCTCCATTCTCGTGTGGAAATTGCGAATGATCGTCTCAGAGCGCTGGAGGCTGAGAAAGAGATGTTTGTCAACCGGCAAGAGCTGCCTGGGATGCAGGACATTTTCTCTGGTGAAGCACAGCAGGAAATTATGGAGGAGTACGATGAGGAGAAGGAGGCAGAGTGGCGGAAGTTGCACAGGGAACGCTTGAGAGAGCACAAACAGCGAGAAGCTGCGGACAGAAAAGCTGGCAAGGTGGAAGATGAGGATTTCGACCAGCTAATGGAGAGACTTGAGGAATTAGAAATGCTGGAGGAGATCAACAATGAGCTTGTGGAAGAAGGGCAAGAAGTGGAGGAATGTCCGAGTCAAGAAGTTCTGCAAATCAAGAGGAAATCCTTGACATTCTCTGACCAGGATTCTGTGCAGGTCATTCAATCCCACGAAGCGCCCTGCAAAGCAGCCAGACAGCCGGAGTCTTCCCTCCCGCTCAATCCTGATCTCACTCTGCACTTGGAAGTCACTCACTCAACAGCTGTCTTCTCTCCTTCCGGAACAGCAGAGATAACGAGTCCTGCTGACATCTATCGCGTCTTCGGTCAGTGCCTGGAGTCTCCCGATCAGTCGGAAGCCGCTGTGCCCAAGTCAATCCTGAAGAATCGCGAAGCAGTGGAGCGAGAGATTCATTTGCCTGGGGACGGAGTCAGAGAAGCTGCCACAAAGAAGCGACCAGCGAAAGTTGTCTCTGTGGATCATTCTGCCATTCTGGGCGATGTGATAGAGCGCAATCCGGAAGGCGAAGGGAATCCAGACACTGTAGATGTTCAGAAAGTCCCTAAGCGTCCGATAAGTCGGTTCAAGAGCGCTCGAGAGGCGAATTCCTAGCATGAATAAAGTCTTTTCTCACTGTTTCACCCTTTTATTACATCTCCTGAAAAGCTGTTCAAAGGCAAAGGATGCACCTGTGTGACTCGGTTGGGTGTCTTCCGCTCGCTGGACGCTTGCTGGGCGTCTGTGAATGTGAGTGAGATGGAATTGCGTGGGATTCACTTCTCATGTGCAGCCCTCTTGGCGGCTATCGACCTGAGGAACCGATTGCCGCACAGGAACGTGAAGAGCGCCAGTGGCAGGAGGTATCGGATGGTGGCGAACATGTCCAGCTGCACCCAGAACACGAAGAAGAGGAACAGAATGGCGCCCAGGCCAAGGTGAAATCCAATGGCGGACAGCGACAGAGGGAAATTGCTGATGTTCACTTTGAGGCGCAGCCACAGAACCAGGAGGATGAGGAGCGGCACACAGCAGATGCCAGTGAAGAGATCTGACACGAAGCGTGCTGGACGCTTCTCAGGAACGCGGAACTGATGGACAATCTCCTTCCTCGGCTTGTACACAGATTCCTGCGTGTCTCTCGCCGTCGCATCTCCGGAGAACTTGAGATTGATGTCCGCCACGTGCCAGCGGAAGGAGTTGGACAGCGACGCATCGCCCACAATGAGCTCCATGAGGTATTTTCCGGATGTCTGCGAGAAATCGGAACTCCTCGCGCCCACATCCATGTCGAATTTGTAGACTTTGCTCGAATCCTGTTCCGCCACGAAGACAATCTCCTCGCCAGTCTGGCCATTCTCGAAGCGCACAAACGCCTGGTGGACGGAGATGGGCTTCCCAGTGGTCTCATCGACCAGAGACACCTTCATCACCACCTTCTGCTGCGAGTCCGCGTTCAGGGGCGTGGAGAGAGTCTTGGGGAAGTCCACAGTTTGCTTCTTCACCGCTGAGCTGCTGTCCGAGTCGCCAATTCCCACCTCCAGACTCGACACCTTCACTCTGCCCAGGACTTTCAGCTCCGCTGACTGCTTGAAAGTTCCGGCCGTGAGATCAACCGTGTACTGCCCTCTGGCAGGCTTCGCCTGCTTCAGATCCAGGGCGAATACTGTCTTGTCTGAGCCCTTGGGTGTCAATTTCACGTCCTTCACCACAGCTGTGCCCTGCTTGTCCTTCACAGTCGCCTGCACAGTGTCCAGCGCCGGCGTCACAGCATTCCCCAGCAGATCCACCACGCGGAAGGTCACTTGCAAGTCGTCCGGCTGCAGCTGACCACTGCCCATCACTTGAATGCACACCGGAGCGATGGCTTTCTGTTGATTCAGCGTCGTCAGCGCGTCCAGGAGCACGTGCACGCCCTTCGCCGTCTGCACTGAGCGCCTGGACAGGAAATACGTGGCGAATTTCGTGGCCTGAATCGGCGTGATGGGATGGGGCTTCTTCTGCGACGCCGTGAGCTTCAGGGCACCTCCGAGGACCAGCGCAGTGATGCTGAGTCCACCCTCGAACTGCAACATCTTCCCGTCCACCTCATCCGCCTGGGCGATGGCGTCCTCAACGCGATCCACGAGCAGCAGCCCGTTGCCGCCGGTCTCCGCGGCCACAGTGAATGCGTGTCCCAGACTGGCAAGCGAGTCGTCCTTCTTCAGGATGGCTTGAAGGTTCTTCACCACGCGCAGCTTCGCCGCATCGTCCAGCGCAATCCCGGCAGCCTTGGCGGCGAAGAAGTTGAAGAACACTTCAGGCGCCGTTGTCGCTTCCTTGGCCAGCGCCCCCTCGAGTGCTGTGATCACGGCCGGGGGCACGGGAGGACTGCACTTGAGCTCCGAATAGATGCCGATCAGGTAGAAGTTCTTCTCGAACTCATTCAGCTTCGAGTCCGCGTGCAGAGTCTTCACGCGCGTGCAGAGAGCCGTCTTGTCGGCCGCCGTGAGCCGCGATCCGTAGTTGAGCACTGAGTAGTAGATGGTCTGCAGGTCCGAGGACTTCACGCCCTCCACGAACACCCTCTGCAGACGCTCATCTGTGGGGCTGAGGTAGCTGTTGGTCGTCCGGTCGGCGGCGCAGATCACGAGCGGTGCCACGAGCAGCAGCAGGCAGACTGCCGGAGGAAAAGTAAGGTTAGCCCAGAGATTTAATCACAGCACCCACTTTTCACTACAAATGCAATTTCAGGAGGAAGATTGGACATCTTCCTGTCCACTTTGAAGAGATTTTCACGAAAAACCCTTGGGAAATTGATGAAAATACGCCCAATTGCCGGCGACATCACACACCCACCGGCAACTTTTCCACCCCACGAAAACCCCAAAATCCGCGAGATTCTTGCACTAAATTACACTGCATGTGGGTTCCTTACATAAGTGCCGCATCGCAGGACAATAGAGATCCTTCCTTGTGCAGGAATTCAAGGAGAAACGAGGTAAAAAGCGGTATCCACTTCACTGCCTCTGACACTGAATCGACACGTCAATGATACGATACAAAATGAACCTCCTCAGTGCGCCTCGAACTCTGGCGGAGAGTATCTCAAGTTATCAGTGTCGAGAGATGGCGCTCGTGGGTTCATTGACATTTGAATTTTCAATACGATCAAAATTAAAATTACAAAGAATTTTACTAATTTTGAGAGAATACTTACATTTCAGTGATCCATGCAGAAATCGCTATCAGAAGTAAAGAAAAAGACTCAGTTTTTTTTATCATAATTATTATATTTCGTCATATTATATGATCAAATAAGGTTTTTCTTCTTTATAAATGTTCTTTTTTACATTAATGGTTTCCTCAGATATAACTTCAATATATTTTCTAATATTTCCTCTTTAGAATAATATTCTTGTCACTGGCATTAATAAATTTAAGCAAATTCGAGTAAATTAATGTTTCATCGTATTTATTTTCTCAATTCAATTCATTTTTACCTTTTATTTCATTATATTCCGTCTAGATGAGCTGGATTTTTCCAGCTCAGTGTTGTTTTTTTTTACATATTTAACTTTACAATAAAACTATTTAGCAATCACTTATGAAATCACATGCGATTTTCAACTCAACGTTGAAAACAGAAATCTTTTTACAGAGTCAAATTATTTTCTTTTAGCTATTTATTTATTTTCTCTACTTTTGGCTTTCGACTTTGAACTAGAACAGGGGTTTTAGGGGACTAAAGAATTTTTTGACTTTAGCTAACGCTACAATTAATGAATTGACTTTTATTAATGAAACGGAATTGAATTTTTTTCATCTGCTGTGTTTTGCGGCATTTTGCTTGAAACCAATTTTTTCTGACAACTTTTCAAAGCGCTCGTGAACGGAAAAATGGGATAATTTGCATATTGAAATATGCAGTCTTTCACATTGAATTTTCAGATTAACGTAAACATTATCACATTTGAGTTAATTGGTTCATTGATTTTTGTACAATTTTAATTTATTTACTTATATTTCCTTCGTTATCAAGCAAATTATTTCATTTTCACCGGGAAAATAAAGGGAAAGACGTAGAGATTGAAGATAACAAGACAGAAACAGGAGAATTTCATGAATGGAGACGTAATTTTACGATATAATTAATCCAATTCATCTGTACAACTGCGTAAATTTTTACAGCACCATTAAAACATCTATTTTCTATTGGTTGAATTATTTCCCTCTTTTGTTCTCTCCTTTTCAATCTATTTTATTTAATATTATGCAATAAATGGAAGAGAAACAATGTGTGCAAATAAAAAGAGGCTTCCTTTTTTCCTACGCTTTTCCTCCTTTCTCACCTCTTATATCAAAATTTTTGCCTTTTCCGCTTTATGTGTTTGATTAGGTTCGTCTCGTTACATGCTTTTCTTATGTACGCAAGGTTATATGCGCCCTGGCGTACAAAACATTTTCGCTATGGCAATTAAAGGTCTTTTCTGTATATTTTTGATTAGAACTCCTTTCCATTCACTCCGGCTGTAATTCGTAAGGTAATTATTCTTTCTCGGGAAGAAGAAAGCGAAATTCCTCGGGGCTAATTGCTCTTTCATTGTCCACGTCTCTATCAGACGGACAATTCTTCCACTTTAAGTCCGCCCAGACAAGCTGTATTTTAATTAAGAAACCTTTTTTCAGCTAATACTTTGATTATGTGCAAAAGTCAAGTGGATTTAGATACTGTAAAATACATTATAATTCACTCTACTTTCTATAAATATTGAGATTAACTTAGCTTGCTCAATTGGCGTGAATTAAGTTTGAATCTTGATAGGTTTTCAATGAGAAAAAATGTCGCACTCAAGAGGAAAATCATCCTTAGCAGAAAAAAGCCCCGAGAATGAGACTCATTGTCAGTGAAAATTGTACTGAAAAAACCCTTCCTAATCATATTTATTAGCAATGTTTATAATGGAAATAACTCTTAAGACTCTACTTTCTAAACACTACACATTATTTTCCATGTTTTGAAAAGCCACGCCGATGAATTCCATTCTGACGTGGCTTTGCATTCGAAAACTCCTTTAAATTTAGAAATGTTTTCCTCTATTTTCAATTTTATTTGTTCTTCGTAAAGCTCTTGTACCATTTTGTGATCCCTTTTTCATATTAAGGTTATCATTCACTTTTTAAATTTATATCATTATATCAACTTAACATTTCTCACATTTTCTCTCCATCTTCTTTCAGTATATATATGTCATATAATTTACAAAGTGAAACTCTATGAAAATGTTTTTTTTTCTAGATCTGCTTCTCTAGACGAAAAAGGACTTGTAGGAATACTATATATAGAGATTATCTTCATCCCCTCTTTTCTAATAGTTAAATGTCTTTCAGATGCAAATATACACTTTCAGTTCTTGCAATAGAAAAGTGGAAAAGCAAGTTTCTTCTCGATAATTCCGTTGTAATCAATTATTTATTTCTTCATATTCTTCGCACTGAATAAAATTTCTTTAATAGATCTCTTCTCTAATATATGTATATTTTTTAAAACAGTCTATGAAAAACTTTCTTTTCCTCTTTTAACCTACAATTTTCACTATTATTTCCGCTTCTTCTTGTGGAATTTTAAGTATATTATTTAGTTTAAGTAAGATATAATTTATTTTTTGTATTTTTCATCGCTTTTTAATTTATCATATCAATTTTTTTCAATGTTGTTATCATTGTCAATTTCTCCAGTGACAATTTTTTGGTTATATTTTATGTACATGTAATATTTCGATCAATAGAAATTATTTGAATTTTTGCGAAAAACCATTTCTAAATTTTTTGATTTTGTAATTATCTAAAAATTCACTAGAGTTTCATAATATTTTGGTTATCTACATAGCAGAGATATTTTTGTTTTCTTTTTCTTTAACAAATCAACAAAGCAATAAAATTCTAACAGTATTTTTTTTTCTTCTCTTTTAATTTTCCTACGGTAATTCTGTGTTTATCACCTTTTTAAACATCATATTCGGATTTATACATAAATGTAAAAATGAACTTATGAAACTACATTTCGGAGAAAATATCAACAATTTTCATACAGTGGAAAAAACTCTAATCTGACTTATTTTGCTGTTCATAATCAAACGATTTTTGCCTATATTTTCTCCACTGTATGAAATAAGAATAAGGAAATTTACTAATAACTCGATATGTATTGAATCGTGCTCACAATAATTTGTTTTTTTACTATATGTCTAAAAAACAGGTTAGAAACTGAAAAAGTATATTAAAGTATAATTGTATTAATATTCGATGAATTAATTTGCAACGATTTCCTAATGAGAATTAAATTGTTGTTCTTCCTAAAAATAATTAATTATCCTCTTATCCAATTTTATTAAGTATCGTGATAAAACCTTTTGACGAACAAATTCACTATCAACCCTCCTTTCGGTATATCGTACGCAATTTATTTAGTCTGTTGATTTCATTTATTTTTCACGAGGGTCAAAGTTGTGTGGTCGCTGACTAAAATTCCTGCTGTGCGAGCAGTGTTTAATCTTACAGGAAGAATTGAGATTTCACCGAGGTTAATATTGGATGATTTTGGTGTGCAAAATAATTAATATGCGATGGTCGAAGACGTGGGAATTAAAAAGATGAGCACAACAGCGGATGGATGAGAATTTTGAATAATACAAAAGGGAAAGCCAATCTCATACGTCATCCGTGTTGAGGAGCCGCTGATTCTGGGCCATTTCGGGCTTGAGAAGGTCCATTCTGGATGATTGAGCACCGCCGCTGAACTCACCACCGCCGCCGGACGCCCTCGCGTGCTCCTCCGCCTCCAGCCTGGAGATGTTCTGTGACGACGCCACCTGCACGCCGATCGGGAGAGAATGTCATCAACAGGCACTCTGGGACTACTTTGCACGGGAATTTATTATTATTAAATTGTGTCCTCTTCACTCTTCATGTGTCACTTGAAAGTTTTTGTCACGCTATGTGTGTCAAAATGGTGGAGGAAAGCACACCATCGCCCATTGATGAATTATTTTGGGGGAACACTGAGGCTCCGCCCATGCGAAAGCCACGCCCACTATTGTTCTGTACAGTGTAAAAATTGACTCCTGTCCAGAGCAAAGGCTTTTTTGCTGTGTAAATGATAAACTTACCGGACTGATTGGAGTGACGATGATTTCAGTGTTGGCCGCTTTGGTTCGCAGCAAAGCCGTCTCTTCGGTGTCCAGATCCATGTCGCCAGCGTCAATATCGTACATGTCCCACGGCGGTGAGTCCGGATCCAGTTCACCCTCGATGTCCAGATCCTCCTCTTCCAGGTCCTCGATCTCCTCGTCCATCATGATGACTGAAAAGGCACACACAGAACCAAAGAAGAGAAGAGAAGAGACACGAAATGTTAATAACACATTCTCGGACATCCAGTGACGGAAAAAAGGATGAAATAAAGGAAGTAAAAGAAAAATAATTTGTTATTCGGAAGTTCTGACAACTTTGACGAAACTGTGATTGAATGCGGTGGTATTAAGATAGCTAATACTTTGTAATTTATCTAAATGCCATTTAATTTCATATATATATATATATAAATATATATTCCAAAATACTGCATCTCTTGCTGTACAGATAAATACACACAGTTCTTTTTACAATATTTTTTTGTGGAAAAAAAACAAAGCAAACCAAAGAGAACAGTTGAGAAATATAAATCTTTTGAAATTATTGCAGTGCATTTGTGAACATATTTCAACGGATTTACGAGCAATATAGTGAAAATACTTGAAATTAGAATGACTTGATAATAATAATGATTGAATTTGCCGCGAAATGTAATTTATATACTGTAAATCTGTTTTTTTTAATCAGCTCAATTGGCCACTTTAATCGTTTATTAACAATATACATTGGCTCTGATACGCGTTAATTAATTGTCACGTGATGTGGCACGGAAATGGTTATTCAAAAATTTGTGGGGATAAGTCTATTGTATGTGCTCGAGCACCATTCATCATTCCGGCATTGTTCGCAAATAAATCGTTATATATATACAGACTATGTACATAATATTCGCTTAGGTCCAATAAATATTTGTGTTTGTGTGTTGAAAGGCATATGAATATGTAACGAAACAGTTTCAATAATAAAGTGTCAATTAATAAAAAATCGCATGGAGTTAAATATTATATCATTGTAATTGAATTTTTAATGAAATGCAAACCAGGTATTTTGTATGATTTTGCATTGCGATATTTGTACAATCCGAAAATCAGATTACCAAACCACAATTCTGATTGATTTCGTGTGTGTTGGTTTGTGTGTTTCTGGGTGGACTAAAAGGAGCGCAGGGAATTTGTGAGCAACGCAGTGTTGAGCTTTCTTACAAGAGTGAACGTGAGAAATCTCTGTTGAGAGGTTCATTAAAAATTTATGCTGAAAAGCTTCCTTACCAATTTACGCACTACTTCAATATCAATAAACACTGTGTTATGTATTCTCGATCGAGCTCAGTATGAAAGTGATTTTTCAATAATGTGTTTCTTTTTGCATGGAAATTTATCCTAAAGGCGTCTTTTGGGTCAAAATTTCTTTAATCATTCAACTGATTTTCCAGTTGCTTTTCTTCATCGTTTTGTGATCCTGAAACTGGATTGAGATAGAGAGAAAAATAGTTCTTCTGTATTCCTACCTTTAGATTCAATAAATGATTAAACATTGTTCATTGTTTTTGATGCGAAAATGTTTGTATGAGAGTAAATTAGGAGCTTTTTTTTCTTTAAACAAATGGCGTGCAACAAATATTTAATCACACACCACAAAGGAAACTCAAAATTTTTGTGTAAAATATCAATAAAAGATAAATTAAAGTAATAATAATATATTTTGTGACAATTTCTCGTATATTTGAAAACATCCAAACGAGCAAGTGAGCAAACACACACATTTCCGTACATCAATCAAACACTCATTCACATGTCCCTAGCAAAATATGTTTTCTATTTTTTGTATTTTGAATTGGTGGTGGAAAACGTTCATACAAGGATATGGTTTACAATCAGGAAGAGAGATAGAGAAATGAAAGAAAATTAATCTGCTCTGCAACAGCGCTTTCAGGTACCAATCACCCTTCATGAGTGGGGTAACGTCCGAAAGTGTTTCGTTTAATCTACTTTTGCTTCAAACAATCGTGAGCACAATGGCTGGCGTGCAATTTTAGCGAGAAATCCGCATCTCACACTACATCCACAATCAAGTACCATTTCCAGTACTTTTCAGCGCTCATCTAACGAATATATAACTTAAAAAAATATATATAGGAATGGTAAAATTGGGGCTCGGCAAAATTGAATTTGCTATGAAAAATATGTTATTGGCGTATTTTAAAAATCAAAATTTTAATCACAATGCCAATGAGTCTAAATTGAACTCAGAGAGACCGCAATTTAAATGCTGTGAAAATTTAACAGAGACCGACAAATTGACTGGATCAGCTCTCATTAATTGAGCCTTTATTGTTGTGTTTTTCCGGCCAGCAACACAATTTTGCATAGCAGGAAGAATTGGAATTGTGGAAGGATTTGCGCCAACTTCAAAACAAGGATATTGTGTCATCCTTTTTCACACTTAATGGATCTCTAAACAGTCAAAATTTATTGTCATTGGCAATAAAAATGGTTTATTGAATACTATATGGTTCAAGTTATTTTCATTTTATATTATTTCATAAACAGCCAAAAAAAAACATAAAAACTTATACGAAACAGAATTTTTACTGGTATTTTATGGAAATTATATTGGGAGGATATACTTTAAAGATTTTTGCACACTTCTGAATCAGACAATGACGTGATAGAAATATTTGAGCAACACCAAAAAACACATTACGAATGTATAGAATTTTTGACATAATATATAAAGTCCTAATGAGAAAGACCAGAAATTAAATAAATGATGTTATGCACAACTATTCAGAGAGGTTTACAGAGAGAGAGAGAGTTGAAAAATTATTTTTTTGGGAGGAATTATGACCAGGAGGAGAACGAAAAGAACACTTTTTGGGGATTTAATTATGTCAATTTCACTCACACTCTTCATCGAATTTTCGTGTTATTTGGAATGTTCAACGTAGCCAGTGGAAAAAGTGCCACAACTATTTGCAAACGTGAGTTTGCGCAAGGAAACACCAGCAGCAAAATTACCCACTTTTGCTTGTTAGATAGAGAAAAAAAAACTCCGAAATTATATTGAATCAAAAATTCCAGCAATTATACATTCATTAACTCACAACATTTATTTTCGCTTTGACTAACTATTTTATCGTGTGTATTTTAGCAATATTTGATTATGAGAGAACGAATGTCTCTCGTGATAGACAAATTGGTAATTTATTTTCAGAAATAGTGGTCAAGAGTGAATTGAAGTTGTGATAAAGGACAAATTTTCCATTTTGGCTACATTGAGGAGGTGCACTTTGATGTTAGAGCGATGTTGATGAGGAGTAATCGTCATATGATGCTGCAAAGTGATATACAGAAAGAGATTAAAAAGTCTCTTTGGATTGTAACCTATTCAATTGATTACATCTCCCTCGTCATTGCTTACAGAGAAACATTCACACAAATTCAAGAGAGAGAGAGAGGGAAAAGGAAGAGAAAAATTCGAGAGAGTTGCTTATTTCAGTGCTTTTTTAGCACTGAAATTCATGAAAAGCTGCTCTCTTGGCTACATTTTTTAGAAGTATGTCAACGACTTCAGCTCTTATTCTTTCTCTTTTATTTTTTTCTTACTTTGCGCTATCACAAACATAGAGTGTATGGTTGTTTTTTTTTCTATACAAAAGGCAGAAGGTATGAAAGGACATTGAGGGCTGTGTGCAACTTACTTGAACTTTCGGTTATTGTCTTGGGGCTGCTGGGCTCCACATCACCCTCTGTCTCAATGCACACGTCTGGAAGTCCCCCGACTACAACGTCGGTCTCAATTGGATCACCGTCATCAAGGGCATTCACGACTATCACTACATCGCCGCTGCCGTCGTGCTGCTCTGAGCTGTTGCTAACATATTGGGTAGGAATGGAACTGCCATTGGAGAGAACAAGGTGACTTGGAATTAGTTGCCGCACTTGTAAACATGCTTAGTAGACATGACATTCATTGACTTCGGCCGCTCAATAAATTTCACTGACTGTCTGACATTTTTTCTGCCCACAAATAACATCCTTAAGTCAAGGAGAATTCGTAAGAAAATGGGGCTTTCATACTGAATAGAAGAAGGCTAAAGTTTTGCTTCACAAACAGTTTTTAAGATTCCTTGAGACAAATCCTCCTGGAGCCTATTTCCCATTTTATCCACATTTGTGCTCATATTTCACTCAATTTTCCACCGATTTTCCCAAAATTTGGCTTAAAAACGCCCCTAAAATGCGCCAATTGCAGCTTACCTGAGTGTCACGCGCTTCTTCATCCGATTGCTGAGATCTGAGAAGCCCCTGTGCATTGGTGGCCTCCGTTGGACGGGCTGTTCAAATGTCTTTGTGATGGGTGAGTTTGGTTCTGAGAATTGCTTATCTATGAGAATGGGCTTCGGCTGAAAGGCAGAAGAAAGTGTGTCACTTCCTTGGTGGCCGCCCGTGTCAGTGGCTGACTGGTATTTTCCGCCGGCTACCTTCAGTGATCCGCTGCTGCCCGAAGACATTGACGTGGTAGCGGCGGTCGCGGCCCCGCCAGAGGCGCCGCCGCCGCCCGGGGGATTGGGCGGCAGCGGTGGAAGGTTGGAATTAGTGGAATGTAGGGAATCGGAAATTATTGGAAGTGACAAGAATCTCTTTCTGTCCTGCATATACAGATCTATCAGCGTGTCCAGCTTCGTTTCAATGTCATCAACCTGCGGAGGAGTTGATCAAAGTCAGAGTGTGAGAAATAGTGCTGATCTCCGAAGACATCAGGACACTGATGATGACTGACCTGTCGCTCAACCTTAACGACCCTGGATGCCAAGCTAATTTTCGACGCATAGACGTCCTTTGCCTTGGAGCCCTGTTTTCCCAAAATCTGATCCAATCTGTTCGCGATAATCACAAGAATGTGTCAATAAATGTCATTCCATTCTTAACATCAAAGAGAACAGAGAAAAAAGTGTTGAAGGGACAAAAAGGAAAGAGAATGGGTATTAAGGAGTTGATGAAGTTCATTGGGAGAATAGTGAAATTGGCATAAAAGTGAATAGTTAACAAAGTATAACTAAAAATTGCTATAGAAATTAGGTGAATAAAAGCTCAATGAAAATACTCAACCAAGCATTACTTGAATTGAAAAATCGTAAGGACGAGTGGAAGTTTGCGAAAAGTCTACGTGAGTCATTTAAGGAAAACCAAGATTTTTATACAATTGTTAAAGTATAAAATGTTCGCTTGTATGTTATTTTCTACATCTTTAGTATAGCAAATTCCAAAGTCTGTCTAAAGAACTCGTAGTTAATTCTCTTTCAGGCGACTGTACAAGTTCAAATCTACAATTTTTAAAACGTGCATAAAGTGCATTCCTAAATTTACCATCTTTAGCTGTTTTCATTAAATTAATATTTTACTGGCATTAGCAAAATATACACAGAGGATTGCTTTAGTTTCTTTTAGATTCACCATTTAAAGTAAGCAATTGAGAATGCTGATGTAATTGTCGTGACTTTAAGATTCGCTGAGGTTCCAAAACGATTATGATATTCTGTCAAACCTTTGATTGTGCCTCAGATGCCATTATTTGATCTTAAAAGCATATGAATTGCTTCTAATAAAAATGTCTGAGTAATGAAAATTGAAGGCACTAGTGAAGCAATTTCTATATATTCAGAATAATTGTGATTATCCGAGTGAAAAGTACACATTAGAAAGCCATAATACTATACTTTTCAGTCTGTTAAGTTTCTCTTTTTTTTATTTTTTATCAACGCAAAGAAATTGGGCAAAAGAAAATCATTGTGAGAAATAATACGAAAGAACATATTCAACTAATTGAAATATATTATTTTGTTCAAATTATTAATTTGTTTCTAAGATTCCAAAAAATAGAGAAAATTTCTTTCAATATTGTACCTAATTTGGACATTTTTTACACGCCCCAGAAGATCATTGTATCCTGCTGCGTACTGCTCCATGACGTCTTTTACGTCGTATGGCTTTAAAGCTTCCTTGAACTTCTTGTGGGCGGCGAAGTATTTTAGCTGAATTTCAATGCGAGGGAAAATTATTATTGCACAATTTAATGACAAGGGGAATTACTGTGAAATTGACCTTTCACCTCGCATCAGAAATATAATATGTGATTTATGTGACAAGTGGTAATATTTTGGGTTATGCTATTATATAGTATATATAACTTATGTTAGCGATAAATACTAATTTTAATTGTACATCCATTCGATGACGACATTTATTGTTACTGAATAAATTTTATATATTGCATTTTAAAAGGACCTAATTAACTTGTGACGGTGCAATTTTCCACTGAGTATTTTTATCGTACATTTCGGGCGAAAGTGAGTTTTGTAGTGGTTTGTTTTTTTTTGAAAATTGTTCCGTGAAATAGAGAAAGACACACTAAATACTGTAGAGATATTCTATTAGAGTCCACATGATTTGTATTCTGGATTGTATGTACACGAATTGATTCGTTATATGTCATATATGTACATATTCTGAGAATTTCACTATAAGTTAATACAGTTAGTTGTCTACAAATTGTTAAGATTCACTGAAGAAATCTACTGAGTGCAAAGATATTCTGCAGAGCTTTTAATTAACACATTGAGAAGTTTGAGTTTAAAGTGCAAAAGAGAGAAATATGTTTCGCACCGGCCTGAAATTAAGAATAAGTCGGCTAGGAATGAATTAATCCCTTTTCCAAGAAGCTTGACTGTGTTTTTTTTGTGATTTCGATTTGATAATCCCGAATTACTCCATATTTTATCAGATAGCTTGAGAAATGATAGTTAATTTTGAAGAAGCACTTGATGATGCATACAATCTATATGGCTTTAAGGCTATTCCAATTGAATAGAATATAAATGTAAAAATATCATATCAGTCAGAGAAGACAAACTGTAAGGAAAAAATGGCCAATTAATCACTCTCTAAATACTAAATACCAATCACAAAATAAATGTTTGGCGGTTAATTTTCCTAAAATACGAAAATTTTCCAATAAAACCAAACTACAAAGTTGCAACCAAAAGTCTACGGAAAGAATTGTGAACTATATATATGTATATCAACCAATTTACTGCAATTTTGAACACACTCGTGGATCTATGAAGTTGCAAGAGAGAAAAGTGTACAAGACTGCAATCATTTCCAATTCGAGAAAACACGCTCTCAAAAATACAAGAACTACAGAGAATGACTGTAATCCATGATCGATGCATTTGCTAATAGAACGGAATCAGTAAAGTTCTTTCGGTGTCTTTGTTATAAAAAAAAAACAATTTGAATTATAGATATAATGATTGGACAGGAAAATATATAGCAACAAAATTAGATTCTTCATGAAAGTCAATTAGCTTTTTTTTTGAGTATTTCATGGTTGTCAAATTATTGAGCATTCACAAATTTTATAGCAATTTTAGAGTGACACTTTTTTTTTGGGAAATGAAGAGAAAAAACTTGAAGAGGTGTAAAATCTGAGCAGCCAAAGCTTGAGGCTCTGAATATGTATATTACTGGTGGATATGAAAGTCTATATAGTGGCGAAGTTTTGTTTGTATAACTGAGAAGAAAGGGGAGGATTTTTGGTATTCATGAGATAGAAATGAGCGGTACAAAGAGTCAGTAATGTGCTTTGGTTTTATTTGAGGGTGGAGTTATTTTCTTGATGATGATGATGATGTACCTATTTTGAACATTTTTCACGCGACCCAGCAAATCCACATGTCCAATGGCATATTGCTCCATTACATCTTTTACGTCATACGGCTTAAGTGCTTGCTTGAACTTCCGCCTTGCTACAAAATACTTCAGCTGCATCGTCCCGAATACATACACACATATGAAAATAAATCACTTTTGAATATTTCGTGTTGAACAACATCCAATGGAAGGGTTGAAAAGAAGGGCTTTTGCAACACTATTTTCGCTTCATGTATGATTTCCCTACGCTATCTAAAATGATAATTTAGACTCTCTGATGCCGCAGACACTGTATTAAAGTGGCTGTGGAGTTTCCTAAACCTTCACTTATCTTACAAGATATCATAGGCTAGATTGTAAAAGGTAAATTTACTACAGCTAAAATTGTACGATTTAGAGGAGAAAAAATATTGAGTGTTAGAGAAAAGTGAAGAGAAAAGCAAGTGATTACCTTTCGGATAAATCGTATGGCTGTCTTGTGTTGGTTTGTCAGCTGAATACATCGAGGTTCCTCATCTTCATCTGTCAATGAGAAAGAGAAGTAATCGTCAGATCACAACAATAAACAGTCAATTCAATTATCAATTGGATGATACATTATTTGAGAAGCGTGTTTGTAAGCACATTAACTCTAATTGTAAATACACTAAATTACTAATCAAACTATTTTCATGCCAAAAATAAAGCATTGTCATCAGTGTGCTTTGCTTAAGCTCAAGACAAAACATTGCAGAACATTAAGAAGTAATATTTTGTTAATGCCTTATATTAATGTTACAGGTATAATTTGTCTCCCCATATTTATGATTGAAGCAAGAGCTTTTATTTGTAGATGAGAAAGTTATTCTTTATGTTTTTACCATTGCATGTGTTAAGTATTTTTAAAGCTACACTTTTCGAATGGGGATTTTTTCTTGCTACCAACATAACTTCCATTGTATGTTACATAATCAGCGCTAACATGGGTAAAATAATCTGCTTGCTCTCCCTCATTCGTTTACAAACAAGAGACGTAATAGTGCATAAATGCGAGACAAAAGCTCCCAAAATGGGGCTTTTGTTCAGCTCTTGTGCTTTAAGATATTTACACTAAAATATTAAAGCACTTTGAAGTGTTGTGGAATCACTCAAGATTTTTTTATACACACACTTTTCCTATGGGTTGCTGTAGATGAGAATTTGAAGAGAATGAGGTGAGTATGTGAGATACTAATTAAATTACCTAAGACAACTTCTGAATTACAATAAGCACGATGTGGAATACGTTTTCAAACTAACGCCTTAACCGTCCCTAATCGGGCAAATGAGTGGTAAATTGCTTGTGAGCCTCGTGAGAAGGGTGAAATTTTGACGAAAAACTTATGAGCTATGTCGGCTTAGTTGAGATTTCACCTCTGCGGAAAATACACCCTGGCGAAGGTGTCTGGAGGCTCAAGTCAAGTTCCGTGAATGGGTTACATCATTCTCTACCTTCCCTGTTTCAATTAAGCACATTTGAAGAAGTCATTTGTTTGTTTCACTAATTCTCCACAAACTTTCCTACTTCTGCAAACTTGCACGTTGTGCTTTTGTTACTTTGCACTGACGCTTTGAAACACGGTGGCGTGAAATCATGAGGCATAAGGTCAAATTTAATTTTGGTCCATTTGCAATTCGTCATTTAATACACAGAGAGACTGGATGAGGAATAATTTCTCCGACAAATAAACTACATACATACGTACATAGCGTGAGTTCTGAGAACAATTCTGAGATGATGCTACACAGTAAAGACAGACAATATGCCTCTATATTGTGGGGGAAGAACAAATGACTCTCCATACAACGCCACAGGTTAAATTACATTGCGCTTTATAAAATTATCTCCAGTATTCTCAAGTGCGTATCTGGGTGAATACTATGGGAGGAAATTGCGACACGCACTGATTACTATCGCTGTCGATGTCGCTGTGGGATTCAAATCTACCGAGATGTCATCAAATTCAGCCATCTCCTGCTGATCTAGCGGCTCAAGGAGAGGATGCTGCCGCAGGCCAAAGGCAACCAGGGGCACTACTCCGCTCGTGCTCATCTGAATAAGAGCTGGATTGCTGACCGAACTCATGAGGATGTGGCGCGGATCGCGTCTCGCGTCCTGACGCCACTTTGATGGGAAACGCTGCTGTCCGAGACTAAGAGTGCCTGTGGACATGATAAACCTTCCTGTCTTACAGAATTTGCACTACTGAAACCAAGAGAACTCACGATCTTAAAAATAATAACATGTCACAAGGATTTCTTGTGGTTTCTCAACGTATATAGTTTTGGGTGAGCTTAGAAAAATCTCTGTATTCCCACATTTTTCTCTAATCTGCATGTGCTTTGCAAAAAGTATCTCATAATGGGATAACGATTTAAAGAGTCATTTGGGAGTTTAGCGACCAGCTTAATGTACTCTCTCACACTATTGTAGTATACTTACATATAAAACTGTAATTATAAGCAGATGGTACTGTTGGCAACCACTATACAGTCTGAGTATAGCACAATATGTATTCAGTGTGTGTGTGTGTGTGTTCCTTTGGTAAAGTTAAACTTTCTGAATATGTACATGAGAGCCTTCCAACTCACATGGATGAGGGAGTATGAACAGCATTGAGTATACAAACCACCAGGCGACTCCACTGAACTTTGTTTATTAATCACTTTCAACTTTGGAATAATTCTAGCAGCCAAAATCAATTGAAAACTTTTATTACTATTTCCCCTGCAAAACATCATCAGCCCTGCACAGGGATTAGCCAAGGTATCACTGGTCTAAAGAGTACATTGCAGACTCAATGTAAATGTACAACGTTCAACAAATAAACAAAACGTAAGAAGGAAACAGTATAGCGAATGAAGAAATTGTAAGAAGTTGAACAAAATTTTTTGCATTGAGAAACATCAAGAACAACCATAGAAAATTGCACGGGCAATATCTACAGGCTATTTGTTCTATGTACAGATTCAGCATGGAAAATGCACAAGTAAGAGCGATTACAGACCTACGGATGATCCACGGGAGCTCGAGTGTATACAACTGTCAGCTGGTTGAGCGCTAAAACGCGGATCATCCCACGATATATCGAAAGATCACACAGAATTATCAGGGTTCTCGATGGCAGCAGAAGTTTGCCGAAGCATTTGACAGCTTTGACAGTTCAAAACGCATTAAATGGCGGATCTCTTGTGAATAATTTCCTGAGCTAATCATCAAATTCTTCGGCGAATCATCCTTTTTCGCAATTTTTATATAAAAATCTGACAGTTGAGTGCGGCACGAATCAAAATTGTCGCTATAGTGTCGACAAAGAAGATTAACCCTTGAGCACGGAGGGATGATCCCGCCTTTGCGCCGACTCGAGGGTAACCCGTAGGTGTGTAATCACTCTAAGTGCGGAGGAGAATGCTTAAATTCCACATGTAAATAGTGAGAGATTCACAGAAATTCATACATACGTCTGTGTGTGATTTAAGGAGACAAAAAAAATCACTTGAATATCTCACAATTTACAATTCTCAAATATTCAAAATTCCGCTTGGCTGAGGGGGAAAATTTTCCATTTCTCCGTCATTGAATATACACGGCGCTGCCTTTTTTTTAAATATATATATACTTTGTGCCACGGTATATAACATCGATCAAATCACAAATACGGCTCTTACGCAGAAACTAAACAGTTGATTTTCCACTTACCATCAGAATTCTTTTTCGACAGTGCCGTCTCAGCAACAGAATCTTCACTCAAGCTGGCATTCATGGGTCTTCCATTATTTGTTACTTCTGAAAAGTATGTTTGAATGAAAGAGAAACATGATGCGTTTTTGTGTGTGACTTCAGTACCATTCCGTGCCTTGCTAAAGAGGTGAGAAATCTCTTGTTTGGCATTATGGGAGTCGACTTCATCTCTACTTTTGTTATGCTTTGGCAACGGCATAAAATACTGGCAGCTTTTGAATGGGAAGAATGTGTTTGGGGAATCCTAATCTATTCTTTCGTCACGTTTTAATGTGTCCCCGCGTGTTTGGGGGGGGGGCGGCTAAGGGTGAACTATTTGCGTAGCTATGCTCGTCGTTGTTTGTGATAAAAGGAAGAAACGTATACGGAAGGGTTTCGCTATAACATTTCCGTCTGTGACATCACCTATTTATGCATGTCATGTACCATATATGAAGTATAATTAGGAATCTGCTGCATTGTTTCGAATGCACCATTACTCTATACCTCTAATTACTATTCCCATTATATCTAAACCATGTTCTCTAGCAATTCTACTCATAAGAGGCATGAGATGGCTTCAAATGGCACCAATGCAGAAAAAATGATGTTTTTCCTCTTCCAGTGATCACCATCACCATATCCAAATTGCACGCAATTCAAACTCATACTTTAATTAGGTTGAATTTTTGGTGAAGCAAAGTCTAAATGAAACAAACAATATATTGCGCTGAGTAATGTAATTGTTGTGTACATTTAGTCGCTAAATGTGTGTGAGTGTGTAAAAGTTGTCAACACATGTTAGAGGGCGCACTCTGTTGAAAAAGTATGTGCACAAATGCAATTGGGATGCATAGAGCAAAAAAAAAGAGAGAAATATGCAGAGGTAACACGTACATATTAGTAGTCAGTTTGTTTGACTGTTCCATTTACGTGCAAATTACCTTGCTTTATACGTAAACATTTCGTCTCAAACTCTGAACTACAACGTGAAAGAGGGGGTTAAATAAAAAGGAATCACCTTCAAATGTGTTAATTGACTTTATCACGAAAATCTCGGAATAAAAAGGTGTTTTTTTTTCGTTCTTGTGGAGTGAACTCAAAGTGGATTTTATAGCGGATTTATACGAATGCAAGTGAGGAAGATTACTTTTGTATTATTTTATTTTTGGAAATGAGAAGTGAAAAGACAAAAAACTGAGATGAGAAATAAAGCTGCAGCAAATTCAGCGCAAAAAACCATACTTTCTGGCTCAACTTATATATATAGTATAAAATTTATATATGGTTAATCGATTGAAATCAGTAAAAGATATTCAAGGGAATCCAAAAATTCAAATATTTCAAAATTCTCATGTATATTTTTCCTTCTTGAATAAGAAAAACAGAGTGTCTGCCGAATTGGGTGATTGTATTTTCTGAAATATTTGTATTGGATTGAACCCTTATACGGAATTAGTGAGTTCAACTTATCATATTATAGGTTAAAGTTCTCTATGTCTAGATTAGGCAACATTCAGCATATTCACCTAGGTTCTCGGCCGACGCGTTGGCCTCTCCCATGGAGCGCGGGCCCCTGGCTGACCTCGATGACGCTCCTGTCGGCGGCTTCGGATTGCCCGGCGAGTGCAGCGATTGCGACTTGTGCCTCCGGATGGTCGGCAGCCGTGCCACGAAGGATGCGTTGTGTTTGAAACTAGAAGATGCCCGCCTAATCAGCGATTTTTGGTTTGTTCCCGTTCTTTGATTGTTTTTGCTTTTACAACTAATTCTGTTATAAATATTACGTGTTCGTGTTGTCATTTTGTTGTTGTGTATTTTGTTGTCGTTTTATAGCGTTTACATGAATGGAGTATTAAAAAGTATACATTTAATTTTGTGAACACATGAAAAAATTTTCAGGACAAACATTGTGTTGTTTTTGGTGCAACAGAGAAAAAAATCGTGTACAAAAGAAAAGCAGTGCAAAATAAAAAAAAAAATTCGAATATAACACAGTGTCACATAATTAGTTTTTACCATGGCGTTGTGGTATCATTGGCGGTATGGAAAAAAAAGAGAAAACAAAAGAAGCAAAATTTTCAATTAGGAACATAGAAAAACATAGCAAAAAAAGCAAAAATGTTGTACATATTGAGTGAAAAAAACATAAGAAAATTAGCACGTTTTGTTGGAAATAAATTTCAACTCAATTTTGTGGTTTTGTGTATTTGGTTTCAAGTTGAGTAACTCTAAATAATTATATACATGGAGTGTATTTTAGTTTATTCAAGATTGTTGCAATTGAAAAATTCTCAGCATCAGACAAGTAGAAAGAGAGAACGAAAAGGTATAAAGCTAAAATATCTCAATTTTTGATAGCAAATCCAAAAGCTACTTTAGTAAAAGCGAGGAGGAAATTTTAAATGGTTTTAGCAGATGTTTTTATTATACTCTTGATTCCACAATGCGCAATATGGACAAGCAAGAGTTTGTTAATGATGCTACGAAAGTAAAGGAATTTAACTGTTTCAGCGTGCATTTGGACTTCATAGTACATAATAACCCTCTGCTGATTTGAATGGTTCATTGAAATTCCTTGATACAGCAATTTTGGTTGTTAAGTGACAGTTTCGAGTATAAATTTCAATTAAGTTCAAATAAAACCCGGGAGCGAATTATAAAAGAATCGCTCTGGAAATTAAAGCCAAATTGTTTTTGATGAAGATAATATAAAAAGATTTGATGAGAAATATGTACAATAGAGTTTTTCTGTACAAAAACACTTTAACAACATCGAAGCACACAAGAACGTAGAAGAAAACTAGATTAAACATAATTCACTAATAACATATATATATATATGACAAAAGCCACATATAATAAAATGACGTTGTAATTTGCAATACAAACACTTTTGAAAGAATCTAAATTTCTCTCATGTTAAACTCTGAACATAAGAAAAAGATGTAAATTTGTACACTAGAACTAGAGAATGAATTGTCAGTCAATCAGTCCTTATGAAAATTCCTAGAATATATTCAAAACTATTGTACAACGTTCTAAGAAGATTTCAAATCTTGCAAATGCTAATTTTACAACTTACATTGCACCGGAACTTGATGGCAATTTTTCAGGTGGTTCCAATTTTGAACTGATATGTTTTTGGTACCCCAAATGATTATTTTTTATCAATTTTTTTTTGTTCGTAGTTGCCATAAGTTTGTATTTCATTTAATGCCAGTTACCGGATGATAAAATGTTCCAGACAATTTTTTGGCGATATTGTTGGCGAATGTCCCATTTTTCAACAAAAGTTCATTGATATCATAAAAAACGTTTTTTTTTCGGAAAAATATTCATATAGATTATTACGGCGGTGGAGGAGCGTTGGTGTTTATGATGATTGCGATGTTGCGCCAGCAGATTTTGCATTTTATTTCGAATTTTTAAGTCGATCAAAGGTGTAATTTGAATTGGAAAAAGGAGAAGAAAACATTTGTTTTAGAATCTGTGTGGTTCTACGGCTAATACTAAATAAAGGGGGAGATAAAAAGGCTTTCATTGAAAGTGTGAGCTACAAATTGAGAGATAAATTGAGGGCTCAAGTCAATTTAAAATGGTTTTTCAAGAGGTTTTATGACTCCTTCACACTTGTTTAATGCAGTTTTGGACACAATCATGCACATTGCAGTTTATGCTCATGTTAAAATTATTCCATCATTGCCATACATAGTCATTCACATCTCACTTAATGCAGGGATTGATGATTCTGTGCTCAAATTAATATCAGACAGAAGGAATAAATTAAAATGTAAACTGTGGACAAACTTAAGTGAAGAGTTTTGGGATAAATTTACTTCTTTTCCCTATAATTACAAAATATCCCTCAACATAATAGAGGAGAACAATCATATTATGTATGAATAATTATATTATGTTAATTTTACAAGTTAGGGGGAAAATGTAATTGAAATCACGAAGAGCTCCATATGGAGGTAATTGATTTTTTATAAAATTCTTATGCAAACAAGCTTTGTGTATTTTCCGTTGGAGAAATATCCTGTGGAAAATATGTAATAATTCATACTTTAAATCACTGTAGTTACGCTAAAAGGGAGGAAAGTTTTCTGAGTATCACATATATATAGTGTTTCACTTCCACAGTATGTTTTTGAAGATTATTACAATTTTCTTGAGCTCATTTCAAAGTTCCCCACAGACAAAAGAAAAGAAAACAAACAAGGGCTTTTTGGAAGAAATGCGTTTTATCAAAAATTCAGAGACTCTTGCAAAGATAGGAACACATAATGCAAAAGTTACACATTCAAGAAATATATCCAACATTTAAACACTCAAGTGATAGATCCTAAGTGTGATTTACAAGAGTTCAGATACGAATACGAAACGGAACATCTGCAGAAACACATTGAGGAATAATACATTGACATTTAGTAACACACAGAGGAAAAGAGAGAGAGAGAGAAAGAAAAATGTAGCTCCATTAACATTTAGAGAATTTTCAGATATTTTACAACTTGTTCTAAGTGTATCGTTCTTTGTTAGAAATTTGCATTAGAGAGGAGCACATGTAAGACACCAACCTTTCCATACCACTGGGATATCGTCTAGTCAATAGGTAAATCTTTTGGCCACGAAAGCTTTCGCATAACGAGTTAAAGAAATTGAATTCAACAATAAGACTTCTCGTTAGACTATCAATACATTTTTTTTTGCTAAATTATTATTTTCTCTGTCTAGGCTGGGGTTTTTTTTCTGGGTTTGAAATCAACAAGACTGCGGAATTAGGCTGTCAAGATTAGGTGTTTTGTTAATTCATTAAAATATTTCTGTCAATTTTAACAAAAAAAATCGGTAAATTCAGAGGTCAGCAATATTTATGGAAAGATAAACTCAGGATTATATAGGTCATCAAGCCAAAAATCCAGGCTCTAGGCAGTGATGCAACTCAGGAAAAATCGTATATTAGCGCAGAGATATAAGTTTCGAATTTTATATCAATGGGACTTTGAAAAATACTGAAGAAGAGAAAACTGGGAATGCAAACATAAATATCAAGTGATATTGATCCAAATACAAAGGCACTGAGAAGTTCATGAAGATAGTGAGATTGCAAAATATCTTTTGTTCTGTGAGAGAAAAGTTTTTTCTTTCTGTGATGCAAAAGGAAGATTAAACTGTCATCCTGCCATTTACCTATATTCACTTAAACCTTTAACCAATCTATCCCAGTACTCAGAACTATAAATAGAATAATAAATTAAGAGTGAGAACATAGACAAAAAACACTTAATTGAGAAATATACAATTATAATAAAGAATACAAATATAAATTATGTGAGTAAAATTGGCCTCAATTTTTCGATATTTTTAAGAAGGAAAAGAGGTTGTTCAGGATCATTGTAGGTCCTTTTGTTCTCACTTAGGTATTTTTGCAAAAATTCATATATAAATTTCCTCGTCTTTTTGGGTATAAAATTGATTTAATTTTTATTTATTATTCGGAAAAATATGCCAATTAGGAAAAGACGAAATGAAATTGTTAAGAAATTATGTGCGACGGACAACATAATAGAGTTATATTAAAGGACAGAAACAATAATTTAAGAATTTATACATCTTCTTTCACACAATCTAGCACTTTTTTTTCGTGAAATATAATTCCTCATAGAGTTGACAGACGGAAAATTAAATTGACCGACAAAACGATACAATTGCTTAAGTGAGCATGAAAGCGGACTTAGCGACATGGAGGATACTCACGAGGGAGGCGGACTGGGCAGTGGAACTTGATGTATCTTCCACGTGGCCACGGAGACACTATGCTCATCGGCAGCATAACATCGCCAGAGTGATTGAATGAGGGTGGCCGCGGGCTGTCGACGGCGAATCATGTGCTTCTGACGCTGTTGTTGCTGGACTTTCAGGGCGAAACCGCTGCCCAGAATTCCCTGGAAAACACAACCGAGCATAATTTACATCATTCTGCCATTGTTATTCATTCTGACGCACACAGCTTGTATCCACGAAACTTGATTAATATGGGATTTGTTTCGGGATAAACTTTGTGCACACGTTATTTCAGGTACAACAAAACATCCGATGGGGGAGGGGGTGGTTATTTAAATAGAAATTAATTTGCAGATTTCCATCTTGTTCGCAAAGTTTGGACGCTGAGATGTCGAAAAAAACACCTTTTAATTTTATTATTGCATGCAGTAATTGAGAAGGTGGGCTCACTTCCTGTTAACTTAATATTCTGAACATGGCACAGTGGCAGTTCAGGTTCATGTGCCAAAGAGCCGAAGCCTTTGTTGTGGCATTTGTCAATTTGGAGACTTTTATCTGCGATTTTAGCGAGACTGTGAAACAATATAGAATTTATCGATTGGCCTGGCGTGTTTGTTGGTAGATAAAATTGAATAATTAACAAAAGGATAAAGCGAGTGGCTTGAAGAGATGGGAAAGTCATCTCTGACATCTCATGCTATGCTTCAGTTATTGGGCAAATTGATAATCCTCATGTGAATACATTGGATGTTTATAAAGTGATTTTTGCTGTGACATCAGTTATTAAGGTCAACAGATTATTGTCTAACGCTCCTCCGGCCACCGATTCGACGGAATAGTGAAAGAGGTGATTCCATGGAAGGTTGCTGAAGGAGCAAACAATAAATTACCCGAGCCATAACCCCAAAACATGACGTCGGATGTACAATAACATTTGATCCTTTTCAGATTTATAGGACATTGGAGTGGAGAGACTTTGTGTGTTTTATGCACATTTCATTAGCGAATGTATTTGCATAACTCGAGCGGCCAATTTTTATTAATTAAACACATTAAATTTTATATGAGATGAAGGGTGAAGCGCGATAACACGAGAGTGGATTGCAAAAGGATATTCTCACGTACAATATTATGCGATGTATATATGGATTGTGGTGGCGAATACTTACAGCCGGCAGTGCGAAAAATGAGATTCCGAGAAGAGCACAGAACGATGCTATTAATTTTCCTTGCCATGTCTCAGGCACCATATCGCCGTATCCCACTGTACACAGTGTTATCTGAAACGCGATATCAATATGGAGATTAGAAAAAATTTCCAGTCAATCGAAGCGTGTTGAAAACGAATTAGCAAGGATGGAAAAAACAAAATCTGCACTCACCACGCCCCACCATAAAGCTTGAGCAAAATTATTAAATTTCTTATTTACATCCTTCTCCATCAAGTACACGAGGAAGGAAGCAAATATAAGGCCAAGGAAACCTATGTACAATGTTGTTATCAGTTCCTGAAAGTCAACAGAGAGAGAGAGGAGAAATAATAAATTACTTTTATATCACTGATTCAGCATTTCTTTGTTATTCTGAAAACAAACATAATTATATTGAACTATTGGTCAAACATGATTAAGACCAAATTGTATACACATGTATATATGCGGTTCCTCTTTGAACTGTGGTGGAGTTTGACGTGCTGGGAAAGTCATCATGTATCCTAACATAGCGTCAGTTTTCAAATTAGCCATTTTCCATTATCGTTTGCACACTTCATCGTGATATCGTCTAGTCTGCCACTGGCTCCCTCTCTCTCCCACACATATATAATAATGCAGAGTGCAAGGGGCTGATATTTCGGGCGGAAGTGGTGTACAAGTTTAAGGAATTTGAGACATTTTCTCAATTATTTCGCTTAGAAAAATCAATTTGATTGCTTTTTCTAGGTTATGTGATTGATTTAAGACAGATTACGGTGATTAATAATCCTCAAAATTATCAAATTTGTATGTAAACTAAGTATATTTCCTTTTTCTCACTAGAATTGAACATTTGTGTTCAAAAAAAATTCAGATTGGTTGAGAAAAAACTTAAAAGTCAATCATAACCTCAAAAAATATCATTTCAATCACGAAAAATGTCTCTTTGCTTAGTTATTTTTGCGGAATGTGCTTTAAAGTGGCAAATTTAAGCTAGTAAAAACTGTGATATTTACTATATTTACTCGTTTGACGTTTTAGGTCAAAATTGGTCAAAGACGGATTTTATAACCTCACATTTTGGACGAAATAAGGATTTTTCCCGAGACAAAACTAGAAAATCAAGACAAGAAGTCGAAAAAATGCCTTTAAACGGATTTAGGAGCGTGTGAAATGTTAAAGATTCTTCACAATTTCTGTAGAAGTGATGTACATATTTGAGGCATATTATCACCCCCTTGGCAGGGTGTCTTGTGCGTGAAGATTCGCAGGAATATGGAGTTTGCTGACAGGCAATTTAAATGACCACATACGGAAAAAATAGCCCAGCTGGGAAGGAGTGAGGCAGCAGAAATGAAGGGTAGGCAAAGGAACTTATGCAACCATTTTTCTCCCTTTCCCAACTCACATATAAATTCAAGGCACAATTTAATATAATGGTCTGTATACACTCGGGAATGGGTGGTCGTCATCATTTCCAACATTTATCCTTCAAACTCCACCTAATAGATGCTTATAAAATAGGCATTTGCCTCATTTCACCACATTTGTGCAGTACAATTGCCCCAATCTGCATGTATTCTTCTCGTCACAGCATAAAATATGCATAGATCTCTTGGTGTGTAAGTGATTACCTGTCGATGAGCATATACGACACTTCCGAGGAGTTTCCATGTTCCGCCGCGTCGATCCATTCGCACCATTCTTAGTATTTGGAAGAAACGAAGGCCTCTCAATGCACTGGTGGCAAACACTTGTCCTGATGTTCCCATTCCAAGCACCACAAGTGATGCGCAAATCGTGATTATGTCTGTTGGCAAATATCATGGAGGAGTTTGTCAAGGAGTTGTACAAGAGAAATGCATTGTCAAGTTCTTACCGATGATACAGAAAGGCCTCTTGAGAAATCGTAAGCGCCCGATGGCGCCTTGATATCGAGATCGACATCCTGAAGACCACAACCTGTCGAACAATGAGCAACGCATTGCAGCATATATTATACTTCTCAATGGCAATTTCACGTGAGGCGCGAACATTATGCTTTTTTTTGCAAGAATTCAGCATTTTGTAGCACAACAAACGTCATCAGAAAAAAAATATATATTTTTAAGCGAGACATAAAAAAAAGTGTCCACGAAATATTTTAGGGTCAATATAAGGGGAGTAAAATTTTTATATGTGTAAAAAAATATTTACTTATGCAAATTTCCTGTGACATTTTAACAACTTGAGTGAAATAAATTCTGGGGATAGTTATGGAAAAGAATTTTCTGCTGGAGTTGAGGAAAACACAACCGTCGCCAACAGCGAAGCTCGACAAACTAATGATAGCCAGAGAGAGAGTCCAGTTCGTGAACAACTTTCCGTGAAAAATTCAATAGGATGTTAGTGTATAATTATTTTTGCGTTTTCCAGTCTAATAGCCTTTTTAAGTCCACAGTATTAATGTGGGAAACCAGTCATTTTTCCAACTGTGACATGTGAATTAAGCAAAATTAATATTGTTTTAAGAAATGGCAACTCGCGTTGAACACATTTGCTGTATAATCATAAAATCCTAGTGTACATTATGTAGAATTAAATAATATGTGTTCCTCGAAATGGGAAATAGATGGGAAAATATCCGAAAGCGCTGCTAAAGTCCATACGAAATATTGTTATAACACACATTCTTCTCAGTATCGATGACATGAGTGGCTCTAGGCAAAGTCTATTCGCATGTTGAGCATTTCGTCAATATGGATTTTTGAAATGCCTTTTGACACAAACACTCTGTGCGCAATTTTGCATAGCGTCAAAGCTCGAAAACCCATCGAGGGGTGTAAATTTTACACAGTTTTCCGCCTGAACGAGAGCCTAAATTAAACACTGAAAGTGCAAGAGAGCTTTGAAGTTTTGAAACTCACCGTAAAAAAAACTCAATTGTAAACCAAATCACCACGATTATCTCCATCCTGAACAAGAGATCAATCGCTTGGTCCTCGTATTCTTGTATTGTAGAAAACACACTTAAGGCCAGGCATGTGAACACCATTAAAAATCTGGAAAAGAGAGAGGAAAATATGCATTAATAATTTGTGAAAATTGACTCTCTTTACTCCATTTCATCTGCAAATTGAGTTTGTCACAACTTGTGTTGACTCTAAAATCTCAACCCCAAATAAACGTTACATTCCGGTAACATTGTAACACGGTTAAATTACATACTCAGACCCAATTTCTCTAATACGTACGAGAGTCTCTGTTGGCAGTTTTGGAGTTTATGTAAGCAAATCGTCACATTTGAAACTTTTTCAAAAAATATTTCTGTAATTTTCACCTGTGCGAGGGAAAAGTTTTTGATAATCTCCAACCCCACAGAGCACAAACACGCTTGTGGTGGAAGCCGTGAGAGCTTTTGCATGGAAATCCCAAACAGTGCGTGTCAACGTCCAATAAGCCTGAAGAAAGTGTTCCAGTTGGGGTGAGATACGCAAGGAAGTTGATGAAAATTAGAATATTACGCGGTGTCCCGCGAGTAAATACCGAAACAGAGGTGAATCTTTATGTTTTAATCAAAAGGGGTCTCGCATACCCTGGGGAATTCTATTGAAATTATCCTCACAGTGAGGCGCTTATTTGGTTTTCGCCACGCTGGTGAATTATCACTTCCTCTTCAAATAATTCGCAATTTAAAAGTTAAGCATCTTTCACGAAAGTTTAATGTCTTTGCCTCGCAGTGGGGAATCAACTTGTTGTTGCTATTCACCCAGATCGTGTTTCAATGTTTCCAATAACATATACTTGTGGCTTTTTTTCTGTGTGGCAGAATTATTAAATAACCCACATTATACTTCTCTGGGTATTTATTTTTATCAACTTTAACGTGATACGGGAAAAATGAAAGCAGAAGGAAGTTTTTTCCGCGTCGTGGCAAAGCCAGGAACTGGCAGGAAATTTTCGAGGGGATTTGCTGACTGTTGTTGGGGCAAAATTGAGGAAAGGCCTCACAGTGTTGTGTGTCTGCACTGTGTTGCGAACGCGCTGTGGGCATTCTAAATCCCCCTCACATATCTTACCTTAAAAATAAACAATGCATGGTTGAGGCAGAGCGGAGAGAACACATATAAGTCACATATTCGCCAGAGAAAATCTACGTTAATTCCCTTTCCAGTGGCTCATAATTTATAGGTGAGGCACAGTGAGAGGATTTCTGGTACATAAATCAACGGAGCACAGATGAATTCTTTCGGTTAGTTTATCAAGGTCCGTGTGAGGCTCACGATTACGACCATCGCGCATTGCTTGATCATGTGGGAAACTTTGGTGATACGTCATAAAGTTTTTGCGTAAAATTACCTCCAGTGCTCAGTCAAGAGAGAATATTTGCCTCTCAGTGCTATTTTTGCACAAGTTTTCCCAAAAAAAAGAATCTCTAGATGAATTTGGGGTGGTAATTGGAAGCGCCGGACACACGAAGGGAAACAATTTACGTGGCGATAGAATGAACACAAAGTCGAGCAATACATCAGCAACTGAGCAGTGATACGCCATAAACATAAAATATCACGACTTTTATGTCGTTTTTCACTTAATTTAATTAATTTTAAGTACATCACACACTGCACGATAGAGGAGAGGACGCGAAATGCGAAAAATATAGCCTGAATTTTAATTACATTTAAAATAATGCCATCCCTCTTTCAACACATTTCTCACCCGCGCTGCGTGCATTGCGAACCGCGAGAAAAGTGGGAAGAAAATGAAAGTGTACTTTTTTTTCATTTATTTCCATTGTAATACACACGAAGGACTTTTAATGCATTTTTGATAAGCGCGCGCAAAGGCGGCGGAAAAGGCGCAGGAAAGCGACATTATCACAGACACGAGAGGGTCTGAAAATTTCACTTCACCCCTACCTCCTTTGGGGTCGGCCTAATAAAAATGTTACGAGGCTATTTTTCTTCTCTTTGGCACAGATTAAAGTCTGTCACGAAATTTCACAGTTTTTACTGTATGTGTTAACATTATATCCATTATGCGGATATTTTTCCGCCGGTATGTTTTCTTCTGACCAAAAATAAATTCGCACAGGACATTCAGTGGTTGACTTTTGTGTGTGTGAAGCATTGAAAAGGACAATGGCAGTGGCTGTGATTTGCAGTGACACCTTCATTTTGGGTTATTCATGAAAATTTCTCCAATACACAGGAATAATTTATTCAAAAAATTCTTTATTCACAACTCCATTCTATATATTCTGTGCTACATATGTATTTTCCACGTATATTTCTGAGAATAAAGTCACCTAAAAAATACATTATGGAGCCAGTTTCTTGCTCAATGGTGCATATTTCATTCAATTACAGTATATAGGAAGGAGATACTTTTTCCGCAATTTGATTTATTCTGAGAAATTTGCAGATGTCTGGAATATCAATAAGTCACAATTCAATCTCACAGGCAGGAAAAGAGGAAATTGATGAAATTTCGGAAATCATCTCAATCATTTGTCTATGGATTCAATTTTGATGTTATTTTGTAAAAGCCTGCGTTATTGTGTGACTGTGAAACTCAAGATTTGAGGAATTACGCACTCAGGATTTATGCAATCAATCTTACTTAAACCGTCTTATTTGTAGACAAAGCATTCTCTTTTATAAAGTCAGGATATTCCTATCATCATCTTGTTTGTATTGGCAATTGTGGCTTCTTATTTAAGCAGTTTTGTAGGGAAGAAGAGTGTTCTGGGTGTCTGATAAGGGTAAGCAGCCTGAGAATGGAGGACAGCAAAGAACGTTTGCAGCATATTTTCCGCGTTTTTAAGTTTATTCATGGTGGCATATTCAAATTCAAGTGGAATATGCAAAGTCGAGAAGTAAGAGAATTATGTGTGTGACATCATAATCGCCACATAATGGAATTGCATGGGGTGCTTCTTCATTTCAGAGCAAAGCGTATCTCCGGCACTTTAACCCATCATCATCTATTCTCAGCTCACACACAATTTACCATTTTGCTCACAACAGCGCAACATCAGCTGGCAAGGATGTACAGCATTCGCAAGAATAATGTGACCAAAGAGAGGGAGAATTTTCTCACATTTAGTCGTGCATAGTAATCAAGTGAATTTGAATACGGTGTGATTTGTGGCTTCATCGTCAACCCCAAAATTGTCAAAAGCTCCTCTTTTGAGTGAGAGAGCATTTCTCAAAAGATAAACTCGTCACGAAGTGGGAATTTGGAGTTGGTTGAACTCAATTATCATGAAATTTTCTGTTTGCAAATCCTCAAGATTGTTTTCTCACGCTTCACTGTCATTCGTCCCTCACGAGGGTGCAGGCGAGAGAGAGAGAGGGTGGGAGTGGCTATTGAAAAAAGAGGAACATTGAAAAGAATTTTATTATCTTTAAGCTTTCTGACCTCCCCCGCTCGGCAGAGGGAGGAATTTTCATCTTACACGCGTGCTCTGTCTCACTCTCTCACAGTGTTTACCATCAATGACATAGAAATTGATATATGCGATGAGATGAAATGATTCTTTTTTATGTCTTCTTCTGTATACGTCGAAAAAATGAAGAAGAGCTATAAATTCTTGGGAGAATGATAGGAATTTCCCCAAAGACCGTGATGGAGTAATATCGAAATTGCATCAAAGGGGTATTAGAAGCATCACATCGATATAGCAATAGGGCAGAATATCACACACATATGTGTGTCCTTTCTCTCACATCTTCTTCTTGCTTCGTCCTCCAGTTGATTCCTATTCATTCCGTCGCACAAATTTTACAATGGCAGGTCGAATATCTAGCGGAAATATGTGGGGGTGCTATTATTCTGCCCTTCCGCTGCTGTAGGCGTTGCGATATTGCGAATAAAAAGGAATAAATTGTGCGTATTTGTGGCCAAAAATAAAATGAATATTTATCAAGTGGAGGGCAAAGAGCTTTCGTCCTAAACATCTCTCTGAGTGAAATTTATTTACCCTTTTTATTCCCTCTCTGACTCATGTTCGTCGCTATGTTGTGTGTCCACCCCCATAATTCTGAGGCACCCCCACGTCTTCATGTGAACTTGCTCCCTTTTCTCTGTTTTCCTCCCAACTGTGCTCAGGCCTTAATACACTGGGAAATCTTGTGTACCCTTTCGCTTCCTGGTGCGCAAAGCCAATGGTTTGAGCGGGAAAAATATGAAGGCAATTTGACACACACACACACACACACATTAAAAGAATTGAGCCCATGGGAATTGCTTTTCAACTTTTTGAAGAAAATTATATCCAAATTTTCCTCAACGTCAAATTTGCGACTGTAATCCTGTTGAGACTGGCAGCAATAAAAAGACAAAATTGCGAAATAATGAGCCCCAGAGTTCTTTTATTCCACCCAACAAGGCATATTTTATGAAGTTAATAAAAGAATGGACTCTGGAATTTGTGCTCATTTATTACTAATTTCTCAAGCACACCAATATGCTGTCGCTGAAAAGTTGGGCATAATGTGACGCCTTCAGGGTCTTACTTCATTTTCTTCGAATTATGTGCAACACGAACTTTGAAGGGAAATGCAAATTAATGAAAGATGGAGTGAAAGTATTTGAACAGATGGTTAAATTTAATTACAGAGGCAAATATAGAATGTATAGTGTTTGTTTTGACATTCCCAATTGAACTTTGCGCTGTTTTCCACTGTAATTGTATGCAAATATCTTGGAAAATACCACTAAAGGCCATGGGCGTAAAATTTAATTTGGAACTTTTCAGCATTGCCGCATGATAATTCATTTTCTCACTCGCCAGTAGACTTTCGTTTACTTTGTAATTTAATACCATTACCTGTCTTAATTCCAAGACAGTAGAGCTTTTCATTCTAATCTTTAAATTGTGAATCTCCCCAATTTTTCTAATTAATTTAGGACATAATTCTTTGAGAGCGATTGCAAGAGAAGAAGTTTTTCATGAACTTTAAGTTTGCTAAGCTTTAAGATTGCTGTTTTCTGTGCATCGCAGAAGAATGAAGGTTTTGTGAGTTTTGAAGAAATATTATACAGTAACAAAAATTAGATTAGGACACCTATTTGGGACGCTGTTGTGTGGAAGAAATAAGGAAATGGTACAAAAGCGTTCAACTGTGGCTCAAAACATGCAAAAAGCAAATTGAAAAGTCCAAATCAAGGCGTTTTATTGATGTAAATATCTTCTGGACATTCCAAAATCATGACATAATGTGGTTTTGCAAACTATTTTGTGGATATAACATGGATTTAGAGCCAAATATGAAGTGTCCTAACTTAATTTTCGCTGTCCTTTTGCGCATTTCTCTCTGTATTTTACAATATCTTAGCTCCAAATTAAGATACCACCATGATCTCAAAGCCATTTGAGAGATCATGAAATTATGATCATTTTTTTGTCTTAAGATAATTGTCTCAAAAATTGAAAGAAATATCGACTTCTTAACTTAAAAGGAAAATGGCTTAAAATTTCATTGGTGTTTTAATCTAATTTTCGCTACTGTTTATCAACAGAAGCGTTGTCCATGAAACACATGCAGGACAAATGGCAGATTTGTACACGATGCAGTGAAACTTACACACACAAATATTCGTGACGTTGAATGTTTCTAGCAAGACACAAACTGTCCAAAAGTCTGAAGTCACACTTTAGCATTTACAGCTCTATTTCACGGAAGTCGATGGGGTGGAAAAATACTAAAATTTATGTGTTATTTACATAGAATGTGCATGATATAAATTGCAGCTGTTCATACCACCAAATCACACTTAAAGGGGATCGCAAGCACTGAAGGAATTTCCACAAAATCCCCCCTTTTCTTCCGTCCCATCAGTCGTCCTTTCAGACACGAATATCTGCATTGCTGAATAGTCAGTGAGCGCAAAAAGTGGGTATTAAAAAAGACCTCCCCCATTGCTTTTCCACCATAAATACATTTCCATAGACATTTAGTCGTGGTTGCTGATGAATAAATGTGTGGTGTAAATATTTGTTTGAAATGGGCACGACAATTTTGTCCCTCTCTTCCCCGCATTTTTTCTCATTACGCGATTTTTTTTTAACTGCGGTTTTCCATGCTCTGCCTATTCAAACATGACACATGGAAATTCAAAACCAATTTTCAGTTTCATTTAGCAATTTATCATAAATACACTCGTGTGTATCCGGATGTACAGAAAGTTTTCTCATAGCTTCGGGGGAAGATGAAAATTTGCATAATATCGAAAGTAAATGAGAAGCAATAAAATTGATTGGGAGTGAATGAAGTAGAGATAAGACATACAAAGTACTTCCGGAAAATGTTTGTCAGCTTCCGCCAACGCTTATTTCCACGTCAGTGCACAGAGTTTTCTTTGGGGGGAGTGAGCTTTTCAATAAAAGCCCTCCGTATTTGCACAATAGTTGATTTATTGCTCAGAATCATGATATTCGATTGCACATTTTTCTACAGTGACACCAAATATTAAGTGATATCAATATGTTTGAAATTTGCTACTGTGATATATGTATTTAAATGTAATTCAGCACGCTCTTTATCTCACTTTGGCATACTCAAATAAATCTGCCGCTGACAGATTTAATATTTTGCCTTATCCTATCGCTCGCTGATGAAATGTGTGTGTGTGTGTGGAAAAGTATGCAAAAAATTTCCGGTATTGCGACATTCTGTTAGTATTTATTTCCTCTGCAGAATTTTCCATTTACATTTTCAAATGCGGTGGGTGTAATAAAATTTGGACAATCACACAATGCACTAAAGCAGTTTCGATATTGATTTTAGATATAATTTCTTCCTAAAATGTATAGTGGCAATTGAAAGTGTGAAGCAGAGGCATTTTTCATTCGGGTTTTCATTGTTTCTGGGTGCTTTTGAAGATTGGGTTTTAAAAATTCACACCCAAAACAACACCATTTCTGGCGCTTTCTCTCCACCTTTTTCATCCTCGACACAATGCCAAAATCAACACTACACAGCATTCTCAGCACTCCATCTCATTATTGAATAGCAATTTCCCACCTTCTCTCATTTCATTATCCACAGTACATGTGCGGGATTTCACATTCCAATCCCAGAGACGAGAGATACGGCAAGATATTGAGAAATGAATAAAATAACATTGCTCACATGAGGCTTGGAGAAGCTGTGATTATATTTGGGGAGAGGGAAATTCGCATGTGAAAAAGGAGTTGCCAAAAATCTAATTACTTACACATGTTATGTAAATATGTATGGATGTATTCACCAGAATTGAGGAATTGATTCTTCGTTTATCGCTTCTCATCAATAGAAAATGTAATAATGGGAAAGCCCCTTTTTGGAAAGCTCAGAAATTTCATTTACAGCAAAATCTTACAAAATTTACGAGATTTCTCTTCGTTTGGTGGGAATCTTTTCGCCCATTTGCCAATTTAAATATTGAAATTAGAGCAAAGATTTGAGAAAAGGAGCGTAGATACAGCACAAGATGGCACGAAGAAAGATCATTTTTTGGCTGAGAAGTGAGATGAATCATGAAATAAATATGAACTACCATTAACTTTGATAAATTGCCCTATAAAAGGACACAAAAAAAGGAATAAAATTGATCATGAATTTTTCTTTCATTTGCTACCTATTTATTCTTTAATCTGAAATGCAGAACAATTTCAAGTATTTCCTTCACGTGAATCGACATTATTGCATCTTAAGAACGGGTAATTAAATTGTAATCAGAAGTTTCTGCAATAATTAATTTAATCAATTACGTGTACATATAGCATAGTTTTGGCATCTATGTTTTGCGAATTCATAGGCCTGTGGCCACAAATTCAAAGTGGTGTGCCACTTCCGAAGTCGAGAACGTGGTAATTGAAATTGTAATTCGACATTATAATGTATGCATGGAATAGTATTGTTTGGCAAACCGAATCAATAATGGCAATGTCAGGTTGCCTTTCGGGTGGGATTGCAGAACCCAAAAACGTCTTGCTCGACAGCTAAAAACACCCATTGATTCGGTTATCTCGAGAGGGTCTGGAGTGAAGAAAAAAGAAAACACATTAACCCCCCATAATTTCCATTCATGCGAATGGTGTTAAAATCAAAGGTATTAATGCTTCCCACATCTCTTTTTCTGGGGAGCCCATGAGACTTCTTGCTGGCGCTGGTCGAGGGTGCGAAAATTGTCTGGTGAAGTGTGACATTATTATTGTGACAAGGACACAAACAATTTGAGCGGGAAAGTTGAGGAGGCAGAAGAACTTGAGAATATTGACTTTTTATCGGGGCAAATGACGATGATTTCATGGATGACGTATTTTCTGGCCCTTCATAGGGAAAAACCATCAAATTATTGGCTCACACCACGACTCCGCCACATTGATTTCCCATTAGACGCAGAGGAGAGTGAAAATGAAGCGATTAGGGCGGAGAGATAGCAACAATCTCTCCTTCGCACTCCCACACACACACGCCATGGTGGCCTTTTCGACTTATTGTAAATTTGATTGAATTTAATTTCACCCGCCAAAATTAAACTCGCAAGAAAATGAATTAAATTTTGCACGAGGGTAAATTGTTTCCATCAGGAGTTTATGACTAGGACGAAGAAGCTCGTGAGCATAGTTGATGCCCTGCAATGTGTGAAAATGAGGGAGGAAAAGTGGAGAATACAGTTGGAAAGCTCTGTAGTGCGCCATATATATGTATATACCTTGGGGTTCACGCATACTTCTCGTCCTTTTGTGAAGGAGGGAAAGCAACTGGAGCGTTATTAGGACTTGTATGGCACTTGATAATAAATATCCTTAGAAGATTAAAACAGTAAATTTGACTATGAAATTGCCATGAACATTTTCAATATCATCTACAACAATGGAGAGCGTCTTGTGAGACGGCGGAGACAATGAGAGGCCAATTAAAGTATAATTCATGTAATTTTTCGGCCTTTTTCCTCATTTAAATTCCACTCAAGTATGCAAAATTACTCTAGAAATCCACCATAATTGATGAAAAACAATTAATTCAAGCGTCGAGATATTCCTGTCAGATAATGTGTGTGTAGGCAGACGCTTCTTAAAGGTCGGAAACCAGAAAATTTATCGCATTATCTTAAGCCTCGCTCGCGCTTTATCGCTCTGGATCAGGAAAGTGTTCTTGTGAATACCAAATGATTGCAATATATAGCGAATACTTGCCAATGCACAGCAAATTCTCACTATGCATAGTTATGTTAGAAATTGAATTGCTTTCTTGTGCTCGAAAAAATTCCCGCAAGAGTGTTTCTCACTCTTTAAGTTTTATTGAGCAATTCACATTTTTTTGGGATCGTTTTTCGTGGGGACATTCATTTCCCTTCCATCCGCTCTTTATCACTTTTATAATCCTCGTAAAAAAGTCGTCGCTTTGTATACTATCTCCGCAGTCGTCCACACTATTAAGTTTTGATTAATGGACGTCGCTCTTGTTTGAATATGCTTCGCGGGACAATAGATGATGTACTTACACTAGAACGTGGTAAAAAACTGCCGGAAAACCTCGGGGGCGCTCCAGAAAGTTATACACTCTCGCCTGCAGGCGGCGATAGCGGGCATCTCGACGTGCGCCGCGGTTGTAGTTGAGCGGCTTCCCCAACAGAGACATTCGGGGCCTCGCAAGCCGATCGGCCCGATGTTTGTCAGAGAGCTTGCAGGCACTGCAAAGAAAGGGAAATTGGGTTAGCTTTGTCAGGATCGAAGGATTCACTGTGTACACCACTTCCTAACACTTCCACAATTTCTGTTGGAGAATCACAGACACTTCCAGAACTCTGAACGTGCTTAAAATATACGTTTTCCTTATTTTATTCTGTTTTTCAAAGAATCATAACCTTAAATTTTGGAGTCTTTACTCAAAAACGACGCCTTTTTTTCCTTATATCACCCTGAAAACTTACAGAGAAAGAGTGTTTAAGAAATATTTGAAGTTTCCAGAGGATATTTTGATGTGATTCAATTTTCAATCGCTCTTTTGTATACACATTAGAACATTTTTTCGTAGTGTAATTGCGTCACCAGGCGAACCATTAAACTGAAATGTCTCAACATTTCATTATCTGTCCCCCGTAATAATATCAGTTGATTCTGATGGCAATGCAACAGCTTCATGAACGTGAAGGACTTCTGGTCTGGCATGGTCATTAAGATAGCCAAATGTTCGGGCTTTTCCGATGCGGCAAAAGCCCAATGGAATTGGCGCTTCACGGTATTTGTGGTCTCTATAAATGTGATTTATGCGATTGAGAAAGAATATCCTGAGAAAGTTTCCTTCTTCACATCCAGAGGAATATGGACTCTAGTGAGAATATATTCCATAAATTGGTTATTTCCCCGTGAAATCTATTCCACACCTGATTCACCCCGGGGGAGTTCTTATTCATAAATTTCTAGATTTACGTGCACTTTGGGCAGCTGAAACCGCTCTTACATCCACTTGGGGCCATAAATAGTTATGTAGCCACTACTTCAATATGGGCTCTAACATATCTTACACTTTGGCGCGAAATACAACTGAAAGCGGATGAACTTATAGTGTGGGTGTGTGAATATTTAGCCAACTCCCTTGGTGAATGTTTTGTATTTAAATACATGCTCTTTTTCCATTTCTCCGAAACAAATGTATCTATACAACATTTCTACACGTTCTCCACTTCCTTCTGCGCCTTATGGGAAGGGAGAGAAATGAAGAAAAAAAAAAGTTGGTGTCTCTCTTAGCTGTGAATTCTTCGTTTCTTTCAGTATCTTGCTTTGTGATAAAGTTGTGCAAAAGCGCGACAAGGAAAAGAAAGCCGTTCTCTTGTGCATCCTTGGAAAAACTTTCAAGCAGAAAGGCAATTCTTTCTCTAGTGTCACGATGATATTCCTATTTGGTGTTCTCTTGTCTCCGCATAGAAAGAGTGAAAAAGTATCCTTATATTCATGAACTATTGCATTTGCCCATGGTAGAATTCTTCGGTTGGAATTATGCAAGACTAAGTTTTATTGCGGTATTCTACACCGTTTTTAATTAAAAACAATTTATCGCTGGAACAAGCAAACTCGCATCGCCCGAGGATTCATGTAATGCATATTAAGAGATGCAATCTTTTGAGTGTCGCCTCGAGCGCAAATATTTAGTTGCATCCACAGGGAGGATGTGATAGTTCTTGCGAATTCATTCACAAAGTCAAAGCCTTTGGTTATTAAATATCCCTGCTTTGGCTGCCTCTCTCTAAACCATCCACACTTGCAGACGTGATGAAAGCAAACACGGCGAATTAGCACAAGTTTCTCAGTGCAGCATCGCATAATCCAAACCTTTGCACAGTGAGGCGGGAAACATTGTCAAAGTTTGACGTATCACTTTCTGCATCTTCGTCTGTGGCGTTTGTGGCCGTTTCGAGAGCGTCGTCGAAAATCAACTGGATAATGGGCACGCCAATGTGGTGAGCATTGCTCAAGTCAGTGGCCATCGTGGCAGCTGAATCCCTCTGCAGCTCTGCAAATGATTCATTGTCTCCTTCGTCACGAGAGATTCATTCATTGGTAATGATGAGGCATAGCACTAATTGTTATGTTACCATTCGACAAATAGACAATGCCAGTGCCAATTTGCCAGCGCTTAATGAAACATTAAAAGGGGATATGGCAAAGCGCCAAAAGTACTTTGAATTAATGTACTTTTTATTCCACTCCATGCTCGCAGTTTCTATCACTCGGAGGCTAATCAGAGTGGTGGAAAATTAAGTAGCAATAATTTCGCATAGAATTCGTTGTGATTAGTTTTCTGACCACACAGAAACAAATAGGCAGACAATTATTTTCATGTCATAGCTGTGAAATAAGCACTGAATTGCGCGTACTTCATATTGATTCCTGACATTTGCAACTTTCAAAAGCATACTTGTTGATTAGTCACTTTTATTGCACAATAATCAAGGGGTAATTTACTTGCAATTTAAGATAATTATGTTCCTGATTTTTATTAAAAATTTTAATTCAAGATTTCAATAACTTTTTGATTATGCCAAAAAAATATTTAATTATTTGATGGTTTTTTTTTTTAATTTTCTGATCATATTTTGATATTTTAATTAAAATTTTGGTTTATTTAAAAAGATTAACAGACAGAGAAAAAAGACACAGAGTTTGCCAAAAACGCCAACTTTGCTGCCCTCTGGCGCCGATATATGGAGAAAATAATCAAATATTCTGAATATATTTAAATATAATTTGATTTATTTGAATATTTTGCCGAAAATATTCATTTCTTGATTATTTTGCAATTTAACGTGGAAAATTGTCATCAGTTTTATGCAAATATTTGATTAGGACCATTAAGATTCCTCAGAAATAGACTAGTCCCCTCGACAATTATGCTATCAATATCGTCTGCCATTCAGGCGAACTGCAAATTTGCATTACACCAATTATAACTTGTTAGTTTCAGGTGTAACTATTCTATTTGGTTTGGTGGAAAACTCTGAATTTCCTGGAAGCAATAGAAGACATTTTATTCAATATTCCCATTGATTTTGAATTCAACATTTCAGCAGTGCTCGCGAATACAGCGATTATCATTTGTGAAAATGATTCTTTTCCGCTCAGATACATGCCATGCTGATGATCTGCGATACAATTTATTTAACTGAGAAGAGCCTAAGTGGAGGAGTGAAAAAATGTTCTTTGAAATATATATGCTCGTCTTGGCTATTAATAGATCGCGAAGCATGATTGTGCAGATATAAATATAAACACTATCAAAAGGCGATACACATTTCTTTTCTGTCTCTGCTGGCGTCTGATCCTCTAATATCACTTTTCTATTTTGTCTGAATGTTTTCGGCTATCGCCCAGGGGAAGACTTTGAAATTTAAACTCAATATAATGTGGTCTAGATGCTCGTTCTTAATTAATTCGAGGCAGTTTTGCCCCGCAGAGGGTGTCTTCTGTGAGTGACAGAAGAGGCAAATTATGATGGCCAGAGAACGGAAATAAACCTTGCAATTTGCTATTGTAAACATCGTGGCAGTGCTTTAAATACAATTGGCGTTAGACATTTGGGCATAAACAAATCTTAAGCATTTTTCACGCACACACACTGCTCGTGTCTCTGAGAAAAGCATCAAACATGAAAATTTGTGATTGAATGGGAAGTACGACGAGTTTAAAAATACACACAGACGAGATGAACACTCCACAATTTAACTTTTATCTATCCATCAAATGCTGCTCATGCAATCAAATCCGATTTTATTGGCAATGTAGTCTATTGGTTTAACACTCTGTGGCAAAATTTGAGATACACTTCAATAGCCCGAGAGTGCGTATATAAAAGAGAACCACAAAATCACTGTCGCTGGGATGTTTAGAACAAAGACAAGTTTATGCAGACAGACAAGTGGTTTTCACGAGGGATTCCAATATTATTGTTGGCCTTTGTTTGCCCACGGATTCACGGGTGAAATTCCAGACAGAGAATTTCAGTGGTGGTTTTTTCACTGGCGAATCAAATTGATACTATTCATGCTATCTGAGAGAATCTCAAAATTAACCAACACTCGCTTCTTTCTCTCTGTCTCACTTCTTTTTTATATTTTGAATCCTTGGAATAAAATAGACGAAGATAATCAGACTATTTCTATTCGTTTTTTCTCTCTCACATCATCATATCGTCTCCGCTATATGTAATCTATTTTTTGCCCATATTTTTCCGCTGAAAAGAGATCATGAACTACATAGAGTGTGGATATCTGATGGAAACTTTAATTCTCCTCACTTCAGAAATTGTACATTTTATTCGCCCACGAAGCACCCTGTTGGAGTCGTGAGTTTATTTCATATCGCGCAGTGCACTTTTCCACGTGACGTCACAAATGATGACGGCACAAATTGATGGTGCGACTGAGCATTGACAGAAAAGCACCGCAGTGAGATGCTATAAATAAAATGTGTGTCGTGGAGGAATAGAAACAAGATCAGCATTGATGGAATTTCTTCTTGTAATTTGGGAAGAAAGTCATGTTTTCCTCCCATTTCTTCCTTATATCAACATTTTTTCCGTGACATTTGCCATTTTCCATGTCAAATTTACTGCCTGGACAGTTGCGAATTGTTTATGTCTATCTCACTGTATACACAAGGAATGCACAGGATAATGAAGTAAGAATGTGCATCATTTACAATCATAAAGATTAATGACACTGAGACGATCTTACATGGGAATCTACTTACACGAATACTTTGTTGATTTTTTAAAATGCTGAAAAGCGCATCTCAGAGATTTTTCAATAGTGAAACTCAGTTTCGTAAAGTTTTGATAGAATAAAAGCTTTTTAAAACTGTTAGTGTTTGGAATTATCATGCGAGCATCGTATCAAGCATGCATATGTATATATGTGCATATTTTAAAGTTTTAAAAGTTTCACAGCACTGAATGTGGACAAGTTGAATGCGAAAAAGGACTCTAATCACAACAACATTTTAAAGTGATTAACCGTGCGGATGACACGGAAAGCCCTTCGGGTGGTTCTCAAAGAGAGCGGTAAACATTCGAATGAATAAAATATTTTAATTAATTTAGAGAGCAAATATGAGTTCGCACTGTATATATATTGAGTCAAGGGGGAAATAGTACAGCTAAACGGTGTACATCGTCTTCCTTTGCACCATTTCTGTG